AGCCTATCCACCAGCTAGACAGAATATTTACCTTTCTGTTGCTCAAACCAAGAGGATTGATTGGTTTGGAAAAAGCTGGTACTTTGGATCAATTGGTAGTTGACTACATTAATAACGAATTGGATGTGATTACTACAATCCCACAATTGAAAATTGAAGACGATGGTAAATTAGTTGGTGGTAATCTTGAGAATAAATCAGAAGACTGTTTAGCCAGCTACGAAAGTTTCAAAGATCAACCAACCGGGGTTATAGTTGGACCTGATTCTAATCCTACTTTATCTTTCACCTCTGGTTCTGAGGGTATTCCAAAAGGTGTTTTAGGTCGTCATTACTCATTAGCTTACTATTTTCCATGGATGGCTAAAAGATTTGGCTTATCAGAAAATGATAAATTTACCATGTTATCTGGTATTGCTCATGATCCAATTCAAAGAGATATGTTTACTCCGTTATTCTTGGGTGCCCAATTATTGGTTCCAACTGCGGACGATATCGGTACTCCAGGTAAATTAGCTGACTGGATGAGCAATTATGGGGCCACTGTTACCCATTTAACTCCAGCTATGGGTCAATTATTAAGTGCACAAGCTACCACCCCAATTCCAAGTTTGCATCATGCTTTCTTTGTTGGTGATATTTTAACCAAGAGAGATTGTTTGAGATTGCAAAGTTTAGCTGAAAATGTCTTCATTGTTAATATGTATGGTACAACTGAAACCCAAAGATCTGTTTCTTACTTTGAAATCAAGAGTCGTAAAGAAGATCCAACTTACTTGAAGAATTTGAAAGATGTTATGCCTGCAGGTACTGGTATGCAAAACGTTCAATTATTAGTTGTGAATAGAAATGATCGCTCCCAAACTTGTGGTGTCGGTGAAGTTGGGGAAATTTACGTCAGAGCTGCTGGTTTGGCTGAAGGTTACCGTGGGTTACCAGACATGAATGCTGCCAAATTTATCACTAATTGGTATGTTGATCCAGAAGAATGGATTAAGCAAGACAAAGTCAATGCTAAAAGTAGCGAAACTTGGAGAGAACACGGTTGGTTGGGACCAAGAGATAGAATGTACAGATCTGGTGATTTGGGTCGTTATTTGCCTGATGGTAATGTTGAATGTTGTGGTAGAGCCGATGATCAAGTCAAAATTAGAGGCTTTAGAATTGAGTTAGGTGAAATTGATACCCATTTATCTCAACACCCATTAGTTAGAGAGAACGTTACTTTGGTTAGAAGAGATAAGAACGAAGAACCAACTTTAATTTCTTATATTGTTCCAAAAGATTCTCCAGAATTGAAAAACTTCAAGTCGGAAATTGATGATTCTGCTGAAGAAGTCAATGATCCTATTGTTGAAGGTTTGGTTGCTTACAGAGAGTTGATTAAAGATATTAGAGCTTACTTGAAAAAGAAATTAGCTTCCTATGCAATTCCAACTATCATTGTTCCATTAGTTAAATTGCCATTAAATCCAAATGGTAAAGTTGACAAGCCAAAATTACCATTCCCAGATACTGCTCAATTAGCTGCTGTTTCAAAATTAAGTGTCGGTGGTAAAGACTCCCAAGATATCGAAGAAGAAAACTTGACTAAAATTGAAGAACAAATTAGAGATTTGTGGTTCGATGTTTTACCAAACCGTCCAGCTACCATTTCAAAACAAGATTCATTCTTTGATTTGGGTGGTCATTCTATTTTGGGAACTAGAATGATTTTTGAATTGAGAAAGAAATTAAATGTTGAAGTCCCATTGGGTGTAATCTTCAAAAACCCAACGGTTGAACAATTTGCTAAAGAAGTTGAAAAAGTCATCAAAGGTCAAGACTTCCAATTAGCAGATGAAGGTAAAACTGTTAAAGAACAAGAAAATGAAGGTGCCAACAAGGAGAGAGAATTAAATTATGCTGAAGATGCTGTTGAATTGTCCAAGACGGCTCTTTTATCTTCATATCCGTCATTAAAAGAAATTCCAGAAAGTTCCGTTAATGTATTTGTGACTGGTGCTACTGGATTCTTGGGTTCTTTCATTATCCGTGACTTGTTGACTGCTCGTAAAGGCTTGGACACCAAAGTTTATGCGCATGTTAGAGCTTCTTCCAAAGAAGCTGGTTTACAAAGATTGCGTCAAACTGGTACTACATATGGTATTTGGGATCCATCATGGGAAAATAAAATTGAAATTGTTTTGGGTGATTTGTCTCAAAAACAATTTGGATTGGACGATTCCAAATGGGCAGATTTGACTAACAACATTGATGTTATTATTCATAATGGTGCTTTTGTTCATTGGGTCTATCCATATTCTCAATTGCGTGATGCAAATGTCATTGGTACCATCAATGTGTTGAACATGGCTGGTGAAGGTAAACCAAAATTCTTTTCTTTTGTTTCATCTACTTCTTCCTTGGATACCGATTATTTTGTTAATTTATCAGATGAATTATTATCTCAAGGTAAATCTGGTATTTTGGAATCTGACGATTTACAAGGTTCTAGTAAAGGTTTGGGTAATGGATATGGCCAATCTAAATGGTCAGCCGAATACATTATTAGACGTGCTGGTGAAAGAGGTTTAAGAGGTTGTATTACCAGACCAGGTTACGTTACTGGTTTTTCTAGGACTGGGGCTTCCAACACAGATGATTTCTTGTTGAGAATGTTGAAAGGATCTGCAGAATTGGGTGCATATCCAGATATCACTAACAACGTAAACATGGTTCCAGTTGATCATGTTGCTAGAGTTGTTACTGCTACTGCTTTGAACCCACCAAATGATGATGAGTTGTCTGTTGCTCATGTTACAGGACATCCAAGAATCCAATTCAATGATTACTTGGGATGTTTGAATACTTATGGATATGATATTAAACCGGAAGATTACCCAGTTTGGACAACTTCTTTAGAAAAATTTGTCGTTGAAGAAAGTAAAGAATCGGCATTGTTCCCATTATTGCATTTTGTTTTGGATAATTTACCTCAAGATACCAAAGCCCCAGAATTGGATGATACAAATGCTGCAAAATCATTAGCAAAAGATGCCAAATATACTGGTGAAGATGTCAGTAAAGGTAAAGGTGTTGACTTGGAACAAACTGGTATCTATATTAGTTACTTAATCAAAATTGGATTCTTACCAAAACCAACCGGTGCTAATGCCAAAAAGCAATTACCAGAAGTCGAAGTCAGTCAAGAAAGTTTGGACTTGATCAATCAAGGTGCTGGTGCTCGTGGATCTGCTGCTAAGTAAGGTTCTATTAATTAAATTTATGTATATTAGTAAATAAAGAAAAGAAACAATAAATGTAAATATTATGTGTATACCAAGTCTAATATTTTGTAGACATCATTCAACCATATGAAATTGTTAGATACGAAGTTAAAAAGATCTTTGACTCTAATGGTAGTGTGTGAACTACCTCGTTGTCACTAGGAGCTTGTTTATTATTTGGTGAAAAATCATTTGTTCTTCAACTACACAACCAACACTTAAAATAACACTGTAAGACTCGTCTCCATAATCCCTTAAACAATTGGAACTTTAGGAACGTATGGTTCTTCTAAATAATCAATTTCTACTTGGATCAACTTCAATGTGGTAGCATTTAAATATGTCATCGACACGTGCAAACGGAAAGAAAGGACCAACAATTGGATTGAAGCCCTTTACTAATAGACCAAGCAGTTGCAACAACAGCCATACTGACACCATTATCTTTGGAAACCTTTTCAACTCTATTCACAATCTCTTTGTCAACGTTGTTCAATTCGTCAAGACCCAACATCTTGAAAGTTTTATCAGTTTTATCTCTAGAATTAATGGAGGTTCCAGTAATTGGTCTAGCCAAAACTCCTCTGGCAATTGGAGACCATGGAATAATTCCAACTTTTCCAATTACATTATCTTGACAAAAAGGAATCATTTCTCTTTCCTCTTCTCGATAAAGCAAATTATGATAATTTTGCATACTAATAAACTTATGCCATCCGTTTTGTTCCGCAACAAACTGTAATTGAGCAAATTCAATGGCTTTCATTGAGGATGCCCCAATGTATCTTGCAAGTCCTTGGTCAACAACATCATTTAAAGCTTTCATTATCTCCTTTTTTGGAGTAGTGAGATCCAATCTATGTATCTGAATTACATCAATATAAGTACCCAATCTATCAACAGAAGCTTGAACTGCATCCAAAATATGCTTTCTTGACAACCCTTGAGAATTAACATAGTTTATTGCTGGGAACTTTTCACGATCAGCTAAATTAAACCCAGGTGTCTTAGTATCAACAGGGAAAAACACTTTGCTTAAAATAACAACTCTATCTCTTGGGATATCAAATTTCTTAAGAAATTTACCAAGAATTTCTTCAGATTTACCCATAGAATACACATCAGCAGTATCAAATGTTCTTAATCCAGAATCATAGGCATGTTTTAAAATTTTGAAAATTTCTTCTTCATCATCCATAACCCAATCAGCAAAAGCCTTACTACCATAAGTCATGCATCCGACGATCACTGGAGCAATTTTTAACCCAGAATCTCCTAAGTTGTTATATTTAAGTTCAATTGGCATTATTTGAAAAGTAAAACTAAATTAATAAACAAAATAATAATAAGAAGAAGAAGAAAAGATTGAAAATAGTCTTTGTGAATTTGAGTGGAATTTATAGTTGACTAATCTTTTTTTTTTTTTTTTTGGTGTGTCCATTGAACGACGACTCGGTTTTATTCATGCGGAAGTTACCGAATTAGGAAAATATCCGAGTGTGATAGAATACTAAAGACTCCCAGTATGTAAAGAAACCGAATAAGTACGAAGAAATACAACACGATGTAAAAAAATCTGGTTCCTAAAAACTAATTTCCTTTAAAAAGAGAAAGCATAAACATTGCTCATCATCAACTGAGTATCAGAAATGTCCATAACACTATTTGCTTACAAAACAATATATGAAGTGAACGATAGTAACGGTAACAATATAAGAAGACTATGTAATAAAGGCAATCATCAATTTAATAAAATGACGAGTATATTAGCACTATTTAAAAATAAAAACATAAAGCATAAGGTAAAACTAGTACTAACCGAAAGTTTAAATTGTTATAACGAATGCAACGACAACTGTAATAAATGCAGATAATGACAATTTAGTTGATGAAGCACCACTGAAACTGATAGGTACTTCAGGAGTAATGGCTGCACTAGGAATACCAAACGCACCTTCCATTGCATTAGTTCCATTTGAAAAGCCAGGTTTGAATGCCTGAGTACCATCATGTTTTCCAGCACCAGAATTACTAGAACCAGAAACCAAGGATGTTGCTAATGTAAATGGATCAATTGACATGACATTAGAAGCTTGACTTCCATCACCAGCAAGTGTAACAGAACCATTGCCAGAACCATTGTTAGAACCAGATCCATTTTCAGAACCGTCTCCAGAGCCATTTCCTGATTCACCAGATCCACTACCAGATCCACTACCAGATCCATTACCAGATCCATTTCCAGATTCACCAGATCCACTACCGGAACCGTTTCCAGATTCACCAGAGCCATTTTCAGAACCGTCTCCAGAGCCATTACCAGAACCATTACCTGATCCATTACCAGAACCATTTCCAGATCCATTACCTGATCCATTACCAGAACCATTTCCAGATCCATTACCTGATCCATTTCCAGATTCACCAGAACCATTACCAGATTCTTCAGAACCGTTTCCTGATTCGTTACCAGATTCACCAGAACCGTTTCCTGATTCGTTACCAGATTCTCCAGAACCGTTTCCTGATTCGTTACCAGATTCACCAGAGCCATTTCCAGATTCACCAGAACCGTTTTCTGATTCACCAGAACCGTTTCCTGAACCATTTCCAGATTCACCAGAGCCATTTCCAGATTCACCAGAACCGTTACCTGATTCGTTACCAGATTCACCGGAACCGTTTCCTGATTCGTTACCAGATTCACCGGATCCATTTCCAGATTCACCAGAACCGTTACCTGATTCGTTACCAGATTCACCGGATCCATTACCAGATTCACCAGAACCGTTTCCTGAACCATTTCCAGACTCTCCTGAACCATTACCAGATTCGTTACCAGATTCACCAGAGCCATTACCAGATTCACCAGAACCGTTACCTGATTCGTTACCAGATTCACCGGATCCATTTCCAGATTCACCAGAACCGTTACCAGATTCGTTACCAGATTCACCGGAACCATTACCAGATTCACCGGATCCATTTCCAGATTCACCGGATCCATTTCCAGATTCACCTGAACCATTTCCAGATTCACCTGAACCATTACCAGATTCACCAGAACCGTTTCCTGATTCGTTACCAGATTCACCAGAACCGTTTCCTGATTCGTTACCAGATTCACCAGAACCGTTTTCTGATTCACCAGAACCGTTTTCTGATTCACCAGAACCGTTTCCTGAACCATTTCCAGATTCACCTGAACCATTTCCAGATTCACCAGAACCGTTACCAGATTCGTTACCAGATTCACCGGATCCATTTCCAGATTCACCAGAACCGTTTCCTGATTCACCAGAGCCATTTCCTGATTCACCAGAGCCATTTCCTGATTCGTTACCAGATTCTCCAGAACCGTTTCCTGATTCGTTACCAGATTCACCGGATCCATTTCCAGATTCACCAGAACCGTTACCAGATTCGTTACCAGATTCACCGGAACCATTTCCTGATTCAGAACCATTTCCAGATTCACCGGATCCATTTCCAGATTCACCAGAGCCATTTCCTGATTCGTTACCAGATTCTCCAGAACCGTTTCCTGATTCGTTACCAGATTCACCAGAACCGTTTCCTGATTCACCAGAGCCATTTCCTGATTCACCAGAGCCATTTCCTGATTCGTTACCAGATTCTCCAGAACCGTTTCCTGATTCGTTACCAGATTCACCGGATCCATTTCCAGATTCACCAGAACCGTTACCTGATTCGTTACCAGATTCACCGGATCCATTTCCAGATTCACCAGAACCGTTACCAGATTCGTTACCAGATTCACCGGAACCATTACCAGATTCACCGGATCCATTTCCAGATTCACCGGATCCATTTCCAGATTCACCTGCAGCATTTCCAGATTCATCTGAACCATTACCAGATTCACCAGAACAGTTTCCTGATTCGTTATCAGATTCACCAGAACCGTTTCCTGATTCGTTACCAGATTCACCAGAACCGTTTTCTGATTCACCAGAACCGTTTCTGATTCATCAGAAGCGTTTCCTGAACCATTTGCAGATTCATCTGAATCATTTCCAGATTCATCAGGAACGGTTACCAGATTCGTTACCAGATTCACCGGATCCATTTCCAGATTCACCAGAACCGTTTCCTGATTCACCAGAGCCATTTCCTGATTCACCAGAGCCATTTCCTGATTCGTTACCAGATTCTCCAGAACCGTTTCCTGATTCGTTACCAGATTCACCGGATCCATTTCCAGATTCACCAGAACCGTTTCCTGATTCAGAACCTTTACCAGATTCAGAACCATTACCAGATTCGCCGGATCCATTTCCTGATTCACCGGAACCATTTCCTGATTCAGAACCATTACCAGATTCACCGGAACCATTTCCAGATTCACCAGAACTGTTACCAGAACTGTTACCAGATTCGTTACCAGATTCGTTACCAGATTCGTTACCAGATTCGTTACCAGATTCGTTACCAGATTCGTTGCCAGATTCGTTACCAGATTCACCAGATCCATTTTCCGATTCACTAGATCCATTTTCAGAACCATTTCCTGATTCATTGTCTGGTTCATTTCCAGAACCTGATTCTTTGGCTGAATCGGTTTCTGTGGTTTCAAGGTCACCATTAGAAGTTGGAGTTGCTGAAATTCCATCTGTTGAAAGGTATTGTGGTGTGTCTGAAGAAGAGAGATCAGATAATTCTGAGTATGATTTGTCTTCAATATCACTTGTGAGTGGGGGTATCCATGGAATAGACTCAACATTCATAACACCATCTGGGTCTCTAAGCACATAAACTACTGCACCAGCAGTACTTGTTATACCATCAACAGTGGTTTCAATAAATGTAGTGTATACTTTTGGTATGGTACCAGGAGCAACAGGGAATTCAGGCTCACAAGGTAAACAATGCGAAGTACTAGTCGAACCTTCTGGAGGAGGACCATTGTAAATAACCGCAAATTCGGAAACCTGTTCAAATAAGTCAAAATCATAACCTTCACCAATCTTGAAGTGTTTCCGATAATTGTTGTAGCTCAAAGTTAAAATACCTTTTTCAGCATCGTAAGCCATATCGGTAATTGTATGACCAATTTTAATAATGTTGCCATTACCGAAACCTGCAACAGTAAATGTATAATCAGCAGCACCCATAACTCCCAAAGTACTTGAATCTTCAAGAATAATGGTTTGGTCTGCAGAAGCATGATTGGTTCTCAATTCTAACAACGTGTTTCTAGAAGCTAATATACAACCAGTACCTGAAATACCTGATGTTTGAAGATAATCTTGATTGTAAAGACAGATAGAACCAGTATTTTTAAGAGCAGCAGTATAACCTAAATTAAGCTTCCCACGGGTCTCTGTAGTGTTGTCTTTGTAAACATGAATAGTACCAGAATTGGACCAAGCTCTACCAGTAAGATCAGTTGTTATTTGATCAGTTGTCAGTGCACTACCAAGATAAATTGTTCCTTTGTTATCAAAAGTTGCCCCACCAAATCTAAAACTACTTGGGCCAGAAGTTGCTTCAATAGAATTAAGTACCAACAAGCCATTATTGTAAAGTCTTCCTGTTGTTGCAATCCCTTCAACTTGTAATGGTTTGTTTTCTGATGTAGCAGTAATAAAAGTAGAACCATCATTAGTCATGGTTCCAGTATAAAGAAATTTCACATTGTTAATAATAGACCAGAATGTATCTTTTTTGGTCTTAACAGTACCCAAATTATAATCAGCAACGTCTTGTGTAATTGTATCTTCCTTGATGTCGGCATCTAAAGCAGAAACCGATACAAGACTACCTAACAATAATAATGGTAACCAAAGCATTGTTGATAGTATTTTAAACTTGAATGTTTTAATGATTCTCCAAAATCCAAACAACAACCGGAGAGGAAAATTGGATTCATTTTATACATTCAACATCACCAAGAACAACATCTTAAAGTACTTTAATCATAATCTCTGCATAATAAATAATAAAAAGCAATTTCCCAATTAGTCTGTAGTGGATATTGAAAATGGAACGGCAATTTAGTCTGTCACTGGGTTGGGTTCAACATAGAAAAACTTGTTGATATTAGATTGTGATTTATAATATTTTGATGGATTATAATTTTGCAATACATTTTAAAGGACAAAAAAAAAGAAAGAAAAAAGAAATAAATGCATGACATCAACGGAGAAAATTCCAAGAACTTAACCACCACGGAAATAAGGTTTCACCGACCCTCCATTTTGTGCTTGGATGCCTAATTATGGTACCCCCTTGAAATAATTTAGCAGCCATGTCATTGTTCATAGATTTGTTGATGTGTCCAGTTTTGACCTTTCGACTAAACGACATACATTTCATGAATGAGCCGTATCTTGAGTGATCCTTTGTTATAGCCGCATCCTATGTCTCCTGCCCCTTTAATTAAACCTCCATTTTACGAAGAATAACCTCCTAGCTTTCAATTAATAAAAAAAAAAATGATGCTAAAATGACAATTCATGGGGCAAGGCTATTAAAGTCTTTAAACATTATAATCACTAGTTGGAAATGGAAAATAAAAAAAAAAAATGGGGCGCCTCAAATTAAATGCATTGATGTTGCAAAACAAGGAAAAATACATTGTGAGAAGAAAAAAAAAAAAATAATTTCATTGCTTTTTACTTTGCAGTTTGTTGTTTCGCTGCTTAATCCCCTAACAATTGACAAATAAATACAGCCAAACTGGGTTGCATTTGATTTCATATTTCTGATGGCTCTTTTGTTCTATTGTCTATTTTTTATGGCTTGTTTTGTTCTATTATTGCCCTTTACTCCCTCAATAGTCTAGAAGGGATTTACTATCCACCTTTCAAATCCCGTAATTTATTATAGACTTTCTGTCGTTACAATACCATATGTCCCTGATTGAATCGTATTGTTTTTTTTTTCATTTATAAGTAATCTAACTTAAGATTTTGGTACAAAAGCAAAATTGAAAAATAATGAAAACGGCAACAGATTTAAGTGGGAAAAAAAAATAGACATCCTCGTAAATCAAAAAAGAGTTAAATAAGTCTTTCAAATATCCTGTTGTCGTAATTATCAATATGTGATCATTCGATATTCATTCACTTCTTCCACTTAAAGGAATGTCAACAATTAAGTTTATTTCCTCTGCTGGGCAAGTATCTTGTGGATAATCATGTCATATTCCTTTGTCGTAAAACTGACTCCTAGGTGCAATCTCGATACTCTGGAAAAGAGTGATCACAGTAATCAATGAACTTAAAATCAGTAGGGAAACCACTAAAGCAAATATATATAAAATAGTATTTGCACCCAGATATTCATCAGGCGTATTCATTGTTTCTCAAATATGCCCTCTAGATAGTCCAATCTGAAAGGTATTGTGGAAGTTCTTTTATCGAAAATAGCTAAATTATTTCTCCAAATATTAAACTTTTGAGTAGAGTTTTATGTATTTGGGTTTCCCCTCATGGAATAAACGTCTGTACTATTAAAGTCAAAAATCAAATGCGTAAATTCAACTGTTGAGCCCTTCGACTGGTTCCGGTCAAAGTCATTCAACTCTATTGGTACATCGCCACTACTCAAAGAAGTTTAATAGTGTATTCGTTTCGAATTTTGGTATCCCAGCTTCAATTATTTTCTATGTACTGTCGTAATGTTTACTAAGGCTCGTATCAATCCCTCATCCTTGTGTGTTCATTAGGATTCATGTCCAATACTATCAACATAAATAGATGATTTGTTCTCATATGATATTTTTGTGTATTTTTAGGAAAATCACGAATGATATAATTTGAATAATGGAAAACTGAATGATATAATAAATTAAAATTGGGGATGTATGTTGCAATCAAGATAATTAAATGAATTATATATCCTAAACCCAGGAATGGGTACCATATAGATTAATTTGTTCTTGCATGGTTTAACTGTACATCATCATGTCATGTTGACCAACTCACTATAATATAGTTTCTATTGATATGGGTGATATTCAATGTTTAGATCTAGCCAAAGGAAGAAGGAAAAACAAAAACAAAAAATTCACGAACATGATGCCAAGGTTTGCTTAGCCATGTGCACACGACTTCCGGTATCGCTAACAGGCGCACTCATTCTACAGATTGCCCAAGCTAAGAAACCGCATTTTTTTTATTTAATTTTTTTCATTGATCACTCGTGACCAATAATCAATTGATCATTACACATATTAATCACAATCAAATTAAATCAAAAGCGAAGAACAATGGTTGAAGGTTATAAAGAAGTTGGAGAATCATTTAGCCGCGAACATAGTCAACAAAATCCATATGGTCCAAACCCAGCAGATTTCTTGTCAAATGTTGGAAGTTTCCAATTGATTGAATCAACTTTAAGAGAAGGTGAACAATTTGCCAATGCTTTCTTCACCACTGAAAAGAAAATCGAAATTGCTAAAGCTTTGGATGACTTTGGTGTTGATTACATTGAATTGACTTCCCCTGTTGCTTCTGAACAATCAAGAAGAGATTGTGAAGCCATTTGTAAATTGGGTTTAAAAGCCAAAATTTTAACTCACATTAGATGTCATATGGATGATGCTAGAGTTGCAGTTGAAACCGGTGTTGATGGTGTTGATGTTGTCATTGGTACTTCTCAATTCTTGAGACAATATTCTCATGGTAAAGATATGAACTATATTGCTCAAAGTGCCATTGAAGTTATTGAATTTGTTAAATCCAAAGGTATTGAAATTAGATTCTCATCTGAAGATTCTTTTAGATCTGATTTGGTTGATTTGTTAAATATTTACCGTACGGTTGATAAAATCGGTGTGAATAGAGTTGGTATTGCTGATACCGTTGGTTGTGCCAACCCAAGACAAGTTTATGAATTGGTGAGAACTTTGAAATCTGTGGTCAAATGTGATATTGAATGTCATTTCCATAATGATACTGGATGTGCTATTGCCAATGCTTATACCGCCTTAGAAGGTGGTGCCAAATTAATTGATGTGAGTGTTTTGGGTATTGGTGAAAGAAATGGTATTACTCCATTGGGTGGATTAATGGCAAGAATGATTGCTGCTGATCGTGACTATGTCTTGTCTAAATATAAAGTTCATAAATTGAGAGATATTGAAAACTTGGTTGCTGAAGCTGTTCAAGTTAATATTCCATTCAACAATCCAATTACCGGTTTCTGTGCCTTCACCCATAAAGCTGGTATTCATGCTAAAGCTATCTTGGCTAACCCATCCACATATGAAATTTTGAGTCCTAGCGATTTCGGTTTGACTAGATATATCCATTTTGCCAACAGATTAACTGGTTGGAATGCCATTAAATCGAGAGTTGATCAATTGAATTTACATTTGACTGATGAACAATGTAAAGAAGTTACTAACAAGATTAAGAAATTGGGAGATGTTAGACAATTGAACATTGATGATGTTGATTCAATTATTAAAGATTTCCACGCAGATTTGGGTACTCCAATTGTCAAAGCCACTAGTCAAGGTTTACCAAAAGTTCCTCATGTATTAGAAGGTTTAGACGAATCTGAAGAGAAAAGATTGAAAAACTAAAGAATCTATTTAATTAATTATTGTTATTAGTATATTTATGTAATCTAATGTTTGGTTGTTGTTTTTTGTTTGTAAGAAAGAAAAAAAAAACGGATACTCTTTTTCTCTATATTCTGTGTATGTGTGTGTGTTGATATTTACAATATTAACTCTATATATTACAATTACTCAACATACTCTGTGATATTGAAGAGTATTAGTTAATTATGAACTTCTGTGTACTGTAAATTTCTTAATGTTAAGCACATTGAAACAACACCAAACGTAATTGACATCATGATACAAATCTTAAAAGATTGGAAATTTTTACCAGAATTCACTGTGATTCCTTTTCTTTTGTCTTGAATGTAAATCAACATGGCAGCAACACAGTTAAGTATTGCAACTATTGTACAAATATATTCTGCAATGGTATACATGATGGAACAGAAGAAATGGGATTATTATTGTTTCTCTATAAGGTTATTATCAGTCTGTGCTGTGTACTTCTGTACTGTATGATCTTTTTTTCTTTTTTTTTTAAAGGTTATGCTATATTTCTAATTCTGTGTGAAAAAGTTATTGGTGGTTCTCATTTAGTTGAGTCTGATTCCCTTGGTGATGGCACTGGTATGTTTCATTGAATGTACCATAAAATACATCTGAAGATTATAAAAAATAAGCCTTGAAAAACGTGGAGAATAAAACAAGGAGGTTTAATCAAAAAAAAAAAGAGACAGAGACAAAAAAAAAAAGTGGATGATTGTGATGGTGGTTAAAGTTAAGGAAAAAATAAATTTTCTCATAAATTTCATTGTAAGGTTATTCGCGAACCTTGGATTTCTTTTCTTTTTCCTTCCTTCCCTTTTTGATTTAGTAGGCAGTACTCTGTGGTCATCTCTGAGCTAGATCACGTGGGTATTTTATTTTCCCACCTTTCCCGTAGTTTTTTGTTTACGGTGATAAACTAAAAAAGGGAAATAGAAAGCAAACAAATAAATGAAAATAATAATAATAAAGGAAAAAAATAATATAGCAGGTTATATTTTTAAAGGATTAATTTGTAATATTCAAGTATGGTTTCATAAGTAGATGTTTATCTCTTTGTAATGAAAAAGGGAAATTGAAAATTCACATAAAGATCAAAGCTTCAAGAATTTTTAATTTTTGGTTTTCGTTCCATGTTGCATTGAATGTACCCAAAAACGGATTAGTTCGTAGTTTATGCGAGATTGCTTAAGTGTAAACAAAGGAATAATAAGCAAAACCAAATTCGTATGGTTTCCATCTAGATGTTGTTCAATGATTGAAAGCGATTAGAGAGACCCTTTATAACTAATGTCCACTTGTCATACCCGTGAAAACGGTTTTTGTTTGTAGTCTTATTTATTTGGTTTGAAATTAAGCCAAAAAAATAAATTGATTGTAGAATTTTCTGTTAAGGAAAGTTAATCTTTCAATTGCAAGAAAAGTTTACTCATGTTTATCGACAAAAATTTTACAAAAATTCTTTTAAAACTAAAAAATTGTTTCCAAAAGAAGTTCAATTTGACAAGAAATACAAGGAATTATAACAATTGATTGAATAGTATACTCTAGATACCTCATTTTCTAGACCTTGTAATTCAGGTATCTAAACTTAAACAAAATCAACAAAGTTCGTGTCCTTACCAAACTCATCTCAAAAAAATGCTCTAGTAGAGATGTAAGAAGAGTGAGAGAGGAGAGAAAAAAAAGTGTAAGGGTACAACCCAATATCAATTGACCTTATAGAGAAAATAATATCAATTGTAATTAACAATGGCAGCTGCGGATAGTCACAATAATAATAAAAAAAGATCCAACAGAAGAAGAAAGAAGAGAAGAACAGAAGACTTTTCATCATCAAGTGAATCTTCATCCTCATCATCCTCCGATTCAGAACATGAAATCGACGAACAACCATCCGAAATAGCAATCGAACAAGCTGTAGTCACACAAGGCAATATCAACATAGATGATATGGAAATCGACTCAGATAACGAAAATAACAACAAAGATAAAATACCCGATAATTTAACCATCGACCAGAAAAGACTATTAAATGATAAAACATTTACAACTACACCAATTTCAAATTTAACACATGAACAACAGCAACTTAAGAATATATCTAATTTAAATGAAATTACATCGAATTTGAATCAAACTAAACAAAGTTTGAATAATGATTTCTTGAAAGTTATGACTAATGAGTTTAATGATGATTTGGATGAATTAAGAAAGAAACCTGATTTTAAATCTTTGGTTCTTTTAGCCAAAACTTTACAACTGGGTCTGAACATGTTTGATGTTGACGTTTTGACTGATTTACTTGAAGAAGAAGAAGTAGCAAAAGGATCTAAGTAGTAGTCTTTTTTTTTTTCCATTTTATATAAAAAATAGAATATTTGATGATAGATTAAATGATTGCAAAATAGGGAAAAAAATTTTTTACTGACAGAAACGTGTTTCGATATTTTTTTATACATGAAAAAACCCACGTTAATTGGCAACAAAAACAATAACACCTTGAACGTAGTTTAAATGTTGTCAATTTGAAATTTATACATTTGGCTTGTATGTTTTTTTTTTAGATTTTGATATACAATTGTTTATATAAAGATAAAAGAGTAACCGACTGGTCTCCGTAAGTGATTCCTTGTCGTATAACTATAATTTTCTCTCCTCGTTCTGATTGTGCTTACTCATATTTATTTTTCGCTACTTTCTCCTTTTTCTTGTTTCTTTGTGCATGCACAAAAAAAAAAAATTGAAACCTATATTTTATACACAAGCAACCCTTTATCCAAAGTTATTTATATTTCTACTTAATAAGAAAACGATCACATATAAGAGAATATTTAGTTGATGGAATAATTACAGAATCGTGCTATTAGACAATTCAATCCAGTTATATCTTTTATAAGTTTTGCATTCTTTTCTATTGCAAGATTTCCACCTTTATTTTTTTTATTTTTCCAACGGACTAATAGTATTCCAATTACGTCATGACTACTGCGGCAAATACGGAAAGTAATGAACATACAAGATTACTATCAAATACCAATAATGAAGTTAATAATACCTACAGTAGTGCAACCAATGACACTACTGATTCAGAAGTAGCTCCGTCACAAGATGATTCAAACCAACCACAAGACTATGTAGTCACTCCACCAACTACTCAAGATACTTCAAGTCCTTCGTCCCCCAATTACGATAGGAGATATGATAACGAGGACTTCACTCGCCACAATGAATATGACGATGACGATGACGATGACGATAATATGAGCAAGATATTGCAAATTGCTAAGAGGCCAAGTTTTATCTGGGTTTGTTGTTTAGGTGTGGTTGCTTTAATTATTTTTCAATTGACATTTTTACCTAGAACTTCTGTTGCACGAGATTATAGAAATTGGCATGGAATTAAATTAACCAAAAATGATATCAAAAGGAATTTCTTGACAATGACTAGAATTGGAAAATACCAAAATACATTAACTACAGAGGATTATATTAATAATTTATTGAGAAACCTTACTGATTTGAACAAGAACTCCGAGGTTAATATGATAGCTCAGGATAATCCGAAATTGACTGAATTCATTAAGTCTAGTTTCAAACTGTTTGGTGCTTTTAAAACAGAATCATTTACTCGTCAGGTAGAGTTAGGAGTACCGGTGACTTCAAATTTAAGGCTACTTGACAATCAGGATGATGTTGTATATGAACCAAAATTATTAGAACCTAAATTCAAAACACCAGCATATTTTGCTTTAGGGTCATCGGGACATGTTATAGGTGATTACTTATTTGTTAACAACGGAGAGCCAAAAGATTACGAATTGTTACAAAACCAAGGGATTAACGTGAAGGATAAAATTGTGATTATTAAATCAAATCGTCATTATAAGAATATTACTATTGGAGAGAAAATTGCCATTGCCGAATGGAATGGTGCTAAAGGTGTGTTGACTTATAATGATTGGAGAACCGAATTCGATAGTAGTGTTCCACCAGGCGACTCTACTGGAATAAACAATGCAATTTCTAGAGATACTTTGCTTTATAATACTGAAATCCCTGCTATTCCAGTCAGCATGAAGATTATCAAGCCAATATTGGAAACCCTACTTAAACCCACAGATTCTTTTAGTAGCTGGGACTATGCTCCATCTTCAAATAGATTATTTAAACTAGAGTTGAATACCGAGTTTACATCTTCACAAGAATCAAGAAACTTTACCACTATAGTGAGTACAATTAAAGGGATTATAAATGATGCTGATATTATCATTGGCGCTAGACGTGATTCATATGCATCTTCAAACCCCTTATCTGGTCATGCCATCATGTTAGAGATCATGAGATACTATCAAAAGTTGGTAAAGCTTGGATGGAAACCATTGCGTAACATCAAATTTGTTTCATGGGATGCATCATATTTGAATTTGTTGGGAGTAGAGAGTATTACAAATGATACAAACGTTTTCAATCCCAAAAGAACCATTGTCGCTTACATAAATATTGATGGAGATGCGGTTACTGGCAGTAAATTTAAGGTGGATGCAAATGCTGTGTTTAACCATGTTTTAAGATATACTTCCAAGTCAATCCCAATTCCAAAAGAAGCAGTTGGAAGTGCTGCGGACTCAATCTTTTATAATGATCTCAGTCGTGGGTCTGATGATCGTTATACTACTTTGTACCAGTACTGGTGGAAACAGGATAAAACAGCCATTAATAATAATATGGGTCGGGCTATTGTTAACTCAGAATCATCTATATTTCAAAAACACTTAGCGACGCCTATAATTAATGTTAAATTTGAGAATGATCCGCTGGTTGATCATGACGTTTACGTTCCAAATTCAAATTATTATTCATATGAATGGCTAATTAAAAATAAAATTGATGATGATTTATTGTTACATGGACTGTTGATGAGATTTGTTGGGTTATTGGCAATTTCGTTAACTGAGCATGAAGTTTATGATTACAAGACTAATCCATATTTTAAATTTATTTCATCGTGTTATAAAAACTTGATGAAGAAAGAGTCAAACAAGTTGGATACTTGGAAGGATAATATTGTTCCAAATTATTTGATTTTTAAATCGACTTTATTTCAACATTTAGATACCAATGAACCAGTTTCATTTCAACAGGTTTTAGATCAAGTTGGAATAATGATTAATCATCAAATACTAAACCAAACTAAAATCTTTGACGATTGGAATGTTGCCGTTGAAGAAGGGTTGATGCAAGATTATCCATGGTACATGTACTATAAGAAATTACAGCATTTTGCTGAATACAAAGTTTCAAATTACAAGTTGGCATATTTGGAAAATGATTTGCAACTTAATGATAGAGATTACTTATATTTAAAAGTAGATGAGAATGGAGGAAGTACAAAACACATTTCTAATTATTATTATGATTCTATAATTTTTGGGCAAACCAAATTTCATCCGAATGAAAATCAAGAGTATTTTAATCAAAGGAATTTAAGTGGTTGTTTCACGTACTTGTACCAGAGTATTGAAAATGATGATTTTGAATTTACAATTAAATGGTTAGTTTTAATTTATGAAAAAGTAAATAATATAGATTATAAAATGACATAGATATTATATGTATATGTTAGGGTGAAACTAGTTGTTATATATATATATATATAATGTTTTGTTTAGTTTTTTACGTTCACTATAGATATGGTGATTTTAATTTCCTTGATAGCAACCTAAGGTGTATGATTTTTTTTTAGTGTGTGTTCTTTTGCAACCCATTTACAACCAACTTGAATTTCAAAAACAGTCAACAGAAACAACACAATCATGTTATTCATTCTTTTTATTTATATTTGATTAGGTTCATTAATCATTTCATTCAAATGGAATCAATCAATCCGTCATCAGATATTTCTGTTGGTTTACAAACAGCATGGCTTCTTGCCACATTAGGTTCAAAACCAAGTATTAGATCAAAACTCATCAAGAAAGATATCTTGAATATCCTGATTCCCAAATTATGTAAAGAATTAAGTGCATCTAAAGAAAATCAACATCATAATTATAACAATGAATATGAAAATAATATTAGATATGTTTCTAATATTATGTATGGGATATCTATTTTATATCAAACCAAGATAAATTATTTCATAACTGATTTAGCAACTATTGAAAATAGATTAAGACTTAATAATCATAATATATTAAATAAAGGGAATTTAATCATAAATAACAATCATGTGATAAAAAATTTCAAGAAGAGGGGAAGATACTTAGATGACGATCCATGTTTTAGTATTCAATTAGGATTACTTCCTCCAATTATTGAAGAACTTGAAAATAATGATGAAAGTGATTCTAATAAACGAAGAAAACTCAATATTGAACAAAGGGATATGGAAATATTTCCTATTTCTCAAGAGCAAAGTCAAGGTGTTGCCAATCCGCTAGGTTCAGCCATATCTAATGTAATTAATGATGATAAAGATGTATTGAATGATATGATTGATCGATTAGCAGATGTAAGCACTCAATTTGATCATATCATTGCAGATGATTTTCAGTTTAATGAAGATGGTGAAATATTAGACATCGGAGAAAAGAATATGAACAAAAACAAACATCGAGAGGAAGCACAATTAGAAACAAGCAATTCTGGAATGGAATCACTAATGGACATTGTGTTTATAGAAAACAATGAAAACGAGGAAATTGTACAACGTCATGAGGGTAATGAACAAGAAGGAGGTATTAGCAATGACTTGAATTTTCATACCAATGAAACAACAATTGCATCAGAGCTTCCACAGAATAAATCCATTCCACGACGTAGGTTAATTATTGACAACCAATCAAAATTAACTAGCGAATTTATTGTTTCATCTACGTTAAACTATGAGTCAAAAATGGCAAGTTTAATGGATCACAAGGAAGTGTTACCACATAACTTGGATGAAATATATCGCGCAGCAATAATTGAAGGTGGTGCTTATCTAAAATATGTCAATCGAATAATACTTCCTTGGACAAATGACGGTAGCTCAACGACAGATCATTCTTCATTCACTAGAACGTTGAGTGTTTTACAAAGAACAGAAGAAGCTGTAACAGGTGAAGAACCCACTGAAGAAGGAAGAGATACAGTTAGGGGTAGAGGGTTTAATTTACACGAAGAACTACCAATTGACATAATTGATGATCACCAAGTTCAACAGAATGAATTGCCAGAAGAAACCCAAAGAATATTTGATTTAGAATTTGATTATGATGAAGACCCTCCTCTGATAGAACTTTCTACCAAGAGTAGAAGTTTGACTGATTCTTCAATTGATTTGCATACTCAAGAGGGAGATGTTTTAGATAAGAAATTGAGAAAGTTTTATCGATATTTGAGAGATAGATCTGGTGATTTGGGAACATTAATCAGTGGATCGTATTCAATTTTAAAACCATCTCAGAATTTAACAACCCATACGGAAGTATCATTTGGTGATTTTTACAAGACCAATTTGAACAATTGGTGCCACGTGACTCGAAAATTGAAGATGAGTTACCAATTAATAGACGTATTGCTGCTAATTCATTTTCAAGTATTCTTACTTTAGCTACTAAAAATCTTATTGGTATTGAGATAGAAACAGAAGAAATGGAAATCAATAATTTACATAAAGGTGATCAAATCAACATAATATTGCCTTTGTGAAGAAGACACCACACTTTTTGCACTTTTTGTGGGTTGTCATGTTAATTTATGTAATCAATTAAACCAAAACTCAAAAAGAAAGAAATGAGCAAAATCCATCCCCCCTTCATAGGTTTGTGTAATGCTTGCTATTTTTTTTGCTGTAGTACAAATTTTCATTTTCTTGGAGTAAAAAAAAAAAATCATTGTGCCGCCTTGTGAAGGCAATCAATTTAGAAATTCCGAATGATCCATTGAGAGGAGGGGTTAAAAAAAAGGAGAGAAGGATTTTCTAGAAATTGAACACAAAACTGGAACAAAAAAAAAAAATGAAATCTTGATAAATAAATACAAAATCGTCTCGACATCATCACTATCTACAAATCATCACCATAACCCTAATGAGATTTATTTACTCGAGGATGAAATTACTATGATGAATATAATTTGGTCCAAATTAAATCAAGAATTAAAACAATATATATATATATATATATATTTGCAATCAAACAGAATTAAAACAAAAAAAAAAGTCCAACGAGTATTCTTTTTTTTTCCCTCTTTCTCTCGATAAAACAAACTATAGAATATTAATAATAATGATTGAAAAATTTAATGAAAAAAAAGAAGAACTTTCTGATTGACTTATTAATACATCAAAATAAACAATAACAAGAACAGTAATAAAAAAAAATTATGAGAATATAAAATAATAAAAAGAAAGAATGAATGAAGGCACGATAATCAAAACATCAACAGTAAGAAATTAATTCATTTATTGTTGTTCACCATTAGCTGGTTGTTCATCGTGTTTATTAAATTCTTCTTGAGCAGCATCGTCGATTTCAGCTGGTTCTTCTTCATCTTCATCGTATTCTTGGTGTAAAGATAAAGTTGGTTTAACAGCAGCAGAATCCAAGGTCCAAGAAGCCAAAGCATTTTCAGCATCAATGATAATTTGTTTAGAAGCTTCGTAACCATCATAAGCTGGTCTAGTTTCACCTGGAGTAACAGCAGAATCATCCAACAATTCCAATAAAGCTTTACCATAACCAGCAATTAAAGCGTATTTTTCAGCTAATTCTCTGGTAGCATCAAATTGATAGTTGAAAGCAGCCTTCAATTGTTCTCTGGTAATGTTACTCAATTGAGCTTCAGCAACCAAAGATTCAGCTTCGGCTCTGACCAATTCTTGTTCTAAAACAGGAATCTTAGCAGATTGTGGGTCTTTATATTTCAAAAGAGCAATTTCATCAGTAATTTTTTGTTTTCTGTTTCTACTTGGTTGAACAGAACTTTCGATATCTCTGATTGATTTCAAGGTGATTCTGTATTGATCATATTTGTCAATGTATTGATCTTCCAATTCACCAATTTCATAAATCAAGACACCCAATTTATCAGTGACATCAGAAATATCATCTTCATTACCTTCACCCCAGGCACTCAATTGTCTAGCAACATCTTTTCTTTCTCTTGAGGTGACTTCAACAGCTCTCATAAAATTCTTTTCCATCTTGATGAATTGAGACAATTTACGAGACAATTCTGGACCAGTGGCACCAGCAGTTGCTTTTCTGATAGAAGAAGACAACCCACTTGAACCAAAGAATTTAGATTTGGTAGAAGATGGTGGAGGTGGTGGAGATTGTAATTGAGCTGCAGTTGGAGCCTTTTGAGATCTTAAAGAATATGTTCTATGCATTATGTTCAAATGGAATCGGAGGATAGGTAAAGATTAATTATCAATTGAAGGAAAGAAGAAAGAAAGAAAGAAAAAAAAAGGGAAGAAAAAGAAAAAGGAATAAATAAAAAAAAAAATGGACGAAAATTTCAAGTGGACAATTGGATAAAAAGAGGGAGCAATAAATTTAATTTTTTGCATTTTAGTAATAATTTTTAAAAATGGGTGTACAGCAAAAAAACAAAAAGTAGCACAGAGAAGAGAACAAGAGTAACAAGAAGAGATAGAAAAAAAAAAGATTATTGTCCACCCACAGCAATATTAGGAGTAATTTAATTTAATTTAATTTACAATTAAGGGATGGTACATACACAATTGTTTTATTTTATCATCCCTATATAACACAGACAGTCAGACAGTCAAAGAAATTACCGAGTATGAGAATGGATAAGATCCCACCTTATTGGGGATTTGCCCTGTTTCCTAATTGGTACAAATTAATCACATTTCCATAAAATTTAAATTAGAAACTCAGAAGCCGTATCTTCCTGACTGATAAAAAAAAAACTCATCACTACATAACCATCTAACCACACACACACACACGCACACACACAACCAACACCACGCAATTTCAGAATCATATTTTATCATCTTAATTGTATGAGTATTAAACATTAACGTACATATTCAAATGACCAATTACTGTAAACTTAGTTTCCTCGAGAGTTAAAATTCTTACAGTACAATTGTGCAGTCAAGTCAATCATTTTTTTTAATCAAATTACGTCATACTATCTTGGATTTCTTTTTTTTTTCTCTCTCTCTCTCTCACTCACTCTATGTACTTACACACAAACGCATTTTTGATGTTTTTTTTTTTCTTTTTTACAACCAATTCAAGTTTTTACAACCAGTTCATTATTCTACTTTAAATAATATATATACGTATTCAACATCTACCACTACTACTACTACTACTACTACTACTAATAATAATAATACAAGGACCTGTTCTGCTGTATTCAACTGCATCTAGGTTTTTGTCTTCTTGTTTGCAAGATCATCATCGTTATCGGATTTACGTTTGATATTCAATTTCAATTCACCCAATATTCTATAATAATCTTCTTCTAATGCTTGATAAGCTGTTTGTAATTTATCCTTTTTGGTATTATCATCTAATGTAGCCAAACCTTCCTTGTTTTTATCATACAATCTCTTTTTAATAAATAGTCTAACATCTTTCTTTGTAATATCAGGAAATCCACCTTGTTTCAATTTATACAACAAAATAATCTCTAATAATCTAGAAAATTGTCTCTTTTCCAATTTTAATCTCTTTCTGGTTTTTTCAATCCAATTTTTATCAACCGTAGTAGTTACATCATTAAAATCAAATTCAGGATCTTCATTCAATCTTTTCAAATCTGCTCTATCCCTCAAATCATCAAAACTTTCATTTGGATCTTCAATAACAACTTCAATTATACTATCGTCTTTTAACCATTTATTAAATAAATGAGTATAAAACAATTGTCCCAATCCTTGACCTTGATACATTGGTAATATTATAAATTGCGAAATTTTAATTCTAACTTCATGATTTGCTGAGTCAAATTTTTCAGCACCAGGATATTTCCAGTAATTATAAGCTGTAGTAAATCCAACAATTGATGGTTCGGAATTATCTTTACTATTACCCTTTTCATAGAAAACATACAAGTTCCATAATTCATCCTTGGCATCAATAAAAGAACCAGCTTCAATAAATAATAAGACCAAGATTTGTAATCTTTGATGTAATTCATATCCAATTTCAGATTTCAAATCAATTTTATAAACTTCATATTCTTTATCTTTTAATTCAAATGAATCAATTAATTCTCCAGGAATTTTATACCCATTTTTCTTTTCTTCTTCAATTGAATCAACCCATTTAACTTCATCTTTAAAAATTGTCAGATTTGGTAAATATTCATCAATTGTTTTTTTAATATCAATAATTTCTGGATCATCATTTAATTTTTCAGTATATTTAATATTTAAAAATGGCTTAAATGTAAAATGATCAAAACATAAGAAAATATTTAAATCTTTATATCCATAAATAGTTTCTGCATCTCCAAATATTGGATATGTAAAAGTGGGTTGAAAATTAACTGCCGCCTCTTTATTAGTAACAAATAATTTCAATGCATCATTTGATGATGAAGTCCATTGTTCAGGTCTTAATGATGCTACATCTGTAACTTTTAAATTCAGTGATGATTTCTCTTCCGATGACATGATGATGATGATGATGATATTGATTAAACAAATGTCTTTATATTACCACCAATTGTGTTGATTTTTCGTTTTGTTCAGAAAAAGAGATTCAAGAAAAAAAAAAAAAAAAAACTCGAAAAACAACAAACAACGAAACGCGCCCTGTTTCTTAAACTTCTACGACATTTTCAGTTTACGACATATTATCTATTATACATAATGTCTTTATTTCTCTCTATAGTACACAAATTATTTTAAAACAATCTAAGATAATACAACCACCAAATCACCTGCTTCAACCATATCTCCATTTTCATGGTAAATCTTAATAACTTTACCATCTCTTGGTGCATTAACAACCATTTCAGTCTTCATCGCTTCAACAACAACCAATGCTTGATTAGCAACAACTTGTGTTCCAATTTCAACTAATGATTTCCAGAATCTACCAGAATATTCACTATAGACCAATTCAGCATCATCATCAAATTTCTCATCATCTTGAACTTTAACACCTTGTTTTTCCAATTCACTATTGGAAATTTGAATCAAACGGTTGAATTCTTCTAATTTTTCGCCACCTTGATTTTGTTGAAATTCTTGAATAGATTTAGAATTCTCTTGAATCCATTCCAAATATTTACCATGATCAAAAACAGTTTCAATAATGTCAACCTTGAATTTACCGGCATTCATTTCTTCTGAAAATTCATCAACTTCTTCTTCAGTAACAGGATAGAATTCAATTTGATCAAATGGAGTTAATAACCATGGTTTGGAATCTGGAGAGTGTTCTCCTAAACTCAACTTGTCCCAGATTGGAACAGTTCTACCAACCAATTGATAACCACCAGGGGATTCCATGGTGTAAATACACATATAGTTACCTCCAATACCAACAGTACCATTTGGTGTAAATGTTCTAGATGGATTATACTTTGTACCCAATAATCTATGTCTTGGATCTAATGGAACAGCACATGGAGCACCCAAGAAAACATCACCCAACCCTAAAACCAAAAATCTAGCTGTGTACAACATATCTTTAACATCATTTCTGTTAATACCATTAATGTTGGCAATGAAATCGACATTGTTTGGTAACCATGGAGCTTCACTTCTAATGGTTTCTTGGTATCTTTGGACTGCATCCAAAGTTTTCTTGTCTTCAAAAGCCATTGGTAATTTAATAATTCTAGAATTGACTTTCCATTTGTTAACGAAAACAATTTCCTTTTCATAAGAAATCAAAGTATCCAAAGCTTCCTGTTGAGTAATTTCATCAGTAAATTCAACAAGAACAGATCTAACCCCTTGTGATAATTCAAAAATACCTTTTGGTTTATATTCTTTAACCATTTCATCCAATTTATGAATTCTATAGGACAAGTTCAAATCAAGTAAATTGTCACCATATTCAACAAGGATATATCTATCACCAGCTTGACGGTAGGTAACTTTTGGTGCATTACTGGAAACTTTGAATTCATACAATACTGGATTTTCTGGTGTGGATAACACATTGGATTCCAAATCAGGTAATTCTCCAGTCAATTCTTCAATAATCTTATTTTGTTGTTTCTTCAAATCTTTTGCTGATTGATAGCTAATTGGAACAAATTGAATATGTTCACCTGGTTTGACTTGACCGATTTTCCATAATTCAGATTCAGCAACAACTGCTTCACAAACAAATCCACCTAATGAAGGTCCATCACATGTTAAAATAACTGGTTCATCACCAGTGAAATTGACAGCACCCATAGAATAAACATAATCGTGGGTATTGGATGGATGTAAACCACCTTCACCACCATCTTTTCTTGCCCATTTAGGTTTTGGACCAATTAATCTAACACCAAATCTATTAGAATTGTAATGAACTTTCCAAGTTTCAGAGAAAAATTCTTCAACTGATTCTGGTTTGAAAAAATCTGGAGATCCATGTGGACCACAAGTAACACCAACTTTCCAAACTTTATTTTCATAGTTTGGAATTAATGATTTAGAAACTGTTGATGGTTCGGAAATTGGAGTTGGTAAAGTGGAACTTGCAACATCTGGTTGACCAACAAATAAAACATCACCTAATTTCAAAACTCTACCATTATAACCACCCAAGTTACCCAAGGCAAATGTAGATCTTGAACCTAAATATTCAACGACATCAATACCTCCTCTGATGGCCAAGTAAGCTCTGCAACCAGTAGTTAACTTACCAATAGCCAATCTATCACCACTCTTAATAGTAATTGGTTCCCATTGGTTGACTTCTTTACCATTAACCTCGATAGTGGTACGACCACCAGTAACGGCAACAACACAATCTTGATGGAACAAAAGCTTAGGACCATTCAAAGTAATTTCAATTCCTGGTGCAGCAGCATCATTACCAACAATTCTATTAGCTACTCTGAATGAATATTGATCCATGCAACCTGATGGAGGAACACCAATGTGCCAATATCCACGTCTTCCTGGATAATCTTGAACTGTAGTGTAAGCACCTGGTTGTAAGATTTCAATAGCATGTGGTTTGTATTCATAAGAATCTAAAACTTTAGTGGCAACAGCTGCTTCTTCAAACATTTTGGAGTTAGCAATGGATCTCAAATAATCAACATTAGTGATACATCCATAAACAACAGTTTCATCCAAAGCTTGACGTAATTTCTTCAAGGCATCATCTCTATCTTTACCATGAACAATAATTTTAGCTAAAGTTGGATCATATTCAGCTGAAATAACAGTACCTTTTTCAACCCAAGTATCAACTCTTGCCCATTCTGGGAATTTTACTTCAGATAATTGACCAGGGGAAGGCATGAAATCTTTAACTGGATTTTCAGCATATAATCTGGCTTCCATAGAAGCACCTTTAACTTCAATCTTTTGATTGAAATCAGGTGGAATATCTGCAGCAATTAAAAGCATCCATTCAACCAAATCCAAACCAGTAACCATTTCAGTGATTGGATGTTCAACTTGTAATCTTGCATTAACCTCCAAAAAATAAAATTCATCTCGTTTAGCATCATAAATATACTCAACTGTACCTGCACATTTATAATTCATGGAGGCACCAAGAGATTCAGCAGCTTCTCTCATTTTAGTTCTTGTTGCTTCAGGTAAATTAGGAGCTGGTGTCTCTTCAATAATCTTTTGATTTCTACGTTGTAAAGAACAATCTCTTTCACCAACAGCAATGGCATGACCTTTACCATCACCCAACATTTGAACTTCAACATGTCTGGCATTCTCAACAAATCTTTCCAAGAAAACACCTGAATCACCGAAATATGATTTACCTTGATGTTGAACAGTTTGGAAAACTCTTTCGATATCTTCTTCAGAATCAACTTTTTGTAAACCAATACCACCACCTCCAGCAGTAGATTTAACCATGACTGGATATTCCAATTTAGCTGCGATTTCTCTAGCTTCTTTGGCATCTTTAACTAATCCAGATCCTGGAACCAATGGGACACCTGCTTTTTCGGCAATTTCTCTAGCAGAATGTTTTAAACCCAATTTTCTAATGGCATCACCTGAAGGACCAACAAATACAATACCTTCTTTGGCACAACGATCAGAAAAGTCTGCATTTTCAGATAAAAACCCGTAACCTGGGATAATTGCTTCTGCTCCAGATTCTTTAGCAGCTTTAATGACTTTGTCAACATTGATATAAGTCTCAGCAGCAGTGGTACCATGTAATGGAATGGCAACATCGGCCATTAATGCGTGTTGAGCATACTTATCTGGATCTGAATAAATGGAGATAGACTTGATGTTCAATTTCTTTAAAGTCTTGATAATTCTTACTGCAATTTCACCTCTATTAGCAACCAATACTGAGTTGAATGGTTTCTTTTGTGATTCACGTTTGAAACTTTCTTGATAATTCTTCCAACCACCAAATCCAGTGATATCAACAGTTCCGGGTTGTTTATAACCAAATTCTTCACAGATGAATGATTTACACCATTCTCCAGATTTCAATTCAACTGAACCAATACCCAATGGTTCTGGGACAAATTTAATAAATTCACCAAATTTTTCTTTTGGAATAGAATAAATTTCAATAGTAATAGATTCCCCGTCTGAGTCAACTCTTCTTAAACCAGGTTTAGCAACTGGGCCAGTTTTTGGTAATGCATATAATTTATAATTCTTAGATGTAGTGGTGGATTCAATGAATCTGGCATCGACTTTTTCCAACTGCCAATGTAATTCAAACCCTTTAAGATGAGCGCCAACAACGGCCAATTTAACTGTTTCTTCAGGAGCTGGTTTTGGTAACTGATACAATACATCATGAATAGTTGAAACTTTCTTTTCCGAAACACCACAAGTACGCAAACTATTAGTCTTCAAGTAACGACTTGCTAATTCTAATAAAGCATAATCATTGAATTTATCAGATAATAAAGTGATACCAAATGGAAGACCGTCACTTCTGAAACCGGCAGGAATGGCCAAAGCTGACATATCAGCCAAGTTGACAAAGTTTGTATAAGTACCTTGATATGAATTGACTTTGATTGGTTCTTTAGTGACTTGTTCAATTGTAGGGTTTAATGGTGCTGTAGGAACAATAATTGCATCTGTACCTTTCAATAATTTTGTAACTTTTTTCAAAATTCTTTGTCTCTTGTATTCAAATTCAAATGCAGTAGCTGCTGTATAGTTTTCACCACCTTTGATAATTTTCATTACTGTTGGATCTAAATCCTTTTCTGGTGGATTTGTACTGAGGAAATCCTTACATGCAACCCATCTTTCAGTAACCCAAGGACCTTCATATAAACATCTGGCCAATTCTAATAATGGTTCAATATCCAAAGAAACCAATTCACAGCCAATTTTTTCAAATTCTTCGACTGCTTTTCTATAAATTTTTGGATTTTCTTCTTCTCCATACCATAATAAATTAGTAGGAACAACAATTCTTGGTTTTGCAGGAAATTTCAATAAAGGATTTTCTGGCATTGATCTTGAAAATTCATCATCATCATCTTCTTGTGCCATTATATTAAAAGTCAATTGAGCATCTTGTAAGTTCAATGCAAATATAGACACACAATCTAAAGATTTACAAGCAGGCACCACCCCAGAACAGGAAAATACCCCCTTTGTAGGTTTTAAACCAATGAGATTGTTTAAAGCAGCAGGAACTCTACCTGATCCAGCAGTGTCAGTACCTAATGCAATTGGAACAATACCTCTTGCAACAACAGAGGCTGATCCAGCAGAAGATCCACCACTAACATATTTCGAATTAAAAGTGTTTGGTGTTATACCATATGGAGATCTAGTACCAACTAAACCAGTTGCAAATTGATCTAAATTTGTCTTACCAATAATTATTGCCCCAGCTTCTCTCAATAACCTCACAGTAGTGGCATCTTGTTGTGGAGAATAAGCAAATGATGGACAAGCGGCAGTAGTTTCGAAATATTTTGCATCTATATTGTCCTTAACAGCAATTGGGACACCATATAATGGTAAATCACGTTTATTTGATTTAGATTGTAAAAATTTCCATTGATGTTCCAAATTTTCTAAACTAGCTAATGAAATCCATGCTGGATCTTCTGGGGCACTTTGTTGAGATTTTAATAATTGCGATAATAAATCAAAGGACTCATCTGGAGTTGATTCGTAATGGAATTTTTTCCAATCTTCAACAGACCAACCAAGAAATGACATTATGGAATAAATATAAGTTGGAAATGTATAATAGTATTAGTAGGAGATATTAAATTGAAAAAAAAAAAATAGTAATTCAAATTCAGTTGATCTTATTTGAATAATAAACTAAAAGAAGAAGAAGAAAAGAAAAACAACAAAAAAAAATCGGGTATCAGGACGGAAATCATTGCAATATTTATTAACTTCTTTATTAAAAAAAAAAAATCAATGTTGATTAATAGTGATGAAGATTTCCGTATAGGTACACCTGATAAGATTAAAGATTAGATCAAACCCGCTTACTTATTTTTCAATTGAAAATTACATCTAAACGCGAGAACCCGATATGGTCGTGTGAGATTGTCCAAATCTCGGCGATTTCCTAAACTGACTTCTCCCCGTCGGGCCATGGTGAACTAATTTCTTACCAAATTGGTTTTGCCAGTCTTCTTCAGATTAAAAACCATTTGGACTCATTGTGTAACTTGATCTAACCATTCTGACATTCTCATTGGCTACAAAGCCTGTGACATTAATATAGTAGTTCAATACACTGGAATATTAAGTGTTCTAATACTTGCAGTAGAGAACCAAATCTCACACAACTGATAAGCAAAAAAAATTCCTCTACCTTGGCAATCCCTAGCCCCACATGATTATCAACACAGGGTTAACCCACAACTTTTTTTTTTATTTCATTTCATTTCATTTCTGTTCAGTTTTATCAAACAAGTGTCTCCCTTACCCCCACAAAATGTTACATTTGTTAAAATAGTAATACACAACTCTAGTGAAGTTTGTATTCCATTAGAGGGCACTATTATTTGTCTTACATAAGCGAGATTTATCGTCAACCAATCACAATCATTTGATACCGAAATACACAATAGAAAGAAACGTTTAGCGCGCAATCAAAGGAGCAACAAAAAAAAAATTATAGGGCACTGATAAGAGTTTTTATGACCTGTCCTATCGGGATGATCCTGATTAGATTGCCTATTTAAGGTTTTATCAATTTGATTACATAATTCCTTTATCACTGGGATTTTATTGATGTATTATTTTTTTGCAACAAAGTTTGCAACAGAATTAAAAGAATTTTTTGATAACAAAATTAATTATTTAGTAAAAAAAAATAAACGGCTGTAAACTTAGAACTACTACCATAGGTAATCTATCATGATGATGGCGATTCCTTGCATATGACATTAATTTATGACAACTAAAAATAATCACCTTAAAATTATAACTAAAAAGTAAACAAACAGAACTATAAATCTAAAAAATTACGTATAAACAAAAAACAAATCTACTCCTTCTTTTCATCATCCAAGGCAGCATCAATATTAGCAGGAGTAGTATAACCATCACCTAATGCTTTACCATCAACAACATCGTGACTAATGGCAGTACCAGATAATTGTGCTTGTAATTGAGATCTAACAGCATGCATTTCCTCAGGATGTTCATTTTGCCATGCTCTTAATTTGTATGTTTGACCAGTCAAATCCCAATAGATACCTCTGAATGTGTGGTATAATTCATGTCTTCCTTCATATATTGGATAGACTATGACTTGGAATGCAGAGTACCATAACCAAATGAAAAATACACTAACCCAACCTGTAAAGAATCTCTTGGAGAAAACATATCCAGTACCATACATTGGCATTGGGAACAACACTAAAAGACAAATGGTGATAGTAACACAGACAATGCAACAAAATTTAAATGCTTTCTTTAAGGTAGCCCTTTCTTCTGCGTATTTCTCTCTCTCGCCATCTACCAATTGACTAGCAATAACAGAGATCTGGGATTTAATAGGACTCAATCTTTCTGGATCATTGGAGTTGACTTCTCCCAAAGCATCTGCTAATTCTTCTTCTTCATCAACTCTGGTAATTCTCAGATCTAATAATTTCCAATCAAAATTTTGTGGTTTAAATGCAAAAGTAAGAACTGGAATAATGACAAGTGGGGACAATAAAGCAACACAGTTACCGGTCAACATAGGATTATCCATAAAGGTCTTCAAATAGGTAACCGAACCTTCTTGTTTCTTAGTACAGACCAACCAAGCCATGATAGCTAAAGAAGTGGAGATAATAGGTGTAAAAGTTGCTGCGTGCCAGTTTTGTCTTTTGGATAATATTGTCAAGGCAGATGATAACACTGCACCACCAATAATAACACCCATCATTTCATACAAGTATCCCATGGAAACTTCAGCATAGTAAAGACCAATAGCAAAACCAGCCATAGAGTAGGCAAAGATAATCACTGACAAATGTGAATACCAAATTAATTTCTTACCAGTAGCATTTGGATTGACATAGGTTCTGTAAATATCATAAGTTGTAATGGTAGAAACAGCAATTAACTCAGCACTCATAGCAGAAGTAACAGCCATGAAAACCATAAGTAAAGCCAACACAGCACCTCCTTGACCTAAAAGAGCTGATGCAGCATTTGGAAGGACCAAACCGGCAGCAACCTCAGCATCAGTCATTGCTCTTCCAAATGGCCAATATTCAGTGTTTTGTAATGCCAAAGCAGCAAGACCCATAGTAAGTGAGGTGAAAGCAGGAACTGGTAACCAAGCAAGGGAACCCAAAATGTAACCTTTGTAACTTGATACAGGATCAGCAGCAAAAGCTTTATTGAAATAACCATTGTCCAAGAAAACTGTACCAAAGTTACCAATAATGTTAATGACAAAGAAAATACCACCAGAATGGGAACGCATTGTCAAGAATGAACCTTGAGAATTACCTTCTCTTGGATTAGCTTCGGCATAAGCTGTAACCAATTCCCAAACAGCATTAGGAGAACCTAACTTATCTGAAGTAGCCCAAGTAAGGAAACCAAAAATCATGATGATAATGATCAAAACAGCAGTATGGGCATAGTCAGTTAAGAAAGTAGCTTTAATACCACCGAAAAGAGTATAAATGACCACACCTAATGGCAAAAGTAAACAAGCCGCAACTGGATGCATACCTGTCAAATCATTAACTGTGGCACTACCACCAGCAAGCAACATCACTGTCACCAAGATATTGGTACAGAATCCCCAGAATATATAAACACAATGGGTGATGGTACCGTATCTACCTTTAACAATTTCCAAGTATGTATGTGCTGCAGGTGCTCTTTCACGAGCTTTGATGGCTAAACAAGCAAAAAGTGTGATTTGAGCAGTGGCACCAGCACCGTAGAAAATAGACCCAGCAATACCATTTCTGAAAACTTGAGATGTACTTGTAAGTAAAGTTGCACTCCATGTCCAACTTGAGACAACAGCAGATGCAATCAAACCAGTCTTCACGGATCTACCAGCAGTTGCAAACTCTTCTGCAGTCATAATTTCTTTATTGTAACGTTTCAAAGCATATGTTGTACCAACCATACCAATGGCAAAAACGAAACCTAGACCAACCACAACGGCGTAACCAGCACCTTGTGGTAAGGGAGCAATATGATCAGACATTGTTATTTAAGCAAAGTTATTGAAATTGTTGTGACAAGAAAATTAAAATTTTGGCACCAACTTAAAAACAAAGATGAAGTTATTGATGAAACTAAAACATTCAACCAAATTAATAAAAAAGAATTGAATCGCAGTAACCATCTTGTATTTATATACCAAATTTTTCAATAACTCAATATCTGTTATCTCTGATTTTGCAATTATCGTTATCTTTGCCAGTTGATATTAGGCGCGGTACAAACAACAACAACAACAAAAACTAAGGATGTGCATTTGTTGGTGATAATGAGATCTGTCTGTGCCTGATACAGGACTTTGAATTTTTTTTTTTTTTTGTTTCTTTTAATGCATAAGCCATGACACATAAAAAAATTCAAAAACAATAGAAACAGCAAAATCTTCTCCATTATTTGCGAAGCCTCTTGGTCGATAAATGAAGTAAATCCCTCTCATATACGGAATTACCATACATTACATGAACTGATAATAAGATTTATCAACTTCAATGTGTGTGTGTGTGCGTATGTGCATTCAATTAAACCATGAGGCAAAATGCTTTTCCTGCTGGTTATGTTTTCGACTCACCTTGGTGGAAAGTTTACGCGATTGACGTCTTGTGAGACCAATAGCAATATTAATTAACCATTAAAATCAACAGTAGTTCATATCTTTGAGTCCACAGGTTCTTGTGATGATTTGTGTCCACCGTCAAATTGATATCTATTCAACAACAATTAACACTACCAAGACGATGAACAAAAAAAATAATATCCTTCAAAAAAAACAACGATCAACTTTTTGATAATACCGCTGATCCATAATCCTGGAAATGAAACAAAAACAGAAACTAAAATTAAAGTTGAAGATGCCGAATGAGGTCGTGTTATCGGTACGAAAATATTTTTTTAGACATGGGCCGTCACGGGCCTATCAAATATCAACTAATATTTACATCATCCCTTGCATATCCTAACCACCTTTCACTTGATACTATGGTAATTCGAACGGCTTTTTTTAGTATTATTATTTAACTCAGTAAAGCATGGAAAAATTGTTGTATAATCATACCATCTTAATTCATTCTAGAATTAAAGAGATAACAACTGATAGTAAGTATGCCGAATCAGGCAACTATGTGAAGTCTGGTTAGCCGCCGTTGAATGGCTCTTATTGGTTGATGAAATACCTTTATCATTAAAGTTGTAAGCGTTGCACGCGATTTATTGATACTAACATAATACAGATCTATTCTACTCTTATCTAACTCTTCAATCCCGGCCCTTCTATTTCTACATTTATATAAGGACATCTTCAAACTAATACACAAATCTTCACGTGAAAATACCAATAATTAATGAATTATCTACCCTTTCTTCACATCGTCTAAAGCATCGTCAATGTTTATCGGGGTTGTGGATTCATCTTCTAAATGCTTTACCATCGACAACAACATGACTAGTTGCAGTACCAGATAATTGTGCTTGTAATTGAGATCTAACAGCATGCATCTCTTCAGGATGTTCATTTTGCCATGCTCTTAATTTGTATGTTTGACCAGTCAAATCCCAATAGATACCTCTGAATGTGTGGTATAATTCATGTCTTCCTTCATATATTGGGAAAACAACAATTTGAAAGGTCGAATACCACAACCAAAGGAAAAAGACAGCAACCCAACCGGTGAAGAACTTTTTGGAGAAAACATATCCGGTACCATACATTGGCATTGGGAACAACACTAAAAGACAAATGGTGATGGTGACACAAATGATAACACAAAGCTTAAATGCTTTCTTCAATGTTGCTCTTTCTTCAGCATACCTTTCTCTTTCACCCTCAACCAATTGACTAGCAATAACAGAGATCTGGGATTTAATAGGACTCAATCTTTCTGGATCACTGGAGTTTACTTCTCCCAAGGCATCTGCTAATTCTTCATTTTCGTCGACCCTGGTAATTCTCAGATCTAATAAACTCCAGTCAAAATTTTGTGGTTTAAATGCAAAAGTAAGAACTGGAATGATGACAAGTGGAGATAACAACGCAACACAATTCCCAGTCAACATCGGATCATCCAAGAATGTGTTCAAATAATTCACAGATCCTTCTTGTGTTTTGGTACAGACCAACCAAGCCATGATAGCTAAAGAAGTGGAAATGATTGGAGTAAATGTAGCAGCGTGCCAATTCTGCTTCTTAGACAATATTGTTAATGTAGATGATAACACTGCACCACCAATAATAACACCCATCATTTCATATAAATAACCCATGGCAACCTTTGCATAATAAAGGCCAATAGCAAAACCAGCCATAGAATAAGCAAAAATAATAACAGATACATGTGAATACCAGATTAATTTCTTACCAGTAGCATTTGGGTTGACATAAGTTCTGTAAATATCATAGGTGGCAATAGTGGATACAGCGATCAATTCCGAACTCATGGCAGATGTGACAGCCATAAAGACCATAATCAAAGCCAAAACAGCCCCAGCTTGCCCTAGAAGAGCTGATGCAGCGTTTGGAAGAACTAACCCTGCGGCTACTTCAGCATCAGTTATTCCTCCTCTACCCAGTGGCCAATACTCGGTGTTTTGTAATGCTAAAGCAGCAAGACCCATAGTAAGCGAAGTGAAAGCAGGAACAGGCAACCAGGCAAGAGATCCCAAAATGTAACCTTTGTAGCTAGAAACCGGATTTGCGGAGAATGCTTTGTTGAAATAACCATTATCCAAGAAAACGGTACCGAAATTACCAATGATGTTGATAACGAAAAACATCCCTCCTGATCTGGAACGTAAAGTCAAATAAGAACCTTGTGAATTGCCCTCTCTTGGATTTGTTTCAGCATACGCAGTTACCAAGTCCCACACTGCTCCTGGTGAACCTAATTTGGAAGACGTGGCCCACGTGACAAATCCAAAAATCATGATCACCACAATCATCACAACATTATGGGCATAATCAGTCAAGATGGTAGCCTTAAGTCCTCCAAAAAGGGTGTAAACAACAACACCCAAAGGAATAAGTAAACAAGCCGCAACTGGATGCACACCTGTCAAATCATTAACTGTGGCACTACCACCAGCAAGCAACATCACGGTCACCAAGATATTGGTACAGAATCCCCAGAAAATATAAACACAATGGGTGATGGTACCGTATCTACCTTTAACAATTTCCAAATATGTATGTGCGGCAGGTGCTCTTTCACGAGCTTTAATGGCTAAACAAGCAAAAAGGGTAATCTGGGCGGTTGCACCAGCTGCATAAAATATTGAGCCACTGACACCATTTCTGAAAACTTGGGATGTACTAGTAAGTAATGTAGCACTCCATGTCCAACTCGACACCACCGCTGCTGCAATCAAACCGGTTTTCACAGATCTACCAGCAGTTGCAAACTCTTCTGCAGTCATAACTTCTTTGTTATAACGCTTTAAAGCAAACGTGGTTGCAACCATACCAACGGCAAAGAAAAACCCTAGGCCAACCACCACGGCGTAACCAGCACCTTGTGGTAAGGGAGTAATATTATCAGACATTATTATGTACGTAAAGTTGTTGTAGATATATTATTTGTAAGAGATTTCAAGACTTCTCATTCAATATTCAAGGATATCAAATGCAATTAGGAAACCAAACAAAAAAAAAAGAATGGTAATGACAAACTTATATATCAGTCTTTTTTTTTATCTCTGTTATCAATGATTTTGCAATCATATTTATGATTAACAAAAGGATAACCTTGGCATTGATATTCTGGAAAACAACAAGTTTTTGGTATTGGGCAAATGAAATATCTGTTTATGGACGATAAGGTTTTTGTTTTTTGTATCAGTTTTGAGATAAACAGGACTCTGACGAAATCACAAATACGGTGATAATCGTTCCCATTATTCATGTACTGAAGCTTCTCGATCTAATACATTCATCCCTCTCTTAATAGAAATTCTTCCTGTTCAAGAAGATGCTAAGAAATGTATTTATTCAGAAAGTTGATAATATCGTTTCAGTGTTATTTTTTTTTTCTTGGATTTTTTTTTTTGTCACAAATGGTTTTGCCTGTTACTGGAAATTGCCTTATGACAGTAGCTTATAATTCTTGTTTATGAACCAACCAACTTTGGTTGAAATGGAAATCGTATCTTAAACACTTTTCTACTGTTAGATTCTTGAATTGTAATACTTAACTTCAGTTAACTGTAGGTAGGCATGAACATAAAACTTAATCGATATCACATGGTAGCACATTACTAGGAAAAAGAATCAGTAAGGAGAAAGTCAAGAAATGTCATCAATATGATAATATGGGATGCCAAGTATATCCTTAAATCCAAGAAATTAATAATGGGCCGTCACGGGCCTATCAATTGAGATTAAGTACTGTTATATCATTATCACATGGTTTATTGAACAGCAGTTATTAATACAACCAATGAAGTTCTGCATCGTGGTTCTGTTAATTTATCACATTATTATGGTGGATTTTCCAACATAGCGATAGCATTGATAACTAAAGCATATGAACTTTGAATTAACCGCGCTTTAGAGATTGTCCTTGGTTGATAAGATGATACGTTATCATTAATTGTTGTGTGCAATTCTACAGTATTCACAGTTCTAGACACAAGTTCTCATCTAGTATATCGTCTCGCAAAAACATGTATTATTAACTAACCATCTATATTCGTGCTAATTCCATTTAGCATCGTTCTAAATTCTCATACCTAACAAACAAAGCATCAACGAAATGTGGATGCTTGATACCAGGAGGTTTGGCAGCTTTAAATCCATCTACAGCCTCCTTCACGGACCAACCCAAAACCTCAATTAAATAACAACAGATTAAGAACCCTGTTCTATTGAATCCATAGTGGCAATGTACTGCTATAAGAGGATCCTTGACTTCTTTATTGTCATTTAGAATCTCATTAATTAATTGAATAAATCTCCTAATAGCACTTTGATCTGGTACTTCCTTAGAGACAGTGCTCATCTTCCAATATTTTATATGTGAAAACGATTTTGGGCTATAAGGTGGAATATCTGCAGATATATCAATAATTGCAATTAAGTGACCTTTTAGTTCGTTAGTTGCGCTTGCTTCCCCATAGAATTTATCCTCTAATATTGCTGGGGAATGAACTGGGTCTTCTTCTCTTAAAGTCTTCATACCCAATAGAGGAGCAATATCTTTACCATTGTTTCTAGTAATATTGTGCGATATTGGTTGCAAATTCAGCCATTTTAACTCATTCTTCAAACCCCACTTATCACCAGAAACTTGGGCTTTAACTCTCAAGACCCATGCAGGAGATAAATGTAATCTTTCAGGAAACTTCAGGTCAAGATGGTTCAAGATCATTCCACTAATAAATTCAGGTTTAACAAGTAATAATGAGTGTCCAACGTTTTTAACTTCAATTACCGATGAAACTTTTCTACCAAACGTTTTTGTCAAAAATTCATCGCATTGGTAAATGGTTGATACTGGAGTCATTTGATCGTTACTCCCACAAAGAAACAACGTTTTCTCGTAAACATGCTTATCTTCTGGATTGTCATTAAAATTACTGATGGCAGTGATCAATTCTGATGTAGTTGCTCTCTGAAAACCATTGATATATTTCAAAACAATGTCCGAATTAACATCTAAATTCCACCTAAACTGACGTAACTTGTTATAATCTGTATCTCCAATTTTCGACAACTGCCTAATTACACTAGCACTGTCGAGCCCCTCCAATCTATCCCAAGTTCTAAAATAATTAAACAACCAAGGAAGGTATGTGAATATTTTGAGCATACTCAGTGTACCATGTGGTTTTGTTTGTACAACCTCTAAATTTGTATCATCTATCAATGCTGGCGGTGACAATAAAATCATTCCCTCAACTTTATGCTTAGGTAGTTTCTTTGCTAGTTTAATAGACAAATGTGTACCCATAGAATGACCCACTAAAACTATTTTCTTATCTTCTCGTACGTTTTGTTGTATAAATTCATAAATAATATTGACAATGTTGTCTGTTGTAAAATCATTCCATTTCATGCTAGCAATACTAGTCATTATCTTTATTTTATCTTCAGCAGAAATTCGGGATACGATTTTGAAGTCGTCGTTAAACTTTAATTTCGAACTTCCAAACCCAGGTAAATCCAATGAAAGAGTTTCCAGACACTGTGAAAGTAATCCCATTAATGGTTCAAATTGAGACATTTGTCCTCCCAAACCATGGATGAAAACTATAATGGGTGATTCATGTAACTCTTTACTGACATCAACTTGGTCATCTGTAGAAGTTTGTTGATTGGCCTCATTTTTCATAAAGTTAACCAATGGATGCGGAATATGTACTGTGTTTAACGTAATGGAATCAATTGATAACGCATCTTGTTTAGACAAATCCACGGTTGTGGATTCGCAGTATTTGGCTATCAAAGAGCAATCACTAGCTTCATGATGAACAACATAATTTTCAAAATCATTAGGATATCCCAAGGCATTAATTTTGAAAAATTCTAATAACTTCTTGGTGAATGTTGAGGTCTTTTGTTTTTGTAAATGTGCTAATACTGATGACTTCTCATGTCGAGAATGAGATAAGCTTTGATGATTGGTGGACGCACTAGAGGTAAGCCGCTCTTGTGCATCATCTATTTCTAATTGGGTCATCTGAATGAAATTTTGGGGATATTGTACGTAACTGAAAAATCAAACTATTGAAAATTCCAATGATTAACGATTCGTTGAGCAATCAGTATAACTTTGTGATTTGATTTGACTGTCGTTTCTTATTTTCAAGGGGAAAACAAATGAGTAATACAGATAAATGTTTTTTTTTTTTTCAAGAGAACGAGGAGAATGTGATTATGGAACGGATGCGCCTCGCACATGTGGTTGGAAACAATCCAAAATATCAACAAAAGAATATCACACTCACAAGCCTAAGATCTTCAATAGGTATTGCCCCCTTTTACAGGATGTAACTTGTCGCTTTAGAAAATGAGTTGATATGTGACCTAGATGATTTGAGATAAACTTAATTATCTCTAGCAAAGAAATCATGACCCTTTCTAGTTCGCAAGTTAATTGTTACTAAAATCGACGATATAGAAATTTCTGGATTTAGGAGACATGGCATCTTAAAACTATCTGAGCTATTCAAAACCATTACGTATATAATTACAATTAATTCACGACACTATGGGGCTGTGGAAGCATCATGATTATTTGTCTGTGGTAAACCTTGCCATGTCTGTGAATCAAAATGAAAATACCACGATTTGATTCTCGCGATCAATCCGAAAAAATAAAAAAAAAAAAAAAACAATTGGAAGCTAAAAGAAGCGTTGTTATTTCTCTTTTTCTTCTGTAGATTCATAATAACTTTAAACCCTTCGTTATCTTAATATTCAATTATTTAGAAATACCAATCCTGTTGTGGAAAGCATTCATATATAAAGATGACCTCGCCCACTCCGTATTCTTTTGATGACAGGGATTCTTTTGATGATTTGGATAGTTCCTTAGATCGTGCACTAAATAGTGCCACCAGTAACTTATTCAAGCATTCCAATGGCACCAAGTCCCATGGATCCCGAAGTAACTCACAAGGATCTATATCAGCAATTCCACTAACAACATTACGTTCGGATAGTAGTATAGATGGCCATGATGACAATGTTCCTTTGATTAATAACCAAAATATCTATTCCAACTCACACAGCCACTCACTTTCCTCGTCAAGTTCATCACTAAACTTGGCGGCAAGATCTTTTTCATCTAAATTCAAAAGATTAATCAGAAAATCGGTACAATTTTTCCATAATGCTAAAAGAGAGTTAGATCAGGACAGATTAAAGCAAGCAGGTGGCTCCAATTTTTCTCAAGTGTCAGATGAGCGCTATATCTCGGCAAAAACAACTAATCTCAAAGCAAATAATGTATACCCAAGTAATGCTATTTCCAATGCAAAGTATAATCCAATTACATTTATTCCAATTATTTTATATGAACAATTTAAATTTTTCTTCAATTTATATTTCCTAGTGGTTGCATTATCTCAAATAGTCCCTCAGTTAAGGATTGGTTATTTATCGTCCTATATTGTTCCATTGGCATTTGTGTTGACTGTTACTATGATGAAGGAGGCTGGTGATGATATTCAAAGACGCCGAAGGGATAAGGAACAAAATCATGAGCTATATGAAGTTTTAAATAGAAGTACTGCCGACTCCCTAACTGTTGAAACCAAACTTGTACCAGCTATGGGATTACGAGTAGGCGATTTAGTGAGATTACATAAAGATGTGCGTATACCTGCCGATATGATTTTACTACAATCTTCAGAAAATACTGGTGAGGTGTTTATCAAAACGGATCAATTGGATGGGGAAACAGATTGGAAATTGAGAATAGCATCCAGTGCTACGCAAGCGTTGCAAAGCGTAACACAACTTATTAATTCTGTGGCAGTAATAGTCGGCAATCCGTCAAAATCGATCCATAGTTTTAACGGGCAATTGATTTATTCGTCTCCTTCTGCAACTGGATCAGCCTCTCCAAATGCAAACAATGAAGCATTCGCATTAACCATCGATCAAACTTTGTGGGCCAACACTGTGTTAGCATCTGGTACCGCCATAGGTATGGTTGTCTATACTGGTATTGAAACAAGACAGCTGATGAATACTACTAAAAGTGGTGTCAAGGTGGGATTATTGGAGTTGGAGATCAACAGAATCTCTAAGATTTTGTGTGCTGTAGTTTTTGTATTATCAGTCGTTTTAGTTTTGGCACATGGGTTTCCATTAAAGAGTACTTGGTATGTCGATATAATGCGATTCTTGATTCTTTTTTCCACGATTATTCCGGTGTCCTTGAGAGTTAATTTAGATTTAGCAAAATCAGTTTATGCATCTCAGATTCAAAACGATGCTGCTATTCCAGGGACTATTGTTCGTACATCAACAATTCCGGAAGATTTGGGTAGAATTGAGTACTTGCTTAGTGATAAAACTGGTACGTTGACCCAAAATGAGATGGAGTTGAAAAAATTGCACTTGGGTACTGTCAGCTATGCTGGAGAATCCATGGATATCGTTTCAGATTATGTGAAAAGCTTATTGAAATGTTTGGATTCAGGGCAAAAAAAGAGAGACTTGGGATCTCGTGTTTGTGAGTTGGTTTTAACATTGGCATTATGTCATAATGTTACTCCTACATACGATGATGATGATGGTAATGGTGATGGTATTAGCGCATTTGGAGAGGTTACTTACCAAGCAGCATCCCCTGATGAAATTGCCATTGTTAAATTTTGTGAACTGGTTGGATTGAGATTGTTTAAACGTGATAGACATTCTATTTCTTTGTTACACGTTTCCAGTAATCAAATTTTAGAATTTGAAATTTTGTACAATTTCCCTTTTAGTTCGGAAACTAAACGTATGGGGATTATTGTTAAAGATAAGAATAGAGAAGATATTTGGTTTATGGAGAAGGGGGCTGATACTGTTATGTCCACTATTGTTAGTTCTAATGATTGGTTAGATGAAGAAACTGGTAACATGGCAAGAGAAGGTTTACGTACATTGGTTATTGGAAGAAAGAAATTGAGCAATAAAATGTATGATGACTTTGTTGACAACTACAAACAAGCTTCTTTAGCTATGCATGATAGAGATAGCAACATGCAAAAAGTTATGAGTTATTATTTGGAACAAGATTTAGAATTGCTTGGGTTAACTGGTGTTGAAGATAGATTACAAAAAGATGTCAAAACTTCTATTGAATTGTTGAGAAATGCCGGTATAAAAATCTGGATGTTAACTGGTGATAAAGTTGAAACAGCCAAGTGTGTGTCTATTAGTGCTAGATTAATTTCTCGTGGTCAGTATGTGCATCAAATTACGAAACTTGTGCATCCAGATATGGCCATGAATCAATTGGAATATTTGAGAATTAATACCAATGCGTGCTTATTGATCGATGGTGAATCATTAGCTACCTATATGAAACATTTTAATGATGAATTTTTTGAAGTTGCAATTAAATTACCAGCTGTTATTGCCTGTCGTTGCTCTCCACAACAAAAGGCTGATGTCGCTATGGCAATTAGAAAAATGACTGGTAAGAGAGTTTGTTGTATTGGTGATGGTGGTAATGATGTGAGTATGATTCAATGTGCAGATGTGGGGGTAGGTATAGTTGGTAAAGAAGGTAAACAAGCTTCTTTGGCTGCTGATTTTAGTATTGATCAATTCTGTTACTTGTCAAAATTATTGTTATGGCACGGTAGAAATTCTTACAAACGTTCAGCCAAGTTGGGACAATTTATCATTCATCGTGGTTTGTTGATTTCTGTTGCCCAGGCTGTCTATTCTATTGCATCCAAGTTTGAACCATTGGCATTATATCAAGGTTGGTTGATGGTTGGTTATTCAACATTTTATACAATGGCTCCAGTTTTCTCCCTTACTTTAGATTGTGATATTGATGAGCATTTAACAAAATTGTATCCAGAGTTATATAAAGAGTTAACTTTGGGTAGGTCATTATCTTACAAGACTTTCTTTATGTGGGTGTTTATTTCATTGTATCAAGGATGTGCCATTCAATTAATTTCACAACAACTACAGACCCTTTTGGCAGACAAGTTTACCACGATGGTTGCTTTGTCATTTTCATGTTTGGTATACAATGAGTTAATTATGGTTGCCATTTCTATTAATAAATGGAATAAAATCATGGCCAGCACTATTATTATCACATTCTTAGCATATATTGGTTCAATTCCATTCTTGCTGGAATACTTTGACCTTGCATATGTTAGTTCATTCGCATATATTTGGCAAGTTGGTGTAATATTGGTGATTTCCTTATTCCCAGTTTGGCTTGTCCAATATTTGAATAGAAGATTGAGACCTCCAAACTATGCCAAAGTCCAACAAGACTAAAACAAAAGAAAAGTGAATTCTGAGTTAACAAATATATACAGTTTATTTTAATGCACGATATTATACAGCATTTATTGATATTATTTGAATTGATTTTGTGGAATCAGAACTACTGTATGATGTTGAGTAATAGTGCCTTAGTGATAATGGGTATACTACAATTATAAAAAGAAAAAAAAAACATCACTACATGATAATAACATATGCAGTTCTGATTTCGATGGTTGTAAAACTAATGTAAACCCAACTAGGCTAAAAAAAAAAAAAAAAATCCAGATTACACCAAAAAGAACAACATTTCCCAACCATATATATCATTAATATTCTTATCTCCTTTATTTTACCACAGAAATTATTTACTTCTTGACAATCAATGTATAATTATTAGGTTAGAAATATATAAACTATTCAACAGTTTGGGAATTCAATTTAGATTTCACAATTAATCTCATTAAGGAATATTATCATCAATTGACATGAATCTAAGAATAATCATAAATTGATCTTCTTCATATTGAAAAGCATTTCTGAACTTAATGACATGTTTCCATCTTTTAGAATTCATTCCTTTTAATTCTCTAAACAATTTATCCCATAAATGATATCCACCAAGTTTGGAGCGTACTTCATTGTTAGTTAATGTAATATCAAATTTTTCTGTGAAAATTGGAACTTTCCCTTGACGTTGTTGATGTGCTGCCCAAATTAATATATGACCAAAATATGACAATACAGAATAATCCAAATTATTTTGATGGATATCTTTCTTTGATGGAGTTAATTTGGTACGAGTTTTTTCTAAATTGATTTCATCATATCCTCCAAATAGTTCTAAAACATTAGGATAAATCTTGACAGTTTTCTTAAATCCCAAAGATTCATAAAGTGCAACATTAATACACAAAGTTAAAAAGATCTTCTTTTTCTCAAAATCACCAAATAAGTCTTCTGCGTGTGTAGTAACAAACTTGACTGAATTAGCAGCATATTTGGAAATAGATGAAGATGTCATTAAAGTTTTGATTTTCACATCAGATAAATCAGAATGAAGAATTTGCTGATGAGACATACCAATAATTGTCTTTATCGGTTGCACTTCTGGAAGGTTTTCGGAATATTTCTTGTTGGTGGTACTCTTAACTGATCTCAACTTTATACTAAATGGGTTACTGTTGTCAACTTCTGGTGAAACTTCTGGTGTACTTTCTTTAGAGTGATCATTGGTGGTATCAGCAGCTTCGACTTCTTGAGTATCTGCAGCACCTTCTTTAAGCAAAGCAGCGCGTTTCTTTCTTCTATCTTTTCTCTTTTTATTTTTGAGTTTACGTCTAAGGATTTCTTCTTCAGTTTCTTCCGGTTGTTCATTGTCGTTATCAATTGTAACATCACCTGGTTCTGATTCATCTAAATCTTGTGAAACTTCGGGTGTTGGTGAGTTTGGACTAGAATTGCCCTTATCCTCCTCTGACTTGGTCTCATTTTCGTTTTTTGTATTGGTTGGTTTAGTCTTTTTATTAGATTTTGGCTTCTTGGACTTTTTGTTTTTTTCTGGTTTTTGATGTTTCTGCTCGGCGGCTTTTGCAACATCCTTTCCTTCGAGACTTGTATCAATCAAATCTTTCTTTATGTCTCTAGTATCAACCTTTGGTTTTATATTACCAGTGGATTTAGATTTTCTCAACTCATTCTTCTTCCTTGAATCCGATTTTGATTTATTAATACTACGTTCACTTTTTTTCTTATTCAATTTGTTTTTTGTCTTCTTATCTGCTGCCTTTGGATTGGATTTGTCTTCCTTTTTAACGTTTTGATGATCTTCATCTTCATCACTTGAGAAATCAAGATCTTCCATGTCTTTAGTTATATCGGCAACAGTGAACTTTTTTGGTTTCTTGGATGTCAGTTGACCATTTTGTTTTTTCTTATTCAGTGCCTTGTCTTGAAATGAATCTTGAATGACAATCTCATTAGATTTGTTTTCTTCAGTGCTTGTGTAAACCAATTCACCTTCAGTTTTCTCTTTATTTGTTAATAAATAATCCAAATCATTTTCAAATTCTTGTTCGTCTACAACTTCTGGAGTCTCTGCCCCTGATGATGTTTCGATATTATCTGACATGTTAGCGAGATTGGAGTTTTTCTTTGCTTTTCTTCTGATTCTTCGATCAGCTACTGCAGTTGGTGCCATAAATAAAATACTATTTTCACTCCGAATTCGAATTTATCACGATTAGGAAATTTAATGAATAAATAAATAGAATATATTATGAAGAACAAGAAATAAAAAAAAAGGAAATAATGAAGTTGAAAAGAACCCAAAAAAATTTTTAATGGAATGCTAAATTATAACCCAGTGGTATTGTTAACACGGGAAATTAAAATTTTCATTCTCGTGTCACAGTAGAACAAAATGCAAAAACCAAACCAAAAAAAAAAAGACCACAAAATTTTTTCTTCCCTTTTGGTTCTGGCTCTTCATTCCTTACATTTTGCATATACATTAAAGTACACCTTGTTCAACTGATCTCTCCTTGTTTTTTTTTTTACTATATCGTAGTTAGTTAGACGAGTTGTATCATATGTGCAACAATGTAAACTTGTGATGTGTTCTTTCTATCTCTTTTCCCCTTCTTGCCAGGTAATATGGTTTTAAGATTTCAAGGAAATTACACGACAAAAAAAAAAGAAAACTAATCCAACGACAAAAAAAAATGAAAAATTAAAAATATCACCGCTCCTCCTTCCAAACAAACTCTGTGAACATACATATAATCTTTAGAACATCTTTCCTTCCTACAAGCTTTCCGTTATTTCGTAATCGTTTTGCAATCATTCTTATCTTTTTAATAATAATAGAAGAATATTTATTTATAAATATATATATAATATTTTGATTTTTTCTTTTTTAAAACTGATCATTGCTTGAGATATCGCAGCACTTATCTAAAAAACAAATAAAATGAAGACAATAAAAGAACTTAATCATCAAATGCTAAATTATCGTTTCCTATTTTCTCTTGAGAAATCACATTTAGAAAGTAGAAACGAATTCTTCAGTGACTTTTCTCAAGTGTTCCAATTCATCTTTAGATAATTCACCTTTAGTCTTGATGGCTTCCAAGATACCAGCTTCGTTAGATTTCAAATGACCCAAGAAAGCTTCTTCGAATTCACCAATTCTGTCAAGAGCAATGTTGTCCAAGAAACCGTTAACACCAGCGAAAATCAATGGAACTTGTTCTTCAGCAGCCAATGGGTGGTATTGCTTTTGTTTCAATAATTGGGTCAATCTTTCACCTCTGTTCAAGGTTTGTTTAGTAGAAGCATCCAAATCAGAACCGAATTGGGCGAAAGCAGCAACTTCTCTGTATTGAGCCAAGAACAATTTCAAAGAACCAGCAACTTGTTTCATAGCTTTAACTTGAGCAGCAGAACCGACACGGGAGACGGACAAACCGACGTTAATAGCTGGTCTGATACCTTTGTAGAACAATTCAGCTTCCAAGAAAATTTGACCATCGGTAATGGAAATAACATTGGTTGGAATATAAGCAGAGACATCACCACCTTGGGTTTCAATGACTGGCAAAGCGGTCAAAGAACCAGCACCGTAAGCATCGGACATCTTAGCAGCTCTTTCTAATAATCTAGAATGTAAGTAGAAAACATCACCCGGGTAAGCTTCTCTACCTGGTGGTCTTCTCAACAACAAAGACAATTGACGGTAGGCGACGGCTTGTTTGGACAAATCATCGTAGACAATCAAAGCGTGTTTACCGTTGTCTCTGAACCATTCACCGATAGCACAAGCAGTGAAAGGAGCAATATATTGCAATGGAGCGGCTTCAGAAGCAGTAGCAGCAACAATGACGGAGTATTTAAGAGCATCATTTTGTTCCAAGGTTTGGACCAATTGAGCAACAGTGGATCTCTTTTGACCAACGGCAACGTAGACACAGTACAATTTCTTCTTTTCATCAGTACCGTTGTTCCATCTCTTTTGGTTCAAGATGGCGTCCAAAGCGACAGCGGTCTTACCAGTTTGACGATCACCAATGATCAATTCTCTTTGACCTCTACCAATTGGGACCAAAGCATCAACGGATTTCAAACCAGTTTGCATTGGTTCGTGGACGGATCTTCTTGGCAAGATACCTGGAGCTTTAACTTGAGCTCTGGAGTAGGCAGCAGCCTTGATTGGACCTTTACCATCAATGGCGTTACCCAAACCGTCAACAACTCTACCCAATAATTCTGGACCAACTGGGACAGAGACAATTTGACCAGTTCTCTTAACGGTTTCACCTTCTTTGACTAATCTATCAGAACCGAACAAGACAACCCCGACTTGGTCAGCTTCCAAGTTCAAAGCCATACCTTTAGCACCGGAAGAGAATTCAACCAATTCTTCGGCTTGAATGTTGTTTAAACCGTAAATACGAGCAATACCATCACTAAATTAATTAACAAGTTAGTAATTATTGTTGTTTATCAATAGGGGTGGTGTTGATCCACAGTCCGCGTTAGTATTGTGTTGGCACACGCACACAGAAAAAAAAAAGTTCATCCAATAAAAATTGAACAAAAATTTTTCAATGTGACAACCAGTTCACAGCAAACAACAGACGGTGGTAAACAACTATTAATCTTAATCAATTGATAAGTGTATACATACCCAACGGATAAAACTCTACCGGTTTCGTTTAAGTTAGCTTCATCAGAAACACCTCTAATTCTGTCTTCCAAGATTGAAGAAACTTCAGTTGGAGCAGCCTTAGCAGAGGCAAATCTTTGAGCAGTTAATAAAGTTGGACGAGCCTATAATTGTAACTGTTAGTATTTGAAATCATTGCTGTTGAATAATTAAACTTAATTGAAGCAATTTTCGATTTCTCTGGGCCAACAACTTTTGTTAATCAAGGTTATTATGAAATGTTAACCAGGATAAAAAAAAACTATTCACCAATCATCAGTAATCAATTGATTGGTAAGTACTAGTCATTTCCATTCAATTGCTCTTGAAATCATGTTTTTCTATTTGAGCTTTTAGTTATATGTCCCCCCACTATTGCTATTCAATTTCAGAATTAATCATTATAGTATCAATCAAAGTAAATGAATACATACAACTCTTAATGATGATCTAGCAGCAACAGCAGCTGAACGAGCAGCAGTACGTAAAATAGGACGAGCTGACAACATTGTTCTATAATTTCTTCTTTTTATTGGTGTTCGGGATAAATAGAAGTTGTGAAGAGAAGAAAAAGGGAAAAAGAAGAGGAAGTTATATAAATTTTATGTTGAAAAAAATTCTAAAGAAAAATTTGTGTGCGCCCAGTGTGTCTGATTCTCAATTTTCATTGGCACTTCACCGAACTATTCCCTCGCTCGCGATTTGATTGGCCAAGAGAAAAACCAGTCACGTGCGCGAGTGTTGGTAATGCCCACAAAGAAAAATCTAAACGGTAATAATATAAAAAAAACCTGAGGCAGGAACCGTGGCCGGGAAATTAATTTTGAAAAAGTGTTCAATTTGTATGGACATAGTAAAGCAGTTGTGGTGGAAAACCAGAGTAAGTTATCGATCAATTGTGTTTCTTACAAGCTGCTAGCTTATATTGTAAAAAGAAAAAGAAGAAGGAGAAAAAAACGTTTGAATTGTTATCAAAGTGTATACAAATTTACTTCAATAAATGCCGATTACAGAAATATAAAGAAATATCACCAATTGATTATAGGTAGACTGATGAACATCAATTTGATTATTTTCTCTTGTAGAAAGAACACTAGGTGTATCTACGTATAGTCAATTGTTGATCTAATCTATTGACCTTGTAAGACGCAAGACAAAGAGAGGGAGGAAGAGAAAGGAGAAAAAAAAAAAATCTTAGAAAAAGTTCCACCGAAAAATTTTCAGCAAATCACTGTCATTCCTTTAATTGGGTATCGAAACTTTTGTTTACATATACAAGATGTTGGGTTCAACTGCTAAAAGAGTAATAGTTGCTGGATCTAGAAGGCAATTTGTCAGATTAAACTCATCAAACAATGGAAACAATAGTGAGTTGAACATTGGTGAACTTTTCAAAAAAATCGATCAAGTCACCTTGAAAGCTGCTGAATTAAAAAGAAAACAAGAAAGTGACAAATTGAAACAACAAGCTCAACAAGCTCATAATAGACTTAAGAAAGTAAGTCATCAAAACGCTGCATCCGTTAGAAGACTTCCAAAAAGAGCTTCTGGTGAAAATGAAGCAGTAGAGAAACAAACTACTTCTAATGAAGAATCACAACCTAAAAGTGAAAAGACTTTTCGTAATCGATTCCAAAAAGACCAAGAAGCGAGCAACCGTGAAGCCGTTAACAACAGACCAAGAAGAAGTTTTGAAACTAGTGACAGAGTCGCTCCAGCGTTCTCCCAAAAGAAGAGCAGCAAAGAAGAACCCCGCTTCGCTCCACGAATCAATAACAGAAGTAGTGGAACTAATGGACCTTCATTTAGAAAGTCTTCTCCAAGAAAAGTAGCTAGAGGTCCAGGTGCTAAACTGGAAATCCGTAAACCAACAGTTGCCAAACCAATCCATTCAAAAGAAGTGTCAGCCACACCATTGTCACCAAAGATTGTTGCTGAAGATTTCTTCTATGGTAAAGTCCCAAGTATCAACTCAACTGTCAGTGGTAGATTGGCCTCTATTGCCAAATTGACTTTAGATGATTCTAAGTATCCATACTTGTTACCAAAAGAGGTTATTGCTCAAGCTGCACGTGAAAGCAAAAACAAGTACATATTGCAGAAGAACTGGAAAATCAACCCAGATCAAGATGTCTTAAAAGAAAGAATTCAAACTATTGCCTTGGGTCAAAAGAAGGATTTGGAAATTGCTGGTGAAAAATCCGAATTGGCCGATAAAACCCTTCACAATATCAACCTTAATCCAGATTTGAGCCTTGAACAAAAAGACGCCATGTTTAAGATTGTCAATGGATTACAAGATATCAAGAGTATTTTCAAGGATGCTCCTTGGAAAAAGCAAGCTAGTAAATAGGAGGTGGAGTTTCTATAATTGGCATGTAAATAGTACTTATTCTAATTTAGAACTAAATTAAATTAAAACAACAATAAGGTAGACAGTTGTAATTCACTGGTTGTACATGATGTGCAATTGATGTGTAAAATATTCTTTTTACTAGCATGATCCGCCTTTGATGAACGGGGAACAAAGTCTTGCATAAGAGAATTCAATACTTATGGTGTTGATGATCAATCTGATTAAAGGGAGGAATTTTAAAGATGAAATTAGATTCAATGTATATTGTACTAATTGAATGTATAAATACATACATTGAACAGTAAAGGCGGAGAACATTATGCGTGTATCCTTCTTTAAAGAATGTTTCTTAATTTATGCTTTCTCGTTTCTTGTCTTCGGTCTTGGTTGCCATTACACTTCATACACACAAATATACTTTGCAACCATACAGAACAATAACTGGCGATCATTATTGTCTTGTTTAACTTCCTATCAATAGATGGAACTAGCCAATCGGTGAAAGTGTATGGGTGAGCAAACACACACACATCAATCAGTCTCCCTATTAATTCTCACCTTTCTCAATTGATTCCAAAGGGATACCGTCGGAGTTTTTCTCGTTCTCCACTATTGTCGGGTCAGAGGACGTTCTCGACTTATTTTTTTTTTCCCTTGTAAAAGTGTGGAAAAACTCCAACCGGTTTGTGCCGAATTTGGCAGTACAAACTTGTCTTAATGCATAAAATTACAAGCAAGAATAAGGAGACTTCACTGCATCGAAGGAAAAACAGGCTATGACTTTGAAATTGTAAAGATTAATATATATATTTTTATTTTAAAATTAGATAAAATAAAAGACAATCTAAGTAAATGAATAGTTTGATGTATGAACATTAATGAAAGAAAATAACAGTAAACGAATAATAAAAATAAAATAAAAAAAAGCCCAAAACGTAACCAATGCAAAACTGGGATTGACCATGAAATCATTGTGCCAGATCAAATTGAAACAGGTTGCATGATACTAATAAAAACAACAACGTAAAGATAACTTACCCTAAAACACCAAAATAAAGATTATACCCAAAAAAAAAACATAATACTATTGTAAGGAAACAAAATAAAAAGCAACTAAAAACCTCTCGGAGAATGAACTTGACTGTGAAAACAGATTATGATGATAAGGAATATTTATATCTTGGTGAATAAAGATCTAGCAGAAATGGTGCCCTTTATACTATTGTCATTAGCTGTGTTTGTTTCTTTGTAGGATAATAAGAATGGGACTGTGGTTGAAATGGCCAAGTAACCTAATAGTAAAGCAGCTGATGATCTGGAGTGGAACGGAGTTGGTTTCATATAGATTGAGTACATTTGGAAGTTGTAATTGTTATAAAAAGTTAAACTGTAAAGTCGGAGTATGAATGATAAGATAAAGAAAGAAAAGAAGAAGAGGAAGTAGAATTATAACAAAAAAAAAAACTGAGAGATGGAGTGGGAAGTAGGGGTATTATTTATATTGATTTTTAATTTTAGTTACGAATTGCGAAATCCATAATAAAAGTGGAACAAAAAAAAAAGATAAAATAATTGTGGGCCTATACAACGGTAAGTGTGTTAGGCGTACTTTTTTTTTTCTGTTAAGAACCTCAGTTGCCAGTTGACCAGAGATGATTACACAAAATAGAAATCATGCGATTTACAAAAAATCAAAAATCTATTTTTTTTTTTTTCTTTGGGCAGAGTTGTACAATTCTGTATGTATGCTCTTAGTAAAATCAAAAATTCGGAAATGCCAAAAAAGAAAGAAAATGAGATGGCGCTGAGATATTGTTTACTAAGATTTTTTTTAGCTGGGTTGTTAAATTAGCATTCTCCTCATTTCATGCTTACTCAGTACCTTACTAAGTTGAAGTACTACATGTCATTTAACATCTCAATTCTTCTCACTTTTTGTTGTTGGTTTTTCCATATTTTTAATGTAATCACACGGAAATTCGTATTGAAGGACTATTGAAATAAGAGGAGCAGCAACAACAACAGGAGAGGATTAGAGAGGGGATGGGTGGGACAAGTTCAATAATCGCATCATAAAACTATAGAGGTTCTCACAGCAAAAATAAAAAAAGAACAAAGAGTAAGACAGAGATAAAAAAAAAAAGAGGGAAAATATGCTGATGTCAGAAATATGTGGTTATGAAGTTATTGTGATTACGTTGATGCTTACCAAACAGGAGTATGGTAGTGTACAAGTTCTCAATTTTTTTTGGTTGCATTCTATCTCCTCTTAACGCTTTCTTTGCATCCTTATTTACTTAAACAACATTCCTCCGCCTTCTCTAATCTACTATATACTTACTTTCAACATGGCAACATAGCTACTCTATTGTAAATTCTCAATCACTTTGTTAGTGCGCCTTCTCTTTAATTAGATCAATCTAATTGTGTTTCTGTTGTTGTTGTTGTTGTTGTTGTTGTTCTCATTCTCATTCTATGATCCTAATATCGGAGAAGGTTTGACCATCAAATCAGATTACAAATCAATTGTTTACAATTCTAGGGTTTTAGGAAATCTATAACTTGTTTTTCTTTAGGTCCGTACACGTCTATACGTGTTTACGTGACTTTTTTTAATTTGAGTAAAGAAGAACACGTTCAGATAATTTATTTTTAGACGTGTATTGATCTTTTCGATATCGGAAATTGTTACAAGTCAGCTTCCAATCACATAACCATATTCTGATTGTTGGGTGTTCCTGGTTTTTGTGATTCAGATACCACAAGTCTAATACCGGTTTATTCTCTTTCTTGGTTTGTTGTTTGTCTATGGATTTGGCAACTTTCTACGTCTACAACAATGAGGCTAAAGTTACAGCCAAGAAACAAGAGTTGGACACAAACAACTAAAGAAACGGGGGGACCCAAAAAGAAAAGAAAAAAAATCAGAACAGTGGAATTCTGTTCTAATAAAGACGATCTTCAAATCCACAAAATCCAGTTCTAGACAGTTGAAATGGTTCTCGTTGCAAACGACAAGGACAAACGAGCACGAGTTATTGAGAGGAACGATCGTTTATGTGTCTGTGTGTGTGTGTGTGTGTTTTTTTTTGTTCAGACTCGCCCTCTCTTTACGCAGGAGCAAAACTAATTGAAACTATAAGTAAACTTCAATTTAGACAATTGCAATTCTATGATTTCTTAGCCCGAATCTCGAATATCAATTAGATATGGAAGGATAAATTGTGTTGTTCAATCAGTTATTTAATTGGTGGAATTCTTTCACCAAGTAAGTTGATTCAATTCCTTATCCTAATTTAGTAATTGCGAGTCAATTGAGTCTTACATACACAATCAAGGTTTTTGTTTTTTTCTTTTGAGTCATTCTCTGTAACTGACGACTGTAATCGGATTACAGTTTTACTTTTTCTGTTGTCGTTGTCGACCGAATATGACGTACCCCAGTGGTCCCAACGTTCATTTTATTCTTTCTTTAAACATACATGTCGTTTGAAGTTATTGCATTACCATATTCTTGGATACACAAGAAAGGATCATCATCAAGATTTGAAAATCTCCTGAACCTCATCAATGCGTCGTACAATAAACCACGCTATAAGTTTGGCATTATTAAAACCCCAAGAATAAAGAATAATCAATCAATATTACTGGACTTGGCTATAGGAGTGGATGATGAGATTTGTATTTATTTGTTACTTGGTAAAGACGAAATTTTTGAAGATCTATTTGACAAAGATGGGTACAAGCGAGATTTGACAAAGGAGTCAATTAACGTGACTCAGGCGTTTAGTAATGACATTCCTGAAAGGTACTACTCTGTATTTGATCTTGGTCAATTGTCTAATGCTGGTATTGTTTTTGCCGATGAAGAGTTTGAACTCACTAATGACGTCTTGAATAGATGTATTGCAAGTGTAGGTTTAAGATCGTTTCATGATAAACTGAAATCAGGTATTAAAGAATTTGAATTAACTGCATTCACATCATTTATGAGAAATACAGCTCCAGCATTTTTGAATTTTGTAATTAACAATTGTCTATTAAACGAAGACAGATTTGCAAAGTTGTCTCAAGCAGGGCTCTTGAACGACTATAATAAGATTGTTATTCATGCTGATGTGATTAAAGAACATGGTTTGGTTGAATATTATACAAAGAAATGTTCCTTCGTACAATCGTTAAGACCAGATGTTCATGTTACTGTTGCTGAAGATATGAAAGCTGCAGAAGGTATATTTGAAAAGGGTGTTTTAGCAGCAAGGGATTTTCATATCTCGTTCTTGGAAAGAGAGATCAATATAGATAGACATATAGATGTTGTACTTTAGAAATATAAAAACAGAATAGATATTGGGGTGTCTATTGTATGACGTCATTTAGATTTGTTTAACATACTCATATTGACTGTACACATTGTTGATTTCATCTAATTTTTAAACAAATTTGATACGAAATACTTTGAGAAAATAAAAAATTACATAAAACTAGGTAACCATTACATGAATTTCATCCAGAGTGCACTTAAAATATCATCTAAAGCTTGTCGATTAGGATACATCATTTTTGAACATACTGATACGTTGCTTCATTTGTTGATAGTCCTAACCTACTAATGTGGTAATATTGGTGAACGCCGCATATGATCGCGTCTCTTGGGCGCGTAATATTTTTAACATAATTGAGCCATCAAGAATATTGATATTGACCTAATGCACGTGATTCTACTGAATGTACAAATGTTGTATTCAGAGCAGGATTACCAACAGTTCATCAATACTTGTTTTTCATACACCATTGACTTACTGATGTAGTCACTAGAAAGCCATTCGTTCTTGATTCTACAAGTAATTTTATCCACATTCGCGTGCTTACTCGCCAGCAACAAAATCCACAAGGAACGTCGTGGAAAAAAAAAGTCAAAAAAAAAAAAAAAAAAATAACAAAACCTAGAGTTGCACTTCATCTCAACCTAGACAACTAGACAAATACAATGACAACATATTCAACAGAAATATCTAAATTAATATCTGACGGTTCTAGAGCTTATTCCGCTAAGGATTTTGATCTTGCTGCTGAGAAATATGGTGATGCATGTGCAAAATTTTCTGAAACCCATGATGGTAACGAAGATGGTGACTTGTTGTTGTTATATGGTAAGGCAGTTTTCCAGAGTGGTGTTAGTAAATCAGAAGTTTTTGGAGGAAACCCATCTGCTGGACAAGATTTAGAAGAAGAAACAGGTGACAGTACCAAGGATGTTGGTGACAAACAAAATGACAAGGAAGACGAAAAGGATGATGACAAGTTTCAATTCTATGCAGATGGTGATGAGGAAGAGGAACAACAACAACAAGAAGAAGAGCAAGAAGGTCCTCAATTGGCATCTGGAGAAGGCGAAGAAGATGAAGGTGAAAATCAAAGTGATTTTGAAATTGCATGGGAATTGTTGGACTTGGCTAGATCTTTGTTTGAAAATAAGGTTAAGTCATTAGATAAAGGGGATTTGAAACCGCCATATTTATCCAAAGATACAGAAGAAACGGAAAACGAATATATTGTTACAGTAAGGAAATTATCTGAAACTTATGATATTTTGGGTGAGGTTTCATTAGAGGCTGAAAATTTCAACCAAGCTGCCGAAGATTTGAAAAAGAGTCTAGAATTAAGATTAGAATTGTATCCTGATACATCATCTTTGATTACAGAAGCACATTATAAATTGGCGTTAGCATTAGAATTTCAATCGGATGATATGGAGCTGAGAAAGAAATCCGCTGAGCAAATGAAATTAGCCATTGAAGCCTTGGAAAGAAGAAATGCCAAAGAAAGTGAAGCCGACAAGAAGAAGGATAACCAAGAAATGATTGATGAAATGAAGGAGAAATACAGAGATTTGTTAAAGGATCCTTCTGAAGAACTCAAGAATCAACAATTGGATATCATTAAAGGTATATTGGGAGAAGAAGCTTCAAGTGGTGGTAGTAGTAATACCCAAAATGTTGGTGCTGCTATAGTTAACAACCTTCAATCCATGGTTAAGAAGAAGAATGACAAACCAGTTGTGAATGATTTGTCCGGATCAGTGAGGAAAAGAAAAAAGACAGACCAACAGGACAAATCAAAGAAAGCAAAGAAATAATCGAAGTGATGGAATATAGACGTATATATATGACTAAGAGAGAGAGAACAATAAACGAAGAAAAAGAACTCCGAGATATAATAAAATGTAAGAGTAATTAGGAATCATCGCTTAATAGATAATCTAATTTTAAAGTATAGCTCCGAATATTTGGTATGACATAATAGTGATGACTGTGAATCATCATTGCCAAAAAAGCAATAGTTTAGAAAAAAAGAACAATTCACAAAATCATTGTCGGAGGTGTACTATCAGTATCAAATTTCCCCGGAAAATTTACAATAATACCGATCAACACCAAAGTATGTCTTACTAATTTACGGAATGATCTTATACATGGGTAGGTAATGGTTTACAAACGCTTACCATCATAGTTTCTATAAATCAAGGTTTATGTTGAATTGTCTATTGATCATCAATGACCCCCCCTATTTCTTCATCCATTTGACCCCAGAAAAATTAATTGAAGTACAAAAAAAAAAACAAATTGCGTGGATGAACAAAACCCAATAAGAAAGCGCGAGAAAAAATAGAGACAACTAGTTCACCGCACAACTTTCCTAATTTGGAAATATCCAACGGTGTTTGACTAAGTAATAACAAATAAAAATAGTTCGAGTTTTCCATTGTGGGTCAGTTTCTTTCTTTTTTTTTTTATTTTTGCATTTTTGCTTTAAACCTCGGAGTTTTATACAATATTTCGATTTCGGCACCGGCATTATGGTTATCATATTTGCCCTTTCAAATGATTCATGAATCATATGATATTGTTGGGTAGAGTAATACCCAGGGGATTAATTATTTACTTAACCCTACTTAACTTGTATTCACAGTAACAACAAAAGATGTAATATTATAAGGTACAACAGAGTACTTCTTTAGCTGACTCCTAATTAGTACCCTTTGGTTTAAGTCCGATAAAACTTACTTAAAAGATGACTTATTTTGTTGGTGAAAAAAAAAAGAAAATTATCCATCTATCCGAAAGTATAGTAGTTAAAGAAACAGAAAAAAAAATGAGTGTGTAATTTAGGATCAGTGGAACGCACAAAGAAAAAAAAAATCTGGGGAAAAAAAATGAGTCGTCCTAGTATTGTGAAATTTATTTTTCATCACACTCACATAATTATGCTGAAACTAAATTAACTACAATGTGAAAAAAAAGGAAAATGAACAAGGAAAAATGAGTCGTGATAAGTTTTGTTTTAATGTCGACATAGTTTGTTTTTACAATCTATAAATATCGGTACTTTTTCCTTTCTTCTAAATTTTCTTTTTTTTTACATTTACTCTTTTTCTTTTCTTCTTTTCTATCTTTATTATTCTATAATTGTTCATCTACAACAACTTAATAGTAATATTTATTTAACCATGGCTTACACAAAAATCGACGTTAACCAAGAAGACGCTGACTTCCAAAAAGAAGTTGCTGAAATTAAAAAATGGTGGTCTGAACCAAGATGGAGAAAGACCAAGAGAATCTATTCTGCTGAAGATATTGCTAAGAAGAGAGGTTCCTTAAAGATTAGTTACCCATCTTCCCAACAAGCCGACAAATTGTTCAAATTATTGGAACAACACGATGCTGAAAAGTCCGTTTCTTTCACATTTGGTGCTTTGGACCCAATCCACGTTGCTCAAATGGCCAAATACTTGGACTCGATCTATGTTTCCGGTTGGCAATGTTCTTCTACTGCTTCTACTTCTAACGAACCATCCCCAGATTTAGCCGATTACCCTATGGACACTGTTCCAAACAAGGTTGAACACTTGTGGTTTGCCCAATTGTTCCACGACAGAAAACAAAGAGAAGAAAGATTGAACATGACCAAAGAAGAAAGAGCCAAGACTCCATACATTGATTTCTTAAGACCAATCATTGCTGATGCCGATACTGGTCATGGTGGTATTACTGCCATCATTAAATTGACCAAATTGTTCATTGAAAGAGGTGCTGCTGGTATCCACATTGAAGATCAAGCTCCAGGTACCAAGAAATGTGGTCACATGGCTGGTAAAGTTTTGGTTCCAGTTCAAGAACACATTAACAGATTGGTTGCTATCAGAGCTTCTGCTGATATCTTTGGTTCTAACTTGTTGGCAGTTGCCAGAACCGATTCTGAAGCTGCTACTTTGATTACCTCCACTATTGATCACAGAGACCACTACTTTATCATTGGTGCTACCAACCCAGAAGCTGGTGATTTGTCTGCTTTGATGTCTGAAGCTGAAGCTAAAGGTATCTACGGTGACGAATTGGCTGCTATTGAAACTGAATGGACCAAGAAAGCTGGCTTGAAATTGTTCCACGAAGCTGTCATTGATGAAATCAAGGCTGGTAACTACTCCAATAAAGAAGCTTTGATTAAACAATTCACCGACAAAGTTAACCCATTGTCCTGTACTTCTCACAAAGAAGCTAAGAAATTGGCCAAAGAATTGACTGGTAAAGATATTTACTTCAACTGGGATGTTGCTAGAGCCAGAGAAGGTTACTACAGATACCAAGGTGGTACTCAATGTGCCGTTATGAGAGGTAGAGCTTTTGCTCCATACGCTGATTTAATCTGGATGGAATCTGCTTTGCCAGACTACAACCAAGCTAAAGAATTTGCTGACGGTGTTAAAGCTGCTGTTCCAGACCAATGGTTGGCTTACAACTTGTCTCCATCTTTCAACTGGAACAAAGCTATGCCAGCCGATGAACAAGAAACTTATATCAAGAGATTGGGTAAATTGGGTTACGTATGGCAATTCATCACTTTGGCTGGTTTGCACACAACTGCTTTGGCTGTTGATGACTTTGCTAACCAATACTCTCAAATTGGCATGAGAGCTTATGGTCAAACTGTTCAACAACCAGAAATTGAAAAGGGTGTTGAAGTTGTTAAACATCAAAAATGGTCTGGTGCTAACTATATTGATGGTTTGTTGAGAATGGTCAGTGGTGGTGTCACCTCTACTGCTGCTATGGGTAAAGGTGTTACTGAAGATCAATTCAAAGATACCAAAGCTAAAGTTTAAAAAGAATGTAAACATTTAAAGAAACTTCATTTGAGATGAAACCTTGTATGACTTTTAGTTTATTTTTTTTATTTATATATATATTTATTTAATTTTTGCCGATTCCATAGTTTATGTAGAAGGAATTCCAATATTTATTTTCCACTTTGATGAAACTGTAGCATTTTTGTGTACAACTATCGCAACCTCATCACTATCGGAGATTACAACTCAAAAAAAAAAAAAAAGATGAAAGCATCTGAACCCCTTGCTTTCTACAAGAAATGCTATACCTAAGATGGGATTTATCAATCCAGGAAAACCTCTAAATAAAAGAAAGGCTAAACGAAATGATTTACTATCACCTAAAAAGCCATCTAAGCTAATGAAGCTTACTGAATCAAAAGGAACATTCATTCCATCATCACAACAAGAGATGCCTTCAGATCATTTTACATTAGACTCATTACCAATTGAAATACTACACAAGATATTTGCATATATTGGACCTTATGATAATACTTTACCATTAGTTAACAAAAGACTACATTCAATACTTTATTTCACGGGTAATAATACTTCTAGTGACTCATGGTATAATTTTACATTATTTGAAAGAATAGTCAAAGATTATTTCCTTTATGATCTCAATGAAAGAATTGATATGGAAGTAATAGATATGAAACTAGATTATTATGATAATCAAATTAAACAACTCAAAGAGAAATTCCCCAATTTTAATCGGAGCCATACTTTTCAAAGATTAGTAGATAATTTAAACATTATCAGACAATCACTAGATGCATTTATCTTCAACCATGAGGTTCTAACAGTGGACATTTTGAATTTTAAATTCATATCGACTCGACTATTAAAAACATTAAACCAAAGACGATACAAAAAGGATAATGTTTACATGCCAATTAAATCTAAACAAGAGATATTACTCTTACAAAAACTGAGATTAAAATTCTTGCGATTCAAATTCAAAGAATTAGGATTGAATTTAAAAAAAAGTATAGAAGAATTGTCTAATGATGAGCCAGTGCCACGAATAACATACGAAAATTTAAATTGCATAGTTGATTCAGTTTCTGATGAATTGGAAGATGAAACAAATCCAGAGATTAAAATCTATAATGATGAAAATTTCCCTACTGAAGGATTCTTTTGGTCGATTAGTGAACAATATATTAAACTCCATGATAATTACATTGTATACAATGAAGGATTTGAAACAGTGGAAAAGCAAGCTTTTGGAAGAGTAAGAATTCCATATTTTTATTTCATTAAAAGCATATATTCTGAAAGACATTACGATGTGTTGAAATTTATAACACAATCATTTGAATTTGGTACTATTGATGGTCCTCAAGTTATGGTTGAGATGTTGGACATACTTGAAAAACCAGATAATTTCCCTACAGCATATTGGCCACGGTTGAATGGAATTATTGAAATGATTATGACTTTTAATGATGTTCAAAATAAATTCACCGAGACAGTATCGCTGTTCTTTAAACTCTACGAGTCTTGTGTCAAAAGGGATTATTCAACTTCTAAATCAAAACAAGGCAAAAGCTTTCCTAATTTCATAGCAAAGGCAATGACTATGCTATTACAATATTTCTTTGACCATGATCCTACAACTGAAGAGAAAAGACAATTATGGATAACTGCAATGGAGTTAAAGAACATACATATTACTGACTTATTACGTGAGTTTGATGATACTCCAGATTATGACATTCTACATAGATTTATATAAATTTTATTATACACTACTTGTATACTACTAAGTTTTTTTTCTTTTTTTCTTTTTTGCATTTTGAACTTCTTGTTAAATTGTATATTTATATATAATTCTAATATTGTTGATCAATTATTGGTTGGTGATGTGGATGTTGTTGTTGAGGCTGTTGCTGGTAAGGATCACTCAAATGATGTGGCACTGGGTTAGGCATGGTAATTTCATGGAACCAAGGATGTTGCAAAGCTTGTCTAGCAGTAATTCTTGATTCTGGTCTCATTTGCAACAAGCTTTGCAATAAATTCAAACCCATAGAGTCAAGATTTGGAACAATCAATCTTAAATCTTGAGGAACAAAAATTTGCCAATTATTCTTATAATTAGTATATTGACTAATTCCTGGCCAAGTTCTTTCATTTGGAGTACCCATTAATCTGAAAATTTTGATCAATTGATCTTCATTTGCAGTACCTGGGAATAATGGTTTACCAGTACACATTTCTGCAAAAATACACCCAGCAGACCAAATATCAATAGAAGTAGTATAAGCTCTGGAGCCTAATAAAACATCAGGGGCTCTATACCATAAGGTGACAACTTCATTAGAAAAAGTATTGAATGGAATACCGAATGCACGAGCTAAACCAAAATCACCTAATTTTAATTCACCTTTATTATTGATTAATAAATTCTGAGGTTTCAAATCACGATGTAAAACTCTATTATCGTGACAGAACATAATCCCTTTCAATAATTGAAACATAAATGACTTGACAATTTTCAAATCCAAAGCACCTTGTTGACCATGAACTTCCATATATTTCTTCAAATCTTTATCCATATATTCAAAAACCAAGGTTAATTTATTTTCAGTGTGAATAACATCATATAAAGTCACAATATTCTCATGGTCCAACTCTTTCATTAAAGAAATTTCTCTGATTGCAGTTGAAGGAGTACCTTCTTCAGAATCTAGACTAATTTCTTTCAAGGCAACCAATGCACCGGTGGTTCTATTTCTACCTTTGTACACTGTGGCATAAGTACCTTCACCCAACTTTTCAAGTTGTTGAAATCTAATGCGGAGTTAGTAAAAAGAAAAAATCAAATTAAAACCAAGATAAATTTAAAGTTGATAATGAATAACATACTGAGAAGATGAACCAGTCATAATCTGTTAGTCTTATACTTCTTGATAATGGTTGTGAAGATGTTGTTGTTGTTGTTCTTGTAGAAGTGAAAGAAGCCGAAGAAGTACAGTCAGATGTTCAGAAGATAAAGTTAATCAAACTGCAAGTAATTTTTCCTTCCAACATTCTATGGGTAAAAATATTCAAAGGGAAAAAAAAAAAAAAAAAAAAAAATAGAAAATATCGCCTCCTTTCAATGTCTGTTTCATAATGCGACAAATGTCGTATGGTATATACATATTGCAAAATATTACACATAAATTATCTTTTGCTCTATAATCTACCAAATAATATATAACATATATTTCTTAATGACTTCTAGGGTCTTTCTTCATCAAGTTGATACAATTTTCAACCCAGCCATTGGCTCCACCTTCTAATGCAATTATATCAAGTGTACGCAATTTTGTAATTTCTTCTGGTTCAGCAATCAAGGTTGGAATTTTAATACAACTCATAATGGCAGCGTTTCTTGTACTTGGAATACGTAGCATTTCTTTTTCAACCTTCCATCCATTCAGTATAGCAATATCTTCAACACGATCGACTAATGCTTTATATGTAGAAGGTGCTGTTTTCAGACCAGTGTTCTTTCTTGGTGGGTATCTTTTTCTTACACCATCTAAGCCAAATGAACAACATGGAATAACTATGAATGGAAATCCCAATAATGGAATCCAACACGATAGTTCATCTGAATGATTCCCAATAATGAATGTATTTTTTGGGAAATCATTAGTGGTACAGATTTGGTTCGATTTTAGCAATGGGTTATTAATAACTTGTTCTTCACTCATTAATCTGGCAGCTGAAGGATGTGGCTCCAAAAGAATATTTGGTACAATAATTTGTTCCAACAAGTTCTCTTGAACATCTTTTGGATACAATTTCCATGATTTCCTAGCACGTGCATCTATTCCTTTGCCTTTATAACCTTCTTGCATTAATATATAAACCAATAATCCATTACCACAACCCAAATCTCTAAATTCAAAGTTCTCAGGTTCAAAATTATTCAATTTCCAATATTCTATCATGAATGCGGCAATTGCTATATCTTCAAACACATGCTTTCTTGGATCGGTTGATTCTCCCCAATTACTCATGAAATACTCCAGGTATTTTTTCTTTAAAGTGATGTACTGATTCTGGAAATTCACTTTTGGAACAACTAAATCATGATTAACTCTTTTTTCATATCCCAATTTAGTTCCTCTTGAATGCTTTGATGCTGTGGTTAATAATTTTAAGGCAATTCTTATTGGTCTTTCTTGATCTGACATGGATCTTAACAATTTCTCTTGACTATTACCAACTCCTTCTTCATATCCGAATGGCAAATAGTGAATAGATACTTTTGATTTGTTATAATATATACCAATTCCGTAAACTGGAGGTAAATAGTAAGGTGTTTCTTCGTGTGACCTAATATGGGGAATATAAACAACCAAATTTGAATCATTATTATTGGTGAACATTAGACAAGTCTGATTTATAATGTAATCCTTAAAGGGGTTTCGAGGAATGATTCTTCGAACTATTTCATATCTTTTGGCAAAATGTACTTGAGAAGATTCTGGAATTGATCTGATATTAACATCACTTAAATCTCGCATCAATAATGGCGAGTCATCATTAGTTGGAAATTCAGGAATTTCATTAATCATTTTACTCGTAAACATCGTATCACCTTTTTCTGGATCATATACATTTTCTTTAAGAATATCTGCCCTCATAATAACTGTAGAATTGATGTTTGGCTGACGGATAATATTTAACATCGCAGCTTCAAAGTGCTCCGCATTAAAATCAACCGGACTCTCATAAAGTGGAATCCATGACGGGCCCAATTCAGATTCACCAGAAGTCAATAGTGTTGGTTGGATAGCCGACTTCTTTCCTTTTGTCATAGTAAACGTGGAGTATAGAGATGTTTTGGTGAAAATATAAAACTGCTTGATTAAAAAAAAAAAAAAATTTTTTTTTTTTTTCCTTTTTTTGCTTCATCTTCTTCTCTGTTCCTGTTTGATCGTGAGACTGGGGCTATAGAAGGTAAACGATAACACCAAAAATAGGTCAAAAACATTTAGAAATACTAGAATGTGTATGTACATAATAAAACTCGTTACTCATCATTATAAATCAATAAAATATGCATCGGAAATGTCACTGTACTTGTGTTTCTTGTAACAGTAATGACATTTAAAAACCTCCATTCCTTTCTTAGACAATTGCCAAATACTATCTCTTAAAGCCAAGTGTTGACAATAGTTCAAAATTACCACCTGGGTTTTAGATGGATTCTCCACTACATATTTCCTTTTCTTTATTATATTATCTTCCCTTATAGTAGTTTGTACTAACGTTTCAGTAATAGGAATAGACTGCTCTCGGGATACTGGACAGATAAAAATAGGATGATACTTGAACAAAAATCGGTTAGAATCCGGTAATTGGAACGGTAATTCAAATTGATATGGAGCTACTAAGTTTGCCATTTGATGTTCCGCATGACTAGAACCACTATTATTTGAAGATGATTGGCCAGTGTGTTCTTCATGAACCTTTTCATTAGATATTGTCTTCAACTTTTTCAATTTCAGTTGTATTTGGTTGTATTTATAGAAACTTGGTAAGTAAAGGTGACCAGCCAAAATGCTTTGGAATAATGAGGAATCATTTGATAATTTCAAATCCTTACAGTACTCAGATATAAATTCATTGGCAAGATTAACAAATAAGCTGTTATTTTCATGAATTTTTTCAAAACTGGACAACAATTCCCCAACAAATTGTACTTCATTACCGTGATTTGAACTTCTTTTCTTTTGTTCATTTTCCAAATGGAACCCTTGCTTCATTTTTGAAATAAAATTCTTAACAGTAGCAAGCATATGTTTCTTTGAAAAATCATCGTTTGTGTCTGTATCCTTGTCTGTTTTAAATAATAGCAATGTCATCAACGGCGAGATTTCATTGATGTAGTCCTTGAAAAACCTAGCAAAGTTATCTTTGGAATATAAGTATGCAGCTAATGCATCATCTAATGTAAATGACGAACTCTTACCATTTAATAATATTGTAAACTGAAGCATATGAAACTTGAACTCAATTTCATTCATGGAATCAAACTGCGCAACTGACCCAATAGAGGTTTGTGATTTTATTGTACCAATATTAGTCTCTGCCAGCGAGCCACTGTGATCACCAGAGTTTAAAGCAATTCTTTCATTGTATTTCTCATCAAACCAGCTTAACGCCATATTCAAATCATGATTATTGACAATATTGTCCACTATCTTATTCAAGATGGCAAATTTCTGAGACAACGACTCATCAATCACAATTGGTGAATCCAGTGGTAATTCTTTTAAAATTGATGGAACAATATCACATTGTCCCACTTTCAACAAATGAAGAATTATTGATTTAATTAGCTCCTCTCTATTTTCCGATTTAATTTTCTTCAATTGTAACTCGGATGATAACGCGGAGTCAACATCATTAGAAATTAATGGAGCCGTATTTCCATTAGAAGGGTTAATTTCATGCTTGACACCAGAAAAATTACTATCGGGATAGCTATTCAATAACAATGGATATGTATAAGCGTCATCTAGATCGATGTTGAATCGGTTGTTATTGAGAATATTCTTGGTGAATTTATTGTTGGCGGAGTTGTATGATTTTAATCGCGATATCGATGACTTGTACCATTTATCAGATAGCTTTGGAAGTTGATCCAATGATGTCCTCATCTTTCCCGTTGTAGTAGTCGTTTCTCCGTTTTCTTCTTTCTTAATTTCTTCCACCAAATCAGACTCAATTGATCTTAATTCTGTAAGGAATTCATTACAGTCTTGTAGCAAGTCGTTCAAATTGTCAGCACCTGATTGATTGAAAGTGGTGACTTCAGATGTTAAAGTGTCCAATAAACTCGTCATGATGATATAGGGGCCTTAATTCACTATTAAGGATAGAGTATTAAAAAGTGGGTTGTAAAGACAAAAAAAAAGAAAGTGATAAGGAAACACCAAAAAAAAGAGTGCCAGAAAATTTGTGTGGGAAAGTGAGGGAGTATAGTATTGTAAAAAGTACGGCCCCTATATGACATTGTTGTTTTATTTTTCTGTTTTTGTAAGCATTGGATTCCAATCCCACCCCTTTATACAATTAAAACCACACCTCTACATATATGTAACCTAATTCAAACCATATGAATTGGTTATGGCTTTTATACATCTCTTATTTATATTGGGTCGTATTCCAACTATATATCCAAATAATCAGCCTGCACTAGCAACTCTAATGCCAAGTGTGTTGGTATATCAAACTCAGGAATATCTCTACCTTCGGCAACCAAATCTTTATACTTATAATGATAATACAAATACTCCACAATACACTCTAGTATATCACCATACATGTCTAATCTAATCTTACCAGTTCTACCTTCTTCAAATCCCTGAGAGTTTCGTATGAATGATGATATAGATGCCACCTCTTTTAATACGATAAACTTAAAATTATCTGACGATACTAATGTAATATATTCCTTTGAAGACATTTGTATGGTTGTAGATAATATATAGTGAATGACGAATAACTCGACTGAGACACGTCTAATGAATAGGAATCAATGGTAATTGGTTTACCAAAGGAAAGAAAAAAAAAAAAAATTAAAAATACGCTTTGGCTTACGATAAAGTTCGCCCTGCATTTGTTTTTCTGTCCGAAACAATTTTCTTTACCTGAACAACAACTATACCATTCTACCAATTATCAATGCCTCCCAATCCAAGTTTCAGTTGGCTGAAACTACAGAATGTCTACTATAATATAAGAACATGCTACGAAGATTTAAGTTGGTCCATTGACAATTTATATTCCAACTACATTGTGTCTTTTTCTCCAAATACTACATTAATAGCTATTGCGTCCAAGAATATCCCACATCCTAATCTAATTGAAATATACTCCAATAGTGGAAACAAGATATGGTCTATTGTGTATAATAGCAGTCATGATGATTATATAGAAAGTTTCCATTTTACCAGTGATGAAGATTTGATTATTTTAATGAACAATGGAAAATACAGACACTACTATGATTTAATGGGTAACTTCAACGAGCATAATTTCTTGGAGAATTTGTCCAAGATGGATAACTTGAATAACAATAATGACGAAAATAGTCAGATTGATTCAGGATTTAATGGCACAAGAGTGATTACAAACTTGGAGAACAACGAAACAGAAGAGATTGTGGAAATATTTGAAGCTAAAACGTGGGACCAATACTTGATTGTTAGATTAGACGGAAGATTGATAATTACAGATTTGAATAAAGCTATAAATTATGAAGTGCCTTTGAAGTATTATAATTCTGGGGATATTAAAAGCTTCAGCGTTCAAACAAATCCGAATCTCGACAAGTTAGAAGAAGCACTAATTTTGCAAATGGGTTACAAAACAAGTATACTTTCTATAAACGTCGATTTTGGGCTAAACAATTTTGAAATCATTGACCAAGAGTTGACAGATGGCCCCTTTGATACTATTTCAATTTCCCCTAGTGGCCAATTAATCTCATTGTTCAACAAGCAGTTGAAGAAGATTTTCGTTATAAATAACCGATTCGATCAAGTCTTATTAGAATATGATACTTCAAATGAAAGTAGTTCACCATACCAAGTTGAATGGTGTGGAAACGATGCAATTGTGTTGTCCATCAAAGATGAGATCAAGATTATTGGTCCAGGGCAACAATCTATATCATTTTTCTACGATATTGAAGATGACGATGATTTTGATTTAGATAATTTATTGATAAAAGTCGATAGCAAAGAGAAAGACTCAAAGAAAAATGACGATTTGCTTTTCACAATTCCTATTTTCCAAAGCTGTGTTGATGGTTTGAAAATTGTTACTACTAACAAAGTCCAGTTTTTGAGCAGAGTGCCAGAAACCAGTGTACAGATGTATCAAATAGGGTCAAGTTCTCCAAGTAGCATATTACTGGATTGTGTTGATAAGTTTTCTAGTAACGCATCAAAAGCTCATGGGAATATGGCGTTATTAAAAGCTGATGAAACTTTGTTGACAGCTATGAATGATTGTCTTGAGGTTGCATTAGACGAGTTTGCGCCAGAGTGGCAACGACGAGCCTTACAAGCAGTATCATTTGGTAAGATTTACTATGATGACTATTTTGATGCAGATAAATATTTGCAAGTACTTACTGCGATAAGAGTCTTGAACCAAATTCGTTCCCCAGAACTTGGTCTATTCCTAACATACCGTCAAATAGAGGATATGGGTGGTTGGGATCAAGTCATAAAGATGCTTTTACGAAGAAGTCAACATGATTTGAGTTTGGAATTCATCGACAAACTAAAATTGGAAAATGTTAGGCCATTGGTACATATTCATTGGTGTTGTTATAAAATCCGTAAAGAATTGGACATGCTGGATTTGGAATTATTTGAAATTATCAGTGAAAGATTGACATCACTAACCAAGAATAGAGTTAACTATATATCAATGGACCAAATTTCAGATATTGCTTATGAAGAAGGAAGAAATATGTTGTGCAAGTTGTTGATAGAACTAGAACCTTCTGCTACCAAGAAAGTGAACAAGTTGTTAGAAATTGATGAAGAGCTGTTGGCATTAATCAAATCATTTGAATCTGGGAACTACAATTTATCTATCTTGATTTTATTGTATTTGCAAGATAAATTGTCAATTTCTCAATTTTTTAAGATCTTGAATCAAAATGAGAATGTATGGAAAGAGGAAACAATAACCAAAGAAACCTTGAACAAGCTAGATATAAATTTGTCCAGAACAGAAAATATGGCAGTAACAGGGGATGTAATTGGACATACATGGCAAGAATCTATTGGTAAGCAATCAACCCCTCAATTATTAGAAACTTATCTTAAACATGAGGATAAAGTAAATGAATTGAACTTGATTAAATTGCAAAATTTTAGACGCGAAAATCATTCAACCGGAGAGTCGTATCATGATGCTTATAAATCATTATTGACCAAAAGCACAAATCGAACTTTGAACAAGAGAACTTCCAAGGCTTTAAACAGAGAACTACAAATCTTGGAATTACAAAAGAAACTCAGTGAAACTTATTTAGCAGATTTTTATCAAGAAAAGTCATTACTTGATATTCTTGCTCGATTGATTACAATGAATCAGATAAAACAGGCCAAAAAAATTGTTTCAAATTTTCAAGTGGCCCAGGAAAAGTTCTGGTATCTTGTATTGAATATATTAATGAAAAGGAAAGAATTTGACCAAGTGTATGAATTTGCATTTGGATCTAATGATGCAACTGTTGGGAAATCACCTATTGGATTTGAACCATTTGTTGAATTGGGACTTCAAACACATGCACCACCAAGTCATATTAGCACTTATATTAAGAATTGTGTCAAGTACAAATATGACGAAAAGGTTAGGATGTATGTTAAAAATCAAGACTACGAAGCTGCTGCATCTGAAGCGTTCAAAAACAAAGATATCGACATTTTAAAGAATTTACAACTGGGAATTCCAAATTCTAATACACTGGCAACCAGAGTAATAAATAGTTATATACAAAAACTTGGCTACTAGAGCTATATATATATATATATATATAAAAACTACAATCAAAAGATTTAATTACCGTTTAATAAAAGTACCATCTATGATATCACCAAATGATGCCCCTTCTTCTCCAGTTAACCAATGAGGGATTTCTTCTGGATTTAAGATCATCTTATCTTGTTCAGTTGTTCGTACTGATAATTCATGTAGACCACCAAAAACGTCTGAACCTGTGATTTTGAAACGAATAGACGTTCTTCCATCATCATTAAGACCTCTTTCTAATCTACTTGACTTGGTATTTTCCCTAATCGTAAATTCGGTATATTGTATAGGAGCAATAGAATCAAATTCAGTGTCATCTTTTCCATGATAATCTTGACCATTCAGTGATTTATTATCTCCATTATTCATCAGCAGCACATTTCCTGTTATCGTACCTTTAAATCTAAGATTAGCTATTTTCTTCAATCTTCTTAATTTAATATCCTCTACATTCTCGTCATCTGACGGAGTTTCTTCTTTTTCTTGTTGTTTGAATACTTGATGGTGTTCAATTGCTCCAAGTGGTAGCATATCAACCGTTCCATCGGCATAAGGAGTCCAGATACCCAAACTATTTCCAAACCTGCTGTTCCCTTTAAGAATATTCATCGATTCAATGGATTTAATTGGGAATTGGTTTTCTGGAGTGAGTAACTTCAATAAATTTTGATGGCTTTGGGGAAGACTTCTTTCAAACACTTGCATTACTATACTATGGATCATGACATCGTTATTTATCGAATGAATTATATGTGGAGAATTCACAAGTATACCAAAAAAATATGGTTTATATGATACAATATGAGGTTTTTGAGTTATATCCATTCCATTCAAATCAAAAACCTGTATTCTAATGAGTATGATTGGTAGTTTTGGATGTTTACAAATGTAGATGTAAGACAAGTATAAATTAGTTAAATTTTCAACCAACAGTTGTAAGAATTGCGATGGATTAATAGTAATAGGTACATTTTCATCATTCATATCTTTCACAGTCGAGTATACCCATGGTGGAGCATTAGTTGATTTGTCAACAATCAATTGACAATCAATTTGTGAAATCTGTAATAAATTCAAACCTTGAGACCAATATTCATAAATTATTTTATCAATAAGTCTACGTTTTGGTATTCGATTAAAATCATTTTGAAATTCTTTGACTTCTTTCAAAATTTTATTGATGAATCCTTGTCGTGTGTATTTAGTAGGTGGTTTTGGTTGTGTATTTTTAAGTTTGGTCCATAGGATTATGAATTGAAGAATGGAGTTCTTTGATAGTCGATCTATGATGTTATACAAAGTTTTGTGATCTAATAGCGGGATGTAAGTATTTGGCAAAACATTCTTATGCTGCCTGGTAGGCTTTCCCAAAACTGACATTGGAGATTTATGGATCGTAGTATTGAGAGTAACGGAGAGAGAGAGAAGATTCAGAATTTCTTTTGTTTACATTTTACCTTTTTTTTTTTGTTCTTCCTGTCTGTTGCTCGTTCGTGTTGGTGTTCCTAAATTTTTAGATTAGGGCCAGAACTCTGGACGCGTGTGGCACACATTTTTTCTTTTTGTAGTTGCCTATAATTGCAATAGATGAAGATTAGTTGGTTTGCATGAAGTCAAAAATAAAATAAAGAAAACCAAATTATCATTGGTAGACATTTCTTTTGAACACTTTCAATTAAAGTCATAAATCAACCCATATGAGGTAATGCTTATTTCGTAATCAGGTCATTGTAAACAATTATGATTATAACAGGAAGCACGGCTTACGCACCTTAAATCATAACGAGGACAAATCGTATTATCATTATTATTATTGTTGTTGTTCTTGTTATTGTCCTTGGTTGCACAGTCCCTTTGATGGCTGTTTTCTTGAATTGCTGTTTTCTTTTATCTACATATTGTTCCGGTTTTTTTTGGGTTTAGATGAAATTTGAGATACTGGAATAAGTTGCTGTCCATATGCATAATTCCAATGTTATCTCAGAGTCGAACATCTGATTGGTTCTAGAATTGAATTGGATAACCTATAACATGAACCATTCACATTAAGATGGGACTTTTCAATAGCTCAGAGATACGGGGTCATATACGTTTGGTTTATTAATGATTATTAAAGACTTTATTGTTATTGTTCTCCACTCCTACAAACTTTCTGGTAAAATTTTGAGCTGAGCCCCGATATTGTTTTATTATCAGCTTTTTATTATTAGGCTTTTAGAGTATTTAATTACATTGTTGCCCATTTCAACAATAATCGTGTGGAGGTTCGTTGCAGTAATCACTTTTTGCAAATCAAAATCAAAGGGTCGTAATTTTTTTTTTGTTTTAAAAGGATAACAACAAGGATCAATCACGTTTTTATGTGATGGTTTCATTCCTCGATTACATAAGCAGTTTGACAGAATAAAAGGAGACAAAATTATTCAAACTTTGATACATATAAAATATACTACAGCGTAAAGATGGGATGGGAACTGGTCGCATCAATAATAACGAAAGCAGCAGCAACAGAAAAATTACAAAATGATGATTACAGCCAAAAGTTTGAAACAATTTGTGCAAATATTTATTTCTTTCTTTTTTTTTTGGTATTCCGCAAGCGTACAGAAGAACGCCTACTCTAATTACACTAAATATCAGGATATCTCCAGTTTTTGTATTAATAACCATCACTAACTGTTCCAATCAACCAAAAGATTTCCTTCTATCATATTTATTTGGTTGTTTTCCAACCGAAATTCAACTTGTCTGTTCGTTGTGTGTAGTCTTTTTTGTATTTTTATTTTTTTATTTTTTTTTTTTTGTTTTAGTAATTGTTCACGGTTAGTGTCGATTTTCAAATATAATTTTTTTTTTTTTTCTTTTTCCAGAGAATAAACAACCACCGGATAGTGACATACTACCAATCGTAACAATTACCCATTTCCTACTGTGTATTATCAACTAGTTTTTTTTTTATTTATTAGTCCTTTAATTCTCCCTCCTTTTTCTTTCATTATAAATCAGCATCCATTCATTAATTGTTTTGTATCATTACCGTATTTTGTATTATTTGTTGCTAATTTCCATCTAATGCCTAACGAACCAATCAAAAGATCCTTAAGGAGGAAACCCCCTCCACTGGATGTAGTGGACTCATCGGATATCTATCTTTCAAGTTCACCTGAACAACAACCACAACAATTTGAATTTTTTCATAGTTTCAATGCAACCCGAACTCAATTGCCAACACCGAATTCGCCGCCAAGTCATAGACCCGTTCCACCAGTGACAACTTCATCCCAAAATATTGGACCACAAATCTCAGCTTCATCACCAAATTATAGACCCCCAATCCCTACTACATCTCCTCCATCAATCCCTGTACTGGTACTAGATCCTCGTATCCTGAAAAAACCATCGATCCCTCAAGTAACAGCGACACCGCCGAGACCGGTTAACCAATCGGCTAATTCTTATTCTAGTGATTATTCTTTTGAAGAATCGTTCATATCAGTTTCAGACTCAATAAGGCCAAAAGGACCAAAACAAATATGGGAATACGAAGACGATGAATATGATGGCCAGAACAACAGCTTACTTACACCAATCAGAAATACTTCCGTCAGTAGCATCGACTACAAGTCGCGTCCAAGGGCATACCAACAAATTTCATCTGCTTCTAAATCGGATGCATCCATTGTTACTGCACCGTACCCTACAGAAGATACATCCCAATCAACACTAGAGTCTTCAGTACCATATCCAACTACAAATTTTGAGGAATCACTTGCTGAATATCATGAACCAAATTTGGGATATACATTTGGTGTTCCATCTCCATCCCAAATTCGGACACAAGAGATCATAGATAAAGTTGTTGCTGATAGTTCTCCCCAGATTGATGATGTTCCTGATTTAACGTCAAACAGAAATCTGATTAATACGATCAATTCAAGAAACGACCTGTGGACCTCACATTCTCGAACAAATCTGGTGAATTCATATAATAAAGTGGACTATGGCGCTGGTGGTACCCCCATATTACCAATTAATACGTCACCATTGGGATCCCCACCAAAACCCAACCTTCGGCATTTGGCATCGAGAAACTCACAAACGTTTTTCTACAACAAAACCTCACCAAAAAGCAATAGAATGAGTTATGGTCTGGACCTGTCGTATAGTAGATCTCCTTCACCTACGAGACCAAATGTGGATCGAACAAAAACAGTATCTCTGGGTTTTACGTACAGAGAAAGTGAATATTCTGAAATAGCTGATGGTTATAATGAATTTGGCATTGAACAGGGCCCAAGTTCTAGATGGAACTCCATACACCTGAGAGCTACGTATAATCATGAAACTGATAATCTATTTTGGGATGAAGAACTACAAGGAGAATCTGAATCTCCTGCAACGGAGTATTTTGATTATGCAATGTTGCCAGAGTTACCTTTCACACAACCGGTTGTCCCCCCAAGACCTGCAAAGCTCCCAATGGTACCAGCACTGAAGCAAGAGGAAGAGTTACCCGCGTTACCATTGGTGTTACCAGAATTGCCATTTAGTGCTGCTTTCTTGCAATCACAGCATTTCGAAGTGTGCACCAGGATCTGGTCACTTTCTGAACTTTTCAAGTGGTGTTTGAAGTTGAGGATATGGCTACGTGATCTGACAATCTCAGGAACTGAATTGAAGAAAGCATTGAGTGGATTGTTGGCTTTCCATCGAAGAGACACTCCTTTGGATATTGTCAGCAGTAGTGCTAGGGTGGTTTTTGACAATTTCGTTGCATCTGGTGCTATTTCATTAGTGGAAGATGTTGAAGCAGAAGGCAATGACAAGATGTTTGTTGTAATGAACGAGTGTATTTATGTGAATGGTGTTTTACCTTTGCTTACAGAATGTTACTCCAATTTTGCCCATACTAAAGAAGTAGAACAATCAAACATGACATGTTACTCAACATGCTGTACGTTGAGTAAGTCCATGAATTTGGAACGTAAAATGAGAAACACCAACATCAAGGACATTGTTTTAGAGAATGACTGGGCTAGTCATTGGCGCTTAACGGTTGATCATCTTCATGCTATTGATCCTGCACTTAGTAAAAAGCAATCGTTGATCTTTGATTTGCTAAGATACGAACAAACCTTCATTCAGAGGGCAAAGTGTTTTGTGGAAATTGTTGCACCCGAGTTTATTAAAGCTGCTAGAAATTATCTTGGTAAAAACAGTACTAAGATAAACAATTTTCAACAAGATGTTGTCAGTACTGGGAAACAAATTGTTGACATTCATCAAAAAACTTTGTTTGAACCTTTGTTAAAAATCTTAGTTGCTGAAGGAAAATTTATTCACGATTTGATAGGTATTGGTAATGCATACAGTCATTGGGCATACGAGATTAGACTGCCATTAATCAAGTACATGAGCTGTATGCCAATGATTCAAGAACTTTTAAACATTTCCACTTTGAAGAGTTACGTTGACAAACAAATTGGTAATCTTCCACGTGTGAAGGATTTGAAAGTAAATGTTGGTATTCTTTTTATTAGTACTTTCAGTTCAAGATTCTTACAATTACCATTACAATTGCATGATATTTATAAAAAAATTGACGAGAATGATCCGGGATATATTGCCATGCACAAGGCAGCTGATGAAATAAAACAATTAAGTGCCCGTATCAATGATACCAAAAAATCAGCTGATAATTTATATGCGTTGAACAACATTAAGAACCAGTTGGTATGGAAAAGTGGATTACTTCAAATAAATTTGCATTTGAATTCCCCTAATAGAAGATTTGTTTGTCGTGGAGATTTGACAAGGCGAAGTGACTTGAAGAAGCTTCAAACATCCAACTTGGATCATATTATATTACTTGATAATTATATGTTGATCACCAATAGATCGAGAAATAAATATGGAGACCCCGTGTATAAAATAGTTGAAGATCCAATCCCAATTGAATATTTAATAGTAGAAGAAAAGAATGCAAGCAGTGGAACACTGCCAAATGCGGGACTTACATCTACGGTTTCTCCAATGTCTCCGAATAGGTCACCAATTCCACCATCTAATGGCAAAATGACTGCCAATGAAGAAGACGAGGACGATGCTGATGCCTTTCAAATTAAGATAAGATATGCTGGTAGATCTAAACGAGCATACACATTTTCATGCAAAAGCGAAAGGGAACGTAATGGATGGGAAAGTTACTTCCTTGCAACAAAGGAGAATCTAGGAAAGAGATTGCAAGCTTCTAACCCATTTAGAGTGGAACCTGTTTCGAATACTGTATTTGGATATGAATACAATAATCGTGTCACAAAATTGCAGTTAATTGCTCCATTTGATCCAATTTATAATGTATGTGAAGACTCGGTAAACAAAATGAAGAAATTAAAGTTATCCTATGACATTTACAACCCACAATTATCTAGAAACAGGATTGTTTTCAGCAAAATACAGTGTATGAGTACTTTTGAGTATGACTACTTGAAGTACAGTCTTGTTGCCCTTGAAACAGGTTTGTATATGTGTTGTGCTCAAGGAAGATGGAAGAAAATTCTCGGTGGTGCGGACTATATTCAAACATATGTTGATAGTGACATTGGTATCGTTATTGTGTTGAGTGATAAGTATTTGAGATATTATCCAATACGTCAAGTCATTAATGTTTATAAAGAGGTAAAGCTGGATCTTACTGGTATATCATTATCTAAAGATCATGTGTTGTTTTTTAAAATGGGTCGTCATAAGAATGTTAATATGTTGTTTTATGCAAAAAAGAAGACAAATGGAAGTATTCACTTTAAAGTTGTGATTCCGCAGTTGGATAATTCTGGTATATTTAGCAGGTTCAAGGACCATGCTAGGTTCTATATTGAAGCTGAGTGTTATGGTATTTCCATATTCAATTCTTCATTTGCGGTGCACACAAATAAGGGTTTTGAAATTTTGGAATTGGACAAATTGATTCCAAGCTCTGTGCCTGAATTACCACCACCAAGTGATGCAGATAAGAAGAAAGCCGATCCTTATGCGACAAGGAAAAGCACCTCGGCTCAAGCTTCACTGGTTGACACGATTCGGAAATTGCTAAATGCTAATTATAAACCAATGGGGATGTTTAAATTGAGCAATAACAAAGAGTTTTTTTTGGTCTACAGAGAATACGCTATATTCATCAACAAGCATGGTAAATTATCAAGAGATTCTATCATTCACTTCAAAGCACAAAGTGTATATTTTGACAATAATTACTTGTTTGTTGTCAATGACCTGTTGATTGAGATCTGGCAGATTGGTGATCAGCCAAAGATTGCACAAGTGATCGTTGGTAAGGATATCAAACACCTTGGAGATAATGGTTTTACCATGGCTAATCCTTTAGTTCCTGGTTTACAATTGGTTATTAGATTAGCTAGTGAAAAATAAGTCACGTACAAAACTAGGTATAGGAATGTGTACAATTCAGGTTTTTTTTTCCTTGTCATTTAAGTTATTTCATGACATTACAAACCCTGGTTTGAATTTGAGTTTTCAGTTAGTAATAATAAGAATTAGTAATGTAGCAATAATCTTATGGATAATGTGTAAAAACTTTATCTCCTAATTTGCGGGTTTTGGCAATTTGTAAGGGAATGATGATTTTGCGCGTTATTACACATAAACCCAAGATCCAAGGTGCGACAGATAAAAATATCTGCAAGAAGCTCAATTTTAGCACAATTTCCCTTTCGGAACGATAAGTTTGATTTCATTAACAATTAACAATGGCATCATCGGTTGGCAGGTCAAAAAATATTTTTATATAGGAGAGTGAAAAGTTTCTTCTAATTCGTTTCATTATACTTTTTCTTGACTTTTCTATTGGTTTTCCATTCTTTTATATATATATATATATATATGTATGTTAGTGACTGGATCATTAAGTTATGAGCTTGGTATTTCCTTAATACAAAAAATATAAGAAAATCACCCTTTAAATCAAAAACCATTCAAAGACAAAAAAAAAAAATCAATTATTGGGTTAATTTTCATGATCTTCTAATCACCACTCCATACCCTTTCTCAAAAATTAGATCAACCATTCATTCAATAAAAAGTAAAAAGATCCCTTAACAACGTTAGGTCAAAATCATGAAGAATATAAATTGGGCAAGTCCGTTATTTACTGTAATTCAGGAGAATACGATAATCACAAGTTCATATCACCAATATCCTCAGAAAAAGTCCATTCTAAAACCTCCAAGAACAGAACCTTTCCCATTTGTAGAAGAAATAATAGAACCATCATCTGAAAATAAGAAATCTTCAACATCACCACCTTCATTGCATTTGAAACATAAACCAAATAAAGCATGGATCATTATCTTAGACTTGTTGAAGTTTTTATTCGCCAATAAAGTAGCTACATATATCACCAATCTTATTGTCACTTTTATAGGATTAACCGCAATTGGAATGCTACGACTAATTGTCAATAGTGGTAAAGTATTGTTGGAAATTAATTATTCCCTGATAATTGAATTTTTCCTGTTATTAAACCCAACTTGTGATCATTCAGCAATTACTACCGGTGTTACAAATAGTTTTTCAAAAAGAAGACGATTAACAGATTAGCACCATTGATCAGATTCATGTGTGGAGGCGTTTGCAACTATATTTTTTTTTTTTTTGTTCATTTGTTTGTCCCTTAATTTTTTTTATCGGGTTAAACTATCAACGGATATATTCTTTTTTGGTTTTGCAAGTTTGATATTATTTTCACAATTCAGTTAACGGATTTATCCAAATTAATCCGGTCATTTTCTTTTTATATTTTACTTTGATTTTTTCATTCATTTACAGTGTATTTGGATTCTTTATTCATATAGAATCTGGAGTGTAACAGGCATATTAATAGTAACGATGCATTATATATAACGTGTTGGAAAGTACCAACGGTGTAGTTTTTCTTCTACTGTGTGTCCCTCGGTACCAAGTATGCTTAGTGCGGAGACTTCGTAGTAGTCCGCGCGCCCCCCCCCCCCACTACGGTTGGTGGATAAAGGATTACTTTAAGATTACCCCGTATTTTTAACCACACACGAATTTAGTTAGTCGCGCCAAAAACCAACAGAGAAAGAGAGAGAAAAAAAAATCATAGAAAGGGAAGTACAGTATAAATACTCCAGAATTGCTTTATTTAATTACTCCACCTTTATCATTCTTTTTTCTCCCTTTTCTTACTTGTATCCACTATCAAGAAGTTATATACAGACACAATGGTTGAAGTAAACACAGAAGGAAAGATCGCCGTCGTCACTGGTGGTACTAGAGGTTTGGGATTATACTGTGCTGAAGCTTTGGTTTTGAATGGTGCTTCCACAGTTGCAATTACTTCAAGAAAGAAAAAAGCATGTGATGAAGCAAAAGCACATTTGGAGAAATTAGCTAAAGATAATGGAAAATCCACCACAATCATTTCATTCCCAGCTGATCTTGCTGTTGAAGAACAATGTGAAGCATTCTATAAGTATGTTGCTGAAAAAGTAGATAAAGTTGACATTTTAATAGCTAATGCTGGTGCCACCTGGGGTGCAGCTTTAGAAGATCATCCAGTTTCAGCCGTTAAGAAAGTTCTCGATTTGAATGTTGTTTCTGTCTTCCACACCATCAAATTGTTTGTTCCATTATTGGAAAAAGCAGCAACTAAGGAAGATCCATCAAGAATCATTCTCATGTCTTCAGTTATCAGTCTTACTACCAATGATGTAGTTGGTGTTTATGGATACTTGAGTTCAAAAGCGGCTGTGTCTCACTTGGGTAGAAACTTGTCTGTTCAATTTGCTCCAAGGCATATCAATGTCAATTCAATTGCCCCAGGTTGGTTCCCTTCTAAAATGGCAAATGGTTTAATTGAAGCTGCTGGTGATATGATTGTTGAAACCAATCCAAGAGGAAGATTAGGTGAAAAAGAAGATCTTCAAAATTTGTTGATTTTCTTGTGTTCCAAGCAATCTAATTACATTAATGGTGTTGTTATTCCCCTCGATGGTGGTGCCCACAATAACGCACCAGCCGCCCATTTCTAGATTATTATTACTGTTATTGGTGAGTCATAAATATTACACTGTGTGTAGAATTCTTTTTATTCTTTTTAATTTAGGTGGTTATTTACTTTGTACCTTTATTCATTTTGAATATTCCGAACGCAAAACAGGATAAACGTTGGGTATATGTTTATAGAACTATAACTATGATGGGCCTTTGTTAATGCAACCCCCCAGTATGCCATTACCAACCTTCCTTATGCATAAACAACGGTGGTTCTCTTTTTGGATCCCATATCGTCCATTTTCGTTAGTTTGTCGCTGTTGTAATTCATAAGCTTAATCGGTTTTCGATTCGTTTTTTCCGAATATTTTATTTCTTTTGAGTGCTTGATGCAATTACGAAATTCCACCAGCTTAGCCACGGAACATTTGCTTCCAAAAAAAAAAAATAGTACACAAAACTTTTTACCCTTTAGTCAATACATACTACCGGACGGTTGAAAATTAGAATCAAACTCATATGATGCATTCCTGGCATCCCATCTGCATAAATAGAGTTAAAGAGAAGAAGAAGTAAAAAAAAAAAGATCATTCATTTACGTTACTTTTTCTTTCTTATCTCATCTACTTTTTTTTTTCTTTCTTTATTATCAACGAATATATTCTATAATCAAATCATAATGTCCCACGTTACTCTTGTTACAGGTGCTTCCAGAGGTATTGGTAAAGCTATTGTTGAAATCCTTTTAAAAAATGAAACTTCAAAAGTTGTCATTGTTGCCAGATCCCAAGCTCCATTAGAAGCTCTTCAACAAAAATACTCTAGCGATAGAGTTGCATTTATTGCTGGTGATATCACTGCTCCAGAAACTTCCAAAAAAGCTGTTGAATTGGCTATTTCTAAATTTGGTCAATTAAATGCTGTTATTGCCAATGCTGGTGTCTTGGACCCAATTGGTCCAATTGAAACCACCGATGTTCAAAAATGGAAACAATTATACGATATCAACTTCTTCTCTGTGGTTGAATTGATCAAACAAAGTTTACCACACTTGAAGAAAACCAACGGTAAAGTTATTGGTGTTTCTTCCATTGCCGCCTTTGTTGAATTCAGTGGTTGGTACGCTTATGGTTCTTCCAAAGCTGCTTTGAACCACTTGATGCTTTCTTTGGCTGCTGAAGAAAAAGAAATCCAAGCTATTGCTGTTGCTCCAGGTGTTGTTGATACTGAAATGCAAGTTGAAATCAGATCTGTTCACGGTAAAAACATGAACCCAGATAACTTCCAACAATTTGTTGACTTACACGAAGGTCAAAAATTAGTTCCACCTGAAGCTCCAGGTACTGTTTACGCTAACTTGGCTTTGAAAGGTTGGCCTGCTGAACTCAATGGTAAATACTACGATTTCGACAATGAAATCCTTAAGGAATACCAAATGTAAATACAACTGCCGATAGTTTAGAAATAGAATTATTTATAGAATAAAGTATAGATGGAATGCAAAACAATCATTCTTCAGTTTCAATCAAAAATCCAAAATCGGATAAATCAGAACCAACAAAAAGAAAAAAAAAATGCGACAAACTAAAAATCAGAGATATAAGATCGTTCAAGTTTCCTTCGTTCAATATCTTCTTTAGTTCGTTTATAATCTTCACAAACGTAAAATTCTTATCATCAAAATAAAATGTCGTCCCATGTATCAATTGTGACTGGTGCCTCAAGAGGTATTGGTAAAGCAATTGCCGAAATCTTATTGAAAACTCCTACTTCCAAAGTAATTGTTATCGCCAGAACTCAAGCTCCATTGAAAGCATTAGAAAAACAATTTGGTTCAGATAGAGTTGGGATTGTCACTGGTGATATAACAGATCCACAAACTTCAAAAAAAGCAGTTGAATTAGCAATTTCTAAATTTGGACAATTGAATTCCATCATTGCTAATGCTGGTGTTTTGGAACCTGTTGGATCAATTGATTCCATAACTGTTGAAGAATGGAAGAGGTTATTTGATATAAATTTATTTTCTATTGTTGAGTTGATTAAACAAAGTTTAACCCATTTAAAGAAAACTAATGGTAGAGTACTTGCTGTTTCATCTGGTGCATCTACAAAACCATATAGTGGTTGGTATGCCTATGGATCATCTAAAGCTGCATTAAATCATTTGATCATGTCCTTGGCAGCAGAAGAGAAAGATATTCAAGCCATTTCAATTGCACCTGGTGTTGTTAATACTGAAATGCAAGTTGATATTAGGGAGAAATTTGGAAAAGGAATGAGTGCTGAAGGTTTACAAAGATTTATTGATTTGCATGAAAAGAAACAATTGGCTGCACCGGAAGAACCTGGAACTGTTTATGCTAATTTGGCGTTGAAAGGCTGGCCACAAGAATTGAATGGTAAATACTTAAGATATAATGATGAAGTTCTTAAGAGTTATCAGGAATAAGTATAGGTGAATAAATAATAGTACGTTCAGTGAACTTGATTAGATCTGAAATCTTTTATGTTACCAATAGACGTGAAAAAAAAGAAATTCAAAACACGAATCGTGAACTAAACCAAAACCAAAGAAAAAAAAAAAGAAAACGAAAAATTTATTTCCCACCTTTACCTTACCCAATCAGAATCACAGTCCCTTGACTTCTGTACACTTTCATTCGATAATGTTTCCAAGACAAACATTTGTTGCTAGACAAGTTTCTAGAAACTTTGTTAAACAAAGAATCACCACTCAATGTTTTAGAAGATTCAATTCTACCAAATCTAACCCTACACCTCCAACTGGTGGATTCTCCAAAGGTAAGATCCTTTTGATAGTAGGTGCCTTAGCTGTTGGTTCTACTATTGCAGCTTCAATGTTGGATAAAGAAACCCCTAAATCAGCTTTTGAACCAAGTGAAACCAAACAAGGTCCCGAATTTGCCGATGGTAAAGTTTCAGTTATCTTTGTTTTGGGAGGTCCTGGTTCAGGTAAAGGTACTCAATCCGACAAATTGGTTAAAGATAAAGGATTTGTTCACTTATCAGCAGGTGATTTGTTGAGAGCTGAACAAAAAAGACCAGGATCAAAATATGGTGAATTGATTGCCAAATATATTAGAGAAGGTGAAATTGTCCCACAAGAAGTAACTGTTGCATTATTAAAACAAGCTATTCAAGAAAACTATGCTAGTGGTAACACCAAATTCTTGGTTGATGGGTTCCCAAGAAAAATGGATCAAGCAATCACTTTTGAAGAAACCATTGCCAAGTCTGCTTTTACTTTATTCTTTGAATGTCCAGAACAAGTCATGTTAAATAGATTATTGGAAAGAGGTAAGACTAGTGGAAGAACTGACGATAATATTGAAAGTATCAAGAAAAGATTCAAGACCTTTATTGACACTTCTATGCCTGTTGTTGACTACTTTGAAAAACAAGGCAAAGTTGTTAAAGTCAGATGTGATGAACCAGTTGATGTTGTTTACGGTCATGTCAAAGAAGCATTAAAATCTAGAGGTATTTAGACAATATGTATAAATTTATACATTATTATTATTATTATTAGATATTAGAGGTACTATTTTTAAGTCGTGTAGTTATGATAAAATTCCTGTTGTGCTGCGTTAGGCAAAAAAAAAAAAATAGAGAAAGCACTGCTGGAATTTGAAGGGACAATAAATTTGTCATCATTCTACTTGACCAAATCAATTTAGCTATCAAATCGTCATAATGTCATCTACATCTACAGGTTTACCTCCTAATTGGACAATTAAAGTCTCTCGTACACATAATAAGGAGTATTTTTTAAATCAATCAACAAATGAATCCTCCTGGGATCCACCATATGGTACTGATACTGAAGTGTTAAATGCTTATATTGCAAAATTCAAGAACAATGGATACAAACCAGTTGTCAATAAAGATGGACAAGTTAGAGTATCACATTTATTACTTAAACATAATCAATCAAGAAAACCAAAATCATGGAAATCTCCAGAAGGTATTACAAGAACTAGAGATGAAGCAATACAACAAACCAAAAAACATTTGGCTAAAATAAAGAATGGAGAAGTCAAACTTGGTGATTTAGCTGTTACTGAAAGTGATTGTAGTTCTCATGAAAGAGGTGGTGATCTTGGATTTTTCAGTAAGGGACAAATGCAACCACCATTTGAAGAAGCAGCATTTAATTTACACGTTGGTGAAGTCAGTAATATTGTTGAAACCAATAGTGGTATTCACATTCTTCAAAGAACAGGATAATCTAAATATTATGGATATTAAGAAATAAAGATAATATGTAGACAATATATACACATTGATCAGAAATCAAGATTAACTTAACGAATTGGTCTACGGCGATATTTCGATTTGTAGAAATAAGAATAGGTTTGTATCTCAATGTCCATATAACCCAACGGCTTTAATTCAGGTCCATGGCACAAAAATCCACGAGCCAGCTGGCACGAGAACCATTTGCCGTATGAACCAATACAATTTTTCCTTCTCTGGTTCGCTGGGAAGAGAGCGAAGGGGAAAAAAAAAATCTTGGTGTGTGCGCAAAGTTTCAAATTCCATAGAAAATAAAAAATTTTGGAAAAAATCGCTAACAAGCGGATTTTATATATTCTAAGGAGATTCAATTCATATTGGTAGACAATAAAAAAAACTACGGTCCTATTTGACATAATTATAGCTAATTGCATTAGATCTTGCCGTAGACTGAAGTGGCCTGCTCACCCCCTCCCCTTGTCTTGTATATATACTTAAAATTGTGAAATGTTTAAACGGTTAGTGACTCTCGCTGACACTGCCCAAACTGTTTCCTGGAAACAAAATCAATTCCTGATAATCAGAAATTTGGGCACACACGCACTCGTTAGGCACAACATTCCTCGCCAACAATCGACACGAAATTCTACAAATAAATTGCCATCTCCCCCAACTTTTCACACAAGTTCCTTTTTTTCGATTAAACAACTCCAACAAAGGTCCCATTATTGTTCAATGTGCCGCCATACTGATTCCGCAGGTAATTCTGCTTCAATTGTCCCTGCAGACCGTGAAGTCTTGCCAACCAACGTTAAACCATTACATTATGATGTTACTATGGAACCAATTTTTGAAACTTTCAAGTTCAATGGTGAAGAAACCATTGAATTCCAAGTTAACGAAAGAACAGATTTCATTACTTTAAACACTTTGGAAATTGAAATTCATGAAGCTAAAATTGAAGATATTGAAATTAAGAATATTACTTTTGATACTGACAAGCAAACCGTTACTTTCAAATTTGATGACCACTTGCAAGCTGGTAAAACTGCTAGATTATACCTTAAGTTCACTGGTGAATTGAATGACAAGATGGCTGGTTTTTACAGAGCTGCTTACCAAGAAGATGGTAAGACCAAATATTTGGCCACCACCCAGATGGAACCAACTGATTGTCGTAGAGCTTTCCCATGTTATGATGAACCAGCTGCTAAAGCCAAATTTTCCATTTCCTTGATTGCCCACAAAGATTTGGTCTGTCTTTCTAACCAACCAGAAAAGGAAACTACTTTACTCGGTGATGACAAGAAAAAGGTTTCTTTCACTGTTACTCCATTGATGTCCACCTACCTTGTGGCTTTTATTGTTGGTGACTTGAGATACATTACCAATGACGACTACAGAGTTCCAATTAGAGTTTATGCCGTCCCAGGATCTGAACACTTGGGTAAATACTCTGCTGATATTGCTGCTAAGACCTTGAAATTCTTTGACAGTAAATTTGACATTCCATACCCATATGACAAATTGGATATGGCTGCCATTCCAGAATTTAGTGCCGGTGCTATGGAAAACTCTGGTCTTGTTACTTTCCGTTCTGTTGATTTGTTGATTGACGAAAACAACACCAATGTTAACACCAAACAAAGAGTCACTGAAGTCGTTATGCACGAATTGGCCCATCAATGGTTTGGTGATTTGGTTACTATGGACTTCTGGGATGGTTTGTGGTTGAACGAAGGTTTTGCTACCTGGATGAGTTGGTACGCTTGTGATGCCTTGTTCCCAGACTGGAAAGTTTGGGAATCCTATGTTTCTGATTCTTTGCAACATGCTTTGTCCTTGGATGCCTTGAGATCCTCCCACCCAATTGAAGTTCCAGTCAAGAGAGCTGATGAAATTAACCAAATTTTTGATGCCATTTCTTACTCCAAGGGTTCTTCCTTGTTGAAGATGATCTCCAACTGGTTGGGTGAAGACGTTTTCATTAAAGGTGTCTCTAACTACTTGAAGAAACATAAATGGGGTAACACTCAAACCTCTGACTTGTGGGAAGCTTTGGGTGAAGCTTCTGGAAAGGATGTTGTCAAGGTCATGGATATCTGGACCAAGAACACTGGTTTCCCAATTGTTAAAGTTGAAGAAACTGGTAACGGTGAAATTAAGGTTACTCAGAACCGTTTCTTGGCTACTGGTGATGTTAAGGAAGAAGAAGACAAGACTTTATACCCAGTTTTCTTGGGATTGAAGACCAGTGAAGGTGTTGACGAATCCTTGGTTTTGGACACCAGATCCAAGACTTTCAAAGTTGCAACTTCTGATGATTTCTTCAAGATTAATGCCAACCAAACTGGTATTTACAGAACTGCATATGAACCATCTCGTTGGAACAAACTTGGAGAAGCTGGTGTTCAAGGTAAGCTTACTGTTGAAGACCGTGTTGGTCTAGTTGCTGATGCTGGTTCTTTGGCCTCCACTGGTTTCATTGAAACCTCCAGTTTGTTGGACTTGGTCAAATCCTGGTCCAAGGAATCCAATTATGTTGTTTGGAATGAAATCTTGACCAGAATTGGTGCCATTAAAGCTGCTCTTTTGTTTGAAGATGAAGCTACTCAAGATGCTTTGAAATTCTTCACTAGAGATTTAATCAGTGCCAAATTGAATGAAATCGGTTGGGAATTCACTGGTAAAGAATCCTTTGCTGAACAACAATTGAAATCATCCTTGTTTGCCTCTGCCGTTAACGCTGATGAACCAAAAGCTGTTGAATATGCTAAAGAAGCCTTTGCTAAATTTGTTGCTGGTGATAAACAAGCTGTTAATCCAAACTTGAGAGGTTCTATCTTTAACACTGTTGCCAAATCTGGTGATGAAAAGACCTTTGACCAATTGTTTGAAATTTACTCCAACCCACTGGCTATCGAAGAAAAGATTGCTGCTTTGAGAGCTTTTGGTAGATTCTCTAAACCAGAAATCTTGGACAAGGTCACCGGTTTGTTGTTGAACACTGAAATTGTCAAACAACAAGATGTCTATATTCCAATTCAAGGTTTACGTGCCACTAAATTGGGTGTTGAAAAAACTTGGGCTTGGTTGTCTGGTAACTGGGATAAAGTCTATGAACTTTTCCCACCAGGTTTGTCAATGTTAGGTTCCATCGTCACTTTGTCAACTTCTGGTTTCACCAAAGCTGAACAAAGAAAAGAAGTTGAAGAATTCTTTGCTTCTAAAAACACCAAAGGTTTCGACCAAAGTTTGGCTCAATCCTTGGATATGATCACCACTAAAATTAAATGGGCTGACCGTGACTCTAAAGCTATTTACAAATGGCTCGAAGCTAACGGTTACACAAAGTAAGTTACGAATTTTGTTCTTTTCAAATTTTAACTCTCTTAAATAGTCATGTAAATCTGAGTTAAATATAAATATGTTAATAATTTTATTTTTTGGGGTGAATCTATTCTAGCAATGTGAATTATAAAGAGATATTTCCATCTGGTAGCGATTGCGGGTTATTTTTGTACCAAATTTGGCTGTAGCTTTTTTTTTTTTTGATGTTTTATTTTTTCTTTGAATAATTTTTTTTTTTTTTTGATTTTTGAGATGATCTTCTTAACATTGAATATTTGAACCACTTTAATTATCAAACCACGATGTCAACTGAAGAAGATAAAAGTGTTCATGTTGAGACAGTCAAGTCTGAAGAACCAGTTAGTACTAAAAGTACACCATCAGAAGATGGTTTAGATCATAAGACATTATTTGTTCGTTCAATTCCATTTGAAGCAACATCAGAAGAATTATCAGAATTTTTCTCCCAATTTGTCCCTGTTAAACATGCAGTTATAGTTACAGATAATGAAAAAAAGAGTAGAGGATTTGGTTTTGTTTCATTTACATTGGATGATGATTGTTTAACTGCTTTAGTTGAAAGTAGGAAAACTAAATTTAAAGGACGTTTATTACGAGTAGATGTTGCTAAAAGAAGAGATAGAAAAGATCAATCAACACAAGAAGGAAGAAATAAATCTAATGATAATTCAAAAATTACTCCTATTGAAAAAAGAAGAGCAAGATTAATTATTAGAAATTTACCATGGTCTTGTAAGAAACCAGATCAATTGAAGAAAATTTTCAATAAATATGGTGCTGTTTTTGATGCTTATATTCCAAAGAAAAAAGGTGGTCAAATGTGTGGGTTTGCATTTGTTATCATGAAGAAGAAATCTGCTGCAGAAAAAGCCGTTAAAGAATGTCAAGGTTTAAAAATTGATGGTAGAGAAGTTGCTGTTGATTTTGCGGTTGAAAAATCTAAATGGGAACAATTGAAAGACGAAGAAGATGATCAAGATGAAGAAGAGGAAGAATCTGAAGAAGCCAAAGAAGATGAAAAAGAAGATGATGAGCAAGAAATAAAAGACGATAAGGAATCTGATGATGAAGAAGAAGATGAAGAGAATGATGATGATGAAAATGAAGATTTTGATAAATTGAACGAAATAAATTCCGATGATGAACCTGATAGTTCTGATGATATTGAAATTGACATTGAAGAAGAAGAAGAGGAGGAGGAAGAACGTAAGCCTAGAAAGAAATTAAATAAACAAGAAGCTTATTCTGTGTTTGTTAGAAATATTCCATACGATGCTGATGCTGAATCTTTGAAAGAACATTTCAGTACTTTTGGTCCAGTTAAATATGCCTTACCTGTTGTCGACAAGGAAACTGGATTGTCTAAAGGTTCTGCTTTTGTTGCATTTGCCAAAGAATCTGCTTATCTTGATTGTCTTGATAATGCACCAAGTGTTGCTTCTACATCTATGTTGATTGCTGATGATGTTTCTCCATCATATGTATACCAAGGTAGAATTTTATCAATTGCTTCTGCTGTTGACAGAGAATCCGCCAATAAATTAGCTGAAAGAAATTCATTGAAAAGAAAAGAAGCTTTGGGTAAAGCACCAGGTGAAAAGGATAAACGTAATTTGTTCTTGTTGAACGAAGGTAGAATTACTGAAAATTCCAAATTGGCACAATTTATCTCGAAAACTGATTTAGAATTGAGAGAAAAATCTTACAAATTGAGAGTTCAACAACTAAACAAGAATCCAACTTTACATTTATCATTAACTAGATTAGCTATCAGAAACTTACCAAGAGCAATGAATGCCAAAGCTTTGAAAGCATTAGGTAGAAAAGCTGTTGTCCAATTTGCTACTGAAGTTAAAGAAGAAAAAAGACAACCATTATCTAAAGAAGAAGTTAATAGATCTGTTAAATTCAAGCATTCCTTTGGTGATAAAGAAGGAGAAGAAGAACCTGTCAAATCTAAAAATTCAAAACATAAAGGTGTTGTGAAACAAGCCAAAGTTATCATGGAAGTTAAAGGTTCAGGTGAAACTGGACGTAGTAGAGGTTATGGTTTCATTGAATTCCGAGATCATAAAGCTGCATTGATGGGTTTAAGATGGTTGAATGCTCATGAAGTATCTATTCCAGAAATTTTAGAAGGTTTAAGTGATGAACAAAAGAAGATGGCTGAATTGGAAGGATTAAGTAAAAGAAGATTAATTGTTGAATTTGCCATTGAAAATGCTCAAGTTGTTAAAAGAAGAAGAGAAAAGGAAATGATTGCTCGTAATATAAACAAAGATGGTGGTAAAAAGAGAAAGAGAGAAGACAGTGATGAAGATGATGATAACCAAAAAAACAATAAAGATTCAAAATTTGATTCAAAGAGACAAAAGAAAGGTAGAAAAGGTTCTCAAAAGAAAGGTAATATGAACAAGGGTAACATGAACAAAGGTGGTAAATCCAATGATAATGCTGCTAAAAGTGAGCCAAAGAAGAAATCTGGACTTTCTGATGATGTGAAAAAGATCATTGGTATAAAGAGAATGAGAAGAAAGTCAAAGAAGTAGTAATCTAAGATAGAACTTGTTTATATTAAATTATATACCAATATTCAGAAATATTGAACTATTATACAGATTGTAAGAAAGTGGAGGTGGAAAACAATAAAAATGTAAACCAAAAATTGGTGTAAATGCAAATAATACTTTCACAAACCAACATGATACACTTATTTCACTCATGACATAACATAAATTGAAGTGATTAATGCAAATTCAAGATATGGTTCAAAATGTAGAATAACAATAAATGTTTGGTTTGGAAAAAACTTTCTTCAGCAAAGAAATAAATTTGCATATCAGTACCTTCTTCTATTAAAATAAGCAAAAAAAATAACCGTTAATTGTAGTTTAACATTAATAAAAATAAAAAAAATCATAGTTACAGAATAAAATTAAAATATCTAATTAAAAAAAGAAGGGGGGGAACATATTCAATCATCATTCGTTACAAGAAATAATCACTTCTTTGTGTTTTGTTGGTATTGTTCTTTACTGCCAAATCACCATCTTGAACAGCACTGAATATCTTGAAATTAGGGTCTAAATCTTCATCCACTTGCATAACACTTGCAACATTACCACATCTATAACAATAATTAGGAGCTGACCAAACAGTTACCACATCTTTCTCTTTGAAATGATAACGGAACCCTTCCATTACCAATTGATGTGCTCTGGCAATCAATTGTAAATTATTGATATGGTTAAATTCACGTGAAACTTTGGATCCAAACAACCATCCTGCACCTCTTGGTGAAACTGCCCAAGTATCAATATTATCAGGGTCGGACCAAACAAGATCACAAAATCCACCTTCATGAGGAACTTCTTGAGCTCTGGACAAGACTCTAATTTGATCCAACATTCTGATTTCTGGTGATAAACCACCATGAACACATAATATCTTACCATCTATTATAGCTGCTAATGTTAAGAAATCAAAAACCTGACAACAATATTTCCACACAGTTGTTGATCCATATTTGGTTAAACATTCTTCATAAAACCCATAAACTTGGGTAATTTGTCTTGATTCGTGATTTCCTCTAACTAAAGTAATTCTATGAGGATATTTAACTTTCAAAACCATCAATAATGTAAATGTTTCCAAGGAGAAATAACCACGATCAACATAATCACCTAAAAATATAAAATTTGTTTGATTATCATCTGATGGTAATCCTCCGGCTGTTCTGAATAATTCTAATAAATCATGAAATTGACCATGAATGTCACCACATACTGTAACTGGAGATTGAACTGGTTGAATGTTGGATTCTTCCATCAATAACTCTTTGACTAATTCACATAATTGTTTCATGTCAGATTCTGACAATGCTATACATTTTTTGATTTGTTCCAACCACTGGTCTGGTCCTCGTTCTCCCATATTATATAATCTTCTTGGTTATGGTAATATGTTAATCGAATATATATATATATAAAAATATATGAAAAATATGGGTTTAATTAATAATTAAAACTATTGTTATTTTGCCACGGCAATGTAAATAAAATGGGAAAAAATACTGAATGATTCTAAAATGATATAAGTTGCAAACAAATAGATAAAGGAACTAAGCAACTCTTTTAATTTATAAATTATTTAATAATTTATAATCTAGATTGAAACCCTTTAAACAAAAGAAAAAAAGAAAGGGTGTAGTTGCTTCTGAATTGTAATTTTATGTTGATAATTAATATTCAAATGATGATCGATGATAATTGTTCAAACCACGCACAAAATTTTTTGTTCGCTGAATGGGAAGTTTCACACGACCCTTGGTTGTTTTTTTTTTTTTCCATTGATTTGCGAAATGGTTAGTGTGTGTGAGAGAGAGAGAATATGAAAAATTTTACTGGGTAAGAGGATAAGTGAAGCACGTCTGTCAATCTAGATACAAACAGTTTTTCCAATAAACTACTTCTAATTTTGATATGTTTCCTTCATTAAGAGTATCTGGGAGATCTATCATTGCTCCAACTAGTAGACGTTTTTTGTCTTCTAGTATTGTCAAATTCAGTGCAGGAAAAGTATCTAAGCAACAATCATTAAATCCAGATGATGTTGAAGCTTTGAAAAGTGAAACTACTTGGGGAGATGCTGAATCATCGACTCCAGTTGATTTAAATGAAAATATGACTAAAATTACAAATACAATGACCAAATCTACTGATCCACCAATCTACATTGCCCCATCATTACACAGGCATTTCAGAATGGGAGATACTTATACTCCATTTGATTTCAGTATGAATAGATTCACTATGGAACAAAAGGCCAAAAACAAAAAGAAATTGGTTGACCCATTTGCTAAGTCAGGAATCGATCCTAAAACATTATACTTGATGCCAGAAATCTTATCCAAATTCTTAACTTCTACTGGTCAAATATTGTCACGTGATGTGACTGGTTGTAGTGCTGAAAACCAAAAGAAACTAGCTATGGCAATTAAGTATGCTAGAAGTTTAGGATTGTTGTCTTCCAAACATAGACATGCAAGATATATGCCATCCAGAAACATGTGAGGTGGTGTGAATTTGTTTCTGTTTTCTAGTTATTTCTTTAACTATTCTCATGTACATAATATACAATTAATCGAATTTAATGTGTCAATACTTATTAGAATCAAGTTCATATGTAACAAAAAAGAAAAAAAAAGAATAGATGTTAAGTATTAGAGAAGTGCTTCCCCCATGAACCGGAGTTATTGACCAATAGAAACTCGCGATTGCTCCACAGCCCGTGTTCTTTTCTTTTGTGTGGATGTGTGTGAAATTGTTAGTAGTGTCCTTTGGCTATTTTTTTTTTTTTTCTTGCAGTCACTCACTCTGATTCTTTCCCTAGTCCCACACCACCACCTCCTCCATCACCACTACCACCAACTCCACCGCCAGCACAAGAAGAACTTATGGCCAGATTTATTTTTTTTTTTATTTATTTTTTTTTTCTTCTACTTCATTGAACATTTGCTCAGTGACAATCATTCTCTTCTATTATTCGCTCTCTCTCCACCAATTGAACTTTTTCTTTACAATTTTTTGTCTTTCCCTCACACTCCTTCTTTTGTTGATTCGTTTAGTATTTTCTCTTTTGAAAGTTTCAATTAAATTAATTAATTATTCAATTCAAAACATCAACAATGTTATCTCAAATTACCAGATCATCAATCAGAGGTGTCAGATTATTCTCCACTTCCAGAATTGCTTTAACTGAAGGTGCTATCTCACAATCCAAAGATGCCTTTGCTGAAAAGGAAAGAGCTCAAGAAAATGTTTACATCAAGAAACAAGAAGCTGCTCAATTGAAGAAGTTGAAAGAAAAATTACAACAACAAAAGGAAACCATTGAAAAATTGGAAAAAGAATTGGATGACCATAAGAACGGTAAAGCTGGTAACTAATTTTAAAAGTTATCATTGAAAAAGAAGAAGAAAAAAAAATAATGATAATAATGGTATCAATTGATTAGGACACATGGGAAGCTTATCACATTCATTATTTATTTATTAGTTAATTAATATTTTGATTGGTTTAAATTGATTTGCCATTGAAGAATAAAGAAAAAGAAGGAATTGATTGTGGTTGTGGGGGGTTTAACCTATACAACACCTTGAAAGTTCTAATTTATTGAAATCATTTATATATATTGTTTATTTATAATAGTATAATATTTACATATTCAAAAATCTTACTCACGTTAACTGGTTGTGATGTTTCATACAAAATCAATTGTTAACCGGAGATCTAGCTGTTTTACTCTCTCTTGTCCAATTGACTATGGACAAAGAATTGTACATTCTAATCGCAAATACTACAAGACTCCATTGTAGTTATTACAATATGTTTCACAAACGATAGATGAAGCTATCAATCCGTATCAAATGTTGCAAAAACTGAACGAAGCCATTGATATCAAGTGATACAAAACTCGTCAATAGATGGTTAACAACAAGGATCTGGAGGAAGGTGGTTCCACACATACAAATTATACTTTCTTGTGAAAATTATATATAATCACAATCAATTGTTTAATTTTAACTTTAGGAAACTCAGATCACATGATACATAAGATGATACATTGGCTAACATATAAATCAAAAAAAAAAATTAACCACACATAATGTATTTACAGCTTTGTAGAACTTGTGTAAACAGTATCCGTTAATAAGAAGTATAAGGAGGGGGTGTGAATCGGTGTTTAGAAAGTGAACAACAAGATCTACTTTGTATAAATAATAATTACGTAGTTTTGTTGTTGAATGTGTATTGTTCTTTCTTTGCTGTTTTCTTGTCACACTCATTTCATCTGAAGAATTTGTGGTATCATCAGTTTCTAGCTACAATTACAAAAATTAAATACTCCCTGTTCATTAATTCATACTCATCATTCTTCATCGGTTAGGTGTTGATATCAGCTCTCCTTTTTTTATATATATATTTGGTTGTCTATAATATCAATCACTACGATCAAACATCGGGTCACAAAACAGTGGTTTATTTCCTAATTCGGATATCTAATTTTTGGTTTTATTTTATTTTATTTTTTTTCTTTCGTGCTATATCTCCTATTTTGGGGCCCCAACTTTTTCTTTTGTACTAGAATCATCTCGACCGAATTTGGCACCAATAAACCTTTCAGTAGCAAATTTAAAAAAAAAAAGTCCCATCAGAATATAACGTCAAAAAATAAAAATAGAAAATATATCAGCTACTTCTGTCTTTGTTAATTGAAACAACGGTTACTTAGTTTCGTTTCTATTTTGTTTCATGGGGTAATGGTGCTTAATATATTTAGCAAGAAATCGGTGGCTCCAGCTGCATCACTGGCGCCTGCAACACCAACAAGAACAATAACATCCTCATCGCCAAAGGAACCAACTCCAAAATCAAAGAAAGCATCACCACGTACATCACCTCAAATTGGAAGCTCTACGACTACTGATTCAAACAAAGGAATCGCTTATAAATCAACAAGAATAATTATCCCAGGTGGTAGCTTATCAATAAATCAAACTCCATCTCCAGAGGAACAACGACCACAGCCATGTACTACACCACGCGGACAAAGAAAGAAAAGGCAATCATCACCTAATACAACTACTTACAAATCCAAGAAATCCAACTCTCTGGACTCCATCAATGGAGATCAACGCCCATCGTCTTCATCATCATCATCATCATCGGCAACTCGCATTAGAAATCGTGAACGAGAAAGAGCAGTTAATAATAGGACAAGGCCATTAAGGGGTAGTTACCGAGATAGAAGATCAAGTATATCTTCAAGAGAATCACTCAATTTAAGAGAACGGAAAATTAAACAGACCATTAAATCCAATAACAATAATAATAATAATAATCGACAACAAAGAAGAACCCCGCAACCAAATCCACCATACCCAATTAATGACATTGCCGATTTAGTCAGTGATGAAGATCATGAAAATGATTCACTGACAACATATATATCCGGTCAAATTAATTCTAGTGGCACTGCAACGACAGCGGCACGGAATCAAATGATATCTACCAGCACCCGTCCAAAACGGAAAAATAAAAAGATGGAACTAGCTAGAAGAGCTACCGCCAGACAATTGGAAACACCTAGAAGCAATGCTACTACCTCCACAACTATGGAACCGTCAACTTCACTGCAAATTACAAACAACACAGACAATTATTATTATGATGCTCCTCAACCAACCCAAACGGAAGCAGTTGCATGCATCTTAGAAAGAACAGGGAGTCAAGCAAGAAACAGTCGAAGAGCAAGGAGAGCAATGGAGTTGAGACATCAAGAAACTATTGAGGAAGGAAGTTCCAATAATCATCAATCAAATAATAATAGTAGTACCCGTGATACTAATATGCGTCCTATTTCCGATATCCGTCTTCCACTTTTATTAACACCGAATATTAATGAACATGAACGGCATTCAACTGACATAAATTTGCAGCAACACCAACTGCAGGTACCTAATATTCTGGAAACACCTATTCAACAGGAAGAAGAAGAACAACAACAACAACAACCATATAATACTCCTAGTATACCTCACCAACAGCAAGACGAAAATCAACGACCATTGAGTACATTAGAAGAAACAAGAAACGCGATACTTGCAAGATTGAACGCACGAGTTGATATTTCAATGTTTTCAATGGATTTGATTGATCCTCCACCATTGGATGAATATTCACCTTCATTAATGGAAACTGAAACCACAACAGAATATTCACCACCATATAGGGAACATCTACATCGTAAAGTTGATTTAATTTCATTTGATCCAAGATATTCTGTTCCAGTATTAAGAATTAATAAAAAATTAATAAAAAATAAAAAGAATTTAAAGAAAGTGATTCGAAAATTGATAAAATTAAGAATTGTTCCTGAAGATGTCAATTTATGGGAAATTAATAAAGTTGATGATGGTGAGTTTTATAGTATCTTGCCTGGATTGATTCATAGTTTTGAAGAACAACAACGTGAAGAACGATTACAACAAAGACCGGAAGAATATGAAAATGATATACAACGTGCACTTGCAATATCATTAGAAGAAGAAAATCAACGTGAATTGTATAGAGGTTTCAGATATCAAGAACGATCAAATAACAGAGTGATTGAACAGATTGTTCAATTTCCAGATTTTGATTTGAATCATGGTAGATTTATGGATGCATCTGAACTAGAACGACAAGAACAACCAAGAGAAGAAGATGAATCAGCCATAAGACGTGAATTACTTAGAGGGTTTAGGTATAATCAATCAAGAATGAGTCGAGCTGCTGAAGAAGTTATTGACTCTCCTGTTCTTGAACAGATCGCAAGCCAAGATGATGATGAGGATGATGATGAGCTTGTTACAGATGAACTGGAAGAGAATGAAGACGAATTTATTGATGTTGATCAAGCTATTTCAGAATTGTATACTGAAAGCCATCAATCGCGTCAGAATGGATTATTACCTGCACCTCGGTTTGGTTATTCATTACCACATCATACTCAATCATCAACATCGTCGTTTATAACTGCTCGCCGTGGGTTATCTGTATAGTTTGTGTAAGACTATTTTTTTAATTTTGCACCAAGAAGTGTTTGCATTTGTCTCAATTTTTTTTTTCATTTTTTTTTTTTGGAATCCCGAATGGGATTATGTATGCATTAATTTAAGCCTACTTCTTTTGGTTTAAATCTTAAGCCATACGGCGAAGTAATTGGATACTTTCCTCCCTGCCTCCCTCTTTGCTCCCCTATAATTTTGAAACATACTTCGCCTCGATGGTTTCTGTAACTTTCAATCGGAGAGAATGATAAAGAGGAAGAGCAACAAAATCAGAGAAAAGGAAACAAGTAAGAAGAAAAAAAATTTTCCAACCAGCCGGCTCGTATAAGAAGTCGCTTTGAGTACAACCCGAAGAAAAAAAAAACCTCCTATATCTTTCACTCGATTTCCCACACATCACGGAGAGAAACGAAAAAAAAAAAGAAAGAAAGAAGCAAGTAATCAAACGAAGAACATCCGAATACTCCTTTTTATTCAAAAGACATATCCTAACCAAGTATAGATTTCAAATTACTTTTCAAACTCAGTATACCTATGTATAATAAGAACTTTGTGACATTAACCATTCTAATTCTACTACTGCTATTCCTATTTTAAAAAAATCATGTTAAAAATCTTACCTGAAGACTATCGGCCATATTTAGAATATCTACCAGATTTACAACTATGTATCAATATAATTATGACTTTTACGCCATTATTTTCATATGGATCAACATGTTATAGTATACAAAAACGACAAACATCAGTAGGGTTTTCAATTGATATATGTTGTACTATGTTTATGGCAGCTATATTACGTATTTATTATTATATTTGTTCCCCTTATGAACCAACATTATTACGACAATCAATAGTAATGATATTTATTCAAAGTATATTATTAAAAATTTCATTAAAATATAGACCAAATAATTATGATCCTGAATTATTAAATCCATTACCTGTTTTTGAAAATGAATTAAATTTAAGAATTCCAAGAAGATTAAGTAGTGCAACTTTAGAACATGAACTGTATTGGAGAGGTGATTGGATTAATTCAATGGAATTATTATCATTAGATACTTTAAAATATATTTGGGGATATTTTATAACTTATTTCAATCAAGGTTTAAGATTTTTTGATGTTTATTATAAAAGACCTTTTAATTTTTGGCAATGGAAATATGAACGTAATTATTGGTTATTTATAACTTGGTTTATTGGGATTTTTGGGATATTAACAATTTTTTTAAAAGATAATTTAATTTATACAAATATTATTGGAATGTTGGGTTTATTTATTGAAAGTTTATTACCATTACCTCAAATTTTATTATTAAATAGATTACAACTGGTTAAAAATTTCAAAATCATATTGTTATTAAGTTGGTTATGTGGTGATTGTACTAAAATTTCATATTTATTATATGGTGCTCAAAATATTCTGATAATTTTCTTAATTGCTGGATTATTTCAAATGAGTTTAGATTTTTATATTGCATATCAATATTTGAAATTTAAATATTTGGATGATTATCAAACAAATAAAGAAGTGGGATTTGTTGAATCACTGGATAGACGTAATCAACTGATTAGTGAAATCGTTCAACAAATGATAACACCATCTTCTTCAGAAATAGAAATGGACGATTTCACAGAGAAACATACAGATTCAATCGGTAATAAAATTAGATCATCTCGATCTAGATCACGATCTGGTTCAATGATCGTTTAAGACCTAATCCATTCCATTATTCTATTTATAGAGACAGCATTTTACATAACTTTTTGTTTAGACAATAGTAATAAGATAATGTATATATATATATTAATTATAAGTAAAGTTTTAAGAGTACAAAGTATCTATAACGAATACTATGTACATGTATTTGAATGATATATCGTTAAAAAAAAAATAGATAAGAACTATATATAAGTGTATAAAGGTATAAGATAAAATAATAAAAAAGATAAATTCTTATTAACAAATAAAAATTAAAAAAAAAAAAAAATCAAACCAGTTTGTACGCCATAAAAATTATTAATAAACCCTTTAATTAAAAATAAGAAAGAAGAAAAAATAAAACCCTTAAAAAAAAATATTACCGAATCCCCTTGAACTACCCAGTGATTATACTGGAATATATTCAACATTAGCTTTGGCTTCGTTGATTAAATCTAAAGCATCTTGACCAACCAAACCATGTTTTATCTTAATATGTCTAGATAATGCATCACCTCTTGAAAATGTTTTGTCCTTACAATTACCTGGACCACCATGTAATCTATCTTCACAAATAACACATCTAAAAATCTTCTTCATGGTTGCATGAATAGTATCTTGATGTCTAATTAAATCATATGGACGAGAAAATTGCTTGTTACATGGTTCACCAGTACTTGGATTGATCAAATTACATTGATGATTTGGATTATTAGCAGTGATTTCAGCACCAGAAATAGAATGAGAAGAATGATGTTTCCTGGATTTACTAGAACCTTCCTTACCACTAGACTTTTTGGTTGTGTGTTTCGCAGGTGGTGCTGGAGTTACAGCTGGTTCTGGTTTATCAGCAACAGCTTCTTCTTCAACATCAACCATCATATCATCATTATCTTGGGAAGAAATAGCAGATGGAGAGACTTCTCTTGGTTGCTCAAATTCCAGTACATCTTCTTCAAGTTTGATGGCACCATTCATGGTATCATTGTTGTAATTATCAAAGTTGGAGAAATCATCAAAGTTGGAGTTACCATTTGTCATCATAAAGTCGTCAAATTCTTCGTCAACTTGAAAGTAATTATCGTCACCTTCATCATCAGAAACATCCTCTTCTATTTGTTCATCATCTTCATCCAAAAACAAATAATCATTTTCGTAACCAGGAATAATCAAATCACTGGCAGCAGCATTAGATTGATCTTGTTCAGATAAAAACAAGTCATTACTGTTTGGTGGAATAATCAAAGATGAGTCAAACTCATTTTGGTTAATGATTTGACCTGGAGAAATGTCTGGATTGTACAACATGTATTCTTCGTCAAAATGCTTCTTTTTATGAGAAGATGCACCGTCAATACCTTCATTCAACAAAGTAATCTTTCTTCTTCTTCTAGTTGGGAATGTTTGTGGTAATGACGCGTTGGCATTAGCATCTTGTTGAGCTTGTTGTTGTTGTTGCTGTTGTTGTTGAAGTGGTCTGATAAATGAGTTTGGGTTACCGTAATCGTTGAATGGATTAATTTGTTGAGGTTGTTGAGATGTGAAATCTTGAGCAAAAAAATCATCCGAATCAAACATAACTTGTTGTTGTTGTTGTTGCTGTTGTGATTTCAAATGATCAATATATTCTTGTGATGCCAATTGTTCTAAAAATGAGTCAGGTATATTTAGAACATTACCTAAATTGAAGTTTGTAGATGGAGGAGGCGGAGGTAAATTAGATGTAGTAGTTAAATTTGGTGATGAGTTGAATGAGTTTCTTGATGAGTTGTAGTTATAATTTGTTTGTTGGCTGTTATTATTAAAAGGGGCATTATAAAATGTGTTGGGACTATTGGTTTGATTAAAATTGTTATTATTGCTTGCATTAGCTGTAAGGTTGCTGTTGGAGTTAAAATTACTACCGTTAATATTGTTGACGGTAGGTGATGAAGGAGATTGATACAATTCTTCATCCATGATGTCTGTTATAGTTCTCTTTAATTGTGGTAAGATAGCCAATGAAGTCATTACTCTATAAGTGTTGTAAAAAGTTGTGTTGTAAAAAAAATAACGTGAAAGTAAAAGGAAAAAAAAAGTGGTGGTAAAATCATAAAAAAAAAAAGGAGTGTGAGTATTTTATATATACGCAAGTTCCTTTTATATATATGTAAGAAGAAAAATGTCTCTCTCTGTCTTGTCTCCTCTTTTTTTGTTGTATGTATGTATAATCTATGTGTAAGTGATAAAGTGCGTGTGTCTGGGTGAGATATCCGCTTATTAATCTCTTTTTTGTTAGTAATGTCGTATGCTGCTACAACTCAGTATTATTTTTTTGGATGATGTGTACACTATTGCATATGTTACACAAAATGACAAAAACGGAAATCATTAAAGAAGACAACAACAAAAAAAAAGAAACACTCACTCTTCACAGACACACACACACACTGCCCTCATTACTACTGCAGGGTAGTGTAGTGTGGGCAAAATGCCTAACAAAGTAAGTTCCTTAATATTCCATGACATTCTATAATCTTTAATTACGTAAACATTCTCCTATCGCACACTACTCTCACCACATACTCAAACCAATTGATCTACACATATCATAGTTTACATTACAAAAGAATGAGAGTAATGAAACTGTTACAATTAACATATCCTTATTCCGTATTCCATCTTCTCCCCCCCCCCCTATTCTCATAACCTAGGTAAGCGAAACCCAAGTCCGTCCTCGAATCATTGTACCATTTTTATTCATTTCCCTTTTTTTGTGTGTGTGGATGTTGGGTTGAGTCGGATTTCTGTCAAATTATTGTGTACCGGAGGAGATGCTCTAGTTAAATGAATATGAATGACCCAATGTCTCGCTTTGTCAGCCCTTTGTTTCTTTTTTTTTTCTTCTTCTTCTTGTGCTTTACTGTTGTAATGCTTAGCAACAATATTATTACCGGCAATTGTAGAGAGAGACAAAGAGAAGAATATGAAGATCTTAAAACGCAATTAATAGAAATACCGCATATTGGAACGATGAGTGTATATCGTTGTTCAACCGCTAACATAAACTCCCCCTATAACTAAAAGAAAATAAGCTCACTTTCCTCGTAGAGATGGTATTATACAGTTAAAGTTTTCATGTTTAACACCTTATTGTTCATGTCTATACGTTTAAAGAGGTGTACTTTTTTTTTGCTTTTCTTCTTGTCACACCTCCAAAGGGTAATGAGGAGAATCTAGAGGGGCTCCAAGTAAAACAATAATAAACAGATCAAAGATGAGTCACTTGACTGTAACCAAGCAAACTACAAACAGACAAAATTCAAATCTCGTATGCGCATATAGGATAATACCTGAACCTGTTTCATTCTATTTTTTTTTTTCTTTAGTTGCTCTATTTCTCAGGTTCTAGACTATCGGCCTGTCAAATTAGTGGTTATGGTTATAGTCACTCGTCGTGTCGTTTGAATTTCATTTCGCTTCGTTTCGTTGCGTTGCGTTTGGTTTGCGATTCGGCCGGTTATCTGATTCAAGAAGCAATGTCCGTTCCCCTATTCTCCATAATTAGCCCATCACAAAAAAAAAAGTGCAGATAATTAGATGACAGGAAATAAAGGGAATAAAAGGGAATAATTTGATCTTTTTGTTAATTTACGGCTAGTTTCACAATTATCCGATGTCCGCATTTCTTGTTGATCCATTACAGGAAAAACTTTACATCCGTCTTTGGAACCAAAAAAAAAAAAAAAAAAATGTCGTATAAACCCAAAAATAAAATTGAATCCTACATAATCTGCATAGCCCTAATTTCTCCATAAAGAAAAACTGCAATAAAAGTGAAACAACAACAAAAAATACTCAATAAAGTGTTCGACCCAAAAAAAATAAAATGTTTATCAACTATTGATAATCGGTCGTCTTTATTGATCTATCATGTTCTATTACTGACCTCGTTTATTTATTTGTTGGTTTGTTTTCATTTCTATTGAATTTTTATTTATTTTTTTTTTCTTTGTAGATTTATAATTTACCCTCCTGGGGTCTGTTTGTTTCAAGACCTTCCATTTTAACTTTTGCAATTCCTTTTTCTGCCTTTTCTTTATCTAGATAATAATATGGTTTGATCAATTCTCCCCTATCATTCAATTCAAATACCAATGGGATTCCTGTAGGTACATTAATCTTGGAAATGTCATCGTCACTTACATGGTTAAGATATTTGATTAAACTTCTGACAATTGATCCATGTGTCACAATTAAAACGGTTTTATTCTTTTGAATCATCTCATTATCCAAGATTTCATATTTGAAAAATGGAATCAATCTTTCCATAACCATCAGCAATGATTCTCCACGTGGTAATATTTCTTTATTCATAATATCGTTATATCTTTCATCAATTGATCCATCTTGGCCAATTTCAACTAATGGAGGTAATCCATGATAATTTCTTCTGATATATTGGAATTTTTCTTTATCTTTACCCAATTCAAGGAAAACTTCATGTTTATCTCTTCCTTGATATTTCCCATAATGACGTTCATTCAATCTCCAAGTTTTAATATGATCTATCCAAGGTTTATGTAAAACTTCCAATATACTCAACCCGGTTTCAATTGATCTTTTTAATTTGGATGTGAATAAGATGTCTGGATCAAGATTATGTTGTTTAATTAATTCGCCAGCATAAACGGCTTCTGTTTTACCCTTATCTGATAATGGAATATCTATCCACCCACAAAATTTGTTCTCGTGGTTCCATTGCGATTCTCCGTGTCTTAAGATAATAAGTTTATGTACTGTCATTTATGAACTAATTTTGAATTAGAAATATTAAAAAAAGTAATACAAGTAGATGAACAAAGAAATTAAAATTGAAAACTATTCTATTCAACGATGGTTTTTATGTTAAATTATATCCAATTTGGCCTGCCGTCATGAGATCAAAAAAATAAAAAGGAACGAAAAAAAAATCACATTCTTGACCAACATACCATCAAGTGATTTATTGCTAACAGAAAAAAGAGAGGATCTTTGGATGCAGGAATCCGAGCTTCCTTATTTTTTTCGTTCTCTCTCTTCATCTCTCGGGATGATGAAGTACTAACTATTCGGGGAAAAGGAACTCAATCGTCTGTTACAAAAATTTGCACCCAATTAGAATATCATAAAAATGTACACCTCTATATATTCAGTTATGTTCTGCCTATTTGATTTACCCAACAATCAAGCACCCATAATGAATAACATAACCATTACACACAATTGTACGTTTATCCATTCTTGCTTTTTTTTTTCTTTTTCTTTGTGGAGAAGGTTATGGAAAAAATTATAATGTAGCAACAATTTCGTGATGATTCTTGACAAATAAATAGTGATTCTTTTTTTTTCTATATAAAATTTTATCAGATCTCATATATTACTCATCTCTTTTTCTTATATTGTCAAATCCCATCATCGATGTTTAAAAGAGATCCATTTGAAGGTAAAGTCAAGCCTTATCAACCAAAGTTATCAGAACTACATAGATCTTGTTACATACTACTACACACCATAAATAATAATTCACTCTCCACATTCAAGATATCAATAGATCAATCATCAAATTATATAATAAATCTATTTTATATTTATGCCTTATTAAATTTATCTCAATTTTTCAATCATGCTACATTACTTGATAAAATACCTCAAAATCAGCATTATTATGTGCCCAGTTTTATAAGAGATACTTTTAGAGACATGTGTCGACCGATACCTGATGGTTCAGAAATATGGATTCCTCAAATTAGTATAGAAAATATTGAAATTGATCAGGATATAAATAATCAATTGATGTTATTTTTCCATGAGTTTAACATTCCTGTGGTTCCAATTGAAAAAGAGACCATTCAAATCATGCCGTTCCAAGCATGGAATACCTTATCTTGTAATCTCAGAAGATAAAGGGGGGAGGGTTCGGTTATTGTTATTTAATGGTGTGTTTCCTGAATATACACAACTACACAGCAAGCATGTAGTAAAAAAAGCAGAATGAAAAAGAAATCACGCGTCTTTTATTGTTTGACATCCTCTCAATGAAAACGTTGTGAGTGTATTTCTTTTTTTTTTTACATTATCTATATTGGTGACTTGTTAATCGGATTATTCGATTTCTAATTTTTTTTTTTGTTTTTTGTTTTTTGCAATTTGTATGGTAAATTGCAACATTGTTGTATGTGCGGAACAATATCTTTGCAATCTGCGGGTATTTCTTTTCTATCTTTACCCACAAGATCCACGTTTTTCCATGAAAGTTAATTCTGGCGTATTTGCGATGGTCATTGTATAAATACCAGAATGAATACCTCTTATTCAAACATCCAAATTTTATCGGTCGTTATTTTATTCTTGGATTGTTTGTTTGTTTTTCCTATATTTCACTCATTGCTCCTCTGCACTGAATCGGACTTTATCCAACTAATCGGCAGCACAATCAATCAATCTTTAGTTTCTTTTTTTTTTATTTTTCCCTCCGTCTCACTAAAAAAAAGAAAAATTAAAAGCAATTTCAGATTTATAAAAGACCATGACTTTATCTGCTAATACCAAATCTTTAATTACTGATACCAAATCTTTATCAAATACCAATCAACAATTAAATACACCACCAGCATCACCAGTAGGTTTTGAAAAATATTATACCCAATTTAAAATACAGTTACATCATAGTGATTTAATGCCACAACCATCCAAGATAAAATCAGAAGAACCATTCTCATGGTCAGAAATTGAATTTATTATCAAAACCAATCAACTTGAGATTTTTGCTAGATCAGAAGAACAAACTATAAAATATCATAATTTCAAACGATGGTTAAAAGATTCAAATACACTGGTTAATGATTATCTATTGAATCATGAATTACATTGGAAAGAATCTGATATTAGAGATCAAGAACATGATTTACCACAAGAATATTCTATTGAATATCCACAAGATTTAATTTTTTACAATAAAGATGATATCTCAATATTATACAATAAATTCCCATATTATTTCGATACAAATGTAAAGCATTTGTGTATTTGGTCTAAATTAAGAATCCCTGTTGATAAGAATAGTCCAGATGGTGATATTTCTAATAGAACAAGAAAAATTATTCATAGATATCTTGAAAAAACATTTGTTGAAAAAGGTGGTCTTTCATGGGATCAAATTGTATGGTTCAAAAATTGGTTAACTTTACAAAGTGTTAGAGCCATTAGTCATATTCATGTCATTTTACGAGACGTTGATGACAAGTTCATTGAGGAGTTGATTGGTGGAAGTGGGGAAGTCTTGACTTTAGAGGATTATAAAAACTTATAGATTACTAGTTTGTTTGTAGTAAGAAATCATAGCTAATACATATACGTCATTCAAAGAATACAATAGTTGTAAGAATTGTAGCAGGTTGTCAAATCTGACAGAAACGATGATTAAGCAACATGTCGTCATCATTCATTCATCATGTTGCACGACATTTCTAATATGTCGTCATAATTAATCATCATCAACATTTACCGCTTCCAGCAAATTCTAGAGTTTGCTAGCACAAAAACTGAAATGAGAAAAATTTCACACTGTGTGTACGATTTGATGTGTATGAGAGAGAGAGAGAGAGAAGAAGAAGAAGAAGAAAAAAAAAAAGTTCTACAACCTTCTAAAATGTTCCACGCTAGACCAAAGATTTAGATTATTATGAAAAATTTTGCAACGATTGGAATTTCTCGACAAGTAATCAAATTTCCCAAAAAAAAATTATAAAATTTCAATCAATTCCTTTAGATTTAAAAATTTTTCATTTTATTTCTTTCTTTTCCTTTTCTTCTTCTTCTTCTTCTTGTTTTTTTGTTTTAATTAACTAACAATTGATTAATTTATTATAATGTCTAAAGCTGTTGGTATTGATTTAGGTACTACCTACTCCTGTGTCGCTCATTTCGCTAACGATAGAGTTGAAATTATTGCCAATGACCAAGGTAACAGAACTACTCCATCCTTTGTCGCTTTCACTGATACTGAAAGATTGATTGGTGATGCTGCTAAGAATCAAGCTGCTATGAACCCAGCTAACACTGTTTTCGATGCCAAACGTTTGATTGGTAGAAAATTCAACGACCCAGAAGTCCAAACTGATGTTAAACACTTCCCATTCAAAGTTGTTGACAAAGGTGGTAAACCAAACATTGAAGTTGAATACAAAGGTGAAACCAAAGTCTTCACTCCAGAAGAAATCTCTTCTATGATCTTGGGTAAGATGAAGGAAACCGCTGAAGGTTACTTGGGTACTACTGTCAAAGATGCTGTTGTCACTGTCCCAGCTTACTTTAACGATTCTCAAAGACAAGCTACCAAAGATGCTGGTTTGATTGCTGGTTTGAACGTTATGAGAATTATTAACGAACCAACCGCTGCTGCCATTGCTTACGGTTTGGACAAGAAATCCGAAGAAGAAAAGAATGTTTTGATTTTCGATTTGGGTGGTGGTACTTTCGATGTCTCCTTGTTGTCCATTGAAGATGGTATCTTTGAAGTTAAAGCTACTGCTGGTGATACTCACTTGGGTGGTGAAGATTTCGATAACAGATTGGTTAACTTTTTCATCCAAGAATTCAAGAGAAAGAACAAGAAGGATATCTCTACCAACCAAAGAGCTTTGAGAAGATTGAGAACTGCTTGTGAAAGAGCTAAGAGAACCTTGTCTTCTTCTGCTCAAACTTCTATTGAAATTGATTCCTTGTACGAAGGTATTGACTTCTACACTTCTATTACCAGAGCTAGATTCGAAGAATTGTGTGCTGACTTGTTCAGATCCACTTTGGACCCAGTTGAAAAAGTTTTGAAAGATGCTAAGATTGACAAAGCTCAAGTCCACGAAATTGTTTTGGTTGGTGGTTCTACTAGAATTCCAAAGGTCCAAAAATTGGTTTCTGACTTCTTCAACGGTAAAGAACCAAACAGATCTATTAACCCAGATGAAGCTGTTGCTTATGGTGCTGCTGTCCAAGCTGCTATTTTGTCTGGTGACACTTCTTCTAAGACTCAAGACTTGTTGTTGTTGGATGTTGCTCCATTATCTTTGGGTATTGAAACTGCTGGTGGTATCATGACCAAATTGATTCCAAGAAACTCCACCATTCCAACCAAGAAATCCGAAACCTTCTCCACTTATGCTGATAACCAACCAGGTGTCTTGATTCAAGTCTTTGAAGGTGAAAGAGCTCAAACTAAAGACAACAACTTGTTGGGTAAATTCGAATTGTCTGGTATTCCACCAGCTCCAAGAGGTGTTCCACAAATCGAAGTTACTTTCGATATTGATGCCAATGGTATCTTGAATGTTTCTGCTTTGGAAAAGGGTACCGGTAAGAGTCAAAAGATTACCATTACCAACGATAAAGGTAGATTATCTAAAGAAGATATCGAAAAGATGGTCAGTGAAGCTGAAAAATTCAAGGAAGAAGATGAAAAGGAAGCTGCTAGAGTTCAAGCTAAGAACCAATTGGAAACCTATGCTTACTCTTTGAAGAGCACCTTGGGTGAAGAACAATTCAAATCTAAATTGGAAGCTTCTGAAATTGAAGAAGTTACCAAGGCTGCTGATGAAGTTATTTCTTGGTTAGATTCCAACCAAACTGCCACTGAAGAAGAATTCTCTGACAAACAAAAAGAATTGGAAGGTAAAGCTAACCCAGTTATGACTAAAGCTTACCAAGCTGGTGCTACTCCTTCTGGTGCTGCTGGTGCTGCTCCAGGTGGATTCCCAGGTTCTGCTCCAGAACCAGCTAACGATGGTCCAACTGTTGAAGAAGTTGATTAAATGTAATGACGTTCTTTTGTATATTAGATAATTATTTTTTTTCTTAGACAAAAACAAAATAATAGATATAAATAATGATATAGAATTTGACTTTTTTGATGTAGAAAATTGTTTGATTTATCGCTAACTCTTGGTACGGTACCATGCAATGTAAACTGCAGTGAGTTAAAGTAAGGGGGAGGAGTAAATCCAAGTAAATTCTCAGGCTAAATTGTGGAGAGTATAGGTGTAGAATGTGTAAATTACTTTCCGTGGAAATAGTTACAGTAAAAATAAAAATAAAGAAATAGGAGCAATGAAATTGAACAATAAAAAGAAAAAACTCCGAACCCATAAACTATTGTTCTCCGGATGACGATATCCTATGTAAGATTACGTATTACTAAGGAATATATGACTTTTGGTGTATAATACGTTTATACAAATAAAAAAAAATCACCAAATTAGGAAATTTTCAAAGGAGTTATAATCGGTATAGATTGAACTTCCTTTTACCCCAGATTTTCATTATATTGCGTTTCTTTTTTTTTTTTTTCTTTCTCTCTCCCTTATGGAGTTTCTCTTATTGGACGATAATGAATAGAAGCAGAAGAAAAAAAAAAAAAGAAAAATAATTTTCTAATCACCGGAGTTTTTTTGAATAATTAGCTAATGTAATTTTGAATAATGTATGCAATGGGTTTACGGAAGTTGAATAATAATAGGGTGACTAAACTAAAAATATTACTTTGACTCCGGAGTGACTCAATCAAAGTATTTGTTAATATGCTGTTGTATTCAATAGTTATTCTTTGAAATAACTATAAGTGAAAGAAAAAGTATACTATGGAAGTCTGTGTGTGTGTGTGTGTGAAAGAGAGGAACTTTGGTTGATTACGTAAATGTTCGTGAACCGTTATATTTCATAGGTGGGGCATGAGTGAGTCGTGTGATTCAATCCAAGAAATATGTATGAATTAATTAATTAAACAGGTTACTGTAAATTCTCGCCGGTACGCGCGAGCGAATTCTGGAGTTAGAGTTTGAAGAAGAAGAAGAAAAAGAAAAATCTCAACAAAAAAATATAATTTATTATTCAGGCGCGAATTCTCTGGGGGGACGCTAACCAATAGTAAATATCTGGGTATAAAAGGATTCAAGTTTTTCACCCAACAATTTTCGATCCTGTAAAAAGAAAGTTCCCTTTTTTTATAAACTTTTTGTACTCTTATATAGAAAAAGGATTTTATTTCATATTTTTCTACTTATTTATTTACTTATTTATCTATCTATCTTCTTGAAGAATATTAATTTATATTTTCAATTCTTGTTTTATAATTTACAATCTTGTCTAATTTTTTTTTTTTATTTTTGTTTGTTTCCAATTTACTCAAATTACCTGATATAAATATTCAATTAGTATGTATTACTTACATTTTTACTAAGAAAACAAATTAAGAGAGAATAAGTTTGCGGCTTTTTTTTTTCCATATTTGGTCGTAATCAAGCACACAACATAGGGGAGAAAGAGAGACGGGAAAAAACTCCGATAAATAGTGAAATCGGTTGAGTGGTACCACACCCAACAAAAAATTTTCAGGCTTTTTTTTCATTATCGTCGTTGAAAGATAACACTAAATAAAGGAGAATTTCCAAATTGATAGTTATTCCCAATCAATGAATAAGCTCAATTGAACCGTTTTGAGATCCCTGATAGTTGTTAAACCCCTGGTGTTTTAATACTTAGGCAACTCCAAAACATTGTCGATTTAGTCAAGATCAATGCAATTGATTCAATTGAATCGATCCAGATCGTGATGACATTTGACAACCAATTGGCCGGTTGCAAAGTTGGAATTTCAAAAGAGGGGAAGCCTTAGATGAAAAAAAAAAAAATTTGATTGACTGACTGACTGAAAAAAAAAAAAAGAAATCAAAGTAACTCACAAGTTATTTTTACTACACAGGAAAATTTTTCAATAGGAAGAAGAAGAAGAAAGAAACAAACAAAGTAGAATAAATTAAATTTGGAAAAAAAAAAAGGATCACCAAATTGTGTTTTTATTTTTTTTTTTTTACAACCACAGTCGAGTCTAATCAACCAATAGCACAAGCTTTAATTGAAGTGGCCCCAAACTATTCTTTCTTTCATTCTATATAACTACTGATACCAGTTGTTCTTTTTTGTTACTAACACATTCTTTTAATCAAGTGACTCCTTCCGCCATGACTACAGAATCCAACAATCATAAGGTTGTCCACGAAGCCAATGGGGTTCAATTAAGAGAAACTCCAAAGGAATTCTTCCAAAGACAACCAAACAAAGGACATATTCAAGATACTGAAGAATACAAGAAAATGTATGAACAATCCATAAAAGATCCTCAAGGTTTCTTTGGTCCATTGGCCAAAGAATTGTTGTCTTGGGATAGTGATTTCCATACTGTCAAGTCAGGTACCCTTAAAAACGGTGATGCTGCTTGGTTCTTGGGTGGTAAATTGAATGCTTCTTACAATTGTGTTGATAGACACGCTTTGGCTAACCCAAACAAACCAGCCATTATCTACGAAGCTGATGAAGAAAAAGATTCTTACATTTTAACTTATGGTGATTTATTAAGAGAAGTTTCTAAAGTTGCTGGTGTCTTGCACTCTTGGGGTGTTAGAAAAGGTGACACTGTTGCTGTCTACTTGCCAATGAATGCTCAAGCTCTCATTGCTATGTTGGCTATTGCTAGATTGGGTGCTGCCCATTCTGTTATTTTTGCTGGTTTCTCTTCTGGTTCTATTAAAGACAGAGTCAATGATGCCAGCTGTAAAGCTCTTATTACTTGTGATGAAGGTAGAAGAGGTGGTAGAACTACCAACATCAAGAAATTGTGTGATGAAGCTTTGAAACAATGTCCAACTGTCCAAAAAGTTTTGGTCCACAGAAGAACTGGTAACCCAGATATCAAATTGGTTGAAGGTAGAGATTACTACTGGGATGAAGAAACTGCCAAATTCTCTGGTTACTTCCCACCAGTTGCTGTTGATTCAGAAGATCCATTATTCTTGTTGTATACTTCTGGTTCTACTGGTACTCCAAAGGGTGTTGTCCACTCAACTGCTGGTTACTTGTTGGGTGCTGCCCTTACCACCAAATACATCTTTGATGTCCACCCAGAAGATATCTTCTTCACTGCTGGTGATGTCGGTTGGATTACTGGTCACACCTATGCTTTGTATGGTCCATTGTTATTGGGTGTTCCATCTGTTGTTTTTGAAGGTACTCCAGCTTACCCAGATTACGGTAGATTCTGGCAAATTGTTGAAAAACACAAGGCCACCCATTTCTATGTTGCTCCAACTGCTTTAAGATTATTGCGTAAAGCTGGTGAACAAGAAATTGCCAAATACGACTTGAGTTCTTTGAGAACTTTGGGTTCTGTTGGTGAACCAATTTCCCCAGATATTTGGGAATGGTACAATGAATTTGTCGGTAAAGACCAATGTCATATTTCCGATACATACTGGCAAACTGAATCTGGTTCTCATTTGATTGCTCCATTAGCTGGTGTCATTGCCAACAAACCAGGTTCTGCTTCTTACCCATTCTTTGGTATTGATGCTGCTTTGATTGACCCAGTCTCTGGTGTTGAAATTACCGGTAACGATGTTGAAGGTGTTTTGGTTGTCAAAGACCACTGGCCATCCATGGCAAGAACTGTTTTCAACAACCACGTCAAATATATGGATACCTACATGAACCCATACCCAGGCTACTATTTCACTGGTGATGGTGCTGCCAGAGATAATGATGGTTACTACTGGATCAGAGGTAGAGTTGATGATGTTGTTAATGTTTCCGGTCACAGATTATCTACTGCTGAAATTGAATCTGCTTTGATTGAAGATCCAAGAGTTGGTGAATCAGCTGTTGTTGGTATCAATGATGATCTTACTGGTCAAGCTGTTGTTGCCTATGTTGCCTTGAAAACCGGTGATGTTCCAGATGAAGATGCTTTAAGAAAAGAATTGATTCTTTTGGTTAGAAAAGAAATTGGTCCATTTGCTGCTCCAAAATCTGTTATCTTGGTTCAAGACTTGCCAAAGACTAGATCAGGTAAGATTATGAGAAGAATTTTAAGAAAAGTCAGTTCCAATGAAGCTGATCAATTGGGTGACATTACTACTTTACAAAACCCAGGTTCTGTTGAAGGTATCATTTCTGCTTTCAGCGCACAATTCGGTAGAAAGTAATAGAGTATAGAATTTACTGGTAAGTATACCATCAACTTTGATTATATATATATATAGAAATGTTAAAAAAATAAATAAGAGAAACAATTTTTTTTTTATGAATCGTGATAATTTGTACCTGATTATGTAAGTCTGGAAGAATCATGATTTTCGCATCAACTCGTCTGTTTTGTTTGTATGGATTTTTATTTTTTTTTTTTTTTTTTTCAAAATTTTTCTTTCACGAAATCATATAGATCGTCATCAACTTCATATAGGTTCAACATTGTCAACACAGAAGTATGAACTTGTTTGGGAAACTACTAAGATTATTTGTTTTATTTAAAGGGATTCAATTAATTCTTGTATATTTCACACCATGTCAATTTGATACATCATCACAAATAATAATTAATAATTTAAGTAGTTCATCATATAATTCAATAATCACAAATATATTAAATAAACTTATTGTTTGGGATTCAGTTTATTTTAATGATTTATTTATAAATCCTATTCGTTTTGAACATCAATTTGTATTTTGTCCAGGATGGATTAAATTTATCAAAATATTTGGTCAAAATAAAGATATTAATTATTATAGATTTCAATTATTAAGTGTTTTATTATCCAATATATTTCATTTTATATCATTGATTATATTATATTATTTAACTAATGAAATTTATGGGAATGGAAATGGAAATGGGAAATTAAGTTATTATAGTAGTTTATTAATGATTATTTCACCAGCTGGAATATTTTTAACTACGAATTATTCTGAAAATTTCAGTAATTTATTAATATTATTGACGATTTTTATTTATTTTAAAGCTATTAATTTCAATGATGTTAAACAATTTAGTAATAAATCTATAAGAAGTAAATCATTATATGTTTTAAGTGGAATAATTTGTTCAATTGGATTTACAGTTAGAGCTAATAGTTTGTTTCTTGGAATATTATATCTTTTAGATTTATATCATTTCTTACAAAATATGAAAAGAAATAGAAAACAAGGTATAATTGAAATTGTTTATTCATTAATAACTGGATCATTGTTATTTTTCACATTTTTAGGTACAAATTTATACCATTATATGAAATTTTGTCCTAATAGAGGTGAATGGTGTAATAAAATGTTTCCAAGTTTATTTCAATATGCACAAGATCATTATTGGAATGTTGGATTTTTGAAATATTGGACTATAAACAATATTCCTAATTTTTTATTAGTTTTACCTGTTTTATCTTTTAATATTTATTCAATTATCTACATGATTCAATATTTGCCTAAATATAGAAAATTATTACCTATTATAATAATCAATGGATTAACTTTAATAGGAGGGATTTTCTTTTGGAATATTCAAATTTTGAATAGAATTACAAGTTTTTCACCTTTGATTTATTGGACATTAGCGGACAATTTGGTAAAGAAAAAATATTGGGTTAAATATGTTATTTATTATTCAATAATGTGGAGTTTGATTCAAACAGTATTATTTGCTGGATTTTTACCTCCCGCGTAATCAATTTCCTTATTTGGTGATGGGGAGTTAATTGATGATTGATTGATTGATGGATGGATATTGGGGTTAGCCAAGGATTGGATTTCCTGTATTTTCTGCGACATTAAGTGGGATGCAAATTTTATCCCAAAACAGATTAAATTTACGAAATGCGAATAGGAACAATATTGATAAGATTCATTTACATAAACCCCTAAAGGACTATATAGACAACAGCCAAAAAAAAAAAACCATTTATATAAAGTTTAATAGATATTCCTGATAATATTTCTTGTTGTTCTTTTATTATTATTATTATTATTATTATTTGTCTTTCTTCTGTATATCAATCATGAATAACTTCACTAAGGATATGGTTCCACAACCAATTGAATCAACTATAATGTCATTAGATAACTTTGCTATCTTTTCTATACCTATTATTGTATTAGCAGCATATTATGCATATTCCAAAAAACAATCTGATCTTAAATCATCTTCCAATGGTAAATTAACATTATCAGAAAAGAAAACTCATCCAATATTAACTGATTATAAAGCATCTGAAAGACCATTTGGATTTTGGAAACCAGATTATAATTTCAAATATCCTAAAGTAGCACCATATCCAGGATTTGATTTAAAAACAACAAAACCAATTCCATATCGTGCATTTAAACATAAATATTTTGTTACTATGGGAATTAGAGGAATGGAATCTGATTCATGGATTGAACTTGATAATGAATGGGAATATTTTCATAATTTAAAATTAAAAAGAATTGAAGAAAGAGGTGATAAAGCATGGCATTTAAATGCTTTAACAGTTACTGCAGCTTGGGAAATTTTAGAAGAATTATGTAATTATTTACCTCAAAGATATCCATCAATGTTTAAATATGAAAATAGAATTATGGAAATTTTATCAACTGGTGAAAAATTTAATTTGAATGATAGTAGTTTAAATCCAATTTTATCAGCTGCTAAATTGATTCAAGATGATATTATAATTATGGTTGAAAAAGAAGATGGTGCTTATTATCTTGAAGGTGGATGTTCTACACTTGCTGGATTTTGGAGACTTCGTGAAAAAGTTGGGTTAAAATTAGATGATATTCATGTTACTAGTGGAGTACCACAATATGAAAAACAATTAAAAACTGGTATGAATAAACTTTTCCGTAGAATTGAAGTTGATTCACCTGTTGTTCGTAATAATTATTTTATTCAAACTGATGGTAGATTAGATTGGTCTCATTCTATTGGTGATGAAGATGATGGTGAAATTGGTTGGAGAATTGCTAAAGAAGCTACTGATATTAATGAAGTTTATTTCAGAAGTGAAAGACAAAGTTTAAGAAGATTACCAATTAGTGGTGCTCTTTGTTTTACTGTTAGAACTTATTTTATTCCAATTGTAAAACTAGTTGAAGAAGATTATGTTCCAAAAAGATTATTGGATGGTCTTTTAAGTTGGACTCCAGATATTCGTGAATATAAAGGATTCCATACATTTGAAAAAGTATTAATTCCATTCTTGGAACAAAAAGCTAAAGAACAAGAAGAGAGAGGATTGGATTATTCAAAAGAACCAACTAATTGGCCATTCTAATTCATAGTGTATGTAGTTTTGTTTGTTTGTCTGTTTTTTTACTGTTAATGTTAAAGAGTGTTTTTCTAGCAATAATAGTAATGTGTTTGTGAGTGAGTGAGTGAGTGAGTGAGTGAGTGAGTGTTTGATAGTTCCTTGGTAGCGCCTACTCAAGCAAATATGAATCTACAATTATAAAACTTCAAAATAAATTCAAACATCAAAAAAATCTCAACTAAAATACATTACTTATATAAAAAGAAATAATAAAAATATAAGATACCTAAATAATACAAAAGAATTAAAAATCAATATTGCCTCAACCCTTAACCTCTAAGATCTTTCACCTCTCAATCTTCTAGCTAATTGCATATCTTTCTTTTGGATGGTAACTCTCTTGGCGTGGATAGCACACAAGTTAGTATCTTCGAATAAACCAACCAAGTAAGCTTCAACAGCTTCTTGTAAAGCACCAATAGCGGAAGATTGGAATCTCAAATCAGTTTTGAAATCTTGAGCAATTTCTCTAACCAATCTTTGGAATGGTAATTTTCTAATTAACAATTCAGTAGATTTTTGGAATCTTCTAATTTCTCTCAAGGCAACGGTACCTGGCTTATATCTGTGTGGTTTCTTGACACCACCAGTAGATGGGGCGGATTTTCTAGCAGCTTTGGAAGCTAATTGTTTTCTTGGTGCTTTACCACCGGTAGATTTTCTAGCAGTTTGTTTAGTTCTAGCCATTTTTGGTTATTAATATGTAATGATTATACAAAAAAAAAGGAAAAAGGAAAAATAAAATTTAATGATAGAATGAGAAATTGGAGTATTTTTAAATACTTTAAAGAATTTCTAACGTGTCATGTGGATTGCATTGAGTTTTTGTTTTGATTTCATTATTGTTATTGTGGATATTGGAAATTTTTTTGAATTTTGTGGTGTATAATCTCAAAGCAAGAGAGAGAGAGACAAGAGAAGAGAAAAGTAAAAGAAAGGAACGGACTGAGATTTACAGGAGAACAAAGATTGTCCTTTTTTACAGGCGCGCACGAGAGTCCTGTACCACACAGAGTGGAGCGGAGGTGCCGCGAGAGATTAATTGTTCTTTTGTCGCGAAGAAAAGACAACTTTTGTTCTCTCTCTCTCTCTTGTCCTGTCCTGTGATGGCGCGCGCGTGATTTTTTTTTTTCTTTTCTAACATTCGCACAAAATGTTCTCTCTCCTGTGGTTGTTTTAGTTGGTGCCCAGTTTCAAGTTTCTCTCTTGCTGCTGTTCTTCTTGTTACTCTTCTTGTGGTTACTCTTTCTCTCTCTCTCTCCTGTCTCTCTCTTGTTACTCTTCTGCTATTTGTGTCCCCATTTACACGACTCTTTTATTTTTAATCTTTGATCACACAATTAACCAGACAACTAAAAGAAAAAAAAAACAAGGAGGGCAAAATTAAATAAATAGGTCGACTCATTTCCCTCTTTCTTTTTTTTGGTTTGAGGTTTTTGTTATGATAAACAATTTTTTGATTTTTTTATAATCACTTATCAATTAATTATTAACACATAAATCATATATAACAATGTCTGGTACTGGTAGAGGAAAAGGTGGTAAAGGTTTAGGAAAAGGTGGTGCTAAACGTCACAGAAAGATTTTGAGAGATAACATTCAAGGTATTACTAAACCAGCTATTAGAAGATTAGCTAGAAGAGGTGGTGTTAAACGTATTTCTGCTTTAATCTATGAAGAAGTCAGAGTTGTCTTGAAACAATTTTTGGAAAATGTTATCAGAGATGCTGTTACTTATACCGAACACGCTAAAAGAAAGACCGTTACTTCTTTGGATGTCGTTTACGCTTTGAAGAGACAAGGTAGAACCTTGTATGGTTTCGGTGGTTAAACATGACTACAAATTTTTGGGGTTTTTCATTATAATGATAATATTTTTAACATAAAAAAAATATTTGTTTATATCCTTTTAGTTCGTATCTTTTATTGTATAGTATTAATTTTAACACGTTTTTCTTTAAAATTTTAAAACTTATTTTAATATAACTGTAGTTACCTATATATATTATGTGGTTTTATTTGGTGGTTGCTTTTGGATCAGATATCACCACTTTATCACCAATTGTTTTTTTCTCTACTAATGTCACAGTAACATCATCTTTCAACATCCCATTATCTTGAGCAACTTTAACCATTTCTTGTACTTCTTTAGTTGAAAACTGACCATCTATAGGTATTTTATCTTCAGGTATTTCAATACCTTGAAAATCTAAATTTCTATTCTTAAGGTCTTCATACAGAGGTAATTCTGTTCCTGAATGAGGCAGGTTGTCAATTAAATTTTCGAGTTTTTCCCTTGCGGATTCAGTTACTTCAACGGAATCTTCCTGTTGGTTCTCTGGTTATGTGTATATAGCTATCTTATCCATTCTTTAATGCTTAGTCAACTGTCATTTCATTGAGTATTTCAATCGGAAATATCTAAAACTATTTATATACTGTAAATTTTTTTTTTATATAATTATTTTACAATCTCTACATACCAGTCGAGTGGGGGGAAACAATTGATAATTTCAAATTCATACATGACGTCAGAACAAAAAAAAGCAAACTATCAATTCAGTCTACTTGTTTCAAATTCATTTCATTTCTTCATCTTTATCATTGTCTTGCTCTTTTTTAGCCAAGTCTCTAATACCACCTAAGAACCCATCTACACCATCACCTTTATAATCATATTTCAATGTTTGTGACATTAAATATCCTGCCGCAGCATTACTGTTCAACAGTCTACTCAATTCTTGTTCACATTGTTGGAAAAACCCACTTCTTATAGCACGCATCATCTCTTCTTTAGTTGGATTAGCAGCAATTGATGGCGGAAGATATTCTCCATAAAGTTCTTTCAATTGCTCAATGGATAACTTGTCAAGATGAGAATTAATGGATTCGATATCTAAAACTGAAGATATCGATCTAATTGGGAACTTAAATTCAGGTTCACTAGAAATAATACAAAAAAATAAAAGTTAGTAACTACAATTCAAACTAACAAATAAATAGTAAATTCAATACATGCTTGTATATTTACAATAGCTTTAAAACAAAGTTTATACTTACACTTTAACTGGTTCTTCCTCCTTTTTAACCACTTCTTGTTCAATTTCTTCTTCCTCTTCTTCTTCATTAATGCTTATCAATTCATTGATATCTTGAATTATCTTTTGGTCCTTTTCAGTCAATTTATCCAAATTATCTATATCTCCAACATCTTGTAACCAATATAAATATTTAGCTCCAGAACTCAAAAATGTCAAGGCAAATACACGTCCAGTATTACAAGATTTGATATGTTTAACAGTTACATCCCCAGGTATTAACAAAAATTCATCTCTTTCTATAGTTCCAGTAGTTGCTTGAGTTTGATCTTGTTTAGGAGTCCAAGTAAAGTCTAAGAAATCTGGTTCTTCAGCACTTGGTTTTATTGATATAACTCCTTTATGTTGCAATGGTGTGCAACGATTGGTTTCTTCATCATATTGGATTTTCCCAGCATGGAATTTTAAAGATTTGGATGATGCCATTTATAATGTAGTTTATAATATTCTAATGAACGTTGATTGAATTACAATTTGTAAATGGTTCTGTAGTTTCGCCACTATTTAATCTCTCTCTCTCTCGCTCGCTCTCTCCATCAAGTTGGAAGAAAAGTAGAGAACAAAAAAAAAAAAATCTGAAAATATTGGATACTACACACTACCAAAGAAATCATTCTATTTTTCATTCAAAGTCCATATCAAAACTACCAATACATACACAATGGCTTTCCCACCGGAAGATATATCAATAATAGTTCAAGAAATAGCAACAATATTAAGATCTAGAAATCAAACTTTATCTATATCCGAAGCAGCATGTGGTGGTTTAATCTCAGCGTATTTAGTATCAGTGCCAGGAGCATCTGATTTTTATATTGGTGGAAAATTATTATATTCTTTAAGAACTAGATTGAAACTTTCAGGTTGGTCAGATACAGAAGTTAGTAATTACATGGGTCCAAGTGAGCAAGTGGCTTTAAAATTAGCAAGAACTACCAAATACGAATTAGGTTCAACTTATGTATTATCAGAAACAGGATTTGCTGGTCCTTCAACTGATTTACATTTAAGAAATGGAGATTCCAAAGATGATGAAGAAAATGATGAAAAAGACACAAATTTAGGCGTTGGTACTGTTTATATAGGATTTACAGGTCCAAATGGTGATGCTTGTTCAAGTTTTCATACCGGAATCACCGATAGAAGTGAGAATATGGCGGAATTTGCTAAATTGGGATTATCATTCTTATTAGATCAATTGAAACAAGAACAAAAACTGTAATATATAGATGTTTTTACTTGTGATATCAAAGTATTATAAATTGTACAAAGTGTGGTTTTTTTTTTTTCAATTTTACTTTTTGTAAGGATTTCGTAAAATTATGAGAGTAAATAACAAGTAAGATTAATATCAAGATTGTTGACAAATTTAATTATTGTTTGTAAGTTCTTATACGTCATGTTTTACATCCCCAAACTCACCATGAGTGTACTAATATACCATATAATACAAATAATACTGTTATCCATCAAATATACTGATCTATAATAAGTATATATTGGTCTCACAACTTTGCGAAGCACAAATATACAGATACTCTGTCTTAAAAAAATTTTTAAGAACTTGAAACACCTCCCATATAGGTAATATGAACTCAATAAATCGAATGGTGATACTCTTATTGCCTTAAAAATTCACCCTGTGTGTTAAAATTGTATATTTTATTAAACTGATCACGTGACACAGACCGGTAATATTTGAGATCCAGGGGTAAATAGTTTTAGTGACGCGGTCGTGAAAATTGTTTCAAAAATGAATTCTTGAAATTTTAACACGCCTTTCATAACCATCTGGCTGTTGTTGTCATATTTTTTATTTTTTTTTTTTTCGGCCTCACTAATAAAAAAAATAAAAACACAACTTGAGGATTTCCAACAATAACAAACACGAAAGGAAAATTTTTCTATACAGCAGGAATTTACTTGAAACCCTTTTTTTTTCTTTTCCTCCAAAACATAATCTATTTTTCTTTTCTATTTATCAACAGAATCATACGAAAGAGATCATAAGTTCATTAGAATCTTGTTGATTATTTACAGATAATAGTTGTTCTCCTAAATTTTTGTTTCATTTATTATTCGTTTCCCGTTATTACACGTCAATTAGGAGAAAGAAGAAAAAAAAGTTTGGTCGTCAAAATCAAAATATATATAAAAAAAAGAGAGAAAAAAAAAGTCACCTAACAGTTGAATTAAAATCAAAACATACACATACACATACCAGAATTAACTACAAAATAGAAGTATGAATACACGTATGTATAAATAACATCAAGAAAGTAATCCCATAATAATTATATTATTGATCTATATACTAACTTATGATTTTAGTTGAATCACCAGCAGCTATTCCTCAAGATATAAAAATCATCAAAAAAGTTTTAAATGGTTATGTTGGTTTTGCCAACTTGCCTAAGCAATGGCACAGAAAATCCGTTAGAAGAGGATTTAGTTTAAACATCATGGCCATTGGTGAAAGTGGTTTAGGTAAAGCTACTTTGATCAACACTTTATTCAATCGTGAAATCATTAACCTGAATCTTCCTGAGTCTGATGAATTTGAAGAAGCCGAAGAAGAAGAAGGAGACAGTTCGGTTAAAATCAAGTCGACTCAAGCTGAAATTGAAGAAGATGGTGTCAAATTGAACATTAGTGTTATTACTGCTCCAGGTTTCGGTGAATCCATCAATAATGTGGAATCATGGAAACCAATTGTTGACGAAATCAATAGTAGATTTGATTCCTATTTAGAAGCCGAATCAAGAATCAATAGAACTACAGTTGTTGACAATAGGGTCCATGCTTTCCTTTATTTTATTGAACCAACTGGTCATTCTTTGAAAGCCTTGGATATTGCTTTGATGAAACAAGTTCACGAAAAGGTTAATTTGATTCCAGTTATTGCCAAATCCGATACTTTGACTGATGAAGAAATTTTAGAATTTAAGCATAGAATATTAGCCGATATTACTTATCAAGGAATCAAGATTTTCAAACCAACTGATTATGGTTATGATGAAGAAGAATCTGCCGATACCAAACTGATCATAGATAGTTTTCCATTTGCCGTAGTTGGTTCAACCAACGAAGTTCAAACCGCCGATGGTAGAATTGTTAGAGGTAGAAAATACCCATGGGGTATTATTGAAGTTGATAATGAAAAACACAATGATTTTGTTAGATTACGTCAATTATTGATTAGAAACTTTTTAGAAGAATTGAAAGAACATACTGCTAATGTTCATTATGAAAATTACAGAACTGATAAATTGAAGAGAATGGGTATTGAACAAGATAACAGTGTGTTTAGAGAATTTGATCCAGCTGCTAAACAAGAAGAAGAAAGAGCTTTACATGAAGCTAAATTAGCCAAGATGGAAGCTGAAATGAAACTGGTTTTCCAACAAAAAGTAAGTGAAAAGGAAAAGAAATTACAAAGATCTGAAGCTGATTTATTTGCTAGACATAAAGAGATGAAGGATAAATTAACAAAACAAATCAAATTATTGGAAGAAAAGAAGGCTCAATTGGAAAAACAAAAGATGTTACCACATGAACCACCTGCTGCTCCAGCTCCACAAAAGAGTCGTAAAGGATTCTTGCGTTAGAGAGGGGGATGTATAATAATTGAAAGTTTACTATTGAGATTTATATTATAAAGAGTTGTATAATTGCACTCCTCTCTTTTATTTTTATTATTATTATTAGCTTGTATTTTCTTATTTACTTCTTTAATTTAATTTTTGACAAAACTGAAATAATTGAAAGTTTTTTTTTTGTAATTATAGGCGGTGATGGACTTGATATCTCGTGGGGGAATAGAAAAGTACTGTCGAGAATTAAATTTGAGCAAGAAAAACGAATTGCATATTCACGCGACCCAAGACCACGCGAGCGGGTACTGTAACGAAAAGAGTAACCGGTTGAAATAATCGAAAGTAGGGGTCCTCGTTGTAATAATCCCACGAAAGATTAAAAAAAAAGAAAGCAACCTAGAAAAGCAAGAGAAAAATAAATAATAAAAATAATAAACAATTGATTAAGGGGTAAGTAGATGGGTTTAAATAGTCGAACGATATTTACTAAATCACAAGACAACTAACAAAGTACATCGGTTTTTGTTAATTATTCTAATGCCATTGCTGGTGGTGGTGGTGATGATGATGATGATGATGATAAGGTTGCAAATAAATAAAAACCATACGACGAATTAACTGTAGTTAATTGTACGATTGATAGTAAATGATTATGATTTTCCCAGTAGAATGCTAATGAAAAAATAAAATTCATCTTCTTTGATAGTTTTTGTTACTGTAGAATATGCATAACATTTCTTTATTTGACTCTACAGGTTTTGCATAATTGCTGGTTGTTAAGATATCAGTGAACATGAAATTCTAGTATGAAATTCTCACAGTTTGAGACAGCAAAACTAAAAAAAAAAAGAGAACATTCTCTCTCTCTCTTTCTTCGTCTGTGATAATTTTTTTTTCTTCCTTTTACCTCTCCTCATTCAGTTACACATTATTTAGTCAAAGAGACAAGGATAAAATTTTGTTGTTGTTGTTATTGATTTTACTTTTTTCTTTATTCAACTGTTAATTTCAATTCAATTCCTAGTTAGTCATGTCTGACGATAAGAAAGCAGCTGCAGCAGCAGGATCTAAGTTTAAGATAGATTTCAATCAAGAGAAATTACTTAAAACTGTTCAATCTTTACAATTTGCTTGGTTTGTAGGTAATGTACTTACATTATTGGGTTTTTTCATATACACTTTATCATATTTCAAAGTTTTACCAGATTTAGGATGGATTTGGTATTTAGTTTCTTTACTTGGTGCCATTATTTCATTTGGTATTTTACTTGTTCAATTTGTTCAAAAACATGGATTCAAAGTTCCACTTTTAATTAAAGATGATAATTTCCATTATTTCTTATTGGCTTCATTTTTAATTGCTTTAAGATGTTATTCTTGGATTACTTTGGTTCCTTTTGTTATCTTTTCAACTTTCCATGTTTTAAATTATGCTAACACTCATTTGTTGCCAATTGCTGGTTTGGAACATAACCCAGTTTCTAAACATATCACTGCATTTATCAACAAAAATAATCTTGCTTCAATTCAAATTGCTTGTGGTATTGAATTGTTGATTCTTATTTGGTTATTCCTTAGAATGATTACTTTTAGAAAGAGATCATTGACTCCATTTTTGGTTTTCCTTATCTTCTTGAAGAAAAGAAGTGAAGTTTCTCCATTTACTAGAAAATATTTTGAACATATTGGTGCTCAAATTGGTTCTGTTGTTTCAACAATTAATAACCCAGTTGCTACTCAAGTTTGGGGTCACGTTCAAACCGCTTTTAGAACAATTGATCTGTTCAAATTGGTTCATGATCGTACCAAAGATGATGACAAGGCCAAATGAATTGGGGCCCCAATAGAGGAGGCTAAAAAAGAAGAGATAAAGGAAGAACATAATGAAGAATCTAAAAGTGACACTGCATCAATTAAATCAACTCCAAAATCAGTTCATAATCAAGAACACGAAGAAGACGTAGGATCAATTAAATCATCAATTCAAGCTGCCATTGAAGAAGAAGAGGCTCATGACGCCGCTTCTATTCATTCAGCTGCTCCATCTGTAAATCATCCGCTCATTCTATGAGATCTTCTCACTCGGTGAAATCTGCTCTAAAGTAGTGTGAAAAAAGATGGAAGAATCAAGAGAATTATAACTATCCATCAAAGATGGTATTGATGAATTTAATTGAATGATTTGTTTTGATTGACTTTTTTGCTATTTTTGTTGTCTTTTATTTGTTTATTTTGTTTTCCTTTTTTTTTATTATTTGAAAGTATTGTTCTTTTTTAGATTGTTAATTATCCCATTCATCTATTTCATTTCATTTCCCCCCGCCTCTATTGTCGTTAATATTAGATTGATTTTATTTACTTTTGTTAAACATAATCACTTTGGGGATAATTCATGCTTAGTTATTTTCTTATCGTGTTGTATGTACTTTTATAAATTTCTCCTATTTTCAATAAAATATATCACAAGAAAAGGTTGTGTGTTTTTATTCAAATTTCATTTTGCAGTTTCTGATAGACGACTGGAAACAACAACAACAACGAGTGTAAGAAAAAGAAAAAAAAAAAATTAGGAACATCCTAGATCAACAACAAATAGAAAGAGGAACAAAGACCTTTTTTTTCCATTAAGGAAGCCGATCTATATAAATATCACCCATAAGGTTTCCATGTCATCTAAACGACTAGTTCATTTCACCAACTTGTATCCACGTCTGAGGAAATACAAACTTATATTATACACCATCACATGTATTATTTTACTTCTATTGAGTATTTCAGCATATTTGTATACAATTCCATTATATACTGAAGATCAAAAAAGATGTGATATGGTTTGGATGTGGCCATCATATGCACGTCTTACAGCATTTGATGAAACTCATAGTAAATTTTCTTCAAAATATGGATTATATTTATATAGAGAACAAGGTAAAGATAGACAACCTAATGAAAATGAAGATCATGAAGGATTTAAATCATTTTTAACAGGTATACCAGCATTATTTATTCATGGAAATGCAGGAAGTTATGAACAAGTTAGATCTATTGCTGCAAGATGTTCAGAAATGTATTATGATGAAAATATAAGTAGTAAATATCCAAAAGCAAGAAATATTGATTTTTTCACTGCTGATTTTGATGAACAATTAAGTGCATTTTGGGGTATGTCAGATCAAGTTGAATATGTTACTGATGCAATTAAATTTATTTCTGATTTATATCCTGATAGTCCTAATAAAAATATTATATTAATTGGTCATTCAATGGGTGGATTAGTGGCAAAGATTGCTGCTGCAAGAAATGAAGGTATTGTTAATACAATAATTACATTATCTACACCTCATGCTGATCCATTTCCTTGGTTACTGAAAACTTCAGACTTTAATGATGAAGTAGGTATGATTTCAATTTATTCCCTGACGGATTTAATGGTTCCTCCACTGGTAATTCAACCTAATCGTAAATATGATCATTATTTTACTGTTGATGCTGCAAGATTACTAGGGGTACCAATTGATCATCAAGGTATGGTTTGGTGTGGCCAATTAAGAGAAAGAGTTTCTGAAGCATTAATGGGGATTAGTGGATTGGTTACTTTACAAGATAGAATGAAAGTATTTAAAGAAGTTTTCTCTGGAGATCTCGGTCCCGTACCAGTTTATGGATTAGCATATTATAAATTAATAATTATGCAAAGTTGGGTACAAGTAATGAAATTGGTTCTCTTCTGTTTGAAATGGTTATTCATTGGTATGATATTTATTCAATTACGTAAACTTTATAGAAAATTTACATAGACAAACAAACAGACAATATCTAACAAATAATATGCGTATATGTTTACCAGTTTTTTTATTTTACAACATCATGAATTTTCGAAATAAGAACTAATGTACAATTTTCTCAAATAAAAAATAGACAACCTATATTAATATACAAAATAAAACAAAATAATGAAGAAGAAATAAACCAATTTTGTTGATAAAAAATACTTTCTCACATCTAGTTTGAAGCAGAAGAGTATTTGGTAACAGCTCTAGTACCTTCAGAAACGGCATGTTTAGCCAATTCACCTGGCAAGATCAATCTAACAGCAGTTTGGATTTCTCTAGCAGAAATGGTAGATTTCTTGTTGTAAGCAGCCAATTTAGAAGCTTCGGAAGCAATTCTTTCAAAGATATCATTAACAAAAGAGTTCATAATGGACATAGCTTTTTGGGAGATACCAGTATCTGGGTGAGTTTGTTTCAAAACTTTGTAAATGTATGAGGAGTAAGTTTCTTTTCTAGCCTTGGTTCTCTTTTTACCACCTTCAGTAGAAGCGGTTTTCTTAGCGGCTGGTTTCTTTTCAGCTGGAGCTTTGGAAGCTGGTTTCTTTTCTGCTTTTGGAGCCATTGTTATAAGTTATTAGATATTGATTAATTAAAGATAATATATAAAAAAATGAAAGAAATAAGAAAAAAAGAAGATACAAGTTTATGGAATTTTTTTTGGTTAGGATGGCGGATTCACAATCTATTTAAGTGATTTTTTTTTTGAACTTCCTTCTTTTTACTTGAGGTTCGTGTTTTTGTTTTTATTTTTTATTTTTTTCTGTCACGTGTATTTTTATTGTTTTGTTTCTGTTCTCTCTTGTGTTTCTCTCTCTCTCTTCTCTCTTCTCCTTTTCTTTCTCTCTCTCTTCTCTCTTCTCTCTTGTCTCCTCTTGTTCTCTCTCTCTTCTCTTCTTTTTCTTCTTGTGCCATTCGCGTGCGCGCCACCACGAGAAAAAATTTTTTTGCTGTTGTTTTAGTGCGAGGAGAGAATCAGTGCAGAAGAGAAGAGAGGAGAGAGAAACAATCTCCTCAGCAAATTTGAGAACGAGAGAGAAGAACTCAGCACAAAGAAAATCCGTGGCAAACACAAATACAAAAGAACAGAAACCCAAAATAAAATACAAGAAAAAGAAAAACGCAAGCCAAAACATTAGAAAAATGATTAGTTTTTAAATAGACATAAATTCCTCTTTATTTCCTTTTTTCGAAATTTGAATTTTTTTTCTTTCCCTCTTTCTTTCTTCTTCCTTGTTAATCAATTAATTAACTTATAATCAAATCATATATATAAAATGTCAGGTGGTAAAGGAAAAGCCGGTTCTTCAGAAAAAGCCTCAACTTCAAGATCAGCTAAAGCTGGTTTGACTTTCCCAGTCGGTAGAGTCCACAGATTATTGAGAAAAGGTAACTACGCTCAAAGAATTGGTTCTGGTGCCCCAGTTTACTTAACTTCTGTTTTGGAATATTTAGCTGCCGAAATTTTGGAATTGGCTGGTAACGCTGCTAGAGATAACAAGAAATCCAGAATCATCCCAAGACACTTACAATTGGCCATCAGAAATGATGAAGAATTGAACAAATTATTGGGTGATGTCACCATCGCTCAAGGTGGTGTCTTGCCAAACATTCACCAATCCTTGTTGCCAGCTAAGAAAGCTAAAGCCGGTAACGCTTCTCAAGAATTGTAAAACCTGGGATAATGTTTTTTCAATTTTTATTTGGTGTTTATTTTGTTTCTACAAAGGTCTTTATTTGTATTTTTAGCTTAAATTCTTTTATTTCTTAGTTCAATTGTTTGCAGGTTAAATTATCTTTTTTTGTATGTAAACTAGTGTATATTATTATAATTAAACGATTTAGTATTTTATTTTAATTTATTGTGATTATCAAGTTGTGGTGTAGATTTTCCTGTTGGTGATTTGGATAGTTGCATTGATTGTCTGGAACGAAAAATAATGACGACCTAACCAAAAATAAAAATTCCACCTCCTCACTCGCTTAAAAGTCACCATTATACATTTCATACTACCACATGTGCAATGAAGTTAGTATTTGTTGATAGTAATCCATTGATGGTCAAATGCTGGACTCATCATTATCAAGTACTATCAACAATTTACAAATCATATAATTTCTTTCATCGTAATGATTTCAAATTTCGATTTTATAATCACACCATACAAGAAATGGTCGTAAAATTCAAATTTAATTCTGGTAAATCTTCTATTGTTACACCAGCAAATTCATTGAGCTACATGGGAGGTGGATTTGATTTATATTTACTTGAAGCTATGTTATTAGGAACAAATTTTACTTATAAATATTTAGAAAATATTATTCAAAATTATCAATTACTGAAATATCAAGGATATTTAATTACAAATCAAATATATAAGATTAATTTATTAGAATTACCTGATTTTGATTACAAATCAACTTTAATTTATCAAAATTGGAATTTATTAGAATTGATTGAAATACCAACTATGATTATCCCAGAGAAAATCCATTCAATTTCTCATTTGTTTGATTCAATATGGAATCTAATGCATAATATTGATCCTAATGTTATAGACACTTTGATATTACCAGGAATCGGAACTGGTTATGGAAATCTTAATGAATATGAATCAACAAAGATTATGTTATTTGCTATTTTCTTATATAATATTTCATTTGGTAAAAACCCTACTAGGTTTGATCATTTGAAGAAATCCTTGTTGGTGTTATTCTTTTTTAATAAAGATTATAGAAAGTTAAGAAATCCTGGAGATATAGAAGAGTTGGAAACTAATGTGATTAGTGAATATGGGAAAAATATACAATTTGAAGAGAATAAAGTAATGGAACTAGATGAAGTGTTTAAGTGTATCCAGTGGTAGATTCTTAATATAAATCATTATAGATGTTGTGAACGTTGTAACACTTGGTTATACAATGATTTGTAAGATATACACTTGCCAAGAGCAATTCTGAACTTTAAAATCACGAGAATTACATAACGGTTATAAATTTGCTACCGTTTGGATTTAATAGCGCATAGCACAAATAGAGTAATCAAGACATACAACAGTGGATTCTCAGCTGTCATTCTCTTGAATAGCAACTTTAAAAATCTTATCGACGGATTTGTGTCCCAAATGAAATTTTCGATCCTTATTTTTTGAGTTGATAAGAAGGGTTCCTTTCTCGCCCCATCAACAAAACTTGCCACAAAGGAGAAATGAAGAAAATACAACATTTACAACCACTTTAAGTTCGTCCTTCTTTTTTCTTCTTTTTTGTAAATGGGGTTGAATTATCCAATCATTTTTACTACCATGGCAAGAGAATTTGATATTTCGTATACTTTAGGATTTATTCGTTGTGAAGATAACAACAAGATTCTATTATTAAACAGAAACAAACCGCCATGGATGGGTTTATATAATGGAATTGGTGGTAAAATCCAACCCAATGAAACACCATTGGAATGTATGATTAGAGAAGCAAATGAAGAAACTGGATTAAGTTTGACACATTTTACTAATAGAGGTGTATTGACTTGGGAAGTTGAATATAGTGAAAAAGTAACTCCCCAACAACCTAGAACAGGTGGATTGTATTTATTTACCGCTGATATTTCTTTAGCACAATATGAGAATTATAGAACTCCATTGGTTTATAATGATGAAGGGATATTGGATTGGAAAGACTGGGTATGGATCATGCATTCAAATAATCTTGGTGTAGTTGACAATGTAAAGATTGTCTTACTGTATTTGTTTAGTAGCAAAGAAGAGGATTTGTTCATGGTAAAATATAACGATTACAATTTGATTAATTGTGTTCATTATCCCGGTAAGAATCCATTGTGTCAAAAAAGCGCAGCAAGCTAATAAACTGTTATAGACAATTATTTATTTATTTATTTATTTCTTCTGTAACTTTAAACTTCATAATTGTATTGAAATATAAACTTTATTTTAAATTGAATTGACTAATCGATACGTGGAGCAATATCCTTGGAGTGGTATGGCTCTTCAAGGTATTTGAAATCTTCTTCACTCATATCAATTTTGTAAATTCCAACCAACTCTTTAGCTTGTTCTAATTTAGAAACACCAGCAATTGGAACCAAACCTTTCTTCATTAACCAAGCCAAAGAAACTTGCATCATTGAAGCATCATATTTCTTACTCAATTCTTCAACCCTGTTAATGATAGTTTTATCAGCTTCACTAACAGTACCTAAACCAAAAATACTAGTCCATTCTTTGTTTTCAAAGAATTTTTGATTCTTTTCAGAATCAAATGGACGGCACAAAGCACCACCAGCATTTGGAGACCAAGGAATTAAACCAACACCATTGTTTTTACAATAATCATTCAATTCACGGTCATCTTCACGGTAAAGCAAAGAGTAGTGGCTTTGCATGGAAATAAACTTGTGCCAGCCTTTGGTTTCAGCAATGTGTTGCAATTGAACAAATTCCCAAGCTTTCATAGATGAAGCACCAATGTATCTAGTCAAACCTTGTTCAACAACATCATTCAAAGCATGCATGATTTCTTCTTTTGGAACTTCATGATCCAAACGATGGATTTGCAAAACATCAATATAAGTACCCAATCTCTTGACGGAATTCTCAGCAGCAGTCAAGATATGTTTTCTACTTAAACCTTTATCATTCATGAAATCAACTGGATCAGTATAACCCATTCCTTCATCACCTTCTTTAACTGGGAAATAACATTTAGTCAAGATAACAATTCTTTCACGAGGAATGTTATACTTCTTAATAAACATACCCAACAATTCTTCAGATTTACCATTGGAATAAGCATCAGCAGTATCAAAAGTACGGAAATTGTTATCATAACAGAACTTCAAAATTTCCAAACATTCGTCAATATCACCATTGAAACCCATCCAACTGGAACCCAATCTCATGGTACCAATAGCAACAGTGTTGACTTTCAAACCTGAAGAACCGAATCTAGTAACGAATTTAGTTTTATCAATTGAGGACATTTTTTTTAAGGTGAGTTGATTGTTATAAAATAGTAGTTTTAATTTTATTATTGAATAGACTAATTGGAAAACTTTTCTGAAGATTGAATTTCTACCCCGTATTTATACTTTTTTTTTTCATTTAATTGGAGGGGAGGTTATGAACACTAGGGATGATTAAGGGAAATACTCCTTTCTTGAAGGGTACTGAACTATGCAGGATTGATCGGAAAATTGCCAATTAAGGTTTCAAGTGCGGATGGCGGAAAGAATTAAAAATTATCTGCCAACAGTACAAACTAACTTGACGTGCTACTAATTAAATTCAATATAATTCAATATAATTACATATTAAATAAAGTGGATAACTTTATTTGACACATCAATACATATTATGATATATACCAACTTGAATGTAGCAAAGAAACAATACATTTGTGACTTATTAACCGCTCCCGCTGGTACTACCCGTTTCTACTATAATTTTTGTACCCGCACCAAAAATTTGTGCCAGCCGGTTCCCTACAATTTTGTATCCTATGTTTTAGCTCCTGCAGTCTAACACCATTTCTCCGAACAACAAAGAAGCATTTAAATCGGGAAGTTTGTTTTCTTTAGACAAAAGTAGATAGCATTTACTTTGTTATGTTGAATAAGTTTCTTTTCTTGTCACTTGTTTGACCAAGGATCATTATCCCCATGTTATAGAATCAGTCTAGAATTTCTCTTTGTGAGCTTTTTTCTCGAGAAGTCCAATTCCTAAATTAGCGTTTTGACAAAGATACAACTCATTTGATCAACAGATAGTTTCTTGTACCAGTTAGTTTCAAATTACAGTAGAGTTATTTCAAATTATTTTTTAACAAGCTCAGGGATTTACACAATCAAAAGTCGTGTTATTACCATCAACGAAACTTAACTTTAATTCAATTAATTAATGATACATTCCCTCTTAAATTGAAATTACACTTTACTTATTTCCTGTTTCTGTTCCCTTAATTACTCTGTTAATATGCATATATATATATTCCTTAATTCCCAAGTATTTTCTTCTTTCTGTTGACAGAAATATAATGAAATTATAAATCAATGAATTATGACAGGATCAAAAAAGGGGAAAAAAAGGTCAAAATTAAAGAAAGAGCAATTGCTAGACCAAGCACCAATTGATTTTGATAAGTTTTTCCTTTCTTTTGTGAAATGGAAACCTGAAGTCATTAAATGTGTTATGTCCTATATTAGGAGTGATTGTTTGCATATATTCTTAGATTGTGATGCTTTAGTGCCATTTATTTTACCATATATCAACAAACACGTTCAAATTTATGAACACCCTATAAATATTACTGGACCATTAGTCTGGAAAACTTTTCAATTGGAGTACACAAAAATGATACACTTATCTATGAGTAAACTAAAGGAACTTATGGATAAATATAAAATTTGTCCGAATGAGGCTACAATTTATGTGGAGGATAGTGTTAATTTTACAATTGATCGGAAAGGTAACATTCGAAAAGATCCAGAGAACGAGGATGAAGATGACTATGCATATCGTGATAGAGTACAATTCTATGAAAAGCTTGATAAATGGTGTTTATATCATCAGGAAATTTTAGGAAAAGTGAAGAATTGGAGACTTGAAGATAAAATTTATCAAAGAGACGGAGCCAAATTCCTTTCCAAACTAAATTCGTATATGAATTTAATGTCAATTGATGTCGCGCTACCACAATTTGACAATGATGTTGATCCTGAAGCCCAGAAGGAAATATTAAATTGTATTCCCAATTCAGTTTCTGGTCTTTCCTTTGATATGAAGGATGAGTTGACAAGTTTTAATTTTCTCAGATATTCATATTTAAGGAAGTTGGAGTGTCCAATTTTTTACCGGGATCATATTAATTTAATTCCTCCTAGTGTTGAGTCGTTGAATATATACGTATATGGTGAGGCTGAAGTTACATTTTTAGACACGGACAAAGTTCCTCCCAACTTAAAACAGTTTACAGTTGGTACTGGATATGGATTTCCCAATATTGCAATTCTCATTAAACAAATGAATAAATTGGAATGGTTTGAATATTGTCATGATAGCAAAATTACTAAACTCGAGTCTTTGTGTTTGCCCCATTCGAACATCACTAGTTTAGTTTTCCAATCATGTGTCTTTAATGACTATTCATCAATTAGGAAATATAAAGCCTTGAAGAGATTATGGATCCTTCATTCAAATTTCCCGAGAAAATTATTTGTTTCAGTAGAAGATTTTCCAAATTTGCAAGAGTTTATATTTCTGCCAAGAAGTATGGTCTATTATAACCCTCGTTTCTGTGTTGAACCCCCAGCGTCAGAGAATTCATCTACTGTGTTGGATGATAGGTTGGTATTTCCACCAAATTTGGGTATTCTTCAAATTGATGGTGATTTAACTATCAAGACATTGAATCTTCCAAAAAAGTTGAATGCTTTAACATTAGGAAGCTCAAGATTTCCCAAAGGAATCCGTTTCAAGCTTCCAGACTCAATAAGTCTTTTGCAAATAACAGGAACAACTGTTAAGAGTATGAACGGATTTCATTTCCCTACCAATTTAAAATATTTAGCTATTTGTGGTAATGGGTTATTGAAGTCCATGACGAATACCAATTTGAAGAGTCTCAAACACTTATATTTTGTTGATTTTAGAGGAACAACAATTGCTAATCAAGATATGCCTAGTGAGACCAACAAGTACAAGTATAATAGTTTCACTGCTCCAATCGAAGATCGTGGATATGGATATTAGAATATAGTGTTTTTAGTTTTGATTAAATAAACTGTCATAAATTATCAACTTCAAAAACCCCTGGGTTTACATAAAATGTATTATCATCGTAACAATAGATTGATATAAAACAGATAAACAAAAAAAAAAAGGCACGGAAATATGTCACAGTAAAAATACGAGCATCAATATTTCTGTAAAAACACACTACCTAGTTCTGTTTCATACAAATAAGTACAGCAACATTTATTCCAAGAATATGATAATATATGTACTTATTTTAGAGCCTAGAGATAAGAATATATTTCTTAATCAAGCAAAACAGGTCCAAGTTTTATGGAGTAAAAGAAATTTGGAATTTAAATTGGCATAATTATTGGATTTGCATTGTTGCTTTTCTATTTGATAGAACTCAAGTATTCGAAGTTAATATCTCCAGGTCACAATACATGTGGTAGTATTATCATCTAGCTAAATCATCATTGATTAGTTACCAAAGGACAACCATGTTATTTACAAGTGTTCTCTGTTATCTCTCACTATTTAAGTAGTATCTCTAAGAGTTATATATTTTAAGCATCGTGCAAGACTAGAACTAGGTAGTGTGATTTGTTCATTTTTACGAACACAAAATATTTTTAGTAACCAACGAAATAAAGAAAGCATTGCAATAGAAATGACTCTCAAAATATGATTGAACGATTCGGTTAGTTATTTATTATAAAATGACCCTACTATTAAACTATTAAAAAAAGAAAAAGAAAAGAGGTGTTGAATAAGTGAAAACTTTTCCTTTTTGCAACCAGACAAGACTCCCAGAGTTCCTGGTCACGAGTACACGCCATTTGCCTCACGGCACACATTGTCACACATGGGTCTAAGGAAGTACCAAACAACTCCTAATACCCATCAGTACGACACCGACAAAGTCTCCACACATCAGGTGATTGTCATAGATATACAATCAATGCAGTTCAAACTAAATAATAATAACTCTCAAATGAAACAGGAATTTCAGTACAACATTCCGTCAGTTTCACGGTTGCTAAGCAATATTTAGTGGAAGTGAAAGATAAATTATATAGTTTTCTATTTACTTCTATAGGCTTAAATAAAAGAATAAAGAAAGTGAATAAAACTCATACTTTATTGCTATAAGCAGTGTAGTCACAAACAGAAAAAGAGAAGATTCTATCAATATAACACACAACTCCTAATGGATGAATATGTAACTAATGAAGGAAGCACAAGTATTACATTTATTGCAATTGCAATCTATTGAACTGCACGTTGGTAACAAACAAACCCAGCTGCGTGACAATGCATGTGTACTGCATACACGGAGAGTTTCACAAAGAGGAAATTCCACTTTACTCAAACAAGCTTGAACCCCTTTTTCCAAGCTAACTACGTCTACCCGCTATTTTTTTTACTATTTTTATTACTTTTTATTCCTGTAATTACAATTATTCCATTGAATAGAAATATCAAAATCATTATATTATTATCCCAATCATGTCAACAAGAAAAAGGGCTAGGCTAATGTCCAATTTGGAGACCGCTAAACTACCAGAGAAAGAGCCGATTGATTTTGATGAATTTTTCATTTCGTTTGTGAAATGGCAACCTGAAATTATTGATTATGTTATCTCTCATATTGGGAAGGGTTGTTTGACTATATTTCTAGATTGTGATGCTTTGGTACCATTTATTTTGCCGTATATTGAACGACAAGTTGAGATAGTGACACATCCTGTAAAAATTACAGGTCCCCTAGTATGGGAATCTTTTGGACTGGATAATACAAAAATTCCACGTCTATCCATGGGAGAACTAAAGCAGATCATGGATAAATATAAAATTTGTCCAAAGGAGGCTGTTATAATAAACCCTAGACACATTGTTGCTGACTCAATTGAAATGAAAAAGTATACTTTAACACAGCTGTCGGACGATAGTTTTACCGATCTGCCGGATGACGAACGTGAGGTTTCTCATCATCCATGTGGGAAACAATTCTATAGAAAACTTCACAAATGGTGTTTACATTACCAGGAAATTTTAAGTAAAATTGCGAATTGGAATCTTGAAGAATATGTTATGTATCTGGATGAAACTAAATTCATGTCTAAGCTTAATTGTTTCATGAATTTCCAGTCAATTATGTACAAATTTCCGTATTTAAATGATGATGATGAAGATGAATTTCATCATGAAGCTCAGAAAGGTATTATAAATACTATTCCAAATTCAGTTGTTAGTCTTGAGCTCTTTATGACCCATAAGTTGCAGAATTTTAATTTTCTCAAATATTCGTCTTTAAGGAAGTTGCTGTGTCCTATTGCTTCTCATAATCAAATTAACTTAATTCCTCCATGTGTTGAGTCGTTGAATCTATTTGTACACAGTTTTAAAGTTGAAGTTACGTTTTTAGACACAGATAAAGTACCACAAAATTTGAAGGAGTTTGTAGTTATGGCATATGGATTTCCTAATATTGAAATTCTCATTAAACAGATGGACAAATTGGAGTCATTCAAAATTAGTCAATACTGGACGTCAACGAGAATTGAATCCTTGTGTTTACCCGATTCGAATATCACTAATCTAGTATTCGAATCATGTTGCTTTGATGACTATTCATCAATTAGAAAATATAAAGGTTTGAAGATATTAAAAATTATTGATTCATTTATTTTGCCGAATTTGCTTGTATCGAAGGATGATTTCCCAAACTTGAAGACTTTTGAGTATCGCCCCGGTAATTATAGAAACGAAGACCCCCCAGAATCAAATGCAATAGATAGCAAAGTAATTTTCCCACCAAATTTAAGTAATCTCCTGTTAGAAGGTGATATAACCATAGAGGACTTGGTTCTTCCAAGAAACTTACAAATGCTAACATTAAAGGGTACTAAATTTCCCAGAGGAATTAAGCTCCGCTTTCCTGATACGCTTTTCCGTTTAAAAATTTTAATGACTACAATTACAAGTTTGAATGGTGTACTTTTTCCAAAAAATTTACAAGTTCTTATTCTCACAGATAATAGACTTTTGAAGTCCATGACGAATACCAATTTAAGCCGTCTCGAACACTTATATATTGTTGATTTTAGTGGAACTACAATTGCTAATCAAGACATGCCCAGTGAGACCAACAAGTACAAGTATAATAGTTTCACTGCTCCAATCGAAGATCGTGGATATGGATATTAGAATATAGTGTTTTTAGTTTTGATTAAATAAACTTTTATAAATTATTAATACTCTGTACTTTGACAAATTAATTTCTCAATAGGTTTATATTTCAATAACAACTTTTAAAGAACAGCTATTATTGGAAAGCATTAACCGAGATAATACGAACTTTTCTTTCATAAAGTGTGAAGATAAAGTTGTGGGGTTATAATGTAAGATGCGAATAAAGACAAAAAAAGTCGTGGGATTACCATAAGCAAGATCTACAATCTAATAAAGAAAACCATGTCGAACATTCAACCATATGTAATTAAAATTCTACAAAGAGTTGCTCTCTTCCACTTGTTTTTTTTTGTTGTTGTTTATATCTTTCGTTAAATAGTAGTTTAACTATCAACTTATATTATATTCATCATACCAATAACTGATAAAAAACAATCAAGGATAATGTCCAAGTTAGAAATAGAGAAAATGTTGGAACAACAAACGATTGATTTTGATAAGCATTTCATTGCTTTCTTGAAATTGCCTCCTGAAATTATTCAACGTGTTATCTCTTATATTAGAAAAGATTTGTTGACTATATTCTTGGATTGTAATGCTTTAGTACCATTTATTTTACCGTATATTGAACGACAAGTTGAAATAGTGACATATATTTATGAAATTACAGGTCCACTACTTTGGAGCTCTTTTGAACTGAATACTTTAAATATGCCACAATTGTCGATGACTAAACTAAAGGAACTTATGGATAGTTATAAAATTTGTCCAAAGGAAGCTACAATAGACATCAGAGCCAATGTTGATTTTACAAATTATCAAGAAGGTAACAATATAACGAGTGATCATGATGAAGAAAATAGAGAGGCTGAGTACCAATTGATTAATTTAGTCGATGAAAGTCTTGATAAGTGGTGTGAATATAATCAAGAAATTTTAGGAAAAGTGAAGAATTGGAGACTTCAAGATAAAATTTATCAAAGAGACGGAGCCCAATTCCTTTCCAAACTAAATTCGTATATGAATTTAATGTCATTTGATGTCATGTTTCCAGAATACGATGATGTTGATCCTGAAACCCAGAAGGAAATATTGAATTGTATTCCAGAATCAGTTTCCTGTCTTTCCTTTGATATGAAGGATGGGCTGATAAATTCTAATTTTCTCAAATATTCATATTTAAGGAAGTTGAAGTGTCCAATTACTTCCCGTAATCAAATTAACTTAATTCCTCCTAGTGTCGAGTCGTTGAATATATACGCCTATAATGAGGCTGAAGTTATGTTTTTAGACACGGATAAAGTTCCACCCAACTTAAAAGAGTTTGCAGTTATTACTGGATTCGGATATAATAATATTGAAATTCTCATTAAACAGATGGACAAATTGGGGTCATTCAAAATTTGTCAATACTGGACGTCAACAAGAATTGAATCCTTGTGTTTACCTGATTCCAACATCACTAATCTAGTGATAGATTCATGTGGTTTTGATGACTATTCATCAATTAGAAAATATAAAGGCTTGAAGAGATTAAAAATTATTGGGTCAATTATTCTGCTGAATTTGCTTGTATCGGAAGATGATTTCCCAAACATGCAAGAACTTATATTTATGCCAAGTGGTATGGTAAATCCGAACTATTTGGATGCCTCAGTCTCAAATTTAGAAGATCCATTTACTCCGCTGGGTGACAAATTGGTATTTCCGCCAAACTTAGCCAATCTTGAAATTAACTCTGACTTCATTTTCAAGACATTGAATCTTCCAAGAAAATTAAATTCTTTAACTTTATCAAGAACAATATTCCCCAATGGAATTACGTTCAAACTTCCAGATACGCTTAGGTATCTAAAACTATCAGAAACAAAGCTTAGAAGTTTGGATGATTTCCATTTTCCTACAAATTTGGAAGTTCTTATTATCCACTGTAATAGACATTTGAAGTCGATGACAAATACCAATTTAAGTAGCCTTGGACATTTATATTTCGTTGATTTTTTTGGAAATAGAATTTGCGATCCAGATAAACCTAGAGAAAGTAATCGTTACAAGTATAATACATTCAATTCTTCAATGAGTGATAAAAATGATAATCATTCTGAATGCTCTTCTACTCTCAGCACCGAGGAGTAGTAATATTTACATCTACAAATACTAGAATCAATATATATCATCAAAAGAGTTGATTGCCTTTACGTTGAATGCTAGTTTTGTTTTGTTTCATGCTTTTGCTTAATCAAATATAAATTATATTGAATATAAATCAACTCTAATTTACCATCTCCCTATACGTACACATACAAACAATGACAAGTAAACTTCAAAGTATTCCTATTTTGTTTTTATTTATTACTCTAATTAGTATACAAGTATGCTTTACCATCAGCACCAGCGGCAAAAATCCAAGGTTGTTTTGGATGCCAGACCAAATCCAAAACCCAATTGCCCATTGTAAGTTTTTTCAAAGGAACAATCAAAGGGTTAGCATCATCATAAACTGAATTATGGAAAATATGAATAGTACCATCATCTGAACCAGTTGCAAATAAAGGTAATTGACCTTTGTGATATACAACTGATCTAATTGCCATATCATGATATCTAAGTTTTTTAAATGGAGTTTGTGATAATTCCAAATCGAAATATGTAACTCTTTTATCATAAGAACCAGCAATTAAATTATCACCACGAGGATGAATATCAATTGTAGATAATAATCTAACACCAGGCATTAATTTTTTCAATAAAACTTGTTGAGCTAAATCATAGATTTTAATTTGACGTTGTGATGAAACAAATAATTGTGGTTTGAAAGGATGGAATTTAGCATCCATTATAATACCTTTAGATTTTCTAAATGGTGATTGTGAAATATGTTTAGAAATTTGATGGATTAAAACAGCAGTATTATGACTATCTGGAGAAACAGTAACAAAATAATCACCTTTTCTATGCCATGATATTTTCTTAACAGTTTTACGACATTGAATAACAGCAGATACACCCATGGTTGTTTGTTCACTATTTGGTGGGAACCATTTGGCAACTTCCTTCTTTGGTTCAATGGTTTTAGATTCTTTTTCTTCATCATCATCATCATCAAGATCTTGTTCATCTTCACCTGGCATTTTAAGATCTTTCTTCTTGTTACCAAAAGTATCGTAACCCCAACCACTTTCAATTCTTAATTTACCAGTGTTTTCAATATCAAATCCAAAAATTGGTGGAACAATCAAATAAATATTTTCACCAGCACATACTGCTAATATACCAGTAGTTGAATCTGGATTCCATTCCAAGCTTTCAATATGATCCTCATTATTAATTTCAGTATTTATTATTTGTGCTTTGTAAACTTGTCTTCCAGTTAAAACTTCCCAGATTCTAACACTACCATCATCAGAACCAGTAGCTAACCATAAACCTTGAGGATCAATGGAAACAGTTCTAATTTTACCAGTATGACCTTCATATATAGTAGAACAACGAATAGGGAATGGTCTCAAATCTTTTGGAGATGGTAAATCAGGAATTAAACTATCTGGATCAATATTTAATTTATTATGACGTACTCTTGGAGCCAAATACAAATCTAAGGATCTTTCAAATCTTTCTCTAACAGATTCTTGGTAACCTGGAACTTGTCTTAAAGATTTGTATTTTTGTGGTAAAAAGTTTCTTTCTCTATCAACTGGAGCTTCTTCTAACCATTTAGCCTTTTCTTCTTCAGTTAAAAGATATTCTTCTGGTGGATTATAACTTTCTTCATTAGTTGGAGGTGGTAATTTAGGAGCTCTTAAAGTCATGATATGATCAGGAACTTCAACTTCATCTTGCCAAAGATCGAAATTATATTGATCTTCATCTAATTTTTCTTTAACTTGATCAGGTGGAATAATTCTACCTTCTCTAATTGCTTTAACAATCTTCATAACTCTCTTAGCTTCATGTTTGGAAGGAACAAATCTTCTCTTTGGTTCAGGAACAGCAGTAACAGGCATGATTTCTTCATCTTTAGTAAACCAATCAATTAAAGGTTCATATGGATCAATATTTGAATCAACATTTTCATTAGCACGAATTTTTCTAATCAATTCTAATTCTTCAGATGTTAATTTCAATGAAGTACCAGTATTTTGATCCAATAACCCAGTCCAACCTTCTGGTAAGTCAATAGATTCTAATAACAGATCTAACGCAGAACCTCTTGCTGGTCTCATGATTCTTTTACCATTAATATCATACCCAATATGTGGCATTTCATCATAAGCAGAAAATGGAATATTACCAATAGTATTGAAATTTTCTTTATCACTATCATCACTATCATATTTAGGATCAATTTCTGGTTTTAAAATTCTAGTAGTACCATCAGAAAATTTGGTAACAGTAGTATCTGCATCAGAAACTGATAATGATTTAATATTAATTCCTGATATATCATCTTTTGGTTCATCGGAAAAATCTTCAGATTCATAATCACTTGGATCTTCTTCTTCTCCTAATAATTGATTTAATTCTTCTTCGGAATCAGCCAAACTTGCTTCTTCTTCATCATCTTCTTCCTCGTCGGCTTTTTCATCGTCTTCTTCTTCTTCAACTTCCTCTTCTTCATCGTCATCATCATCTGCATCGATTAAACCTTGTACATTAATTTCATCATCGGATTCAGATTCTTCTACTTCTTCTTCAACTGGCTTTCTCTTTTTCAGTGTAGTAACATCCTTCTTCTTACTCTCAACAACAGGAGATTTCTTAATTCCATTCTTAGCCATGACTGGTTGTGATTATTGTACTTCAAAGAAAATCTTGAATTGATTAACTGAAAAAAAAAAAAAAATTTAAAATTTCCAATCTCATCTCTCTTTCTCTCTCTGTTAGTTCAATTTTTTTTTTTGGTTCATGCAATTTTTCTCACTCGGTTGTTCTGTGGGTTTTATCAACCAGAAGTATCATCAACACCATGAATACTGTTAAACAAATCAACCAAATAAACCAAAAGGAGTTAAACTCAAACACGTCATATAAATCTTCATGGCATTATGATTATCGAGATACGAATTATATATACATTGGTAACATCCCATTCAACCTAAATGAAAAGGATATAATTATAATCTTTAGTCAATATGGAATACCCACACATATAAATTTGATAAAAGATAAAGAAACTGGTAAACATAGAGGGTTTGGATTTTTAAAATATGCAAATTTTAAAAGTTGTATTTTAGCAATTGATAATTTTAATGGAATAAAATTAGGAGATCGAATATTGAGAGTTGATCATAATTATTATAAATTACGTGGGGATGAAAAAGAAGATGATTATTTGATTAATTATGATGAAGTAAGGAAAGAAATCGAAGCAAAACAAGATAAAGAAGATATTAAGTTGATTGAAGACAAAAAAGAAACCATCAAGGAACCCATCAAAGAAGAGAATACCCTGGATGTTGATGAATTTAAAGATCCTATGGCTGATTTTTTGAATAGCGAAAAGAAGGACAATGACGATGACGATGACGACGAGTTTAAGGATCCAATGGAACAGTTTATAAAAGAAAAGAAAGACAAACACACCAAACATAGGTCACACAGATCACACAGACATAGGTCACATCGACATAGATCAAAGGAGCGTGAAAGAAGTCGTAGTCCAAAGAGATAATATATATATATATATATATATAATTACGTATATAAATGGGTCTATATTAGTTTATTTTAATACTATGATCAGCATAATATTTGATAAACTTGTTCTTAGAATCAATATCCAATTCACCACCGACAGAAGCTAAGGAATTCAATTCAAAAGATTTTCTAATCTGGGGAACATTAAAACTATCAAACTTGTAAATCTTAGCACGAAGGTTCTTTGTGTTCACGCTAGCTACCAATTCAAAGAAGTATTGCAATTTACCAATATTTGGAATAGGTAAAGTGAAATAAGTTGGACTTATTCTCAATACCAATGATTTGATATTAAACTCTTCAAAGGAATACTTTGGATTTAATTTAACAAATGGCAAGATTGCTTTATTGTTAGATGGAGTACCTTCTAATAACAAAAATACAATTTTCTTTTTGAATTTAGAAACATCTTCAACTTTAGAGCCAACAGCAAAGGCAAAAGTACTGTCAGACAATGAAGATGGGGAGTATTGATATAAATCACCACTTTTATCTGGGACCAAGATGACTATGTTTGAAGTACCACTTAACAATGCAAAGAAGTAACCATCCATTGGTGTAATATAATTAGCAACAATCAAGTCACCCTTCTTTGGCTTATATGCAGCCAATTGATCCAGTTGGGATTTCTTGACACCATCAACTGAATATTCTATGTTGCTAAATCCAAATAGAATAGAAAATACAAAACTTAATATAGATGTAAAACCTGTAATGGTGTACAAGATTGAGGCAATAATGAAAAATGGTAATTTAAGAAAGAAAAGTGGTAACTTGTAGAAAATTGACGCAATGATATTCTTTTTAAATGTAGGCAATGCTTGAGGCATAAATGGGGAAATCCCAGTTCCTCTATCTCTCCAACCTGAAAACTTTTCCATCTTTGTTTGAGAGTTATAGTAATATGATGGTTGTCTGAATGAATTGAATTCCTAATGAATAATTTTTTTTTTTCTTTCGTTGCCTACTACCGCTGCTTTGATAAGGTAGTGTGTAAGTCCAAGACAAAATTATGTGCCATTTAGCATATCTGCTAATACTGGTAGCATGGACAAATAAATATGCCACTATGTGAATTATTCCATCCAGGATGGTTCGGAATCTATGGATTCCTAAACAGATCGGCAATGACAAAGCATGCAGTAAGAAGCATGTTCGTCATTTATCAAGGTACCAAATCTAAGGTTGATACATTAGAAGAAGAAAACAGAAAGAAGCAAGATTCAACAGATCACAGTATATGTATGGGATTTAGTTATTTTTTTTCTAAAATCCAACATTAATGGTTCAATGAAAAGAAAAACGTGGATCACTACAAAATCAAGCACGTGACAACTTTGCAACACACACAGAGACACACGTTGTCTTAACTCCATTTGAACTAGGGGTAGCAAACTTTATCACACCTATCGTATGATTTGAATCACAGACAAATCAACAGCAATCAATTTGAACAAGACTGTTTTGAAGAAAGCCTATCCAATAATTAATCATCAATACGTCAATATTAGTGTTAAATAATAAGTTGAATGATTGTTGACTGGGGGGAATAGGTTACACAGTTGGTAATAAATTGGCTGACATTCAAACAACTGTGGGTCTTCATTGAGCTTTTTTTTTTTTGGGCTGTCTAAAAATTATTTGTCAATCAGTTTCCCCACGCGTTTTCAGACAACCAAACGCATACAGCAAAAATCAAAACAATCCCATTTGAACCAAACAATTTTGTCCGCGGTATTTAGCTCGTTGGTGTTTAAACTCCTACAACCAGTTGAATCTATTGTGGGGGAGGGAGAGAGATGAATAATCGTTAGCTGTTCCACCTGGTGTTAGAGTTTATTAATTGAAATATACTCTAGGTGTATATGTGAGTGCGGCCAATTTATATTACCTCTATTTGTGTCAACGATGCTGATCTATGGTTGGACAAAATTAATTGTGTCGCCGAGTGAGAGAAGACCGTAGAACAAGAGAAAAAAAAATATTTCCTTAATACGATGCTGCAATAATATTAAAACAAAAATCTAAGATTTCGCATACACAGTGAAGCCGAGTTGCCAACCAACCAAAATATGTAATAATAAAAAAAATCCCCAACGTTTTTTTCTCTTTGCTTTTAAAAAGAAAAAACTGTCATTCAATTTATTCCCACCTCTTTTTTTTTTCTTTCTTTCTTTCTTTCTTGCTTTCTTTCTTTTACTTCATTTTTTTTTTACAACCTTAGTTTTTATATTAAAAACACCAATTGACTTCACACAATGGCTCCATCTGCTTACTCCGACTTAGCTAAAGCTGCTAACGATTTGATCAACAGAGACTTCTACCACTTGTCTACCGCTGCTGTTGATGTTAAAACTGTGGCCCCAAATGGCGTTACTTTCACTGTTAAAGGTAAAACCGCCAAGGACGACACCATTGCTGCTTCTGTTGATGCCAAATACTTGGACAAAGCCACTGGTTTGACTTTGACCCAAGGTTGGAACAATGCTAATGCTTTGACCACCAAGATTGAATTGTCTGAATTGTTGACTCCAGGTTTGAAAGGGGAATTGGACACTGCTGTTGTTCCAAACGGTACCAGAAACGCTAAATTGAACTTCTTCTATCAACAATCTGCTGTTAATGCCAGATTATTCTTTGACTTGTTGAAAGGTCCAATTGCCACTGCTGATTTGGTTGTTGCTCAAGATGGTTTCACTGCCGGTGCTGAATTGGGTTACGATATCTCTTCCGCTAAAGTTAACAAATACTCCATTGGTGTTGGTTACGCTAACTTGAACTACGGTTTGGCTGCTACTGCCACTTCTAACTTGTCTGTTTTCTCTGCTGCTTACTACCACAGAGTTTCTCCTTTGGTTGAAGTTGGTGCTAAAGCCACCTGGGATTCCGTCAAATCCTCTAACGTCAATGTTGAATTTGCTACCAAATACGCTTTGGACAAATCTGCTTTCATCAAAGCTAAAATTGCCGACTCTGGTTTGACTGCTTTGTCTTACACCCAAGAATTGAGACCAGGTGTTAAATTAGGTTTGGGTGCTTCTTTCGACGCTTTGAAATTGGCTGAACCAGTCCACAAATTGGGTTTCTCTTTGTCCTTCACTGCTTAGATGTTTAATGGATGTACATGTGCTTAGAATGGAACAAAAACAAAAAAAAAAAAGAAAACAATTTAAAAAGAAAAACGAGAGATTTTATTTCAATCTAAAATGGACAAAGAAATAGGAAATTTTTGATATCAATTGAATCTCTATTAGTATCTTGTTGTTATTTATTTTATTATAAAGGTATTCCCATGTTGGAAGTACAATTTTAAAAGAAAGTAAAGAACGAAAATATATATATTCTGTTAAAAATTTAGTTTGCCCTCTTTCTTTTGGCCAATCTCTCGCCGTGTGCCGTCGTGGGAGTCGCGGTGATAAGGACCATTGCGCAGCGCACGTCGATCAACAACCAAAAGTGCATTACCAAAGACAACGAGAAGAAAAATTTATTTAGGTAAGAAAAAAAAAAACCCAAGAGCACAATGGATTGCAGTTCTTATTCATCTCTGATATCGAAGTATAACACAGAAGACAATGTCATCAAAAGAATTAACACCGTTATCAGGCGAACAAGGAACTCCAAGTGGTAGTATAACAAATGGGGCTTCAAGTACATCATCTGCGCCAACTATTGTACAAATATCACGACCATTTTTCACACATAAAGAAATCTCATATTTACACAAGCAAACAATACCAGAGAATCTTAAACCTCATTATACTACTATTAAACATAAAGTATTTCAATATTTATTTCAAGCTATCAAACAGTTGAAATTTCCTATACGAGTGTTATCTACAACGATGAATTATTATCAACGATATTATTTATTCAATGTATTTGAAGCCAATCCTGGTCCATATGATCTAACTGAAGATCCTTATACAATTGCCATTTCATGTTTACTTTTAGCTACTAAAGTAGAAGATTGTATTAAAAGATTAAAAGATATTCAAAGTGTTTGTAATAAGATTAGAGATATTGATGAAAATAAAATTGTTGATTCAAATGGAAATAGTTTTGTTGATTTACAAAGAAAATTTATATTATCTATTGAATTTAAACTTTTGCAAGTTATAAAATTTGATTTTCATAATGGCCCAATTACTATTAGATCTAATGTTGATAATTTATTAATTCAATTTTGTAAAAATTTAAAAATTGGTTATAAATTATCAATGTTATCATGGTTGATAAGTTTTGATATTATTTCAACTCCATTAAGTTTAGTCATACCTCCACATTGTATTGCGTTATCAATTATAATAATTAGTTTAAATTTGAATCCCAAAGATATGAAATTGACTCATCAAGAAGAACAAGAAATAAGCGAAGAAGAAGAGAATAAAAAAGTTGAAGAAATTTTGAAATCTATCGATTGTGATGAATTAAATTGTCCTGAAGTATTAGTAAATGAAGCTATTTTATATATATTGGATTATTATATTCACCAATATCAATTCTCGATATTGAATGCTTATCTACCAGTGACAGACCCAGAATCAGGTAAAGAACAAGTTTATAAGTTTATGGATTTGAAGTCACGATTCAATGATGTTAAAATAATGGATGAAAGTAGTTGTTCAACTCAATTAAATGAAACAGATGATTATTTGGCCAAATGGGATTATTCAATTGGGGCAAAAGGTTCATCAAGATTTATGTTGAGTAACAAGAGAAGAAGATTCAATCCAGAATTAATAGAACATAAGAAACAACAACAACAGCAGCAACAACAACAACAACAAAATGGAAATTCAAGATAGCTAGAGAGAGGGAAATCATTCATGAAGAATATATGTATTTAATTTTTTTTTAAAAAAAATTCTAATCATATTTATAACTAACTGATGTACCTACTTTATGGATATCAGTACTGAATGAAGTGAATGCAACATTATCGACATTATCACCACTTAGTATACGTCCATCACCTTGAGTATCACTCCATTCAATTGGAATTGTAGTAGTAGGATCTGTATATACCAAAACATTAAATGTATACTCGTCATCTTTCAATACTGGTAAATATGAAACCAGACTAGTAATTTGTCGAATAATAGCTCTTATTTCTTTTTGAATCTCCAGACGTGGTTTTTCTTCCTCTTCAGTACTATTTGATTCCCCAGTTTCTATTTCTTTTGTTTCAACATTAAATTCCCATCGTTCAATATTTTCTAAATCAGATTTTGATACGATAACAATAACAAATTTATTGATTTGTGAGCCATAAACCCATTTTTTAATTTGTTTCATGATATTTTTAATATATTGTTGAACTTCATAATCATCGCTAATAACCATTGGTAAATCATATTTACGTACAGTGACGAAATCTTCTTGTGGATAAATACCTCGTTGATATAATATTGAATTCAAAGCAAATTCAAAATAATCACAAACTATCTTGGATGATCCTTTAAGTGCAAGTTTTGAAGACGGTGTTTGACGTTCTGCTATTGATCTTACTGACATGGATGGTGACTGTTATGGCTGACTTGTAGTGGCTATTGTTGTTGTTTACTATGAAAAGAAACAAAGAAATCAAGAAAAGTCGCAATACGACAACACGATGAATTTCCTTTATTTTGACGACAGGAAGAGAAATAAGTGTACGACTTTTTTATCCCTCACGTTTTTTTTTTAAGTTTGAATTTGATAGACAACACTTTTACAACCAACTATCATCATCATCACCACCACATTCAACAATGGTATGTTGTTATCAATGTATACGAATAAGTTAGATTAGTGAAAGTGATGACTAACATTTAGAATTAGCAACACGGAATTAAGCGAGTCAGTTTATCAGAGGAGGCTAAACAATTGAAATTGAAGAAAGATCAAATCAAAATCAAAGAATACAGAGAATTAACTGAAGAATTATTCAAATTAAGAGAAAATGAAGATTATTCTGATGAAGCATTATTGAAGAATAATGAAATATTAATAATTAATCCCGAATTCTATACCATGTGGAATTATCGTCGTGAAATATTGAGTAGATATAAATCAGAGGATTTAAAAATTTATGAAAATTTACTAAATCAAGATTTGAAATTTGTCTTATCACAATTGAAAAAATTTCCTAAATGTTATTGGATTTGGAATCATAGAACTTGGTTATTATTCGAATTAGTTAAAATTGAGAAAGTTAATTGGGAGTTTGAATTTGCTGTAGTTTCAAAATTATTGGATTTGGATCAAAGAAATTTCCATGGTTGGCATTATAGAAGATTTGTTGTTGAAAATATGGAATTAGCATGTAAAGGAGATTTATCAAAAATATTGAAGATTAACCTTGATGAATTTAATTATACAACATTGAAGATTCAAAAAGATTTCCTGAATTTTTCAGCATGGCATAATAGAACAAAATTAATACCAAAAATTTACAATTTAATCCATGATAATGAGGATATATTAATGAGGTTCCCAGGTACTGATATGTTTCAAGATCCTAAATTGATAATGAATAATGATTTAGAAATGATCAAGACAGGTATGTACATGAGTCCTGAAGATACATCTGTTTGGTCATATTATTCATGGATTGTAAGTGATGAATTCTTCACAAAAGCATTCAACAACAAAGAAGAATATTTGGAAGTATTGAATGAACAAGAAGAAGTGATTTCCGAGCTTAACGAGATGGAGAAAGAAGATACAGGAAAAGATAATGTTCGTTGCGTGAAGTTTATAAAGTATATAGAAACTCTTAAAGCAGAACTACAAGAGTAAACAAGAAATGTATATGTTTTTTAATTTCGTAAATAACAATGAGAGAAGGTGATGTTCTGAAGGTGACCTATTATTGTTCTGCTTTACTTTAAATTCATGAATAGTCAAAACAATACCTACTTCATCCAATTGGGTTATGCACTGAAATAAATTTATACTATTTCCAAATATGAAAGACAAAGAACCTAATGAAACAATGATGGATATGGCCACATAAAAAAAAAAGCACTTTCAATTTTTGATGAAGTATTGCATGAAAATTCAACCAAATTGTAAATTGCAAAATGACATCAGACTTCATGAAAATTTGTGTGCGAATATCCTTAAATCTTAGAAGACAAAGAAATACCAGAAGATAATTGTTTCTAGCTGTACAACTACATCAGAAGTAACGGATGAAGTATTTCAATCAATGTAGTAACTTATATCAATTTCATAAATTACGTACGATATTATTTACAAGTAGTAAAACATTTAGAAGTACAAATTCAACAACCTTTATTACCGTTATGAATTTCTGGAAATTATCATTGGTAATTTCTTTCTCCCCACGCCCTATTGAGACAGGTTTAAAACGTCATATCCCTTGTTTCAAAAATGATTCCATGATTTATGAATTTATTATTAGCATATCATGTGGCACCTAATTTCCTATTTTGAATTCAAAATGAAGACCATGTAAAACTTCAACTCTATTAATCGCAACACTAAGAAAAATAAAAATCATGGAAAACTTTAAATTCACGTCCAAGTAGAAAACCACCTCTAAAAAATTCCAGTACTAGTATTACCGGTAGCAATAATAACTTTAATCTTATTCTAACAAACCCAACGATATTTCTGCCGATGAATCCTTTTTTGATATAATGTTTAAAAGTTATTTAATTTTTAAAGTTGTTCCATCAATCAAAGTTTAGGTTTTAGTTTTTCTTTACTTTCCTGATTTGGCTGCGAAAGGATTGAATGTTGAAAAATCAATCAAAGGGAAAACAAGGGGACCTATTACCAATTAAGATTAATTTCTTGTACAACAAAAGAAAGAATATTCTATGTAATCTTTTTACGTAAATTAATAGCATATTCATAGTACAAAAATAATAACGTACATATGTATTGTAGATCAATAGAATATTAGAATTAAACAAACCCCCTTTAAAAACGTGTATAAATAAACATCAATTTCATGGATTAAATTCCAATTTCTATTCTTTTTCATCATCAGAAAAACAATTAAGACTTTCTAACACTACAATCAACACTCTCTTAACTCGACTACTATTTTAAACAATGAAATTCTCCTTAGCTTTATTAACTACCGTTGCTGCTGCTTTAGTTGTTGCTGCACCAACTCAAGCTCCTGTTGAAGAAGCTGAAGTTCCAACTAATGAAACTGGTCTTGCTATTCCAGATTCTGCTGTTCTGGCCATTGTTCCATTAGACGGTGAATTGGCTCCAGTTTTTGTTGAACTTGACGATATTCCAGTCTTGATGATTGTTAACACTACTGCTGTTGAAGAAGCCTACCAAGCTGAAGAAGAAGCTTACGAAGCCGAAGAAGGTTCTTCAGATGTTGAAAAAAGAGATGCCGCTAAATTTAAATTTAGATTAACCAGATATGGTTGGTTCTCTCCAAACAAGAGAGAAGAGATTGACGCCGAAGACATTATTGATGCCGAAAAGAGAGATGCTGCTAAGTTCAAATTCAGATTAACCAGATACGGTTGGTTCTCTCCAAACAAAAGAGACATCGGCGATGAAGAAGATATCGTTGATGCTGAAAAGAGAGATGCTGCTAAATTCAAGTTTAGATTAACCAGATATGGATGGTTTTCTCCAAACAAAAGAGAACTTGCTGAAGAAGAAGAAACTGTTGATGCTGAAAAGAGAGATGCTGCTAAGTTTAAATTCAGATTAACCAGATATGGTTGGTTCTCCCCAAACAAAAGAGAAGTTGCTGAAGAAAATGACATTGTTGAGAAAAGAGATGCCGCTAAATTCAAGTTTAGATTGACCAGATACGGTTGGTTTTCTCCAAACTAGATAATGTCACCTGTTTAATGGTAACTTCTTCTTTTGAATTGTGAAATATCAATTCTTTTTTTTTTTTTTTGAAACATTTATTACTCATCCGTTGTTATTCTATATTGCTATTATTTTGCAATATCAATGTTTATTTTCCTTTTCAGAAAAATCTATATAAAATCAATACAAAAAAATTCTTTTCTTACATTGTTTCGTTTAATAAATATATTCTATTTTTAATTCTTTGTTTTTATTACCATCCCAATGGTGTTTATTACTTACAATGATAGTGATTATTCGGTCCCCTCTTGTTTAATGCCGTGTGTTCAATGTGCTGATTTTGTGATTGTGGAGTTTACAATGGAAAATGATTGAATTCTGTTTGAGATACGTTTGATTAGTTGTAAATAGATGTCTAGTAATTTACCAAATGCTGATTCTTATACTGTCCATTATTTAAGAAAATTATCTAAGTTACAAGAAGTGCTCCAACCAGGTGTTTTTGATACATATAATAACGCATACAATACTAACCGAGGCTGATCTCTTTATGATATATAACTTCATAACAGAATTGAACTGTAATACCAAAAGCTTGTCTTATATGTTTTAAAATAGCTTTTCGATGGTGTGAATTATTTTTGGTCACTACTTTACAAATTCTAATTAACAACCCCCCAATTTGAAAACAACATACACACACACTCACACATGTAGATGTTCCCCAACTTCTACAAACAGAGACGCAACAAGAATCACATTACTTTGCCAAGTATTAGTATGTATGACGAATGAAAGGTATTAATTTTCTTCTACTTTTTGTTAGCTTCATTTTAATGTAAATGATTAACTAGATCAAACTGAATAAAAGTGCTACCAAACAAAATAATATGAGACGAATTAAAACCATCATCACCAAATTTAATCAACAATTGTGTAGATAGCAATTCATTATTTTTATTGGAGGAAAAGATGGCTAAGGATATTTTATTTTTGTGATTTTGGTGTTGGGTGGATAATAACTACCCCATAATTATCACCATAAAGGGAGCTATAGTTATTGGGGATAAACGTATTGAATTCAATGAAAGGTGGATGGCAAAACCAATATGAATCCATCCCTACCCTCATCCCTTAATCTTTTCTTCCATAGTTTCTAAAAACTATATAAACCCATTGATATCTTCAAGATTTTCAAGTCTTCTTTTTTATAATCCTTCTACCTCATCTGAATACACTTCTATTCATCAATCAATCAATCAAATCAAACCAAAAATGAAATTCTCCACAGCAGCTTTAACTTTTACTTTATTTGCTATTGTCAATGCTGGTGTTGCTAAACCAAAGTATTACAAACCAAAAACTAAGTTGGTTGGTTTAGAAACCGTTGATTATGAATTTGCTTTAGGTGTTAAAGAAAAATGTGATGGTGATACCATTTATTTAGCATTTGAAGTTGGTGATGGTCAATTAGAACATAATGGTCAAGTAGTTGATTGTAAGTGTGAAAAGGATAAACGTGGTTATTCTCCACCAGCTCCAGTTGAATATTGTACTATTGCTAAAGAAGATTGTGTTGATACTTTTACTTTATGTGAAAGTATCTTAAAGGATGAATGTGAACGTATTGGTGAAATTGTTGCTAATCATCAATTCCAATTTGATAATCCAATTCAACCTGATGCATTATTTACTTGTGGTTGGTCTATTATTGAAGATGATGGTTATTTGTTGTTGGGACTTAATGGATGTACTGATTTCTGGGAATGTCCAGTTGATGATTGTGGTACTTACAAGTTATACGATGCTTCCATTGATTCCAAATGTAAAGAAGTTGAAATTATTGTTCTTTTGATTGAAGAAGAAGAAGAATGTCCACCAGAACCATGTGAACCAACTCCAGAACCATTTACTCCACCATACAAGGGTCATAAAGGTCACAAAGGTGGAAAATGGTAATTGGAGTCAATGATCCTTAGAAGTATCTAAATTAAAGCTAATGAATTTGTTTTCAAAAAATAAAAGGGTATGATTGGTTCTTGATTTGTTGATTGCTGGTGCTTCATCTTTTTTTTTCCTTTACTTCTTCTTTAACCTTTAGTTTATCAATAACTTTGGGTCGGGTTTTCTTCTTAACTTTTCATAGTTCGGTTCTTTTTTATTTCGGTTTATCATGATGAAACGGGTGTCTCTTTTTTTTCAATTGATTTCATTTTTGGTTTATTTTATTTCAATTTATAGAATTCATTAGCTTATAAAGAATATATATAACATCACATCCTTTTTTTATTGAATAAAAAGAAAAGTTGCAAAATCATTATAAAATTTTTAATAAATTTTTGGAACATGGTTATCAATTTCCTGCACACAAACACACCTCTTGAAATTTTTTTTTTTTTTTTTATTTAGTGAGAAGATCATCTCAAATAGTTTTAAACCTACCAATTTGATATCATTCCCTTTTTCTTTTAATCAGTTCAACCGCAACATTATTCGACAATGGCCAAATCAAAATCAAGAGGAAGAAGAGCAGAGAAGAAATCAAAGAAAGAAGAATCTAGTTTAGTCCATGATTCCGAAGTTCCTGTTCAAGAATCAGGAGAAAATTCTACTCCATCAGGAGTTCCAAATACTTTCTTTGGACTTGTTGATAGTAATGAATTAGATTATTTTAAACAAGCAGAATCTACATTAAATATTAATGCATTTGATAGTGATGAAGACAGACAAGGTTTTATTAATTCTGTTTTAGAAGAAGCACAAGGTAAAGAATTGAAATTGGTTACTAATCAAATTTGTTCAAAATTAATGGAAAGATTAATTTTATTTGCTAACAATAAACAATTAAAGAAAATATTTAAACAATTCCTGAATCATTTTGTTTCTTTAGCTTTCCATAAATATTCTTCACATGTTTTAGAAACTTTACTTGTTAGATCTGCAGCATTAATTGAAAAAGAGTTAGCCCAAACCGAAGAAGAAAAACATGAAGAAGAAGAAGAAGGGGAAGACGAAAAAGATGATGTTCCTATGGAAGATTTATTTATTAGTATGTTGAATGAATTTAAACCTCATTTAACTACTATGATTGATCATCTGTATGCATCACATGTTTTAAGACTTTTATTATTGATTCTTGCTGGTAAGGAATTACCATCAACAACTACATCAAATTCAACATTAAGATCTAAAAAATCTAAAATTGCTAGAAAAATGATTGAAATCAAAGATAATGAAGATTTTAATCGTGCATTTCAAACTCCTGAATCTTTTAAAAATGAATTACGTGAATATTGTCAAACTATATCTGCTGGATTAGATACTAAATCAGCACGTGAATTAAGTATTCATAAAATCGGATCACCTGTATTACAATTATTAGTTCAATTTGAAGGTTTAGTCGATCGTGAACGTACTTTTTGGCATCTTATATTTTGTAAAGATCTGGAAGGCAAAGATTCTACTGAAGAATCATTTGTTGAATATTTATTATCTGATTCAGTTGGATCTCATTTCTTGGAATCTATTATTAAAAATGATGGTGCTCGTCCTAAATATTTAGAAAGATTATATAAACTATACATGAAGGATAGAGTATTGAAATTAGCTAAAAGATCAACTAATGGAGTTTATATTATCCAAGCTTTATTATTTAAATTAAAACCAGTTGAAGTTGAATTTATTTTAGATGAAATTATTCCTGAATTATCGGAATTGATTTCAATTGCAGAAAATCAAAATTTGGATTTAGCCAATAAATTAATTGATGCTTCTATAATAAGAGGAAATTATAGACGTGATGAAATAATAGATCAATTATTTAAAAAATTTGCTCCTAATTATAATGTTGAAAATCCTCAAGATCATACCACTACAGAATTTATTGAAAATATATTACAATTACAAGGCTCAACATTAGGTAATACTAGAGATGACTGGCCAACAGCTGAAGAAAGAAAACGTGCATTGTTTTTGGAAAAACTAATGGAATATGATTATAAATTTGTTATTTGTACATGGTTTAATTTCATGGCATTACCAATTGAAAGATTTATTCAAATGTGTTTCCATGGTGTTTTCTGTCATGTTGTTGAAAAAGCATTAATTGTTGAACCAGAAGAATCTAAAAAGGTACAAATTTTAAGAAAAAGATTACTTAATATATTTCAAGGTCAAATTGTTGGACTTGCTTGTAATTCATATGGTTCACATATTGTTGATACATTATGGAATTTCACAGTTTTATTACCAATGTATAAAGATAGAATTGCTTCTGAATTATTCAGTGAATCTCATAAAGTTAAAGAAAGTACTTATGGTAGATTAGTTTGGAAGAATTGGGGAATGGAATTATTTTCACGTAAGAAATATGATTGGAAAGCATTAATTAAACAACAAGAAGTGGAATATTATGGTGAAGATAATGAAGAATCAACTACATCGAAGAGAGTTAAAAAACCAATTGAATTGAAATTAGAAAGATTAGCTGAAGAGAAAAGACGTAAAGAAGAACAAGCTGAAAAGGCTCAAAGTGGTTATATCAAACGTAAATTAGATGAACTCACTGGATCTGGTCCAGAAAAGAAACAAAAACTTAGAGGACGTAATAGAAATTAGATAAAGTGGATATCTATTTAATTCTAATTGTTATAGTTTGGACTATTTACACTTTTATATATATATATATCTACAAGATAAAACTACTATTTTTTGGTGGTGATGTAGTATTCATTCAAAGTTTGTTCTTTAACACCAGTTGGACTCTCAACAACTGGATCAACACCTGATTGGTTTTTAGGGAAAGCAATAACATCACGAATACTATTTGAACCAATCAACATGGCACATAATCTATCAAAACCTAAAGCCAATCCAGCATGAGGTGGACATCCCATACTTAAAGCTTTCAATAAATGACCAAATAATTCTTGAAAATTTGAAATTTGTAAAATTTCTTCAAAAATATATTGTTGTAAATCAGGATCATGAATTCTTCTTGAACCACCACCAACTTCAACACCATTTATAACCAAATCATAATGTTCACCTCTAACTTTCAAAGGATCAGATTCTAATAATTCATAATCTTCAATTTTAGCCATAGTGAATGGATGATGAGTAGATTCAAATTTATTATAATCATATTTTGGATATTTAATCGTGGTTTCATTATCTGGTGAATCAGAAATTTCAACTGGATTAAATAAAGGGAAATTAACTACCCATGATCCAACAACAACATCATCAATATTATGATCACTAGTTAATTGACCGTCTTTGAGAATTGGGCGTTGCCATTTAGTTGGAAATTCTTTAATCGCTAATTGTCTGAATTTACCCAATGGAGTTGGATTTTCATAAGGAAATTTCGACCTTGTAGAAACTGCAAAAACATCACCAGGTTGTAAATTTAACAAGTTTTGTAATTTCGTTTCATCGAATGCATTTGTTGGAGCAATGACATTGGCTTCCATTAATTTTTTATACCAAATAGTTGCATCATCAGGTTTGTTAACTGCCCAGATGTATGGTCGTCTAGCAGGGAAATTGTGATCATCAGTGAACGATTTTGGCAATTTATATTTCTTTGCACCAGGTTTAAATGCTTGTTTCAAGATGGAAATTTCAACCACAGGAAATTCGTCATTTTCTTTAGCAAAAAAGAAATCTTCAAGACTGGTGAAAGTTAAACTAGATCTTAAATCAGGTTTATCAATACCATATTTGGTCAAAGCATCAATATAATTTAATTTATTAAATTGCAACGTGTTAGTTCCCATTTCATGGGTAATTTCTTCCAAATAACCATCTTGATTGACTTTATAAGTTGGTTTACCACCAATTTTATTCCAAACATTATGAACTACATCTTCAACAACAATACCAACTTGGTCAGAATTATTAATAAAACTCATTTCCAAATCAATTTGAGTAAATTCCGGTTGTCTATCAGATCTTAAATCTTCATCCCTAAAACATTTAGCAATTTGGAAATATCTCGTAATACCTGAACTCATTAAGATTTGTTTATATTGTTGAGGAGATTGAGGTAATGCATAAAATTTATTAAATGATCTTGTAGGTACTAAAAACTCACGAGCTCCTTCAGGAGTTGATTTAAATAATAATGGAGTTTCAATTTCAACAAAACCATGATTTTTAGTGAAAATTTCTCTAATTAATTGAGCTGCTTGACTTCTTAATCTTAATGATTTTTGATAATATGGAGTTCTTAATTGTAAATATCTAAATTGAGGTGGAATATCTTCTGGATTATTATGTTTTAATTTATCTAATCTAGAAGCATCTAAATTAGAAGAATTTAAAATTTGAAAATTTTCAACAACAAGTTCTAATTCAGTTTTACCATTTTTACTTTGTTTTTGTTGAATAAATCCACTTACACTAACTGAATCTTCAACAGTTAATCTTTTCATTAATTCAAATATTGATTCATTGGTGAATTCAGGTGTAGCTAATAATTGAATTTCATCACCATTTATATCTCTTAAAAATCCAAATCCTAAAGCTGGTCTGATTCTTGACTTTCTATTAATATGTCCATTTAATGTTACTTTAGTTTGTTGTTTATTTAAAAATTTATCGATATTGGAGTTGATGGATTTGATAGTATGAGTCGCTAATGGGAAATCAAATTTGGCTAAAGTAGTTGACTTGTTAGGTAATTTAGAATAATTTCTAATCCCATTCTGTCGAATAGTTGGTAATAGTAGCTTCAACATGTAAGTTGGTGAATTTGTTGATAATGATTCAACAAAGAAGAAGTGAAAGTGGGCAGACTATTGAAAGAGAAAAAAAATCTATGAGAGCTGAACTTTGTTTTGGTGATACAAAAAAAAGAAATCAACAAACTGTTATTATACACGTAGGAATGGGTGTTTCGTGGGACACTACAATTGAAAGACCCATCGTATCCCATTAGAAGTAAACTCCAGTACTGGAATGTGCTAACGAAACCATGGTTTGTGATGAAGAAGATAATTGCCAATAATCGGTAATCGCACTACTCTTAATATTAATTATATAATCAATATTACAAGCAATCAACCCATAAGCCAGAAGTTGTACATGAAAGAAGTTGAGTATATATATATATATATATATATATATATATATATATCGATTTAAAAGATTATTTGATATTCGGGAAATGAATTGTATATTGAATAGATATTGGGTATTGTTGTTTTAATATAATTCCGATTAATCAACAGTTAATGGATTCTTTCCTGGATGATAAACACAACTTATCAAATGATTATTATGATATTTGACAGTAAATAAATCATGTTGATTACTTTTAAAAAGATTTTGAAAAATAATTTTAATATTATCAACGACACCTAAATTATCTTTATGTAAAATCCAATCTAAATCTTTCCAATCTAATATACCTTCATGATTATAAACTAATGGAGTTCTATAATTCTCATATTGTTCTAATGAGATATCAGCAGTAAATAAATATAATCCTCCTAAACTTGGATCTTTATGATGTTTATTAATTTTGAAACCATCCCTTTTTTCTCCTTCTTCTTCTTCATCATCACTGTAAGTTACTTCCCATCTCATGATTCCTCTACTTTTAAAATTAAGTAAATTTAATCCTGTCTCTTCATTACCTTCACGAATCATACTTTCTAATGGTGTTTCACCTGATTCCAATTTTCCTCCTATTCCGTTATATAATCCCATCCATGGTGCTTTGTTTCTATTTAAAAGTAATACTTTGTTATTCTCTTTACAGCGAATAAATCCTAATGTGTATAATAATTGCCCTTCATGTGATATGGTCATTGTTACTTGGTTGTAGTTGTCGTTGTAGTTGCTATTGTTGTTGTTGTTGTTGTTGTTGGTGGTGGTGGTGGTGGTGATGATGATTATGATAAGAAGTTTGAAAAAAAAATTTTTCAATCACGACGCGTTATTGATTTTGGTAATCATTCTTTTTCAGGTACCATCAGTTCTAGAATTATTATTAATTTTATATTTTGCAATCAGGGGGGTCAAATCATCAACAAGAAAAATTAAGGGGTTACAGGGGTATCATAGCAACAAGGGGAAGACAACAATTTACAACTTATAGATAGAGATGATTCATTTGATCTGATAACCTCCCAGTTGATGATGATACTTCCATTGCTTTATTTTTACGAAGACAAAAGGAAAAAGAACAATCGACCCAACTGCTCCTCCTCCTCCTACTGCTGCCGCTTCCAATTTCAGGCGGACAAGAAACAAAAACAAAAGCAACCCAAAGCAAAATCAAAAGCAAGGCTTATTCCATTCAAGTAAAAAATTTTTTTGAAATATCGTTGACCCATTCAACAAACTTTTTTATTCAGTTTGATCTTCTTGTTCTTCTTCTTTCATTTGTTCGAGATCAACTATTCATTAACTAAATGATTAAACTTATAAGTCTAAGGAGAAGAAAATTATTCAATTTAATCATATTATTCTCCCTTTGTATTTTATTACCAACACTTTTAATTTACTATGAAGGTCATAAACATTTAATTAAAATAGCTGAAAATTATTATAATCCAGATGATTGGTCATCTATTAAAACATTGAGTGATAAATTTGATTTTTCATATTTACCAGGTTTAAATTATCTTAAATCATCAACTCCAGAATTGGATGAAAAAGGATATATTCTAAGTCCAGGTAATGTTCAATTTAAGTTTTTAAATAAAGGTAAAGTTAAAGGATCACCAGAAGATATAGTTAAACAAACAACTAAAGAATATGAACAATTAATGAGTGAAAAAATAGGAGGACCAAAAGATGCTAAATTAATTCCAGCTCCATCAAAAGATGAATTGGAAAATTATAAACATGCAAATGCTACTATATTAGCATTAGTTAGAAATGAAGAAGTTACTAAAATAGGTCAAAGTATAAGAAGATTTCAAAAACAATTTAATGCTAAATTCAATTATCCTTATACATTTTTAAATGATCAACCATTTACTGAAAAATTTAAAAATAGGATTATTAAATATACTGAAAATGCACCAGTTGAGTTTGTTCATGTTAAACCTGAATTATGGGATAAACCATCATTTATTGATCTCGATAAAGAAAAGAAAGAAATGGATATTATGTTTAAACATAATATAGCATATGCTAAAAAGGCATCTTATCATAATATGTGTCGATTTTATCTGGGTCAATTTTATAATGTTCCTGAATTATCAAAATATAAATATTATTGGAGAATTGAACCACAAGTTAAATTTTTCACTAGTATTGATTATGATGTATTTAAATATATGGAAGATACTGGAAAAATTTATGGTTTTACAATTAATCTTTATGATATTGAAGAATCAATTAAAACATTATGGCCAGAAACTTTAACATATTTAAATGAAAATGATAATTATAAATATATTGATCCTAATGGTAGTTTTCAATGGTTACTTGAAGATTTACAAAATCCAAAGAAAAATCAAGTAGCAAATGGTTATTCAACTTGTCATTTTTGGTCAAATTTTGAAATTGGAGATATGGATTTTTTCAGAAGTGAAGCTTATAATAATTGGTTTAAATATCTTGATTCAACTGGGAAATTCTATTATGAAAGATGGGGAGATGCTCCAGTTCATTCAATTGGTGTTAGTTTATTTGCTCCAAAGGATAAAATCCATTGGTTTAGAGATATTGGTTATGAACATGATCCTTATTTTTCATGTCCAAGTACTGATACTACTAAATTTTGTCAAGTTGGGAAATTCAGTCGATGGGAACATTTATTTGATCAAAATTGTTTAATGAATTGGTTAAAACATGATCAACCAAAGAATGTATACTAATACACAAGGACACAATCGGTTAGTTTACAATACTCACACACAGACACACGCATACTCCTACTCACACATCAATTTATGTATTTATATGGTTCCTCTAACTAAATAAATAGTATCACCGGTTTTAAAAACAGATGATTTCAATGAAGTAGTAATTAACTTGGGTTCACCATCTTCTTTCACGGTTTGTTCTAATTTGAATATATTAAGTTTCTCCAGTGAATTACTAGTAACATTGTTGTTATTTTGAATATGTAAAACATCAGCAATTGAATCAAGTGATCTACCAACAACCCAATTTTTATTTATAAATACAGGTTTTTTATCCTTTTCAATATTAATTGAATCATCATCAGGATTTTTAATATAAACACACCATATGAATATCTTATCTTCTAATTTGATCTTATTATCACCTTTTGCATTTTTCTTTAAATTTGCAATATCAACATATTTGTTACTACTTGATTTCCCAAAAAACTTTCCAATTGTTGAACTCTCCCCAGACTTTGTCTTCTTTTTATTCTTTTGAAGGGATAGGAATTTTTGGAATTTCTTAAATGCATTAGTACCAGCAACATCACCAACTCTAAATTGAGTTTCTTTAATAGTAGTTGGTTTAATTTGACTATTATTTAAACTAGCTTCTAATTTCTTTTTATCTGCTTGACGATCAGGAAATAAGGATTTTGAAGAAACTCCACTTGTTGGACTTGGTGATCGTGATGACGACGATGAGTTATGTTGATTAAAAAATTTATCTTTATTTTTACAATTATGTTGTTCTATAGTTCGATGATTTGAACAAAATGTCTTGTTACAAAATTCACATACAAATGGTAAGAAATCTAACTGATTACAATACTGACAATTCTTTCCAAGATCCATAACCCCATGGTTATCCTGGTTAGGTTGTTGCGCTTTATCAATAAATAAATTTGAAACTGATGACATGACTCGGTAGTTGTTGTTGTTGTTGTAATTAAACTCGGGTGGATGATGGATAGACTGATTTCTTGTGGTGGATATTTATACTTTCTGATATTTGATGGCGGTGGCGAACCCACGCGACGCCGCACAACCAATAATCATGATACATCACGTGACCAAACAAATGATCATACATTAATAATCAACCTTGACGAATTACGTCATGGGTTATGGATAAGATATGATAGTTGAGGTAATTATATAGTATGACACGTTCCATTTAGGTGTAGACCTGTTTATGACCCCCGACTAATGTGTGATGTTTGATACTCAAACCAGAAAACCAGAATCATTGTAAGAATTTTTTTTTTTTTTTTTTTTTTTCGTTTTGAAGATCATCTCCATCTTCACCAATATCACATTCATATTCAACATCATCACCACCACCACCAGCACTGTCGTTACAATGTCATATGATTTGAATATCCCATGGCCAGTGAGCTCTTATGATAAGAAACCAACACCACAAGAATTAACAAATTTCAAAAACACCATAATCACAAATTATTCACTTGGTATTACACATCAAGTTTTAAATTTCATTATAACGGATTCAATTAAAATACCAATTAATTCAAATAATAAAAATGATATTAATCCAATACCTATAGATTCATTAATTAAAGAATTTAAACCTAAATTTCCAAAACTTCGATTATTTACAAGAATTACATTAATTATAAATGATTGTTCTAAAATTCCTTCAATACCTAAATTAACCAATAATTTTGATATAATTTCAATACAACCAAATAATGAAAAAGTATTTCAATCAATAGTATTAAATTTAGAAATTGATTTAATATCAATCAATTTATCAAATAAATTAAATTTTTATCTTAAATTTAAAACTTTACATACAGCAATTGAAAAAGGTATTAAATTTGAAATTAATTATAGTCAATTAATATCAGGTAATCAAGGGTTTTTAAATAATGAAACTAATTCAAATTTAATTAAAAAGAATTTTTTCAATAATGTATTACAATTGATTAGAGGTACTAGATCAAATGGATTGGTTATTTCAAGTGGGGCTCAAAATCCTTTACAATTGAGAAATTTGAATGATATTTTAATATTATTATCAACTTTGGGTTTAGATAAGAATAAATCAAGGAAATTTATAACTGAAATGCCTGAAAAAGTATTGATTAATGGTAAATTAAAATCAAAAAGTCATAGGCAAACTATTGTAATTAATGATGATGAAAAGTTTGTTGAAAATTCAAATGGTGTTGGGTATAAAAAGAAATTGGAAGATTCAAGTTCAGGCAGATTATTGAAAAAGAGAAAACTTGCGACTAACAGTTAAGATGGGGATGTATATAATATACATATATATATATATATATATATGAGTGATTTGTTCTTATTAACTAAATATAGAAGACTTGAGTCGTTTGATTTTACTCGGGGGTTCTTTTTGTTGAACTGGTTTCTTTATTCGTTTACTTGTAGATGTGGTTTTCGTCATAGGAGAAGGACTTTTTCTCTTACGTTGAATAAATATTGATGATTTTTGACTTGTAAGTGGTGGTTTGACAGGCGATGTAATAGGTAATGGTTTATCTGACTCAGGTTTCATTGCGTCATCTGTCCTTAGTCTTGGTTTTGTTCTTGTTGTTGTAATAGTAGATGCAGTAGTCGAATTCTTTAGACTTTCACTAGTGGCATTGAAAAACGTAGTTCTTCTTACGCTGGATGATCTTGGAGGTCTTATTGGATCATTATTTGATCTAGTATCATTTACTTTAAATGCATGGAAAGGATCATACGGTTTAATATATTGATTTCTTGCAAATAATAAATTTCTTGATTGTACAGTATCTCTTTTAGCTTTTTGTAATATCGAATTTTTATTAATTGGTTGTATTGATTTAGTAAAACCTGGATTACTAGAAGTAGAATTCACTTTTCTGATACTTGGATCTCTTAAAACTTGATCAACTGCAATTATTTTCGTTTTTGATTTTTCCTTTTCGATTGATTTATTTGCATTTCTTAATTTTCTAGCAGAATCTTTTCTGAAATCATCACGATCTTTACAATATTTAAAATATAATGATTTATAGGGCATGTTGTTGAATGATGTGGTCGATGATGAGGTTGGTGATGACGACTTTAAGGGGTCGATTTTAACAGGTCGATTAGGAAAATCTTTGACAATTAATTTCATCCATAGTTTATCAGAATGAGGAATTAATTGATTACAATTTTCTTCAAGTTGTTTCAATTGTTTAAAAGGCATTTGCTGTAATACTGGTTCCAATAAATGAAATGGAGTATTACCCACATCAGATATTTGAGAAACATGTCGTTTTAGTTTTGCTATCAAGAGTTGAGTCAACGTGGGTAGTTTCTTTGGTTTTGTATTTTTAAACTGTGACTCCATGATGAATTACGGCTGGATGGTTTGTTGATTGTAAAGTGGTTGCTAAATTCATAGTCCATTGATAATAGATCAAACTTTTGACTTACAGAATGGCAATGAGAACAAAATTTTTTTTTGGTCAAAGTGCACGTAGCGTTGATGCACGTGACCTATGCTAGAATTAGAAGAGAATGAAATGTATTTAAACAAGACATTGCAAGGATGTTGGGTATAATTGCAGTTATCTTGATAGTTTGATAGAACAAAAGACTTACATGCGACAATTGGTTGATTTTTATAAACAGGGTGATACTGAAATAGAATCATAACCTTAAAAGTAACTCCGATAAGTTTCCGCATCTCCACATTTCAGAAATGCAGTTTCTTTTGAATTATAGAATAAAGAGAAGTTCTAGAAGAGCCTATGGGCGAGTTTGTTGGGTTTGCTTCATCACTTGATACATCAATTCCTTGTTTTATAAATTTTGTGTTTTGCTCAACTCCTTATCGATGTGAGTGAATGATGCTCTTTCCAGATAGTCAGTTATTAGTCAGATATGTAACTATTCATGCAGTTATTTCTTTTTTTTCCCCCAAATCTATAGATCAATGTTGTAATATACTCTCCTTTTAGGTTACTTTCCTTGGTATCCTTTAATTGATGACGTTGATTAACCACAGTGTAAACAAGAAAAATAAACTGATTTTGGAAAATAACATCCCTTGAAACAAATGTGGTAGTTCAGGGAAGAAGAATTTGAAACAAGAAATACCGCTTATCAAATCAAGCAAATGATAAGTGGAATCGTCTTCTGATGATATAATAGAAACCAACAAACCACCACCCTTGTGTTGCTGTTAATGTAGGTGCATTGACCACCATGAGATTAATGCGCGATTTTTCTTTAAAATTTTTGTCCAATTTAGGGCGAGACACGCGTCCAAGAAAATTAAAGTTTTGTCCTGTCCTGTCCTGTCCCGTCTCGTCTGGTATTAGCGGTGGTGGGACAAATCCGCGTCTCGGTCGAAATTACTAATTGCTCACAGAACAGAACAGAACAGAATAACAGCAAAAAAAAAAAAAAAATACCCGAGAATTATTATTATTTTTTATCCGATCCGATTCATTCATTAGTCATTACAGCCCCCAATCATCTATACCAAAGGAATACTACTCGGAGATATTTCAGTAATATCTCCTTTGATATAACATATAATCACAGTATTCACAGGACCAGAACTCTATCCATATGGGACATTGGTATCCAGAATATCATTAATCGAAATACCGTGATTTTCCGCTTTTTTTTTCTTTCTTTTTTCTGCCTTTAGCTCCGATTACAAAAAAAAAAAAAACATCTCAAAAAAATAAAAAAAGAGTTACAGGACAAACAACAAACACACCGAAGATTGAATGGTGTATCTTTGAAGATATAGTTAATGGTGTTGGTCAATGTAGAACCGGAAATATCAACCACTGGTCTCTCTCTCTCTCCCTCTTTCTGTTATTTCCCACCCCCGGAATTATTAATTAATTACAACAGGCTGGGTAGTTGTGTTTGTACGGAAGAAGTGGCCATTTCCGGGTTTGTACCACCAACGCGGATTAAGTAGCAATAAGAGCCGTTCGGATATAACCCACTCATGCATTCATGCATTCATACACCAACAGTTAATAAATCTTTTTAGTCAATATTTATTATCCATTGGATTTGTATTCTTCTGACTAATAAAATAAATAAATAAAATAAATAAATACAAATCCATTTTCCTTCTTTTTCTTCTTCTTCTTCTTCTTCTTCTTTTCATTATTAGTAAAGAATTATCTATTTATCAATAACAATGTTTGCCAAATTAAGAAGTAAAGTATCATCTCCTCCTCCTCCACAAGCAACTACTTCATCCCCTTCTTCTTCTACTGAATCAACCATAATCAATGAAAAGAATGCCACTAGTGGTACAACGACAACAGCTTCTCCAGTTACTTATATTCCATTCACTGAACCATCATCAGATTCAATCATTCCAAAAGAACCAGAATTAACTGACGATCAAAAATCAAAATACATCACAGTATTGACTCATTTTCAAGATGCAAATTTGAAAGTTGCTACTAGTGAACAAGATCATAAATCAGGTAAAAAATCTAAAGAATTGACTATTGGTGAAAAATCTTGGTTAACTAGAGAATGTTTTCTTAGATATTTACGTGCCACTAAATGGAATGTTGATGAAGCCATTGATAGAATTGAGTTGACTTTAAGTTGGAGAAGAGAATTTGGAATTTCTGAACCTTTTGATAATGAGAATAAAGTTAATGGTGATTTAGTCAGTGTTGAAAATGAAACCGGTAAAGAAGTTATATTAGGTTATGATAATGATTCAAGACCTTGTTTATACTTGAAACCAGGTAGACAAAATACTAAAACCAGTGAAAGACAAGTTCAGCATTTGGTTTACATGTTGGAAAAAGTTATCGATTATATGCCTTCTGGTCAAGATTCTTTGGCTTTATTAATTGATTTTAAACATAGTCCTGTTGGTACTCAATCAAATAAAATCCCTCCAATTGGTATTGGTAAACAAGTTTTACATATTTTACAAACTCATTATCCTGAAAGATTAGGTAAAGCTTTGTTAACTAATATTCCTTGGTTAGGTTGGACTTTCTTAAAATTGATTCATCCTTTTATTGATCCTTTAACTAGAGAAAAATTGGTTTTTGATGAGCCATTTGTTAATTATGTACCAAAACAACAATTGGATAAAGATTTTGAAGGGGGTGTTAATTTCGATTATGATCATAGTAAATATTGGAATAAAATGATTGATATATCTCAAGATAAAAAACATTCATATTATGAAAGATTTGAAAAATTCGGTTCTGTCGTTGGTTTAAGTGAAGTTGATTTAAGAGGTACCAATGAAGTGTTGATTCATCCTGTTGGCAGCATATAAGAATCATCATCACCCATATGATTTTGCATAACTAACCACCACCATAATTATTATCCCCGTACCATACCATACCATTATCTATTCTTCATTTCTTGATTATGTTTTTTATCATTTTTTGTTTTTATGTATATTTAGAGCTAATAGATACTTATATATATTATTATTATCATTATTAATATAATCACTCAAAACCTGTGTATTAATATTTATTTATATGAATGGATTTGCATTTTTACGTTTTTCAATTAATCCAGTTTCTACATCAATCATATTTTGCCAATCTAAAGGATACATTAATTCACCAGCACCATTTTCACTTTTAGCAAAAACAACACCTAAATCATTTCTAGCAGTACTCAAATAATAATTTGAACCATCACCTAAAGAAATAATAATAGCTCTTACAATATCACCAGGTTTAAAGCAATCAATAATTTTTAATTTATCTCTTTCAGTTGATCTAATATCATTAATTCTAATAATACCTTTAAAATTTTCCCCAATATCATAAATTTGAAAATTTGATAATGTTGATTGTGAACTAGCTATTGATTGTAAATTAAATAAATGTTGTGATCCACCAGTTGAAGGAATTGAAATATGAGATATTGATCCATTTACACCAACACCTGAATCTGGTAAAATTGGTTTATTTTCTAATGATAAAATTTCACAATATGCTTGAATATTACTTATTTTAGTTATTCTAACTAATACTATATCATTTTCTTTAGGTAAATTAATTGATATTTGATTTTCTTTTTCTTCATCAATTGTTGATGAAATTAAACTTGTTGATCCTTTTGGAATTACATTAACTATATGTTTAATTATCTTTTCTCCTTGTCCTTCTTCTTCTTCTTGCCCATCTTCTTCCTTATCAATTTTCATCTTACCATCATCTTCTCCATCTTTGGTGGTGATTGTTTCTTTATCATTGGATACGATTTCTTTAATATGAACAGTACCAAGAATTGTAGATACTATAATTGGAATTGATTTTCCTTGATCATTATTTGGAATTTCAATATTTGAAATTATTGTACCTTTACCAGGAATATATTGTAATTTAGATTTCCCATTTTCATCTAATTTATATAATGGAGTTATATACTGTCCCGGTACTACTGTCTTTACCTCTTCTGTCATTATTCTAATTTTGGCTATTTCTAAAAGGAAAAAGATTGGTGATATCAGATGAGATGAATTTTTCAACTCCCAAAAAAAAAAAAAAATAAATAAAACCAAAAATATCTTCTCCATCATCACCATCATCACCAACAACAACAATTATAAGAGTAATAAAAAATGGGATATCCGGAATATATCAATGGTAAACCACCTGTAATTACCCTTAAAGAATATGATGGTGCTGAATGGGCATCAACAACTTGTTTAGATTTCAGAAATAATCAATATGTTGTCGTTATTATGGAAACTCCAGAGTCTATAGTTGCTATAATTGATCAAGCAGATAATTTAATCTTAGACACAATTTTTAGAAGTGCTAATGAAACTCATAATAAACAAAAACAAGATGGTACTTATAATAAATAGATTCATTTTTATATAAACTACCTCAATAGAATTGTAATGTAAGATGATGAAATTAAACATATCACGTGATGAGTTCTTCGTGCTATCTTTTGGAGTATATCGTTCAATTAGAGCAGGAATGATGATGTATTGAGCTAATTCTACATTATTAATATCTCTCATTCCCCCCTGTTTGATTAAACAGTATATTGGATGGAAATTCAAAAGGATAAACTAACCAAGTTAACTAGAATTATGAATATCATGATCTGAGCAGATTTGTGATTGATCATTAGAGAATCTGATTATACGTTGAGCTATGAGTTTCAAAATTTTAATCATCATTAATTAATAATGGACAAAATCTGAAGTAGCATTTAATTATGACTACAACATTTACTTTTGGTTTTTAAGATGTGTGTTGAGGTCATATGGATTATGATATGATACCATTACATTGTTGAAAGTGAAAAGAAGAAAACTCATTGTGATCAGTGTGAAAACATCAATCTTAGATATCAACCTTATGAGATGCTTACAGAGATATGGTACATCAAACTACTAGATAATTGATATGAATACTAACAATTACGATATTTCCTTTAACAAAATATGTGTATTATATTTTTTTTATTATATATATATATATATATTACTATTACTAAGATAGGAAGAACTAAAGTGTACTGTCTGTAGTCTAAAAGAAATGTGTATAACATCTTGACTCAACATGAATATTCATTTCACTTTTAAATGTATTCAATTCTTCTTTAATTTGTTGTGCTAATAATGGAGTCAATTGATTACATGTAGCTGTATCTGGATGTCTATCATATTCATCCTCATTATATGTATCATACAAGATAATTCTTGAACTGAATCGAACACCATTAGAAATTTTATTGATAACTTGTGGCGGACGATGTGTTAATGGAGCAGCTCTTGGACTTGATGCAGGTGATGATTTTTTATTATTACCCCATTTCTTACTAATCATTGATGTAAATGATCTTGGGGAACCAGATGCAACTGATGATTGATCTGATATAGAAGGAATCTTATTGTGAGAAAACTTCCTTGGTGGTGCCGGTGGTTGGGGAATTCCCTGTTGTGGATGATTTGATTCAGTTGGTGATGCTGATGATTTCTTATGTGATTGTCTTGGTGAAAAGACTGAAGATTTAACTGAAGTTGTTGGTGATTGAACTGCTGCTGGATTAGGTCCAGCAGATGGAGGAACTAACGGTGAATGTTTATTAATCATATTAGTTTGTGGAGGAATCAATGGTGATATTTTTCTACCGCCAATTCCTTGATTAATTGATCCATCTCTCTTCGAAGATACATTTGAAGAATCATCAAGATCTTCACTTTCATAATCTTCATCATCGGTCGTCGTTCCAAATCCTCCACCAACTGAACTTGAAGAATCATCATTGAAATTAATATTAAAAGATTGATGAGAATCACTACTTCTTAAATCTTGACTCTTAAACTTACCAGAAAATGAAGGTGCATTCATACCTTTAAAAGACATGGAAATTGGACGAACTTTAGGTTTGGTTGTTGATCCATCACCATCTTCTTCATAATCCTGTGATCTTCTTGCCATATATGCACTCTGTAAAATTGGTGAACTCTTAATAATTTCAGTAGCAGCATCACTACCCATTCCATCTTCATCTTCATCATCAGTTTCATTCTTAGGTTCTGGAGTAGTGATACTGTTACCAACACCAGAGCTATCATTAGTCAAATCGATAACAACAACTTCCTTTTCATGAGCTTGTTCATTTCCTTCAACACTAGTTTTAGGTGATTCAACATGTTCCATAGAAAGTGGAGATGATGAAGATGGTGGAGTTCTTGAATCGATACTAATTTGGGCATTCTTATTAATCTTTGGTTCTTCAACTTCTGATTTGTCAACAATAATAACTGGAGATTTTTTTTGCTGTTGTACTTGTTGTTGTTCTTGAACAGACGATGGATGAGGCATCAGTTTATCAAAAGATTTAAGATCAAGTGGAGATGGTGGTGGAATGCCAACTTGACCATCACTTCTTTTGGGAGTCCCTGGAAGTAAAGGAGAATCAACAAAATTCAAATTATCAACATCAATAAATTGACTAAATTCCATTAAATCATCATCAAGGATTAAACTAGTATTAAGATTATGGTTACTATGGTTCAATTCTTCTGCATATTGAGAAATATTAGCATCAATCGAATTCATATTCAATTCTTCATTCAAATTACTTCTTCTGCTGGTAGAATTCTTTAAAATTGAATTGGATCTTGTCATACCACTATTAGAATTTGGCTGTGAAGTTGGCCCAACATAATGAACAATATTATCATCACTACCATCATAATTAACAAATGAATTACGTTTATTGGATTTAACAGACTTCATTGATCTTGATCTTTCTAATGAAACAATACTTTCAACTTCATGAGCATTCAACGATTTAGGAAATAATGCTTCCCCTAATAATTGATTACTATTGTTGCTATTATGATGGTGATTATGATCAAGACCTCTATTAGCCAGAGGATTTTGTGAATGTGGTGGTTTAATTGGCATTGATGGAGACTGCAATTTCTTTTTCAGAAGTGGACTATCATCCAAGTTTTGTCCTTGAGTTTCACCACCTTTTGATGAAGATTGTGGAGAATTTTGATAATTAACTTTAAATGGGGACCCAAATTGGTTAGAATCTAATAATGGAGGTAATAAAGCAATTTCTTCTCCATATTGATTTCCTTTATTCAATTTCTGTGGTGGGTTATCTGATATATTCTTTGCATCATAATAATCAAAATCCTCATCTTCAGGAACTGACCTTGAATAAGATAATTGATCATAATTATCTTCTCCCGATTCAAATGACTCACGATCATCATCCCCAGAATGTTCATCTTCTATATCATCATGAACTTCAATATTATGCTTACCAACAAATACACTATCCTCGCTAATTTCTCTAATGAAATTAACACTTCCTGGTCTTGCTAATGATTGGGTAGGAGGTGCCATAGCGTCCAGTTTAGATTTATTCGTTGTTGAGGTAGTAGTATTAGTAGTAGTTTCCTTTGCAGAGTTTTTATTTTTAAAATTTTCATTGGTAGTAGGAGCAGAATTTGACGAAACAGTAGAATTACTTGCCACGGCAGGTTCTTTTTTGGTATGCTGATCCACGGGTTTATTTGCTTCAAGGGTTTTTTTAGGTTCTTGTAATGCTCCCATTTTACTAAGATTTTCTGATGATTTTGTCTTCATAAATCTATTCATGAATGAATTGGTAGTTTTCATTTGTGGTCTTTGATGATCGTCTTGCTGTTGTTTTTGTTCAACTTTCTTAGGTTGTTCGGACAATGTCTGCATGTTTGGAGTAGAATATGACTTTGAAGTCAATTTCTTTGGTTCCAGTGCTGAATTCAAAGAATGATTTTTTGACCTTGATTTGAATAATGATTTAAAGCTAAACTTTTTCTTTTCATTGGTTGCAGTAGATGATGTCAGAGTATTGTTTGTAAATGTAGACGATTGAACACTAGCAGCAGTCGATTGTTGTTGTGGTTGTGGTTGTGGTTGTGATTGTGATTGCTGTTGTTGCGGATGTGACGGCTGTGTATGATTTAACCTACTCAAGTCACTCATGGTACTACTTCTCTTATGTTGTAAATGTCTAGGAGGATCCATAGTGTTGGTATTGCTAGTGGTTTCTTTTGAAATGAAATTTAAGGAAAATGCAGAATTTGATCTTAAATGAGGGGATTTTTTAGGGGAAGATGCAGTAGAGCCAGGACCCGTGGTAGTGATACCAGCGAAATATTGTTTTGGAGTCTCTGGTAAAGGGGAAGTTGACTTTTGAATATTTTCAAGGGATTCCGAATTTGACAACACTTCCAACATGCTTTTTGATTTACGAACAATTTTAGGGCGGGTAGTATGTTCAGAATTGCTATTGTTCTTATTAAGGGATGAATTATTGGATTCAATCGACATGTTTGATGATGATAAATTACTAATGGTACGATGAACAGAATTAGAAGTATTACTAGTAGTAGAAGCAGTTCCAGGATAAGGTTGTTGCTGTAAAATTGGAGGAGGAGGAGGAGGTGGTGGTGGTGGTGGTGCCGGCACGTTTGGATTGGCGGATGAAAAATTCTGTTTTTGAACTTGATGATGCGAATAATGATTGTTGTTCGAATGAGGTTGATAGAATGGATTATTCGATTGAATGCTTGTACCAGTGGTGGCCTTGTTGTTAGTGGTGGCGATGGTGGTGGAAGTTGTAGTTGAAGAAGATATGGTAGAGGAAGATGAATTTGTTAAAAATGATTTATTTGATGAAGGTAATTTTATGTGTCTCGGTGGCTGTAAGGAATGAGAATTTTTTTGTACCATTTCTTCTGCGTCTTGATCGTCTGGTTGTTCTTGTTGTTGTTGTTGTTGAGATTGAGGTTGATAATTAAAATGAGAATCAATACAAGATAAGTAATCAACAGACTTGCTTGCCTCTTGTTGTTCTTGTTGTTGATAATTTGTTGATATTTTTTGAGATGTTGTATTATAATTAGTAACACCATTGTTAGCAAAAATATTATTATTCTTATTATTACTATTGGAGTTAGTGTCCAAGTTACCAATTATATAGTTTTGTCCGTTTTCGTGTACTTTGGCATTATCACCAAATTGTTGTTCTTCATTGACATCAATCATCTTAACAATTGGTGAATCTGGACTATGGGGAGTGATGCTTTGGAACGTCATAGGTTGATATACAATAGGAGTCTCATCAGTTGAATAGCCTGCCTCACTAATTGTGGAAATAGACGATTTATTATATTTGTGCGAATTACCTGATGTTGTTGATGATGCTTTACTCGTTTTCTTAGTCAAATAATTATGACTAAATATTGAACTTTCCATAGATTCAGGTACTTGATTACTATCAGTTTCTTCTTCTTGTTGTTGTCGTTCCTCATCATCTAAGGATTCGGTTGCAGTTTCAAATGTTTGTACGGATTGACCAACATCGGTATTATACTTGAACACAAGTGGAGGAGATAATTTAGTTTGTTGACGAACTATCCCGTCATCTTCTTCCTCTTCTTCTTCCTCAACAATAGCATTAACATTATAAGAACTTGTTGAATTATATTGTTTACTCTTTTCATTGAGAATATTTTCCAATGCTTTTAAAGAAGGTGAAGCTTTAATAGCTGAAGTTCTTTTCGCTTTAATATTCGTAGGAAATGATTGACGATTTGATTGTTGACTAGGATTAGGATTGGTGGTGATATCTTTTAGTGACTTTGTAGATATTGAATGTTTGATTTGAATTGAATTACGAACATTCTTAAGATGATTTTTCGTATTGACATCATTACCAATTTCTGAAGTTGGAGCAGAATAAAAATCATTATCAAAAAATTCATCAAATGTTGAATCAGGCATTGTTTGATGATACGAATTGATAAAGAATACTGGGTTTGATATATAACGAACTAAGTCAAAAAAAAAATTAACACACCAAAATATAATTCCAAAGAATGAAATGAATTAATTAAATTTTTTTTTTTATTACAAAGAAATTTTTATTTTGCGTGTAAACCAGTACAATTTTACTTTACTTAAACAGAATGAACAACTAATTTAAACACAACAAATATAATTCAATAAAGAAATCATCTATTATCGATCAATGATTGTCAATAAATGACATGACGCGTAATTCAACTACATTGGGTCCTTCACAACCCTTTACTAAACCTTTCTAAGTAACATATTCATGCATGTAAAGAATAAGAAAAAAAAAAAAAAAAAAACACACTTGAATAACATCCTGTGTAAGATGAATAGTACCTATCTTTATTAAGTATCATATCAAAATAATCTGAATACCATGTATCACTACCCTACTACAACAGACAGATTATGTACAGATCGATCGATCAATAAATTAATTAAATAACCAAGTAATTTCTGTGCCGAACGCGTGTGTCGTTTGTTCTTTTCTTTTGCAATTTATTCCCAATTAGGAAATATCATTGCAACTGTTATTTTTAGTGCGCGAGTGCACTACCCATGTATGAAAACTGACACACAATTCTATGATTAAACCTCAGTCTAGAAGATTGATGTTTCAAAATATTAGACGAGGTATAGAAGACATGTTTGGATAATTATTATTATTATAATAATAATTCAATTATTTTGTCAGAGTAGGTGAGTATCATGGCAAAATGTATCACACAAAAGTAATGAAACCCAATATTCACATTTCCAATTAGAAAACTGTGCACCGCACGACTTTTTCAAAAAAATTTTTTTTTTTTACTGTTTGTGGTGAACCCCTTTCAAAATTAAATTGTACAAAATTAGTTAAAACAGAAAAGTTTAACGCGTTTTGACACGTGTGATATGACATGTGATATTTAATCACATGATATATGTAAACCATAATTAATAAAATAAATAATTCATATAAATTAAAGAAGTATCAATAGAGGAGAAGAAAACTATAATATAAATATACAATCACATATAAAAATAATATTCACATAATAGCACAATTATTACCTTTTGCCTTTTTAACTCTTGTATGTAATTTCTTTTTAATGCCCGGTTTCAGTTCAAGTATGGTTGTATCTTGTAAACTCAGCAGTTGAATCATATTATTTGATGATTTTAACAACGTTGATTTTGAGGCACCGAAATGTGAATTGGATATGGAAGATGATGCAGTTAATGAAGGTGGAGCTTCTAATGAACTCAAATCATCTCTTAACACACTTGTTGAATCAAAGGCATTGTTATTTGTTGTGGTTGTATTACTTAATAAATCGATATTGCTTTGATTATTTGACATTAAACTTTCAGTAGTATTTGATTCATAACGTGATAATTTTAAAACTGGATCAATACCATATTGTAATATAGAATTAGCTAAATACAAATAAAATTTAATCCATAAAGTTTCCAATTCTTTATTAAATTTGTAACCAAATCTTTCTTGAAATGTTTGAATTAATGCTTCACCCATAAGTTGAAATTGAGGAGCTTCAATATTTAAAATCCTTGCATGTAATTTACCTAATTTTGATAAATATTCATCTAAATTTGATAAGTTTTCCAATTGACTGATTGTAAATGTTAAAATTCCAGCAAAACTAACAGCTTGATGCTTAATACTTGGAAATAATTTCTCCAATTCTGGATCTTTTGATAATAAATTAAAATAAAATTGACGGCAAAATAATGATGATGCAATTGTTGATGATTCAATTTTAGTATTTGTCTTATTTTTAACCATTTTTTTATTTGAAGATGTTGTAGTATTATTTGTAAATGCTCCAGGCATATTATCTGAATCGGTAGATTCTTCCAACAACATTTTATTCCAGGTATATCTTATCAATTCAATTTGTCTTTGATCTAAATTTAATTGAACTTTATATTGTTCTTGTGTTTGTTCAACATAATAAGATTCTAAAGATACTCTAGTATCCATTCTAATTAATTCATAAGTAGAATCTTCTTTTTTGTATTGCTGTGAGGATAAGGTATTAAAATGACTACCTTTACTGTTCTGACTGTTATGGCTTTGAATAGAAGGAGCTCTTTTGGTACGAGTACTAGGACTATAAAAAGCACCATAATCATCATCATCATCAGCAAAAAAATTATCATGAGTTGTACTGTTGTTATTTGTATTATAATTTGCTCTTAAACGAAGTTTTGAATTCACTTCTGTATTTGGAGGTGAATTAGCTATTGAAGTAGCAATTGTTGAATTACTATTAGTGCCATTAGAAGTATTACTTGTTACAGAATCATTATCAGTACTGGTGGACTGGTTACTTTTGTATTTATTGATTAATGGAGAAGATGTGATACGTCTTGAATTATTAGTAGAAGATGCTATACTATTTGAAGAACCATTCGTAGTAGTAGTAGTGGTAGATGACGATGAAGGAAAATGATTATAAGGTATGGTATTTGCCGTTATTGGAGTATGTGATAAGATGGATGAATTGGATCTCATAAATTTGCTATTTTTAACTGAGACAGGAATGGTAGCTGTTGTAGTTGAGCCATGGGTAGAATCAGATGAAAATCCAAACATTTCAAAGTAATAATTAGTTATTGATACAAGATATAAGAAATAATTAAAAATCTATTAGAAAATCAGTACTTAAAAATTAAAAAAAAAAATGGGAAATTCTAAATTGTTTAAATAGTACAATTTTTTTTTGTCTTTTCTTAAACTATTGTTATACTAATAATATATATTAAAAAAAAGATTGAATTGTACAATAGATATTGTAAGTAAACTCTATAAATCCGTCATATCAATAATACCACAAAGTGAATTGAAATGTATAAATTCCTTTTTTTTTTTAATTTTTATGAATTTATTTTAAGTAAAGGAGAAAATTATTTCATCAATATTTTCAAGTACAAAATGGTCCAGCTTGAAGATTATTGTTTTATATCTTTATTCAGTATGTTTTCTCCCTACCAATCACTTTTTTGATTATAATAATTAACCTTGAAATTCTAGTAAACTCTATTTCAATTATAGAAAAAGGTTTTTAGGATATGGGATACCTTGATTTAAACTTCACCATTCACCAAAAAAAAATCCCATTCACTTTTCAATTGTTGAAGGAGTTAAACAGTTGAATAAATTGGTGCTTTCTTTTTTTGCTTTGTTATTAATGTTATTATTGTCTGTAGTTGATTCAATGTAAATGTTGCATGAACTAAAATAATCTAATGTACTATGCGTAATGTGTATTTGCTTAAATGATTTGACTAAATTTATAAATGTAAATCATACAGGTACCTTGCCAAATAAAATGTATCGTAACTTATATTGCGAAAAAAATTTTCAAGCGTGTGTTTACCAATTTATATCAATTTTAATAGTTAACCTACAACGGTAAAATATAAGCAATCAGGTTGATGATTTTTAGGGAAGTAGAGGGATAGATAAAGAAAGGGTTAAATATATTACACATCAATACGAAGAATAATAATTTGAATTCTAGATTTTCAAATTTAAATGAGTCCTCTATTGGTCAATTTTTCTGTACAAAAAAGAAAAAAATATTCAATTTATCATCGGTATTATATTACTCAATAATTATTATTCTTCAAAGTCAATTAGCCTAGTTTTTAAAATTATTTTTCTTTTTTTTTTTTTTTTACCAAATATTATCCAACCCCATACCCCATCTCTCTTGTTATCCCTAGTGTTATAATTTACTGTTATTGGTTAAGCAAAGGGGGGGATTGATAAAGGATATGATAATTAACGAAGTACTGAAAAAAAAAACGAAGTTTTGAAATTGAGGCGTATTATACACGTTGAGTTTCGGATTTTGATAAATCGTTTCTTCGTCCAACGCTCTGCTCTAGTCTTCTATTCGCTAAAAATTGTATCAAATGTCAAGTAAATTCTTTAGAAGAAGTTCCTTACAAAACAAATTCCGAATTATTGCAAATCATTTTGTTATGAAATACGGAAGAGGCAATAGAATTGGAAATATCTTGATAAGAGGCAATGACTTAAAAAAAAAGTAAAGGATTGTCACATTAAGGGTTTTTGCTACTTGTTTCCCTTTAGGTAACATTTTTAAACAACAGGAAACAGGGTAATGACTTAAAATGGTGCTTGGGGGACTAGACCTTAATAAAAAAAGACAAGTGTAAAAAGCCACTGCAAGAAGAATCACAACGACAACGGTGTATATTGAACCCATTCTGGGGGGATTTTCTTTTTAGTTCTTGCATTGGGAATATAAACTAAATGAGAATTTATCAGATGATTTGATGTCTCATAATCAATTTAACAAAAAATGATGTAGTACAAATATGTCAATTACTAAAAAAACAAAATAGAAACGACAATGGAATTTGACATATAAGACAAGTACATAACATTCGGAATGAAATTGTTAGGTTGATCTACCTAGGAGAATAATTCAATAATGACATAATTTCACACTATTTTCAAAGGTATAATTGTACCAAAACTCCATAGCAATAAATTTTTCCTTTTTTCCTTTTTTGAAACACGACACTGATGATGATGCAAGTAACACGAACTTCAACTCAACTCAACATGACATGAATGTACAGGTTTTATTTGTTTAGATTAGACAAATACCAGAAAAAGGAAAAAAAGCTAGTTTTACTTTTGTACATCAACATGAATAATTGTTTCACGAAATTGGGAATCCCAGACAATGAATTCTCTATTGATACATGAACCACAGTATGTATGTAGTGTCTGTACATCAAATAATAGAAATCAGATACTTACAGACGAACAATTGTACTTCATCGTTATAACTTTCTTTTGCATGACAGAGAGGATGCAAATCTATATTATGATATCGATAAAGTAAATTATCAATTTATTATCGTCTATTGATAAATTCTTTCTTGTTTGTTTATTCTTAATTACGTAGATCTCCCTCTTCCTCTTCTTCTTCCTCCTTCGCGTTTCTGTAACCGCCCATTTCCAGAACCGTGCTGGGAATAGACAACTGCATCATTTGATTGGTCTAGAAATGGGTCAGACCGTTGTTATTACTTGCTCTGCTCTCAAATAAGTTATATTGCTTATCCTATTGTACATATATATTCATTTATTTTCACACCCAACCAATAAGGTTACGAGTTTAGTGAAGTCGTGCACTTGAAGCAAAAATAATTGATTCTTGTGCATTTGTACACTACTAATTGAAAATGGGGCGATTTCCTTCAAAGAAAAATTGGGTGCAATAATCATTAAAAGAAAGTAATAAATACAAAAATATCATAACTATTGATTTGTTGTATATTGTTATTGTAGATCTATTGTTCATGATGGCGCGATAAATATTACCGGAAATAAAGTGGTTTAAAAAAATAACACCACTAGACCATTATAAAGGTTTATGAGTTTAGTCTGTATATCGTTTCCGTAAAATCATTAGCACTGGAGTAAGAATTAAAATTTAAATTGGGGAAATCTGTTATCCTCAATTCAACTTTTTATAATTTCCTCTGTATCTCATAATAATAAAACTATTCTTGTCATTATTACTTATACCATTCTGATAATAATACTTAGGATTAGTAATAATAAATATCTACTGTCCGGAAAATGAAGCGCGATTTGTATTCAGAACGCAATTCATTTCTTCGTATGAACAGAACATACACGATTGATAAATAAAATCAGTGGGGACAAATATTGAAGAAAATTTCATCTACCGCCTTATAGATAGTTCCAAGTGTCTAGATCTCTTGCCATATGTACCATGTACATGTATTTATGTATCAAATAAAATTAATCTCTAAAGATCTGAGGTTGTTTTATACGTCCAAGGGTCTTTCCATATTATTATAAATGTATACCAAATAGAGAATACCCAACTTTTTAACCCAAAACACATTAGTTGCATACATATCTGTACATCAAATGAATTCAAATGAAAATTTCAAATTGGATTAATTAAATTCTAGTCAAGAGGAGTATATCCCAATTTATTGGCTTATATCGATTATATTCTTTTTGTTGGGTTTGAAATTGCATAAAGAGGCGAGATTATACATTGAAATCTCTCCTGTCAATTTATTACTACTGAAAAAGAAATAAAAAGAATCTGGTGACTGGTTATATCATTGGATTGTTTAAATGTTGGTGTATTCATGATATGTAAGAAATTTTCACCAACAATAATTGCAAAAAACAAAAAAAAATTATACAAAATTATTATTAGACTGATTGCTAGAAGGAAACAAACAGATAATAATACGGTTTAACTTCTTCTATACAAACTGGTCATCTTCAACTTACTTTCTATGTTGTTCTATTATTCTATAGTTCATAATTAGTTGTCATTACAATTGATAATACCATATGCTTAATGTTTAATCCAGCCTTATATATTTTAATTATCTTTTCAACGCAAGATTAATTTTTAAGGTGATAGAATACTTACATATACTTACATTTAATAAAGAACGTCCTTTAAGAAAAAGTTTATTCTAAAGTTATCAAGTGAATCCCCTATTACAGTTTTGTTATTCATGTACTGTACATGTATGCAAGCGTGTGCTATTATTATCACACTTGACATTTATTGTGTATCAAGCAAACAATATGTTGTTAATTGATACTTACATTAATATTCAAAGGAATCGCATGATGACCACAACCACTACCACTACGACTATGACTACGACTAAGCGTGGTGAATATGTGTTACATAGGTTTAAACAAAGACAACAAGGAAACAAAATGTATTAGTAACACATTTAGAAACATACATAACACAGTATATGCATGTTAAAACAATTAAATCTATTTCCTCTTATTCAATACTAATTAAACACAAAAGCATATTGAAAGGATCTTTTGAATAAGATGAACTAAAAATAAAACCTGAAATTTAAACACAAAAGATTTAAGACCTTCTGAATGAGTGGATGAATGAATGAATAAATGAATAAACAAGAATAGAAATAGGAACTATACTTATCGGTCGACGTAAGCAGTATGTGTTATATAAAATCGTCAAATTTCCGACTCTTTGAACTCAACAAATTTTTTATTATTCATCTCCAGCTCAGATATACTATCTTTGCCATAGAAAATCAATATCACCTAATCTTGTTACTTTGAAATCTATAGCCATATATCGTATCTGTTGTATAATGACGTACAGATACTATACACATCGATTACTCTAAAGAAAAGCGTTGCCCTTTTCTTAACTAAAAAAAAAAAAAAAAATTAAACTACGTACACCATTGTCTAAAGTTTTGATAGTACAAAATTTACATATAAACCCATTTGTAATTTCTGTCTAGACTCCCCTTTCATTTTTAGTTTTATGTGTGATATAACAACTTCCTGTACCATATTAAAATTAAATCAATCTGGTGGCTTTGTTTTATTGTATTGTAATTTTAGTTAAATGTAACAAAACAAATTCCAATCAACGTCAATATTGTAATGTGAGATCATAAATTTATGGTACCCCTCTCCCTTTTCCCACTCTGTAACCTGCTCCTACTTTTTCCCTTTTGAATCCATTGTCTAATTTCATACCCTCTATTAGGTACAATATACGTTTCTAGAATCAATAACCCTGGTTTGAGCACATAATACCGAAAGGGGGGGCACGAGGGTAGGTGAGGTACAAAAAATAAAAACCAAGAGTGAAAACCACTAGTAGAACTTTATTGTAGTATTTGCTTGTTTTTGAAACCATACATTACCATAAAGATCACCCTAAAGTGGAACAAGGGGAAGCAAATCAATCCGTGGTGGTGGATACACCTTGGTGGTTCATCGCTACCCAATAGGTTTCGATGAGTCGTGAGTGTGTGTCATTCTACACGACTTTTCTCGTGATCAAACCAAAAATGAAAAGAAAGAAAAAATTCCATCGGAGATAATTGTCAATAATGATTCTGAAGTAGTTTTGAAAAGAAGGGAGATAGTTTTCAATGACTACACCGATACCATTTAGTTCATCAATTATAGATCAAGTTAAATTGAATTTAATTCATTATAATTTATGGAATGAAGTTAATATACATGAAAATGATGGATATTCTTATTTATCTGGTAAACCACGTGAAAAATTGATTAATACAGATAATGAAATTAAAAAAGAATGGATTATTCCTAAATTACTTAAAGATTCAAAATTATCTGTTCAAGAAATAAATACATGGTTTAACAAAATAGAAAATGATCAAGGAGAAGGGAAACGACCGGAAAGATTAATTATTGGTATTGTTAATGATGATGGTACGGTTGTTTATTATTTCATTCATGATGGAATTGTAAAACCTAGACAAAATTAATGATATCCTATTTATAAATTGGTTTAACTTCAACGCTATTTATACTGTGAACTGGTGATATATTTAATCCCTGTTGTTGTTGTTGTTGTTGCTGATGAGAAACTGGTCTTCTTCTCCTAAATTGATAAAATTGTTGATCATCATCATATTCTTCATCTTCGTCACACTCATCATCTTCATCTTCATCATCATCATCATCGTCTTCTTCTTCTTCTTCATCAGTGACATAACCACTGATATTCCTATGTAATGAATTATAATCATCTTCATCTTCATCTTGATAATGACGTCTATTTTTAGGATTGATATTCAGTAATGTATGACGACTTTCTAATGCCAATTTATTTCTTATAACTGATTTGGAACTACTAAAACTTCCACGATTGTTCAATCTTTTAACTGATTCAACTCCATTTCCTTCATCATCATCATCATCATCATAATCAAGTCCATTTGTTGCATTTTCAAAGTATTTATTTTCAACTTTACGATGTTGAAATGGATTATTTTCATCTGATGATGATTTATCCAATTGTAAATATTGATAAGGAGGTTGTGGTTCTTTTCTATAATTATAAAAATTATCATAATCATCATCATTATCCCAATCATCATCACTTTGATTAAATTCATCATCTTCATCATTATCATCGTCGTCAAATAAAGCATGGGAATAATTGCTGGGATTGTAAAAATAATCACTATTATAATCCAAATTGTGACTTATTCTACTCATTCTTCTACTAATTGAAGGAGTTGGTAATTTCATTTGATAATCATTCTGACAAATTTGTCCAAATTTATCAAATTCAATCATAAATTCAAATATATCTTCTTGTTTAATTAATTTATTATTAAATCGAAAATTTTCATATAATTCAATTAATCGATTTATATTTGGAATATTTTCATGTTTATTATTAATTAAATCATATTCCATACATTGTTTAGCCAAATATAAGATAATCTCTTTCATTGATAATTCAATTGGTATATCATCTTGAGTTAATATCTTCCCCATATAAAATTTATCACCTAAACTTCTAATTATATCTTCATATTGAACATTTGGAGGTAATAAAGTTCCATCTGCTGCCACATCATCATTAACGATTTTCCTTTTAGTCGAATTAATCTTTTGAATATATTCTGGTGGTGATAACCCTGGATGATTAATAATACAATTTTCATCTTGTAAAGGACCTGCTTTGAACTTAATATCAAAACATTTTTGTAAATTATTATCAATATATTTGAAAACAGGACGAGGATAATCATTCTCAAATGGAATATAAAGACTCTTGTTAGGAATATCATTAAGACTTATTCTAAATTGATAAACTCTTGCAAGATATATAATAATCAGTACAAATAAAAATACCACACAAACAATAATAACAATAAATGTTTTAACTGCTGTGTCATTCCCAGTGCCCAAAGTTTGTACAACAACATCTAACGGAGTAACAGCTATGAATCCCAACATCAACAAGATACAAACAACCATAGACATGGAATAAATCCATCTTAATAATCGTTGTGGTAAACTTAGTATATTACTTGGAGTAGGTCGTACGAAATTTCCCGTATAAATAGTTGGTTTCTTAGTAAATGGTGTTTTAAAAGTCTTTCTAGATAGTTGTATAGCATTAGCTAGTGGATTATTAATAAAATGGATCAGTGATGCCTCGTCATTCATATAATTAGGATTATGTAAATTATGCGGCACTCGAAGACTTGTATTTGGTGATAACTCATCAGCATCATCTACTTCCCCAGGACCCAAGTTTGCTTCATTGTTTTCAAAATCCAGGGCTGGATTTAATTCACCTCGTTTGTTTAGGTCTGTATTTCGTAGTAGAAATCGTATCACTTGTTCCATTATTCTATTAGTTATTAACTTGTTGTTGTTGTTGATGGTGGTGTTATCAGTTGCTCCAGACGACGATGATATTAAAGATGGCGGTGGTGGTCCATATGGATAAACGTTTCATTATATTTTTTTTTGTGTGTGTGTGTGTGTGTTTTGTTTGACAAAGAGCAAAGAGTAAAAAAAAAAAAAATTATAGCGGCACTACCAATTGGTTCCATAGATACACATAAGGTCAATGTTTATTATACTTCTATACAACTTTCTATAAGACTATTCAAATGCTTTCAAGGGGTCGATTGTTTGATACCTTAAATCACCATCTTTGTAAATATCTAATGGGAAAGTCAACCCGACGCCACTTGATTTACCCAACCAATTGATGTATAAATTCCTGAAAAATGATCTTTGATAAACATTGACAAAATCACCATTTTTTTGTTTATAAACATAATTTAGATATTCTCTTGTTGTTATATTTTGACTGGTTAAAAGCCCATGAAATAATAATAACAACAACGGGTAAACGATACCTAATATTGAATAGATAACAATCAATAACCCAACTGGATGATGTTGAACCGACTGTCTCATATTGTGTATACTTGTCTCTTGGTGATTATGATTATGATAATGATGATAAATTCTATAAAAGCATAATTGAATAACTGATACAATCAACAAATAAAAACAATTAACAACAGTGATTAATAAAAACCATAAGAAATATTTATAATTCCTTTGTCCAATACAATTATTCAAAAAGATACAATGATGATCATGATTTAATACACATATATTACAAATCCCACAATGACTTGTTCTTGAAGGTCTCCAAACATGGCATGTAGTACAATATTTCACTTGGATTCCCAATTGATCTTTCTTACCATAAGGTAGTGTTAAAGTATTAAAATATTCCAGTGGAGGATCATCAATTTCCCAATGATCAATATGTCCCTGTGATTGTTGTTGTACTTTGGTTAGTTTTTTAGGAATATGAATATTCTTGGGTAGTCTTCCCGAATCACCTGTGGCTAATTTCAAAAATAAGCTAATATTAATCATCCATAAATAAATAAATATCATTGTTATAGCAGGTGATATATTGTTCCAATGCCATGAGGCTTCAAATATAATGAATAATACACCAGGGATAATAATTAACATGAATGTGATTATACTTGTTGGATTCTTACTTTTAATAGTATGTAATCTTCCACCTAAAAAGAATACATATTTGGAATTTTCAGATTTTTGATAATTCTTCCTGAGTGGCTTATCGTCATTGTGATCTAATAGATTTGGATCCATAATTAACCAATTTGTTATAAATTTATGTAATATTGAAACCCTTCGAGATTTCCTCAGCCTATGATTACTATCACTATCATTATTATAACGTCCCTCTTGTCTGTGGTGTGTGTTAGATTGTTGATCTTCATATTGTGGTGATAATGAAGGTGATATTTTTTTGAGTGCCAATGATCGGGTGAATTGGGAAGAAGGTCGATTAAAAGTAGAATCGTCTAATGAAGATAGTTCATACTTAGTAGTTACGTCATCAACAGACGACCTACTTGGTGGTATACTCATATAGAACTCCTGTTGATAATCCCTGGTTTGGTTGTTGATAATGATTTGTAATTGATTATGCATTTTTTTTTTCCCATCTTGAAATGGCTGTGATGAATTGATTCTTTTTTTTAATAATAACTAATCAATTACATAATCTCATAACGGGTAATCTGGACACAGACGGCAAGGTAAATCCGTTGTTCCATTGAAACCGGAAAAACTTGCAAATACAAGACCAATGATGGCTCACTTCTGACATAAACTATCCGTTATTACATTGGACACTCTATAACTAGATGATCTTTAATCACTTTCATGTTGTGTAACCAAGGTGATTTTCGTTCTACGCCAAATACAAAAAAAAAAAGAAAATGAAAAATGAAAAATGAAAAATGAAAAAAAAAAATTTCAACCTTTGAATGAACTATCATCAACCGACAGTCAGACCATGTTTGGATTAAGACTCCCAAGGAAATCACCTACTGGTGTGCTCATCCTGTTGAGACCATCATCAGTATCCAATCTATCTATTCAAAGATCAATATCGTTGCTTACAAAACAACCAGCAACCATTCATGCCCCGCGTTCTTTAAGATTAACAAGATCAATGATGAAAGTAACTTATTTGAAGACATCAAATTTAGGAACAGCTAAATATATCATTCAAGCATTAACAGGTATTTATTGTGGTATTGTTATAGTATCATTATTGCTGTTTTATATATTGTATCAAGATGCAAATGATCGTCAATTTATACCATTTTGGGATACTTCAATCGATGATAAATTGAATTCAGTTTTGGCCATTAATAAAGATGAAGTATGTGAATCTCCAAGACATGCAACTAAGCACTATCGTAGATTATTAATTGAATTAGCTAAACAAGAATATCCAGATTTGAACGAAGATCAATTTGATAATAGATTTAATGTTCCTATTTTAAGTAAAGACTTTTTAATTCAAGAGAAGACGCCTAAATTTATTAATTTTTATATTGATATGATTTTAAGGTATTGCAAATGCTTATTAAGTAAAGGAGAAGTTGAAGTTTCTATTGGTTTATTATCAAAAATTGTCAATGACGATTTTTTATTTTATAAAGTTGGTGATGCTGAAAAATTATCTTCAAGTAGTAGAATCTTGGCCAAGATTACTAATGATCCAGAACAATCTATTCCGATATTAACCAGAACCATTGATATGTTGGTTCAAAACCATCCAAATTCCATGAAAATTGATGATAATTATATCTTGGATGCAAATTCAAAAATATCTGATGAATTGATTAATTGTTTAAATGATTTAGCTTCAAATTTTGCAAAATTATCTAAATCTAAAAGAATATCCAAGAAACAAAAATCCGATTTATTAAGTAAATCTTTACAAATTTATTTATCAGAATTAAGATCATTACAGGATATTAATAAATCAATTGAATTGGGCAAAGCCAATCAAGCTAGTTATCCATTGTTTAATTGTGAACGAGCAAATCTCACCACTATGATAAACACCATTAAAGCTCATATTAGTGAAGTCATGTGGGCTAAAGGATATAAAGACAATGCTATTGATTGGTCAGAGCAAATATTGAATGATTTGTATATGGATAGATATTCCGATGCAAGAATTGGTCCTATATTACTAAACGTGTTGAATAATTTAGAGCTCATGTATGGTAATATGAAACAGCCGCAAGAAATTGAAAGAATCAAACAATTGAAACATGATGTTAGAATATATGATATTCGTAATAAATTTGAAAACATTTCATGGTATGATAAAACTATTAAAAAAATGAGTAAAGTGATCTATGCAAAGACTCCATTGGGATTAATTGAAAGATCTCTCAAAGGTAGATTTGATCCAAATCAAAGAATACAAAATTTGGAAGAATTTGAAGATGAAGATGATGAAAGTATATTTGCCATTAAATAGTCACGTGTGTTAATTTATACGCACATACATACCCGATCCTGTATATAACCGACCAATAAAAATGCGAGTCTTAATAATCATCAACCCACACAAAGTGCGGGCAGTCACCTGACCTGAGAATATCCCGGGAACGAAATGCTAAAGAAGAAGAAGAAAAAAAAACTTTGAACCAATCCTTCCCCCAGAAAAGTTTACTTACTTTTTTCTTTTCAATTCACCTTTGAGTTTCATTTCAGTTCTATTTACACATTAACCAACCAATTTTCATTATGTTATCTCGTATTGGATTGTCAGCTTTGACCAAAAGATCATTAACCCCAACCACATTCAGACCATTATTATCATTGTCTTCAACTCAAGCAGTTAGAAGTTTTAAAACTATTCCACAACCTCCGGGTTATATTGTTGGTACAGTTAATGATGCTTATGTTCCACCAGCTCCTCATAAAATTGAAGGTTCATTGCATTGGACAAGTGAAAGAATTGTAAGTATTGGTTTATTACCATTAGTTTTATCTCCATTTATTACTGGTGCTTCAACTATTATTGATTCTTCAATGTCTGCTTTATTATTATTCCATTGTTTTGCTGGTTTCCAAAGTTGTATTATTGATTATATTCCAAAGAGAGTTTATGGTAGTTTACATAATTTAGCTATTTATTTATTGACTTTAGGTACTGGTGTTGCTGGTTATGGTGTTTATCAAATTGAAAAGAAAGAAGGTGGTATTTCAAACATCATTTCTAAGATTTGGGCTGCCTAATTCTTGGAAACTCACACTCTTCCTTGGATAATTCACTAATTTAATTTTTTTTAAAAAAAAAACAAACAAACTATATTTCATGTATATATATATTAGCTTTGAAGTAAATATAAACATATATACAGAAATATATTAAATCAACATTATTATTTATTTATTTGATTCAAATATTATCAGGAGTTTTACGTTTTCTTGTATTTTCAAATCGAATAGAATCTTGAATTGGATTAATTGGTGATGATCCAGATATCACTAATCCTTCATCTTTTATCAATGATGTATTTAATCTATTTTCTATTTCATTTTTAACAGGGTTTAATTTTTCATTTATCCAATTTTGTAATTTTAATTTTGATAATTTAACCAGTTTAGTAACTCCTAAATCTTCATCTTCATTTAATACTCTTAATTTATAATCATCTTCATCATCATTATAAACATCTCGTAATATTTTCTTTTCTTTTATAATTAATACATTTTGAACATCATCAATTTGAATATTTATTAAATTTTGAAAATTCAATTCAATTAAAATATTATAAATTTTCCCAATATTTAAATCATAAATTTGATTAATTTTATCAAATGATATAATTTGATTAATAAAATCAGTATTTATTGAAATCAATGTTAATTTAATTAATTTATTAATCATAATTTCATTTAATTCAATATATTTTGTTTTATATTTATTATATTGTTTAAAATTACCAAATGTAAATAATTCTAATGTATTTAATAATTTATCATCATTATCATCTTCTTTATTAATTGATTGATTATTTAAATATGTCAACTCCTTTAAATAGTTGATCTTGCTTGGCTCTACCAATAAATCAGGTATATCTTGTATAGTTATAGTCATGGCTGATGATTAGCTAGTTGGTTGGTTGATTTAATACTCAAAGAGAAAAAGTTTGTTGATCTGTTTTACCTTTAAATCTCCTCAATTTTGATAACCACACGCCCCCTCCTCATTATCACCAAAATCACCACCATTAAACAAGAAAACTATAAAAATCATGTGTATATTCTAAGACTAATACTAACAATAAAAGAACCAATTAAACGAATGAATCGTGTCTCATTCAGTCAATTGTTTAAAAAAATAACCTATTATCATAGCAGACATAGCTATAGTAACCGTCTGTATATGTGGAGCATTATCCTGAGCAAATTTAATCAATTTATCCGGATGAATCTGTTTAGATTTCTTATTTTTATGGGTTTTAGATTTTTTGGTACTATTTTTACCCGTTGAATGCTTGGTAATTGATGGAGATAAATCACTTTCCGATACACTCTCACTATGACTATGTTCTTCAACTGTCGGAAATGGTTCAACTTCACTTTGAATGGGTTCCGGTTGAATTTTTGCATTCTTAAATGATGGTGTTCTTGATAAATCAGCAATAAAATTATTCAATTCTTGTTGTTGTCTGACTTGTTCATCTATTTCTGTAATAGTTACTCTTTCTCTAGCTTTTGATAATTCTTTCTCTCTCTCTATTTCACGTTGTTGTTCCTTTTCCCGTTCTTCTTGTTCTTGTTTTAGTTTCTCCTCATGCTCTTGTTTTTCCTTTGCATATCGCTCCTTTTCTTCTTGAAGTTCCTGAATTTGCTTCTCCAATAACTTAATCTTGTCTAATTTGTTCTTAACCTCTTGTTCATTAAGATCTCGTTCTTGTCCAATAGCAGTGTTCTTATTTTTCAAGTCAGTCAATAAACTATTCAATTTTAATTTATCATCTTCACTTGACTTAAGCTTCTTACCAAGTGAATCCAATTTCTTATTTTGTTCAATTGATAAACTTTTGAAGTTTTCATAATCTTTAAACAACTCTTGCAAGACAGTGTTTTGTTGTTTAACCCGAGTAAGATTCATAAGTAAAACACTAACAATGCTTTCAACACATGATGGACTACCAATTCTTGAATTGTTGTAAATACCAGTATTTGAATTAGAATATAGTCCTAATAAATAATCATCCAATTCGGCATTCACATCATTAAATAAATAATTCTCATATGATAATTGATGTTTAGAAACAATATTATCCGGGGATTGTTGAGATTTCTTTTCCACTTGATTACAAATATCTTCAATAAAAGATATATGTCTAAATTCTGGGCTATCTATTCCTTTACCATAAAAACTATTCCCTCCATCTCCATTTTTACCAATTCCGTTTTCCAATTGTGTTGAAATTACGTTAATATTTTCAATTTTCAAACTAATTTGTTTATGCGTTGATTCAGCTTGAACATTAAATCCAAGACAGACAACATCACCCATTTTAACCTCTGTTGGATCATTATTTAGTCTCACATCATTTAGATAAGTACCATTGGATGATCCTAAATCTTGCAACATTAATTTCCCATTCTTGGGATCAATATAAATTTGGGCATGATTTCTACTTAAAACTCTCGAGTCAAAATATCCATTAGTAACATCTGGTTTGTGTTTAGTACCCGTTGGTCTACCTAATTTCGTGGTTTCAGGATATGTTGCCACTGGCAAATGTTTCTTAATAAATGTATCATTTAATGGTAAAAGAGTCACATAATATTGGATTTGGTTACGTTTTCTTGGATTCAATGGAGATGGACCATGCGATGATTTAGGTAAAAGTGAACTTCCTGCTCCAACAGACGATGATGAAGAAGATGATGTGGAAACAAGTGGACCAGGTAAAGTTGAAAGGGATGATTTTGGTTGGTCTCTAGTTGCTGAACCAGAATATTTTGGTTTTCCCGGCATGGAAACAACTTGTGATTGAGAATTTGATCTTTTTCTTCCAGCTGATGAGGTGGATACACTGTTTATTGATTGTGAATTGATGGTGCTGGTTGAAATAGACGCTGGTGATTTGTTATCTAGTGGGGAGTTTGTGCCTGAATTACTTGTGGTTCTAGATAAACCAGTGGATGATTTATTACCATTACTCAAATTATTAGAACTTTTGATATAAACTATTCCATTCTTTTTGATTTCCAAATTAGGGAAAGGTTGTGGAGATGATGAAGGGGGAGTTTGATTTTTATTTGGTGATGATTGTTTCAGTTGCTGAGATTTATGATGATTTATTTGATGATGCTGATGAGTGGATGTATTATTATTATTATTATGGAGTAGTTGTGAACTCTCGATTGCTATTGGAATATCTGTCATGTTAACGGAATACTATTGTTATATGGATTTGTATTGTATATAAAAAAAGCAAGTATTATAAATTAATATAAGTTGACGAAGAAATACACAATAATTCCAGATTATTGTATATATGTAGAAAACAAAAAGGGGGAGGAAGTGGTAGATGTCTTTCCTGTAGTTGATTGAATAAATTTGAATATAAATTTACGAGTTGTTGGAATTGATTAGGTATGCTGATCAAAGCAAATGGTAGAGTATTGTTGATGGTTCTGAAATGGAAAATGTTGTTGTTGTTGTATGATTCCAATTGGAAAAAAAAAATTGATTTTTGTTAAGCGTTCTTTTTTTTTTTTGTTGTTTTTCTTGCTGTAAAGTACACACACTCAACTTGTATGTAATAGTAGTAGTGAAGGAAGGGTGAGAACGTGACTAATGGGTTAAGTGGGTAACATCCATGGAGAGAGTGAATTCAAATGGATAAAGGATTGGCAAGTATGATTGTCAAGTTGTTGATAATCAAAGATGGTTTTTGATGATTTGTTATTTTTCTTTTTTCTTTTTTGCTTAATTGTTGTAAAATCAATAGAAATCACACAACTTCTTTTCATTTTGATCGCCGTATCATTGAGTCGACTTCTATCGGTAGAACTTCTTATTCACGCCGCAGGCACCACCACCACAACTAAAACGCGCGAGTGAACAATTACAACCCGACCCCGAGCAAAACCACAACAGCAGAAAAGAAAAAGAAAAAAGAAATTGCTTCAAAGTAAAAATCAAAACAAATCAATCTCCTCTTATTTTTACAACTAATAGGCAACCACTAGACAACCAAATCATAATGACAGATCAAGATCATCAACCCAGATTCAACAACCTAGAGAACTGTACAAACTCCTTACGGGAATCAATCAATATACTTCAAAATTCCAATCAATTATTAGATGATACATTGAAAGGAAGTAATAGATTAAGTAAGATACTATCAACAAGGAAAGTCTTTGATGTTATACCTGAGTTGGATTTAAATGATGCTAAAAGGAATTTTGCTAATAACATAAACCCACAAATCAATGATAATTTACAGAAATTACTGGATGAATTGATTAAATTAACCACAAGAAAGAATACATTACTTAATGAATTAAAAATGCTCAAAGTAAGATCCAAAAAATATGAAAATAAACGAAATAATAAACCTACTGGAAAGAATATTAATCGATTATTAAGTGATGCTGATATTGAAAGTCTATTGAATAATCTGAAATTACAAGATAAATATGATATTGGTAAAATTAGACAATTACAAGTATTACGAGATAAAAAGAATCGATTAAAGTATACATTAAGTAGAATGAGTTGAATAATAATTAATTATGTAATTTGATCATCAATGATGTATCATGGAGGGGAGGGAGTGAGTAGTTTATTGGTTCGTAGATTGTAACTTGAGATTCGTATTACATCATCATTCACTGTAATTCAACTCTTTGTATTATAATTTTTGATCACGAGTGCACTACGCTGGATAGCCTGGGATTGGCAACCCAAGAAAAAAAAAATAATACAGCAAAACACCAGACAGCCAAACAAAGAAAAGAAATTCTATTACAGTATATAAAAACTAACTACAGAAGAAAAAAAAAAAACACTACGCCTGAAACAAGACAACATTTTCTATTTGCTGTTGGTAATATCAAAGGAAACAAACGTTATATTCGGTATGAAATTATCTACTGTGATATCTATTGCTACTGTCACTTCATTGGTGGCAGCTAAGAATGTTATTAATTTACAAAACTTACGACTCGGGGTTGAGGCTGAAGAAGAAACACACAAAAATGACAAAAGGGATCCTAAAAATGTTGTCAATTTACAAGGATTGAGATTAGGGGTTATCAATGAAGAAGAAAAAGAAGTCAATCATGCTAAAAGAGATGCTAAAAATGTAGTTGATTTCATTGGATTAAGACAAGCTGATGGGGAAAGTAAACATATTAACAAGAGAGAACCAAAGAATGTTGTTAATTTGGCTCATTTTGATGAAGATGACGAAGATGAAGGCAAGAAGAAAAGAGAAGCTAAGAGAGTCACTAAATTGCATGGTGATGATATTCTTAGTAAAAGAGATCCTAAAAACATTGTAAATTTACAAGCTTTAAAAGAAGGCTTTGAAGCTGAAGCCAAGGCTGCTGGTAATGTTAAAAGAACATTTAATGCCGAATTACCCCAATTAAAAATCTTGAAAGATTCTTTAGATGAAGGTAATGAACCTAAAAGAGATGCTCAAGATTTAGCTAGATTGGCTAGTTTAGTCGATGCTGTTGGTAAAAGAGATGCAAAGAATGTTGTTAATTTAAATGACTTCATTACCAGTTCAAAACCAGTCAAAAGAGAACCAAAGAATGTTTTCAATTTGGATAAATTTCAACAATCCAACCATCAAGTTAAACGTCAAGAAGAACAACAACAGGTTTTAGATAACTCTAATAATGTATTTACATTTGATTTGGCTGATTGTTATAATAATTTGTTGCAATCTGTTTTACCTCAATTATCTTCAATTTCAATCTTTTCTGGATACATTCGTCAATTTCAAGATATTGATGCTAAAACCGCTAATCCAAACGAAGTCATGTTAATTGTTGCTCCAAATGATGATGCTGTTGAAAGTAAATTAAATGATTTGAAACCATGGGAATTTCCAAAGTCTTTGGAATCCAATATGAATGAAAAGGAACAAGAAGATGTTGTCAATGATAATTTATTAAATTTCTTGAATGGACATTTGGTTAATAATTTTGAAAAGAAGTTAATCATTGATAAAAGTGTTTCTGATTCAGTTATCATTGTGACCCAATTAAATAATGGAAACTTTTTAAAGATTAAACAAATTCGTTCTACTGATAAATTTTTCATTAAACTTGTTGAACAAGAAAATTGGATTAATGTTGAATCTGTTAAACAAGTTGAAAATGGATTTGTTTTTATTATAAATGATTCTTTAGTCAAACCTTAGGAAGAATGGTTGTTTATTAATTTTGGATGGTTATTATTATTATTATTATTATTATTATTGTTTAGTTCGGTGTTTTTTTTTTATATCTCCTTTTTTATATATATATTTCGATTTGAATAAATATTGTTTAGTAAAAACAATCTTTTTTTTAACGTTACTTTATTTATATTTGATCTTCTTAATAATACTATACAAATAATCAAATAATACTAAATGATTCTTTATTCTAAAACACTGACACCAGTATCTTCTTTAGATTCACCATTATATTTATATTCAACTTTCCATTTAATTTTCAATTGTTTGCTTTGAGGATTTTCAATATGGAAATCTTGTTGAATACCATGATTAGTAAATCCAAACATTTTATCACTAGTTTGAGGGCGTAAATCTAATTTACAACTTTTTGGAACAGCAATTAAAAAAGTTAAATTAGAAACACTTGAACTTTGTAAATTACTGAATAAAATCTTACCTTGTAATAAAGTTGAAGTTGAATTTTGAACTCCAATTTCAATTTTTAAAATACCTCCTGGTTGAGCAACTTGAATCATTTTAGAATATCCAGTGTTATTAGTAGTGACTCGACTTGGTGTAGATGATGGGAATTGTAAAGCAAATGGATCTAATTGTTTGTTTGATTGTAATTGAGGAGATGGAGAATTTAAATCACCCAACAAATCAAAGTTTGATGCTGATGATGATGATTGTGGTGCAACACCAGCAGTATTGGATTGTAATTGTGGAGATGGGGAATTCAAATCACCCAACAAGTCAAAATTAGATGATGCAGTAGTATTTGGTCTTGAAGTTGGGGTTGGTTGTTGTAATTGATTAACAGGTGGAGTTGGAGTAGCAAATCCTGAATTGTTACCTAAAGAAATTGAACCACCAGCTCCATATAAATTAAGTGGATTAACTTGAGCACCACTTGAACCAATAGCATTAGAAGTATTAGCATTGTTTTCACCAAAAGTCAAGTTAGATAAATCACTTAATAAATCAGTATAACCTTGTTCTTTTGAAGCAGAAACATCTTCAGGTTCATCATCAAAATCAATCAAATTCAATTCTTGTGAAGCTGAACCAGTTTTAATCTTACTTGCTTCAGCAACATTTCCACCTCTTAATAATTGGAATTTGTTAATCACTTTATTGGCATTATCATTCAATTCCAATAATTTATGAACACCTTCTTCATCGTCTTCATTTCCTTCTTCCAACATTTTATTAATAATTGGTTGAGAACTTTTAACAGCAGAGTACAATTCAATAATTGCTTCATCGGAATTATCATCAATTTTACCACCTTGACTTTCAATTGAAGTCAACATTTCACCTAAAATTTCAACTTTTCTAGTTAATCTAATAATATCTTGTTGAATTTGTTTTTTGTTTTCTTGAACATTATCATCTTTAAATCCAGCCATAATTTTCATCAATTTATTAGCTTCTTGTAAGTCTTGAGGTCTACCTCTTCTAATCAATTCTTGTAATTTAGCAGAATGAACAATGGCTTCTTCTTTTTGTAAATCTTCTAAAGATTTCAAATTATCAGTTGGATTTAAAACAGCAACATCTTCAACTTTAACTTCTGGGAAAACATAACCTTTATTAGATAATAATCTATGCATATCTTTAATATAACCAAAATCTTCTTTATACTTTGAAGTACGACAAATAGTTTGATACCATTCTTCAATTTGGGCTAAAATCAATCGATGAACTCTAGTATATCTCATTGGAGGTCTTTCAGGAAATCTTTTGACCAATTCATTCAAGAATTCTTTTCTCAGAATTTGTAAATGAAAAGGATATCCACAATTCTTAACTAAATTATCTAACAAAGCAATTGCCAATTCACTAATTTGGGGATCTCGTTGAGCAATCAATTTAACAACAGCAATGGCTGCATCTCTTGGTGCTGACCCTTTTTTAGCATTAACATAATCACAAATTTCTAAATTCAATGCTAAATTTGGTTCATCATTGGTTGGTCTACAAGCTCTGTAAATTCTTCTTAATAACTTTGGATTGATCTTATCCAATGAATAGGATGATGAAGAAGAAGACATGATTATTCAGACCAATGTACTAATATATATATATGTATATAAATGTATAATTATATGGTTGTTCTTGTTGTTCGTGATAAAGTGTTTAGTAAGAATGATCTATCTTTTTCGAATGTCGTCCAAAATTGCAAGTTGAATTTCCAAAGTATGCCGAAAATTTTAAATGAGAGAAAAGAAATAAAAAAAAAAAAATTCCGCAAGAAAAAGAAGGAGGAGGAGGGTAGTAGTGTGCAATGGGATAAAAAGCGTGCCATACAATAACCATTATACAACCACAGACACACAGACATAGGCAGACAAGAATATTCACAAAAAAAAAAAAAAAAACTTTAACAACCAATTGGCAACCCAAGAATCAAGTTTACAACATTAATCAACAAGATGTCAGATCATGAAAATGAAAGATTACTACTGGAAGAACAATCCGTTGAGGTGACATCACCACTCCCAGAAGAACATGCTCCTAATGAAGAAGAAGGACCGGTCTCTCCAGTGCCGTCAAATAGTGATCCTGATCCATTGGAATTACGTAAATTGTCATTAAGTTATGATTATTTAATGTATAAAATTAGTGATTATATCAATACATTAACAGAACAAACATATCAAGCTGTACTATCAAAACAATATCAAATCAATCAAGAATATTTAAATGATCAATTGAAATTATTTGACAATTATGAAAAAATTGATGATTTACTCAAAATGGTGAATAATTTAGAGATGGAGTTTTTGAAATTGGATCAATTGGATCAATTTATATTAGATTTTAAACAAAGATTAAATGTCCTAGAATATGAATTTGATAAACTATAAAAGTGGTACATGTCATTTGTATGTATATGTGTGTGTGATCATACTTGATTGTTGACTTCGTGAATACGGTCGTTAGTGTATGTTCCTGGTGTTGATACATTCTGTGGAGGAGGAGGAGGTACTGGTCGGTTTGTTGAAGGTTGTGTAGTACCAGCAGGACTGGTTGTTGTTGTTGTTGTTGTTGCAGGCGCAGGTATTCCTTTGTTACCATTTTTGGACTTGGCAGCTACGGGGATTGTTTCTTTGTTTCCATATTTTTTAACTAAATGTTTCTCCAATAAGACAAAATTTCTTGAATTACATTTATATAAAACATTAATGAAATCACCAACTATAGGAATTAACCCAATACCAAAATCAAACATTACATTGGCCATCATTTCTGTTTCCAAAGTTTTTGGTAATCCCCCTTGAACAGTTTTAGCCTTTTTAACTAATTGTAACGCAAAATACAATGCAATTATATCACCAATCCAAGGAATTAATCCAATTAAACCTGCCCAACCTAATCTTATCCCACATAAACTCAATTGTAAATCTAATCTATAAGCACGATTTTTAACACTGGTTAATACTTTTAAATCATGATCAGGAATAAAATTAGGCAATTTTCTTCTTCTTTTAGATCCCTTTTTCTGATAAAAATGAAGTTCATTTTCAGGAATTTCTTCAAAATAAGGGTCCTGTTGAGCATCTCCAAAAGTAACCAATTGGTCAAGTTGTGTCTAAATAAGTTAGTATCAGTGATGATGTAACTGTGTTGATTATATACTGATAACATACCTTCTGTAAGAAGTATTTATACAATAATTGAGACATTGTTTATTGTCCTATGGTGGTGATTACGATAATCAATTGATAGCAAAATAGAGTTGTTGTGTTGTGTTGTGATTTTTTTTTTTTTTTTTTTTGCTGTGGTTGCCATTTGGTTGCCATTTTTAAATGAAACTGAAATTTCAAACTCATCCATCCATCTGTGTGTTTATCTCTCTTTTGTTTTCCAGTCGAGGAATGACAAAATGCATGGAACCAAAAAAAAAAGGTGTGATCGAACGAGGCTGGTACGAGGCTTGGACCTAAAAAAAAAGTCTATCGCGAGTTTACGATGACCTTTCTTACACTCACAACCCCCTCCCCTCCCGCATTCCAATGTCACGTGCAAAGCCGCTAAACATTTTTTTAAAAAAAACATTATAAACACATTAAATTATTCTTTCATGTACTTATATATACACATAGTCACACAGGTAAGACTATTACAACTTACCTTGTTTTTCAAGTTTCTTTCTGGCAAAATATTCCTTTCTCATATTTCTTAAATCAGGAGGAGTTTCAATTCCCATTTGTTTTCTAAATTCATCAACATCTTGTTCTAATATCTTTTCCCAATAAACATTAATTAAAGGTTTTGAATAAATACCATTTTTAATGGCCCAAGGATAATAAATTTCTCTTAATCTTTTTCTTTGACTTGATTTTAATCTTAATGGAGCGAATAAAGCACCTAATCCCGTCATTGGTATACCAATATTCATAAATTCAAAGACTTTAACTGATATTTCCCCTTCAATAATAATAGGTAATCCAGTTATAGCATGATAAAAATCATGACATTCTCTATATCTTTGAAAAATATAACTTAATTCTTCATTATCTATATATTTAACTTGAACTCTTGTATCTGGACTAACACCTTCTTTATCTAACCAATTAATATAATTTTTACCAATTGTATTATCAGGTAATGAACGTAAATAATCTAAATTTAAAGAAGTTGAAGTTATTCTTGGTTTTTCTTTTAATATTTGTCTACCTATTTCATCAGATAACATTGTTTTTTGTAATTTTTTCAAAATTGGTTCAATTGCTGTACTTTCTCCAAGGGCAACAATATATTTATTTTCTTCAGGATGAAAAAATGATCCAATACTTGATCCTAAAAACATTAAAAATTTTTCATAATTATATAATGGTACATGTCCTGGATAATCTGGTTCTCTTCTTTTAAAATATGGTTCTGCTTGATTATTACTATTATTATTATTCAAATATGAAAGAGTTGGATCTTTTGGCATGTGTAATTCTCCATTTTCCATTTTTGAAGCTAATTGGTTATTCTTGGAGAAAAGTATTGAACCAAGAAATGTGCTGGCAATGGTTGACATAATATAAGTTCTCTTTTGAGATACTTGTACATTGTTTCTAATCGCTGTTCTCAACATTATGCTCAGTGATGGTAGATGTATAGTAGTAGTTGTTGATGGTAGTTGTTGATGGTGGTTGAAATTTTTTTTTCTCTCCCTTTGTTTGGTTGAATATCATACGATTGCGAATGAATGAATAAACGATTGCAAAAAAAAACGACACGATTGGGTGAATTAACAATGAAGAATTATAAAACACACATTACACACATTATATATCATATAAATTACCTACTATACAGTCTAATAATCGAATAATCAACAATTTATTCATTCCTTTATTTAAGTATTCCCCGTCATCTTGAAATATAATCAAAACCAGCTTGATTGAATTTCTTAAATCTTGTTCAGTTTCATCTTTATATGAAATATCTATAATTGATGATAATTTCTTGTTTAATTTAATAAATTTTTCAATTAATTCATCCATGGTAACATTTGGTTTATCTTCTTGTGGTTGGTTACTATTATCATTATAAAACAATCCAAGTCTTAAATCATTTATAATTTTAGATAACCTTTCTTCTGTTATATTTTCATTAATTTTATTTTCAAGATATCTTGTAATTATCTTATTTATAGATGAAGTTAATTTAGTATTCAATAGAACAAGCGTTTTCAATGATTTAATCATATTAAATAGGATTGGTTTTCTTTTCAGAAAATTAAATATCGTTTCAATTAATGAAAACACTGAACTTTCAAAAACATTAAATTCATCATTTATAGTTGATTCATTTAATGGAGTATTTTTAATTTTACCATGATATAATACAATTAATTTAGTTAAATTTGTATAAGTTCCATAAATCCAATCTCTAACTCTTTGAGATATTGGTTTATTCTTATCAACAGGTACAATTGGAACTGGTTCATTTTCAATTAATAACAAATCCAATATGTCATTCATTTTATTAAATATAAAGTCCAGTGATGATAATTTATCAACTATATTTCCAATTACCAAATCACCAACAATTAAAATAATTAAATCACTTGAAATTTTCGAACTAAATGGATTCAATTCAATATTATCATTATCTTCTTCTTCTTCTTCTTCTTCTTGAAATGTGACTAATAAAATTTGTTTAATTAAAATTCTATAATAATTAACAGGATCATTTTGAAATAATATATGAGAATTTGATAAATAATCAATATTTAAATCATTTATATTCTTTTCTTTATTAATATCATATTTTAAATTATTTTCATTATCACATAATTCAAAATATTCATTTTGAAATTTATAAGGAAATGGTCTTGAATAATCTGATGATTCAATTAAATTTGATAAATGATCATTAAGAATATTAATCAATTGATTTGATAAATCTAATATATTAATTTTTGAAATTCTTGATATTAAATCTTTAATAAACTCAATTATTAAACCATCATATAATCCTTTTAAAAATTCTAAATTTGATGTATTTAATTTAGTTAAATACCATGAATTTATAAATTTAACCATTATTGAAGATAAAAATACATGAATTATTAAATTTAATTGATTTTGAGATGGGATTAATTTAGGTAAATGAATTATTAAATTTTTAATCGATTTCTTATTATTCTTGATTAAATATTTATTTGGAACATAAATCAGATATAAAAAATTCAATTCTTCAATTTGATTATTTGAAAACTCATCATTTATGATACTAGATGGTGATGATGTTGACGACGATGTGGTGGTATTAGTAATCGGTGTTGTTACATTAGTGGTGGTGGTGGTTGGTAATTCTTTCTTGAGTTTAAATTCATTGATTTTCTTACTTCTTCGATAATCTTTCTTGATGTTATTAGGAGATGATGATGATGATGGTGTTAATGATGATGAAATAGATGATGATGAAGATGACGCTGTATTAGTTGGTCTAACTGTTGCATTACTACTTGTCGCAATGGTACTATTATGGGTGTTATGACCATTGTTAAAACTAATCACGTTAGTCGAAGTGATGGCCGTTGATGGTCGAGGCGGTTTAAAAGAAATACTTTTAGGTCGTCTGTTACTATTGCTGTTATTGCTCATCGTTGTCGATATCACTTGATGGCTTTGTATTTAATATGAAACCTGTGAATATAAATATCGCCAGATTTTCACTTCACTTGTCCCTCGGTAATTAAAAAATTTCTCTCTTTGTTTTGTCTTTTTCTGTTTTCCTCCTCCGTTCCGATTCGTACCGTTTAATTACAACTAACAAAAATTTTTCATCAATTGTAATCATCAACTATTTTTACCAACAAAATAATGATCGGGAACATGTCGTTAGCTACACCTACATCCAGTGCATTTACTTTCTTACGAACATATCATACCATACGTCCAGGATATAACCTATTAAAGCATGTTCATTTCTCAGGAATTTCAACATTTCAACATGGTTTAAATGTACAAAAAACCATTGCTGATCGTCATTTAAATTATAAAACTTTAGAAACTAAAGTTCGTAGAATGCAAAGAAGAAATGAATTGAAAGATCCCAATTTATTACGTAAAGTTCATTCTTTACAACCTTCACCTACTATTTTCACATTTGAATTTCATAATGTTTATGCTGGTGGATTAAGACTGAAAAATGAAATTAATGAAATTGATATTGAAAATTTTAAAAAATTAGGTAGTCGATATTATCAATTAGATAGAGGTGGTCAAGTTACTTGGCATGGACAAGGACAACTTGTTGCTTATTTAGTACTTGATTTAAAATCTTTTGAAAAATTATCAACTAAATGTTATGTTAATAATGTATTATTAAAAAGTGCTCAAAATGTATTAAAAGATAATTATAATTTGAATACTATATTAACTGATAATCCAGGTATTTGGATAAATGATGATTTAAAAATCGGTAGTGTTGGTATTAGAGTACGTCATGGTATAACTGATTTTGGTATAAGTTTAAATATTAATCCTGATTTAAAATATTTAAATACTTTTGAAATGTGTGGTTTGAAAAATAAAAGAGCTACTTCAATTAAAGAGCAACTTGGTATTGAACCAAAAATAGACGATGTTGCTGATTTATATGTTAAAGAAATTGCTAAAGCTTTAGAAGTTGATAAAATTGTCTCAATCACTTCTGATGATTTGTAAATAGATACAGAGACTCTCATACACACACACATATATATACATACATATAGATGTTATAGAAAATAGACATGTTAATATTCATCATCATATGACTATGGATTAATCCGCCTTCTCCCGTTCCTTCGTGTTGCATAAATTATGGGGAGATTTATGCATTGAATTTAGTCACCAGGTTTAAAAGGTTCTTCTCCTTAAATTATTTTGTTTTTTTTTTTTGGTGTCGGTGCTACCAGTTGTCGTTTCTCAAAAAATTATCACCAAATTTGTTCAATCAACCAACCAACCATTAATCCAAGTTGTAACACTTAAAATAAATAATAATTAAAATAACTGTCTATTTATACTTTAGTTTCGCATGTAAAAGAAAATAAATTATACATCTAACTAAATACAACAGTTAATAAACATTAATAATGCAAATAAATTTGATAACTACAAAACAGAAGTTGTTGATTGATTTTTTTTTTTTTTTGGTTTTTCCTTAATCTTTTTTTAAATAATAACAATGATAATTCTCATTCATCTTTGATTTCCCTTGAACTTTAGATCATCTTTCTAAAAAAAGTTTTTCTTTTTCTTTTATATATCTCTAAACCCAAAATTTAAATATTAATTATGTATGATTAATTTTTTTTTTTATATTATTTTATTTTTGTCGTAAGTTATATTGATTTCATTCTAAACTTAGAATAAAGCAATACCAACACCAGCAAAAGCAGCAACAACAGAAGCCAATTTACCAGTGTTAGAAGAAGCAGCATTTCTAGTAGATGAAGAAGATGAAGAAGAAGAACCGGAACTTGAGGAATCAGAAGAACCAGAAGAAGATGAATCAGTTTCATCGGAAGATGAATCAGTAGCAGTGGATGAACCAGATTTCTTAGAAGATGAAGAAGAAGTGGTTTGTCTGTCTTCACATTGGAATTTGTCACCTCTAACGTCACCGTTGGAGTTCAATTTGTTGAAAGCACTACAAGACAAGTCACCATCAGTCTTCAAGGTGAAACCACCAGCAATTCTGGTCAAGGATTCAAAAGTACCATTGTCAAAAGTACCGTTAATGTTAACGGAACCACCAATAGATTTCAATTCTGGGAAACCACTGAAAGATTTCAAATCATCGTTATCAGCAATGTTCAAAGCACCACCGATAGTAGTCAATTTAGGGAATTCCAAATCAGTCAAATCTTCATTCTTGTTAATAGTCAAAGAACTACCAATGTTGGTCAATTGAGCAAACTTGATTTTTTCAACAGAAGAAGAAGAAATAGCAACAGAACCGTTAGTGGCAGTTAAGTTTGGAGCAGAAATGGAGTTGATGGATTGCAAAACAATGTTCTTGGCACTCTTCAATTGTGGGAAGCTAACATCGACTTTTTCAGCATTGTAGGAAATATCAAGAGTGTCAGTAACTTCTCTTAAACCAGAATCAATGGAATCAATGTTACCATTGTTGTTAACGTTAAAAGTTTGCAATTGGTAAACATCAATACCAGACAATGAAGACAAACCGGTATCGGAAATAACAACGGATTCAGCAGAAGTCAAACCAGAAGCCAAACCAAGATCTTCCAAAGCTGGCAAAGCATTCAAGTTCAAAGAACCAACAGTGGTCAATTGAGCCAAGTTAATACTGGACAAGATGGTGTTACCGTTGAATTCCAATTCACCAGAAACCAATTGTAAAGTTGGAGCATTAACAGTGACGGCTTTGGTGGCATTGTTAACATGCAAGTCACCGTAGAATTGTTCCAAACCGGTCAATTGGATATCACCAAAAGAGTCACCTTGGATGGTGACATCACCAACAGCAGTAGCACAAGCAGCAATTTGTTGAACTTGAGCAGAAGCAGTGGCGGTGAAATCTTTGAATGAACAACCAGATGAAGCAGTTGGAGTAGCATTAGTCAAAGTTGAGTCTAAAATTAAAAAAAAGAAGCAATAGTTAGTATTGTGTTTCTAATATCGGTTATATAATTTCTTTGCAACACTTTTACAACCAATTCATTCATTCAATCATTCACAAAATAAAATAAAATAAATAAAAATTCAAAAGGTAAACAATTGTCGTGTACAATTGCCAATTAAACTCCTAACCGAATTTTTGCCTAAAATGGACAAAATAAAATACTAACCAATTCTGTTTGTGTCGTGTTCACACCAGAAATGTCGACCCAAATAATCTCGCTTATATTTGCGTGTCTGTACCAAGAAAAAAAATTTTGGGAATTATTTGATCTCCAATGAAAAATGTGGTTGAGAATGTTGAATGATTAACAATGCTAATTCCCAACACACTTTTGACACAGACACCAAAGATAAGAATAGGTAACAACAGGGACGAGAATCGATTCAACACATCACCAAAAAATTATAAGGAAGTAAAATCTTCATTATTTGTTTAATGGCCAGCCACAATTAGAAATCCACGTAGATAATAATTGCAAGATCAGACCAGAAAAAAAATGGTGTGATAGTGAAAAATCTCGATTGTAGTAAATTTATTCCCATTGAATAGTTGATAGTACTTATTGGAATAAGACTCGGTTAAGAATTCCAATTGTACCTATTTTCCATTAATTGTGAATGATGTTCTCTATTTGATTTGAATGAAAAGTGTTGCTAGTAAATTAGTTAGTAATAATAGACGAGGAAATACATACTATTGGCAGCAGAAGCCAAACCAGCAATAGCTGAGATAGTGACAATATTTTTGAATTGCATTTCTATATTTCAATGAGTATATGTGTATGAAAAGGGAGATGTGTTAGGAATTGGTTGGTAAGTGGTAAAACTAGATGAAAAAAATAGTGGAAGATAATGAAGAATGAATTGAAATAACGAAAGTAAAAAAAAAAAATTTAATTAATTAGATAGACAGATAAAAAAAATTCAATGAAAATGATTTCTCCTTTCTAATAAAGTAAATTGGAATATGAAAAGAAGGAAAATCCAAAAAATATAAAAAAAAAATTTTTGATGATTAAAAAAAAAAGTGGGAAATATTTCAATCTATTTATACCTTTTCCATTTCACTATGAACTATATCTCTATTCCTTCAATTGGTTGTCTAATGAATTATTGTCTGTGTACTAGGTCGTGTTCCGTCAACCAAAATTTATTTTTCGTTTTTCCTTTTTGGTTGTTTTGTGTAATGGTCAATTTATTTTTAGCCCGTCGTGCACATTACACAAATCACCAATTGTGAATTCCGGCTAGAATGTAATCCATCCACTGGTTAGTTGGTATATATTAAGCCACTATCTTCTACTATATACACCAGGCGATGGTTAGTCCTACATCCCTCAGGTAACTATTCAACTATTATGATCATACACTCCTATGGATTTGAATTGTAGTAAGTGATGAATCAAGCATTTCCTGGTTTGTTTAAATGGCATTTTTGCTCGGGCCCCCCTATATCATTGCTTTTCAATTTTTCATTGAGGTTATATTGCTTTGCATTTTACGCTTAGGTTTAAATTTTTTTTTTTTTTTAAAATTGTTGTTCAATATTTTTTAGTCTATGCTTTGTTTATCCCCATTATTGTGTACATGTGTGGTGTAAATAATCTTATTTTGTACCATATTATTTTTCCTCCTAAATATGGTAACCTCATCAATTGATTTGAATTGATTGTGTGATAAAATAGAGAATCAGCCATCACTAATACAGCAACTACTGTGAACACAACATTTACAATAACATCATCAACATCATCATCGTCACTAATAATCCTCAGTTTATTCAATTCTAGAATTGTACCATTCATCTCAGCAGTTATTGCCAGATGTTCATATCCATGTGTCTATGCTGAATTTTTTGTTTCGGTGAAAAATTTTCTTACAGGTACACGCCCCCCTCACTTTGTCTCTTGCCCCCCTCGGGACGCACAGAGCGAAAACATTAATTGATTTCACACCCATTGTTTGTTTGCTAGAAATCCAACTAACTTTTCATCGTTGAAAACAAAAAACAAAAAACCCACAGCCCATGTCGTCGTTGTTGTTGTTGTTGATGCTACTTCGTCAATTCAAATTTGATACCGATTTGACGATAAGCTATTTACATGTAGCAGAACTATTTTTTTTTTTAGTCGGGTTTCCTCTTTTGAAAACATTCTATTGATTAAATCCTTATCACACAAACTTTATTAGATCCTCCACCATTGATAATATTCACTACTTTACAACGAAATATGTAAGAGAGCAACGGCACCCGAATTCTTTATCATCATTATTGTTATTATTGTTGTTCAGCCCATTATGTATCCACATGGGCGTGTGTGTGTGTCTGTGTGTGAATTCCACCGTACCTGAATTAAACTCTTGTCCCTAATTAAAAGGATCGCCTTGAGTGTTTTGTAATAGTTGCTCTTTTCTTTTTCTTTTTCTTTTTTTATTGACTTGGATTGATCTATATTTCTAAAAATAACATGGTCTTTGCAAGTTTATACTGTGAATCCAATTTTTCTCGAAAGGGGTTTTAGTGTGTGTTGAGGATGAAGAGGAGTAAAATTGCTTAAGGAGAGTGTTAATCGGATCAATTCAAGACACAGTTGATTCATTGATTTAGATTCAAAACCTATACTTCAAACCCTAAATTTCAAACTAAGACAATTAATTTGTTTCAAAATCGTTTAGTCTCTCAAACTATTTTGTTTCATTTATTAGTCTCACCATATTCCCCTTTATTTTTTTTTTTGTTGTTGTTGTTGTTTAATGAAAATTGTTGTGTAGATCATTATTTAGGTGAAGAATTTCATTTGTTGTATATAAGGTACCAAGAGAGTTACATTCTCTTGTATTTCACAAATTTTGTGTATTCCATCACCAGCATCATCGTCATGAACACTTGCTTCTTCTTCTATTTCTACTGGTTTATGCTCCCCATGTTTATGGGTTTTTGTTTTTCAGGTGATACCAATGATCATGGCAGAAAGAGGTTTGAGTAAATGCACATGTGTATGTATGAATGTGTAGATCGTGATAAAATTTAATTTAGTTAGTTAGTTATTATTATTACTATCATTATTATTTTCTTGTCTTAAGTAACAAAACATAAATTAACAAAAATTAAAAATTACCTGATTTGGATTAGTAATTAAAAACATTTAACCAAAAAGAAAATAAGAAAAACTGTGTATTCAGTACAAAAGAGTTACGTAAAAATCAACCAGCCATTTCTTGATCTGATTCCAGGGGAAAAGAACAGAAGAAGAAAAAGAAGAAGGAAATGTTGAAATTCTTGTGATGTACAGAATAGAATACAATTACAATTCTAGCATAAAAACTAAAAGATGGCTGGTTGATCTATAGTTCTTGAATGATGATGGTGGATGATCCCACACAGGGATTGAATCATTCTTACACAATGGAACATGATATTTTAATATATCTCCACTATTTTTTATATATATTTCCTTGATCCATCCAATCACTCAATCAACCTTGTTCATTTGCTATTAGAATCACCGCCTTGTTGAGTGAAATTTGTTCAACATGTCAAATTTCTTTTTTTAGTATTATTGCTTGCAATATTTGATGTCATAGACACCACACTACCCCTATATATTATTTACTACCACCAACTTAAATCAATTGACCAATCATACACGATCAATAATTATTCACTCGTTTTTAATCACTACAGATACTCTCACATTACATCCTTCCTCCAGATGTAATCTTAGTTTAATTTCTCTCAATCTAAAAATTAAATTTTTCACAAACTGATTTGTTTGCAATTGTACACTACCCTCGGAAATCGACGGTGACACAAATTCAGACACAAACAAAAGTAGGCTATGCCAAATTTTTTGAACTAAGAAAAAAAAAAGGAAAAATGTCGTACGCTTCCCGCCTCGAAGGAGAAAAGAAAAAGTTTGAACACCGCGTAAATTCAACAATGTCGCGCAGTAAAGTTGGTGGTGCACGACATTGATGGTCTACATAACCGGCGATGGACACAGGTTATCCGACAGATCCTTATACACTTACAGGTCAGGAAACTTCGGTGACAAAACACGAGCTTCTCTGTTTATGTGGGCTTATATCCTGAATTAGAATAATATCACCGGATTTATCAACTGAAAAGTTGATTATCATCAATAGAATCAGAGGTAAAAACAATAACAAACAATTATTCGGTTATGAGGAACAATGGAATAGTCGGGTTGTTTCCCACATGAAGGGCAATTTACATATTGATAATTTCAAAGATTTTGCAATAATTTTGACTTGATCTTCAACCAAATAATCACAGGATGTCTTTTTTATTTGTTTTTTAGTCAACTTCTTCCTCCTTAATTTTTCTATAATAATGAATTTCTATATTTAGAAATAACTTCAAGGTATGTTAAGCCTAACCTTCATAACCACTGGCTATTATTATACTTTAATCAGCTCGAATATCATTCTCCTTCTTATCAACTCTTGTTTAGAATACGAACCGGTATAAAGCCTATTAATTGAGAAGAAAAGATATCAAGTTTATATACACACAAAGAAGACACATTCCTGAATATTCTTATTTCTTGATATTTCGATTAAATTGACACAATCTGGATTATTGTTCATGTAGGTTGATTCTTCGTGTTACTCTACAGCATAAAGCTTGTCCCAGAATTTTGAAAAGATCTTTGATTTATCATTCCCCAATGAATAAAAAAAAACAAACACACACGATCAACATTGAGTCTTTGACCTCCTATTCACTCATCCATAAATCATCTCTGTTTTTTGGTGAAACTGGTGTCACATTCGGAACAATGCTCGTAAAAATCAAAGTCATGCGTTTGTGATCACGAGGGGTTTAAAAGTATTGATTACGTAAGATCCACACGTTTGATTTTGAAATTTCTTCGTAAATTCATCATTACTTAATTATCATATTCAGCCAGGTGATATTATTACAAACCATATTGTTTCCTCTTCTCATGATCATCAACAACAACTACTACTACTCCCACAACAACAAACATTCCTTTTCAATATCTCAACACTGCTGTGGACATTAACTACCAGAAGAACAAAGACACTTCAACTAATCATTCTCTATCTTCATCATCTTCATCATTATCAACAACAAAACTAAAACTAAAACAAAAAAAAAAAATTATTCATTTACATTCAGTAAGAACTAAAAACTAAAAACTAAAACCTAAGAACTAAAAACTAAAAAAAATTCCTTTTCAACTTAGACATCATCAACCTGTAAATACTCAAGTGTCAACCACCTATTCAATTGTCTAATCATTCCCTGTCTGTCCTTAATTATTGCAATCCCAAAACAAACAAATCATGGAGAATATCAATGTTTCTAATAGAATTGAAAAACCAAAACCTTTAAAAGTTTATGGACGTCATCATTATGCTTGTACACGATGTAAATTATCAAAAATCAAATGTTCAGGAGAAAAACCAGCTTGTTCCAATTGTAAGAATATAAACAAACCTGAATTATGTAAATATCCTAAAAAAGATCGAAAAATCGTCATTATGGATTCTGAATTGAATAAATTACATGAAAAAGTTCAACAATTAGAAAATCAACTTTCTTTATTGTCTAATACAACATCAACATCATCATCATCATCATCAACAGTCACCACAGAAACTACGATGAATAGTTTTATAATTAGAGATAATTTAAAGTTTTTCTTTGAAAATGAATATGAAAATTATGAAATTCAATTCAATTTAGTTAATAAATGTTTGAAAAGATTACCTGATAAATCATATTGTTTAATATTAATTGAAAAAGTATATTATACTTATAATCAAGAATTTTATTTAATTGATAAAAATGAAATTCAACCACTTATAAATAATGTTCATGAATTATCATTACAAATTTCAAATCCAAATTATATTCCTTCAATAACTCAAATTTCACTTTGTTATTTTTTCATTTTAATTGCATTTGGTGAACAATTACTCAATGTTAATACTACAGATACTGATAATGAAAATAAATATCCTGGTTTAGAATATTATCAATATGCTGAACATTTATTTCGATTAACTAGACCAAATATGTGTATTACTTTTATTCAATGTGGTTTATTATTAGGATTATATTCAGCTAATCTTGCTAGATATAATACTGTTTATAATTTTTTTGGTATTGCCACAAGATCAGCGGTTTGTCAAGGTTATCATAGAAATAAAGAAATCTTGGATATTTCAAATAAATCATCATTAGAAATTCATAATTTAAAAATAATTCATGAAAAAATGAAACGACTTTGGTGGACTATATTTGTTATTGATACTACTTGGAGTACTAAATCAGTTCATTTACAATATACTGATACTGATGTTAATTTACCATGTGAAGATATATATCCATTAGATGATGATGAAACTACTAATAATGAAGGAATTATTGAATCTTTTGATTTAAATACATTAGAATTAAATGTTCATTTAACTAAATATGTGGCCAAATTTAATCGATTAATTTATGGCCCAAATAATAGAACATTTTCAATTAAATATATTAATACTAATCAATTCAATCAAAAACAATTACTTGAAAACATTTTGAATTCAAATAGTGAATTAATTGATAATTTTGAAATTCCTTATTTATTACAATTTAAAAATTTGAATTATTTAAATCAATCAAGAAGAACAATTGCAAATTTATTCTTACGTTATCATCAATTAATTATTCTGATTTCAAAACCATTATTATCAGTAATAATAAGCAATACCAACACATCATCACTATCATCATCATCATCATCATCATCATCACTACCAACAGCAACATCTATTTCTAACAATTCTTCATTCATTTTGGACAATTTGAATGCGATAAATAAAACTTTATCAAAAAGTATTTTCACATCCTGCGCTACCATTGATATAATATCAAGACTTTATACAAATAATAAAATTTTCATATTGGGATATTGGGACAGTCAACATTTATTTACTGCAATAATGATGTTAATAATAGCATATGTAAACAACAGTGGTTGTAATTGTGGTATTGGTATAACACCAATGATAAATGAAGATAATTTAATTTATCCACCACAATTATTTAGAGGAATTTCATTATTAAAATTCATGGCTAATATGGGAAATATAAATGCAAAATTGAAAATGGAAAAACTTTATCAAATTAATTCATTAATTCCAAATCCAATTGATTTAAATAATTGTAATATTGAAAATACTATATTTGATTATGTTGATTATTATACAAATCCTCCTTATACTTCTCCCACCCCACCACCACCACCACCAATAACAACACAATCATCAAATATTATAGAACAAGATGATGGTTCATTAGAAGTATCTTCAAATTTAAATAATCCAATTAATTCAATTCCTTATCTTCCTGAAAGTTATACTTCTACATTAAAAGGATTTGATAAATTGACAAATAACTTATTCAATCAGCAACAACAACAACATCATCATCATCAACAACAGCAAGATAATAATAACATCAATTATAGAGATTTTTATATATCATTAATTAATCTTATACAATCATGGGATAACTAAAACAATAACAAAGAAAGTACACACTTATATATATATATATATATATATAATATACACAGATAGAGAAATTCGTCATAATTTATTGAAAATAACTCCATAAATCAACAATATTTTGGAAACCATCACCTACAAAATCATCAAAATTAAAATCCAATATAAAATCATCAGGTAAAAGTTGTTGTTGTTGTTGTTGTTGATCATTAGAAAATCCATCTTGAGGCAGTTGTTGATTTGAAGATTGATACAGTAATGGTTGATTATTGTTACCAATTGAACCATTTATATTATCATTTGAATTGACAACTTGATTAATATTAATTGATTGATTATATTGTTGCAGTTGTTGTTGAACAGTTTGTTGAACTTGTTGTTGTACTAGTGATTGATGATATTGATCTTGTTGAGCAAGTGATTGTCTATATTCTTTTGAAGGAATAGCATTATTCGATTGATTATTATTTATAGTATTAGAAGTAGTAGTAGTAGTATTAGATTGGGTTGAATAATTATTTAAATCAAATTCATCTGGATTACCATCTTTTTTATTCTTTTTAGCCTTCATTTCAGAATATAAAACCATTAAAATTGTTGAATATCTTGATAATAAATGTAATTCATCAGGTGAACATTCTCTTAATGTCATAGCTGCTCTATGAGTACTTTTAATAATTTCATCAATTGTTATTCTTGAAACACTTAATGAAATATTCTCTTGAGCTGTCATTGTTAAATGACATTGAACAATAAATGCTGCTGCTCTAATAAATCTAGTTAATAATCTAACTGGCATAAATCTTAACATTTTAAATCGATGAATTCTATGTGCTGCATTTAATGTTTCATTAGCTGCTGCAAATGCTTGTTCAATATATTTAGCAGATTTTGATAATTCATCAAGTTTAATCTTTTTGGATTCTTTTGAATTGGAATTTAAATTGGAATTACTAGCTGTGTTTAATGCTAATGAATAAATATAAAGTTTAACATAATTATATTCAATAATAAATGTTTCCCTTTCAATGGTTTCTTGAATTTCTTGAACAACTTTACAATCTGGTCTCAACCAATATTGGGGTAATGTTGGTGTTAATTTAGCTAACCTTCCATTATTATGATTGGATGGTATTAAAAATTCTTTATATTTCTTACCCCAATTATTAAGTAATGGACTTAAAATATTCAATACTGATAATGTTTGTCGATGAGTAAGTTGACCCAATTGAGCTTTATAACCATATAATGATTCATGACCTAATGACATAATTTGTAATAATTCAATTGTTGCCTTTTGTGATTTGGTAAATTTTAATACATATTCTTGAGATAATCGTTTAATTTGTTCTTCATTCATTTGTAAAATTTTATAATCATCATCATCTTTAGCTTCAAGTTGTTCCATATCTTCAACAGTAATATCATCTTCATCTAAATCAACTTCACTTAATGAATTAGCCAACATTGATCTTCTACTAATATTCATCACGGAATTGATTTCAGCAATATGGGTAGCTAAAAATGTTTTAGCACTAATTTCCATAAATCCCATATCTTGAGCTAATCTAACTGCTGATCCAATCAACATCCATGCCATACGATGACTTCTTCTCATAGCTCCTAATCCGGCAAATTTATTACTTCCTTCTTGTCCTCCTTCAACTCCAAATGCATTCATGGTTGTTTGAGCAGTAGATGCCGTACTTGCAGCAGCAACAGCAGCTGCTGAACTATTCCTGTTATTACTAGTGGTACTACCAGAGGAAGAGGAGGAAGAAGAAGAGGCAGATGGTGGTGGTACACTTGAACCAGATTCATTGTCATTTGATTCGTCTGCCTTATTTGCATAATCAGACCATCTCCAGTGAATAGCCCTTGGATTCCATTCAGTAAATAATAAAAATGCAAATACTGTACCAATACTTCTAGTGCTTGCTTCAGCCCAAACAGTTTGAGAAATTAATCTTTGTACATATAACCATAATCGATCATGAACTTCAAAATGTCGAGGAACAGCACCAGTAGAACTACCAGTTGTAGATGATTTATTTGTTGGTTTATCATTTTCAAATGGATGATATCTTGAAGATATAGTTAAAATAGAACATAATAAAATTGGATAATTTGCTAAAACTTTTGGTGAATGAAGAAATTTAGGAATATGTGGGAAATAAGGATGCATAGTTGAAAAAAATAAATTAATTAATCTTTCTGCTTCTTCTTCTGTTAAAATTCCTCTTGGTGGTGGTCCAATATAATCAATATTTGATAATTTATTCGATCCTTTAGGTCTAACTGCTTGTCCACTTTCTGCCGGCGGCACAATCATTCTTTTTCTAATTGATGGTTTAATATATGGTGGAATTGTTGTTGGTTGAGTTTCTTCAATTGATTCTGTTTGAATAGTTTGTGAAAATGATTGATTTATTATTATTGGAGATTGTTGTTGAGGTTGATCTAGGTTAGCACTATTTGGCCTTGAAACTGGTGTATTACTTTGACTTGCTTTAATATTACTTGTTGTTGCATTATCATCATTATTTTGATTTATGCCATTAGTATTATTAGCATCTAAACTATTTCTATGACTTTTAGAAACAGCAGCTTCAATTTGTTCATATTTTGATTGTGCATCAATATTATCTCTTTCATCAGCTTTAGCTATTTCTCCAGCTGCATTAGCCAAAAATACCAATGCACTTTCCATAGTTGAAAATTCATTATTTCTTCTTTTGTCTTGTTTCACTGGAGTATTATTATTATTATTATTATTATTATTATTTAATCCATGTCTTTGATTTGATATTGGAGGCAATTGAGTTTCATTTCTATTCCCTTGATTATTTCTTCCATGAAATTCATTACCACCATCTATCCTATTGTTTTCGACATCATCAGTTTGTAAAATACTTTTAACTCCAGGTAATTTATTAATTCCTTCTCCTCCTAATTCATTTCCATTATTTAAATTATCATCATTAGTAGTCATCACCATCATTTGTAATTTTTGTTTTTTACGTTTCCCATTAATAACATTAGCTGATCCTCCACGTTTACTTTCAACAAAAACACAATCTTTACGTTCTCTTAAACATCTAGCACATTTTCCATCATGGGGGTTATCAACTGGTCCTAAATCACATTTGACTTTACGTAATCGACAATTTAAACATGCTCGGTAATTCCGTTTATATTTCAGTGTTGGTGCTGGTGCTGGTGCTGGTACAGATGATGATGATGGTTGTTGATCTGATGGTGATGCCGATGTTGAATTATTATATGAATTAGACATTTTTTATATACATAACAAACGGATAAATGTCAGAGTTGATCAATGATGAATAGATCTCTTAAAGAAGTATTGAAATTAATCAAATAAATTTAAACTCAGGGCGCCGATAACCATGCATATGTAAATTTTTATTTTTCTTTTTTCGCTTCACCTTTTAAAAGGAAAAAAAATTTCATTGCTCCGGAATCAAAAATTTTTTTTCTTCTCTTCTATTAACCACGTGCGCACATACACGTGATTCATTTGGTTTATAAAAGCTCGATTTTTAATTTTTGAATTGTATATATAAAACATTACTATACAGATTTAGCAAAATAATATTTAAGAATTAGAACAAGGAGAGAAGTAAGGATGTATATATATATATATATAGAGGTATTTTGAAAAGTAATAAAATTGAACAAGAAAAGAAAGAAAGAAAAAAAACCAATCCTAAATGTCATTCCCTAGATAGAAAGACGTTAATAATAATTATAGAAAACCAGTATAAACAAATCTAGCAACAAATAGACTATTGTAATCTAACGTTTAGCAAGTTGTAATTTTTTCACTTGCTCTTCCAAAGTCTTCAATTTAGATTGCATTTCTTCCAAATCTTGATTCAATCTATTTCTTTCATTAATGATATTGGTTTCCCATTGTCTAAATCTTTGCTCTTCAGCTTTAACTTGTTCAGTGAAGAATTTCTTTAATGCATCTTCTTCTTCTTTAAATTTAGGGTTATGTAATCTTCTTGGTTTCTTAGAATTAGAAGGTTTCTTAACGACTTCACCCTTTTCATTAGTCAATTCTTCAGCACCTTCATTTTCTTCATTGGTTTCTTGTTCTTCACCTCCTAATTTAAGTGATCTAAAAGTTTCGAAATGCAATTCATTGGTTGATAAAATCAAATCCAACATATTTGTTCTCAATAATAAACTTCTCAATTTCTTGAAATCACAGTGTTGATCATTTTCAACTTCAACAACACCCCATGGGTATTTTCTACCTCTAACAAATTGACCTGGTCCAACTTCAACTTCTTCTTCTGAACCAATGACAGCAAATGGCATGGATTCAATCAATTGTTTGGCATGTTCTGCACTGGCAGTATCATCCAATTCTAAAGGTGGGGTATAAATACTAATGTCTTGAGCTTCAATGATTTCCCTTATTCTAGTTTTGAAAATATCCAATTCTTGAGGTGATAAAGTATCAGCTTTGGCAATAACTGGAATAAGATTGACTCTAGTAGATAATTTCTTCATAATTTCAATATCCAATGGTTTTAAAGAATGACCAGTTGGTCTAATGAAATAAAGACATGCATGAACTCTTAAATCTTTTTTAGAAATTCTTGAAGGTTGTTGTTCTTGTTTCATAAATGATTCATGTTGGTCATCAATAAAATCAATAATTGGGACCCAAGAATCATGATTATTGACATTATTACCAAAACCGGGGGTATCAATGATATTTAATCTAATTTTAAAATTCTTTTCTTCTAATATAGCTCTAACAATATCAATTTCAACAGTTTGATGAGCTGTTGTAAATTTATTATGTCTTTGATTTGGATCTTGATGTGGTTTTAATGAAGTTTGGAAAAGGGTATTGATAAAAGTGGTTTTACCCAACCCACTTTCACCAGCTACCATAATAGTAAAAGTGGCACCTTCATTGGAAACAATCTTATATCTTAAACATCATGTTAGTATTCCTCTTAAAATAATTGGTTGTCAAACAAGCCAACAGACAAACAGACAAACAGACGAGACAGCAAAAAAATTTTTTGTTTTGTTTTTAAATATTTGTTTTTTTTTTCTTTTTGATCGTGTTGTTTTTGGTCTGTCCCCTGTTTGAACCCCCTGCTCCTCTTCTTTCTTAAATACATACCTTTGATTTGGTAAATTTGCAATACCAACTGGTTCTGGCATGATTTATATATAATTAGATTAGTCGAATAAAATAGATCCCAAAAAGAATTAAAAAAAAAATCAATGGGAAATGATTCTATGAATATGAAAATTAGAAAAGAAAATTCAAGGGGAAAAAGATTTTTTTTTTTGGTGTTTTTTTTTTTGGCTGTCTCGCTCTGTTTCAATTTTTTTGGTTGTAAGTTTTTCTCTCTCTCTCTCTCTCATTCTCACACTCTGGTTTGTTAGTCGTGTGTATTGTGCCAATTATTGTGTGTATCTGTGGTTGACGCCCTTGTCTCTTAGTTAGTTGGTTGTAAAAAAAAAATAATACACGCGCGTAACAACTAAATAAGAATTGTATAGCAAAAGAATGTTCACCCACTGGAAGGGAAAAATTTTTTTTTATGTGTAAGTATATATTTTTTTTTTGACGACAAAGATAAACAACATGAAAATACAATACAAATAATTATAGACAACAAGTAAACAAGTAATAAAAAAAAAAACGAAAAATCAAAAACCAAAAAAGAAATATAAACTATAAAACTTATACAATCTATTCAGCTTTAGCTTCTGATGGTTGAGCTTCTGCGGCTTGACTTGATTGTTGTTGTTGTTCTTCAGTGGCGGCTGGAGCTTCAGACAAATCAGTCCATAAAGTCAAGTTATCTCTTAACAATTGCATAATCAAAGTAGAATCTTTGTAGGAATCTTCGGACAAGGTTTCCAAATCAGCAACAGCATCATCGAAAGCTTGTTTGGCCAAATGACATGCTCTATCTGGGGAATTCAAGATTTCATAGTAGAAAACAGAAAAGTTTAATGCTAAACCCAATCTAATTGGATGAGTTGGTGGTAATTCAGTGACAGCAACATCAGAAGCAGCCTTATAAGCTTCTAAAGATAAATCAGCAGCTTCTTTACGTTTTTCAGCAATGGCAAATTCAGCCAAGTATCTGTGGTAATCACCCTTCATTTTGTAGTAGAAGACCTTAGATTCACCTGTTTGAGCAGATGAAATCAAATGATCAGTCAAGACTGAAAGAATATCTTCACAAATTTTGGACAATTCAGCTTCAATTTTAGCACGGTAGTCTCTAATTAAAGCAACTTGGTTTTCATTACCTTTAGCTTCTTCTTTTTGTTCAATAGAAGAAACAATTCTCCAAGAAGCACGACGAGCACCAATGACATTCTTGTAGGCAACAGATAATAAATTACGTTCTTCAACAGACAATTCTTGACCGGATGAAGCAACGGCTTTCATGTTTTCAACCATTTCTTCATAACGTTCAGCTTGTTCAGCTAATTTAGCAAGGTAAACGGAATCTTCACGGGAGGCAGGCATTTTCTTCTTTGTAGTTTATATATGAATGTAAAAAAAAAATTCTTCTTTAGTCTTAGAAATGTAGAATTTGAGATGTATTTCTTCAGATGAACTAGATAGAAAGAAAAAGATAGTTAGTATTAATCATTCATTGTTTTTTTTTTCCTCATATAATTTTTTTTTGGTGTCAATTGAATATGAACAACTTGGCGGAGATCTGTGTGACTCTCTCTCTCTCTATCACTTTTGTTGTGGGAATTTTCCGACCAGTGTACAATACTTGACGACCTAGATCAAACTTATTCTTCCAAATATATTTAGAATATTATCCCACATACTCAATGCAATAGACTTTGAATCAATTCGAATAAATCAAAATATTCCTATTATAAAATTCCAAATGAAAGTAATATAACCAAGATAATGGTTTAGTTGACCTTCGTCCAAAGGGGAAAAAAAAGAAAATTCAATTCACCTTGAGTGTTGGTTTTTTTTGCCTCAGTCAGCCGACGAAAAAAAAGAATTAACTATGTCGTGCAGATTGGTTCAAAAAAATCTGACAACACAAACAACAAACATTTGCTCTCACAGTATTGAAAGAGAAAAAAAAACAGTGACAAGATAACATTCAACGGTGAAAGAAAAAAAAATGGAAAATTGTAGTAGGCGAAAATTTGTACTGGTTGTAAAAAATAAAATCCCATGATATCCAATCAATCGAATTGTAATTTATAGATGTAAAATTAAATGATCTAATCATAAAGTTCATACTTTTTTACTCTATTAAATTTGAGCTGTGAAATCAATGGAAAAAAACAAAGAAATTTGAGGGACAAATCAGGGGATAGGAAATCAAATCAACGATTCGACAAACAAAAAAAAATTTACTCACATACTTTTTATCACACACAACACAATTCAATCGTCAATTCCCAGTAATCATCCAGTCAAAGTTGTTCATAATGATTCAATTAACTCTTTGTAATAGCTATTAACATACCTTTATAAAGTGATTTTCTTTGAATAATCTAGAGAGTCTTTTTTCAAAAAAAAAAAAACAACAAAACCAAAAAAAAGAAAGTGTGAGAAAAAAAAAAGTATGTGAGGAATAGAAATTGAACTCACTGTATGGAGCGAGCGAGCGAGAGTGGGTGTGTCTGTGAACAGAAAAAAATAAAATAAAATAAAATAAAATAAAAAAAACAGAGAGAGCAAAAATGTTGGACAACGAGAAATCAGAGAGAAAGAGAGAGAAAAAAAAAGTTTTCTTCCCTTGTTGTCGTTGTCGTTGTCATTTTGTGTGTTATTATTTTTTTAGTTGTCTTTATTTAATTAATTACGTAAGTTGCCCCCGTGACTTTCAAATCACACATCCGCTTTGTGCAACTTTGCACGCCCTCCCCTAATTAACAATTCTCATTTTATTGTATTCATTTTATTATCTTTGCTTCGTAATAAATATGCCCACTCTATGTTTGCACGACTCTCCCCCCTTTTTTTTCCTACAACGCTACATTCTCACTTTCTCCGTCTGTCTATCGCTATTCCCTCCTTCCGAGGCTATAATTTATAGAATAATAATAATAGAAAAAATAAAAAATCCCTTGTGCCACATTTCTCCGTCCATCATCGTCCCGCCTTTGGCCGCACTAATACTTCGACAGGGCAAGGAAATTGAAGTAAATTAAGTTCAATTATTACACACTCCCTAGAAACCTCATCGCCTGATAAATTACTTGATCTGGGTTTTGGCAATTACTTTCTGGATTCTCTCTTTTTGTATTATCTAGAGATAATGCACTTAAAGCTTTGTGTTAATGCAAGTGGAAAATAGAGATTTCTTTACACTCTTTAATGATCTTCCCTTCTTTGTCTTCTTTTGGTAATATGATTTCTCTTATAACTCCTTAGGTTGGTTTCTTTTTTTTCTATTTACGAATCGGTTGAACTGTGTTACACCTTTAATTATGCATTAAAAACTTTAAAGTATTGATTGAGCAAAACTTACATAGCCCCATCATGTATTAACAACAATTGTCGCTGTAGCAATTGAAAGGGTTTTACGGCTCGCCTACGTCGGATCCTCGCCAGCAACTTGTTGTAATGTGTACATCACTTGACTCGGAGAAAGAAGGTATAAAAAGAAAAGAAAAAAAAAAAATGACGCTCGTATTATTAATCTTACTTTGTATAACTCTAATCTATTTGCATGGATTCTACAGCCATATTAGTTTGTTGCATCTTATAAGGTACAACTTCTTTGATTTTGATACCAAATCTCTTGTCTTGACTCAATTGAACTAATTGACTTATGGTTTCATTCAATTCATTTGGTAATTTGTATTGTGAGTGGATCCAATTAGATTTACAAGTGGATTCACCACCAGTTAATCTGATCAATTCTTGATTGTTTTCATTAATAGCAACAGTAGTGGATTCTCTGACATTACTGATATTAACACCTGTTTTCAATAATGCTTTCAATTTCAATGAAGAAACACCCAAGTTTGGTAATGGGATTTCCATACCTGGTAAAACAGGTTTTGCGGCATCAATACCATGTTTACCAGTAGGATTAGCACTTAACAAGATTTCTTTCAATGGAATGAATTTAGTAACTTGAATTGGTTTAGGTTGAATCAAATGACGGTTACTCAATTCAGCAGCACCTAATCTATTAGATTTCATATCTTGAGTAATTGCCATAATTTGAGCTTTGATATCATCTTCTGAACCTTCCAAATTGATTGGGAAACTATTACTAGCATAATCTAATTTGAATGGATAAACTGAAAATTTCTTATCGATTTCTCCCAATAATTTTCTGGAAGTTTTCAATCTTAATTGATGAGTAACAGCAAAATCACGAATAAATATAGAACTTTTACTATTGAAATCATTTTCCTTATTGTTTTTACCAGTGAAATGATCAATTTCTTCAGTGGTGACAATACCAACTTCATTAACTTCAGATAATCCAGCCATACGGATATCAATTTGATAAACTTCACCTGGAACAACAACAAAATCATCAGTTGGAATAGCTGATGAGTTGTTTGTGTTGACTGGTTTATTAGTTTCAAGGGATAATATTAAATCAGTAGAATTACTACTGGATTGTTTCAATAAACGAGCTTCTTGATGAGATTCATCCCAAACAACACCTTTGAAATCACGTTCAGCAACAATACCTTCAGCTTGACCAGCCAAAAATCTTCTAACTCTTCTAATCTTAGAACCTGGAACAACAATACAATTGAATGAATCAGCAATAGCATCAACCAATTGACGAATTTGAGTACCAGTGATGGTATTATTTGAATTTTTCAAGTATGCTGGTAATTTTTCTGGAGATAATGCACATCCTAATAAAACAACAACTGATTCAGTAGCAAGATGACAAGCACATAATGCATCAGCATTATTTCCTAATAATGGACCTGCTGGTTTTGATTTATCTTCTGATGATGGTGGATAAATAACTAAAGTATGACTGACTTGAGAAGTATAACCATCAATTTGAACCCCTAAACTAATAGTTAAAACATCCCCTTCATTAAAAAAAAATTCTCTTTCATCATCAATTTCAGGCGAAAATCCATTAACTAATTGATTAACATTTATAGTGGTTGGATGAGCAATACCTTTTTCATTAACTTTATTGACATATTGACGAGATAATAATTTCATTAAAAATGAATCAGTTAATAAACATAATTGTTGAACTGTTAATTTTGGAGTTGTTTGTAAATGATATGAACTGTTAATTAATGAAGTAATATAAGCTAAAGCTGTTTGAGTTATTTGTCCAGCAACTCTATATTTTTCAACAACTGATTCTTCTAAAACATTCTTTTGTTTTAACAAGATGTCAGCATCTTCTTGACGAATAGCAAGTTGCATGGTTGACTATTATAAATTGGTTGATTCTTGTAAAAGAAAGAAAGTAAAAATCAATTGTTTCTCTAATGGCATCGGGATTTTTTTTTTTTCTTTAGACTTTTTTTTTTCACTCATCGCACACTGAAAATTGTTAAGAAGAAATGCTACCAATATCAAAGGTTTTGTAAGAGTATTCATATGGGTGATTCAGATGTGATGGTGATTGTATTAATCTTATAGTGATATTCAAGATCGAATACTTCATGGTTCTGAATGTAGCATACTCGATTGAATTCTTTAATATTAGTAGAATCACGTGACTTTGATTATATGGTAGCGCGTTTGATTTAGGCGTACGCACTACCTTTTTTTCCAAAATCTTTGGGGTATAAAAGAGAGCAACTTTTCCCACAATCCTAGAATGACTATTAATTAAACTAAACAACGCAAGTACAAATAAGTGATATTTCTACGATCAATTTGAAGTTAGAAATATTATATTTGATTACAATTGCTTGGTGATTTCTGTTTAAGAACGTTCATTGTTAATTTACTTTTGGTTCATTTTTGTTTGTTTATTAATCATGTCTTGGGAACAAGTTCAATTTACAATTCCTGGAAAACCATATGGAAGTTATATTATTACCGACGAAGTTCTTAAGAATGTTCCTCAGATTAAAGACTATGAAATTGGTATGTTGAATTTATTTCTTAAACATACTAGTGCTGGATTAACTATTAATGAAAATTGGGATCCTTCAGTATTAGTTGATCTTCACAACTCATTAGAAAGAACTGTTCCCAACGACGCGGGTTATGAACACGAGATTTCAGGAGGAGAAGGTCCATATGACCTGACTTCCCATATCAAGAACCTGCTTGTTGGTTGTTCATTGAATATTCCAATCAGAAATGGTTCATTGGCGCTTGGAACCTGGCAAGGAATATACTTGTGTGAGTTCAGATTGGAAAGACACTCGAGAACAATTGTCGCGACAATCAATGGAAAGAAAAAGTAATTTATCTTTTGATCAAAATTGCCTTTATTTTGGATGAGCCACTGGTCAAATTATCTTAAATAGTCTCTATATATAAGAATAGTCTATCGCTTATAGTATGTTTATCAATGGAATTGATTTTAGAAACTAATAGGAAATAGATATTTCATTATCATTTGTAATTCACTGGACGTAAAGAACTGAGTATAAACTTTGGCTCATTTTCAATAATTTTTTGCTTGAATTTCAGCTAAAATTTACTCCTTTGAATCTTGTCTAACTTCTGCATCACTTTAACAACTAAAACAGATTTGCTCCATACACTTAGTAGTAATAGAGTTATTACCATCATTAATCAATTCTCTTTAGTAACAATATGGAATGGTTGTAGTTACTTTCATATCTTACAACCATTGAATTCCACCATTAAAGTGTGGTCGTGTGGAGATCGACAATTCTCAAATTTTGAGACAACCAGAAAAATAAACATGTACAGAAATGGTTATTTTTACAACAGGATTATATAAGTTACAGCCATTATAATAATCCACTGGAGACAAAAGAACATGGCTGTTGAAGAAGAAGAATGGAATCCAACAAATGATTCAAGAAATGGGTCACCTGAATATAATGAAGGAACTGCCAAAAAAAGAAAAACAGCAACTCCAAGTGCTACAACAATAAAAAAATCCAAACAAAATCATCAAAGATCATCATCACCTTCATTAGAAGAGACACAAGATGATATTGCTAAACAATACAAAAGATTCATATCTGCTCCTAAATATGATTTGAACAGTGAAGAATTATTTTGTGTTTGTAGAAAACCAGATTTAGGTGAAATGATGGTTGCATGTGATGGATGTGAAGAATGGTTTCATTTTGAATGTATGAAAGTAAATCCCAAATATTCTGAATTGATTGTTAAATTTTATTGTAAATTTTGTCAATGGAAAGAACTTGGTGAATCTCAATGGAAAAGGAAATGTCGAATTATTGATTGTTATAAACCTATTGATAATGGATCAAAATATTGTTCTAAAGAACATGGCTTACAATTTATGAAGAATTTATTAATTGATTCAACTACAAAAGAAGATTCTCCAACTTCTCAAGAATTAAATTCAAGATCAATTAAAGATATTATTAATTATGTATCTGGTGATTATAAAAAATTACAAGATTTAGGAGCAAAGTTTCCTGAATTGAAATCAGTAGTGGAGTATAAACAAGATCCGAAAAATTTGAACAATTTCCCTGAAGACGTTAAACATGATTTACAAACTGTTCACCAAAAGTATGATCAAATACAAAGTCAAATTAAAGAACAAGAGGAAGTATTAGATACGATGTCAACCATGAAGGAGAATATAAAACAAGTCAATGAAAGATTAACTAATATTATATTCCAGGATCTGAATCAAGATACTTCTCAATCATCAAAAAAGAAAAAGAAAAAGCCAGCTAAAGGTAAAAAGAAAATAGATCTTTGTCTATGTGATAAATCAAATCAATATTTAGTTAAACAAATCATTGAATCAGAATCAATGTTTGAAAAATTGGCAAAAATAATCAAGAAGCGATACGCTGAAGATGAAGACGAGGATGAAGAGAAAGAAGAAGAAGAAGAAGAAGAAGAAGAAGTTGTAGATTCTGATTGGTTCATGGAGGATTTATGTATAAAGGATAAAAAGAAATGTGCGCGTCATAATGGATGGTGGAATCTTTATAATGATGAAGCTGAGAATAATCTAGAACTGATGAAAGTGAAATCGAATACTATATCAGAACAAGAAGAAAAAATTCTACGGAACTATTCAGTTAAAGTTTATGAATCATAGTATAGATATAAAGTCAATAGATACATAAATGAAGAACACCATCACTATTCATGAGACTACTTGAATTTTCTTTTTGTTGTAGCACACGAGTCGCGTTATCCCGCAATTGATCTGAGATTAATTCTTAAACAAACACGAAAATTTTAAAAGACGAGTCTTGATATCACCAAAGTCTACAAATCAATACTACACATTCCAGGTTAATCTAGAGTAGCATACCCTTTTAGTCAATTGAATATTCGAGTACGCCAACAAACATAGTCATACAACAAAGTCCGTGATGAAGCAAGATCCGTGCCCCATTTGTTCCAAATTGGTCTTATCAGATGACCTTGAGAGACATGTCAATTCTTGTCTAGATAGGCAAGCCTCACCACAACCACAACCACAAGACGAGATAAGTGATACATCTCATGATAATCTAGATCAATCATTATCATCTACCCAACAAAAACCCAAAAAACGAAATGCATTATCCGCTCTAGGATTAAAATTCGATTCAAGTCTGAAAAAGAAAAAGAAACAAGAATCACGAAAAGTTAGTTTAACTAGTAGATTATTAGAAGAACGAAGAGTACAAGCAGAAATAAGAAAAAAAGAAAATGAAATACCATTAGAAGAACAATTTAAAGCAGTAGCTGAAGAAATAATGTCTACTCAAAAAGAACCCACTCAAACTGAAGAAATTAAAATCCCTCGAGAATCTGAAATTTTGAAAAAATCTAAAGAATTAAATGAATTAAAACGTTTAGCATCTATTCCATTAGCTCATAGACTTCGACCTAAAACATTGGATGATTTTTTTGGACAAGAGAAATTATTAGGTAAAGATGGAGCATTAAGAAATATGATTCAATCAGATATTATTCCTTCATTTTTACTTTGGGGAGTTCCAGGAATTGGTAAAACTTCATTAGCTAGAATTATTGCTAAAAATTCACGTTGTAAATTTGTTGAATTATCTGGAATAGATAGTAATGCAAAAAATTTAAAAGAAGTTTTCTTACAAGCTGAAAATCATAAGAAATTAACTGGACAAAGAACTATTTTGTTTCTTGATGAAATTCATCGATTTAATAAAGCAGTTCAAGATTTACTTTTACCAGTTATTGAAAAAGGAATAGTAACTGTAATTGGTGCAACTACTGAAAATCCATCATTTAATTTAAATAATGCATTATTGTCAAGAGTTCATACTTTTGTAATGGAACCATTGAATACTGAATCATTAATCAAGATATTAACAAGAGCTTTATTTGAAGTCAACAGAATTCGTAAAAAATTGTATGGATTCCATTATATTTCATTACAAAAGGATGCATATCATTATATTGCAAATCTAAGTATGGGCGATTCACGAGTTGCATTAAATATTCTAGAAACTTTGAATGCTTATCTATCAGCTGATAAATTCAAAATAGATAATAATGATACTTCACCTAAACAAGGTGTCATTAAAGTTTCTGCCGATTTACTTAAACCATTATTGAAAACTAGAAATTTCCATCAAATGTATGATCGTAATGGAGATTCACATTATGATATAATTAGTGCATTTCATAAATCAATCCGTGGTTCTGATCCTAATGCAGCAATGTTTTATTTAGTGAAAATGTTATCTGGAGGAGAAGATCCAATGTTTATAATGAGAAGAATGATAGTTATATCAAGTGAAGATATTGGACTTCGAGATAGTTCATGTTTGCCATTTATGATAGCAGCTAAAGAAGCATTAGAATTTGTTGGTATGCCAGAAGGTGAAATTATATTAGCTCATTGTACAAATAAATTAGCTCTTGCTCCAAAATCAACTAAATCTTATCGTGCTTTAAGATCTGCACAAAATATACTTAAAGAAAATCCAGAATTAACTAAATTACCCGTCCCCATTCATTTAAGAAATGCTCCAACTAAATTAATGAAAGAATTAGGTTATGGAGATGAATATAAATATAATCCAAATTATGAAAATGGGAAAATTAAACAAAATTATTTCCCACAAGGAATGGAACCAATCAAATTTTTAGATGATATCCATTTAGGTAAATTAAAAGATAAATCAGTTCCAAATGATGAATATATTCAAGCACAAGCTGCCGTCGATGATTATGAAAAATTTAAACATGATTATAGAATGAAAGCTAAAGCTGAGTATACAAGAGGAGCAGAAGAAAAGGAGGAGGCAGAAGAAGAACAAGAACTACTACCAGAAAGTAAGGATTTAGTAGGATCTACAGATGCTGATAGTGATTCAGATGAAAAATTTCATGAATATTCAGATAATTTTGGTAAATCATTTGATGAAAACCTTGAAAAAGATCTTCAACGGGAATATTTTGGAGATGAAGAATCCAAAGATGTGCATATAATAGATTAAAATACAACGTTAATCAAATATAAATGTCTGTTATATATATATATATATATATATATATATCATGAAAATGAGAACCTATTTACTAATCATCAAATAATATTAATAATAAAAATAAGTATGACAATACTAATAATAGTATAAAAAGAAAACAAAAAGGAAATCAAACAGGAACAAACTAATTTCTAAAAGATAAAAAAAAAAAAACTTGATAATAATACTTATATAACAAAATACCCCCGTGTTAACATCTCTCATCTCTCTATTTAATGACCACTCCCTCTTGTTTTTTTTTTTTTTTTTTGTATTGTATTGCAACTATTGTTCTCCATTGGTAGAATTCACAGTGTTAATACTCTTTTCTGAACTTGCTTGTCTACGTAAAGCTGTAGCTTTACTAACTGCATGTTTGGATCTTTCAGAAGAAACACTGTTAGCAAGATGACCACGATCATCTAAATCAACACTACCGGCACTTTCAAATATAGAAACTTGGCCTGCCAATAAACCTAAAGTTTCCAAAACTTGAGCTGGTTCATTCAAGTGAGCAGTTGCAACGGTTTTCTTAGAAGCTGGACCAACAGCAACTGGATAAACACCATGTGTACCATATTGATTGGTTGGAACATCTTTACCTTGCCATTGCTTTTCAATTGTAATCAAGGAATTGAACATATCTTCATCCGTTAAATCATCACCTAAACATAAAATGAAATCTGGTAATTCATCAACTGATACATTTTCATCGGAAGCACCAGTTGCAGTTTGATCTTGTTTGGTTCCATGAGGGTGCAAAACTAAACGTTTAACAATTTCTCCTTTGTTGACAAATTTTGGTCTGACTTCAATATTAGCCTTACCTGCCATAACTTCAACATCGTATTCTTTGGCAACAGTATCATTCAATTGTTTTAAACACTTTTCAGCTTGGAAAGCACCCAACTCAGGATCAGCACGACGGTAATGCCAAGTCAATGCAACTTTTTTACGTTCAATGTTTGAACCTGGTGTCTTTTCTGTATAATCTTTGAAAACATCATCAACTTTTTCTTGCCATGACATGTCAAATGATTCGGCAAGATTAACCCAAGTTTTTGACCCAAGATCTTTCATAAAACAACCATGTTCAGCAGACAAACCAACATTCTTACTACCCAACCATTTTTCCAAAAAGGCTTGGTCTCTACCAGAGATAATCCAAATTTGATTCTTTGGGTCAGCAGATAATGTATCCAAGATACGGTTCAACTTGTCTGATGGAATAGCGGCAGCTGGATCTTTGACAATCGGAGTCAAGGTACCATCATAATCAAACAAAAACAATCTTCTCTTTGATGATTTATAGTTTTGCAACAAGGTAGGTCTATTCAAAGCTGGGGTGAAACTATTGGTATGGGTGACAATGGAGTGGTCAATGATATCACGAATAAATCTTGAAGTCCAGTTTTGGATGGTATTAGAAGTAACCTTGGTATACAATTTGGATTCCAAATGCATCTTATCCTTTGGTGATAATAACAAGGCATCATTAATAGTTTTGGCAACACCAACAGCATCCCATGGGTTGACCAAAATTGCATCCTTCAAAACGGTTGCGGTACCGGTAAATTCAGATAAAATCAATGGTGAATTGTTATACTTTTGACAGATTACAAATTCCAACGATGTTGTATTCATACCATCTCTAACAGAGGTGATCAATGCCAAATCTGCTACTCTTAATAATGCTAAATATTCGTCTTTGCCAATTCTCATTTGATAATGCAATACTGGTGTATGATTAAAGTCACCATATTTTGAGTTAATTCTAGAAATCAATTCAGTGACCTTGGATTCAACATTTGCCGAATGTGAAAATCCAGGACTTGACACTTGAATCAATACAACTTTATCTCTCCATTCTGGGTACATGTCCAAGAATGTTTCAAAAGCTTCCAATTTCTGTATAACACCTCTGACCTTATCTAATCTATCTCTACCAACAATAATCTTTTTACCGTGATATAATTCTCGTAAGGCCTCAACTTTTTCATCAATTACACTACCATCAGAAAAGGCATCGTGTTCAATCTTTTTGGTGTCAATACCAATTGGCAATGTTTCGACAGAAATGGATGTACCATAAGCGGAAACAGCATCTCTAGTAACATCGTATCCTAAAATACGTGCACAACAGGACAAGAAATGTCTTTGGAACGAATCTGATTGGAACCCGATTTTATCAGATCCCAACATACCATCCAACAATTGAGATCTCTTAGAAAGACATCTGAAATATTCCGAAGAAGGGAATGGAACATGAAGGAAGGATCCAATATAGGCATCAGGGAATTCCATACGTAACAATTGAGGTAATAATAAAAGATAGTAATCATGAATCCAAATGATATCCCCTGGTTTGTAAACAGCCTTAATCTTATTCAAATAAGCTTCATTAAACTTTACGTAGTCGTGCCAAGCGTTAATTTCAGCAGTTCCATCGTCCGAAGGTTGACCCTGTATATAATGAAATACTGGCCATAATACGTTCTCAGCATATCTTCTCCATCTACTCTGATCACGTCTCAACAACCAAACAGGATGGATGTTTGGAGTACCATTGGCTTCACATAATTTTTTTTCAATATCTTTTTTATCGTCTTCATCCAAATACAAAGGATCATCTTGTAAATTTTCTGCAGTAAGGGAACTTGTGTTTTTATTTTTGTTGATCAATTCACCTGTCCATGCAATGACATGAGTTTCCCAATCTGAATGTTCAACAAGGAAATGTTGAGAAGAATACAATGCGGAGTTCCCACGGACAGCTTCAACATCCCAAAAGTATTGTTTAGTTTCCTTATTGTAGTCACTTATGATCTGGGTTGGTAACGAAGTCATAACATTAAGGATTCTACCTGATAATTTGACTTTATTGTTCCCTTCATACTCTTTTGGAGATACGATCGGAGTTGTGGTTGGGAATGCTCTTAATTTCTGAGGTGCCATGATTTCTCTTTATACTAACCTAGCAAACAAACGGTGGTGGAAGAGAGGAAATAATAACAACGACACTGAATATGTACTTGATAATTATACTAACAAAGCAACTAATTAATTGTTGTAGAAAGGTAAATTAGAAAAAAAAAAAAAATTGAAAGTAGGAGCAACCAAAAAAAGAGAAGAAGAAAATTGCAGAGTTATATCAGTTTAGTGATAGGGGAAAAGCACAACCAGAAACCCAGACGGGGGGAGACAACAACAATTTTTTTTCTTCTTCTTTTCGTTTCGTTCGATTTGCACGCACCGAACAGTGGTTTCGTGCGACGTAGCAAATTGCAGCACTAAATCTATTTTTTTTTTCTGTTCTTGTGTACAATTCAGACAACCATCATCATGCCACCACCACCACCTCGAGGTTTGATTATTGCATGACAGAAATTGATCGCATTAAATTCGTCCAATCAACTTCAAACAGGTTGCTTTTGCTCATTCTGTTTCATTCATTCTTCTTCGTCTTCTTCTCTGCATGGATCAATTATTACATATGTAAATGGAGTTAACTGGAATTTAGGTAAAGGGCAAGGAAAGTAACGGAGAAGATACGCCCAACCAATTCTTGAGCATGAAGTTTTAACCTGTACTTAGACAGAAAGTCTAAAAATCAAATGTGGGAGAATGGAGGACTGGGGCAAAGGAGTTTGGCGACGTGGAGTGCAGCAGCTGCCACCCTTGACTCACGCGATGTTTCAACGAACCAAATTATCATCATGATTTCAACTTTTGACTTGATTTGATTTGGAGAAATCAGTGCATGCAATAAACTACGAGTTATCAACCCCACCTTTATTCAAATATAAAGCATTTAAAAATATATATATTAAATCCTTTAACCCAATAAAGTTGTACCATAAAAATACATAATACTATTCAAAAAAGAAACAAAAAAATAGGAATATAAAGAAAATATTAAAGAACAATTTCAGCAATAAGAAAAGAATACTCAACGGGAGGAACGAATATAGAACAACAAGAAAAGGTAGGAAGTAACAATAAATATAAACTGCAAGAATTATAAAAAAAAATACATCTCAACTTCATTTTCTATTCTTTTTGATTTTCTCTTTCAATTCATCTCGTCTTTATAATTCTAAGGGTACTAGGGAGGAAATCATTCTGTTCATTTCTTTCATTTCATCATATTTCAATATTCACACACATTCACACATACAAAAAAAAAGTAAAGATTCATCAAACTAATAAAAATGCTTTGCCCTCGAATTACAACAAACTATACTTAAGCTTGTTGTTCTTCGGAAGGAGCAGCACCAGCATTAGCACCTTCAGATTTCTTGTATTCTTCAAAAGCAGTCAAGGCATCTTCAAAGTGGTTGTTGAACAATTCATCATCATCCAATAAATCCAAGATTTCTTGGTTTTCCAATCCCAACATCATACCAGTGATTTTACCAGCAGCTTCTGGTTCTTGAGCCTTACCGGTAGCAACAATTCTTGGGTACAATTCTTCACCCAAGATTCTCTTTTGTTGGTCTTGAGGAACACTAGCAATAATGGCAGCCAAGTCTCTCTTGTTGGTTTGGTTACGGTTTGGGTAGTAACCACCTCTTGGTTGTTGTTGCTGTTGTTGTTGTGGTGGTCTAACATTTTGACCGTTGAAATCTTGTTGGAATTGTGGTGGAATACCGTAGACTGGAACTGGTTGGCCGTTTGGACCTGGTCTTGGCCATTGTTCTGGGAATGGTTGGCCTCTACCTCTCATCATCATTTGTGGGTTTGGACCTGGGAATGGGGCATTACCTCTACCGTTTGGTGGGAAGAAACCTTGTTGACCGTAGAACATTGGTGGCATAAATTGACCTGGCAAACCACCGGCAGCAGCAGCGTTTTGCATTCTCATTTGGTTTCTGGCTTGGATTTGTTGTTCCAATTGAGAACGTCTAACATCCTTACGTTGAGCCAAAGCAACATACAATGGTTTGTTGTTAACCATTCTTTGGTTCATTTCAGTGATGGCCTTGGTGGCTTCTTCTGGAGTGGTGAAACAAACGAAACCGAAACCCTTGGATTTACCAGCGTCATCAACCATAACTTTAGCAGAAGTAATAGTACCGAATGGTTTGAATTCTTCTTCTAATTTTTCAGAATCAATAGAGTCATCCAAGTTCTTGACAAACAAGTTAACACCTTGGTATTTGGCCAATTTTTCCAATCTGATGGCTTCGTATTGTTTCTTCAATTCTTCCATTCTTTCTCTCTTCTTTTGGGCTCTACCAACGTAAATCTTTTGACCGTTGATTTCTTTGTCGTTCAATTCTTCAACGGCTTTAACAGCAGCATCGTGTTCTTCAAAGTTGACGAAACCGAAACCTTTAGATTTACCATCTTGGTCTTTTTCCAAGTAGATAGAAGTAATCTTACCGTATGGAGCAAACAATTTTTCAAATTCTTCTTCGGTGTAGGCCAAGTCAATGTTCTTGACGTAGATGTTGGTGAAGTTGGCTTTCATTTCTTCAAATTTGGATTCACGGTCCTTCTTGGAGATGTGTTTACCAACGAAAACTTCACGGTCATTCAACAACATACCGTTGACGTTTTCGATAGCGGCTTCAGCAGCTTCAGCGGTTTCATAATGGACAAAACCGAAACATTTGGATTGACCCAATTCATCAGTAGCAACTTTACAAGACAAAATCTTACCGAAAGCGGAGAAAGTATCGTGCAAAGCTTTGTTGTCAATAGCTGGGTGCAAGTTCTTGATGAAAATGTTACCATCACCAGATCTTCTAGCAGATGGGTCTCTTTGAGACCACATAATACGACAAGGTCTACCTTCGATTGGGGTGTAGTTCAATTCTTCAATGGCTTTTTCACCATCTTCGAATTTGTGGTAGTTGACGTAAGCGTAACCTAAAGATTTCTTAGAAACAGCATCACGACAAACTCTAATGGATGAAACTTGACCAATTGGAGAAAAGATTTCAAACAAAGTAGCTTCGTTAACAGATGGGTTCAATTCACCAACGTACAAAGAAGCGGAGTTTTCAGCAACACCAGAAGAATCACCTTGTTCTTCAGCTGATTGTTCAGTGGTAGCAGCAACTGGTTGTTGTTGTTGTTCTTCGGAAATGTTCAATTTTTCCAAAGATTCTTGAATTTGATTAGTTTCAGCAGCAGACATTCTGAGATGAAAATTTTTTTTTTTATGATTTTTTTTTCTTTTGAAATAGAAAGGGTTAAAAAGATTTTTTTTTTATGATTTTTTTAAATACTTTAAGGTGGGTTACTTTTAAATAAGAAGCTTTATATTAATAATATAACAAAAGGGCTTTCTTAATTTATAAAGTGGTACTTGATTCTTGTAGAATTCCAAATTGGATTTAAGATGAGGTTGTTTTTTCTCTCTGTGAAAAATATGTAGAAAAAAAAAAATTTTTTTTTTTTTTCTTCTTTGATTCTTGTTCTTGTTCTTGTTGTTGTTGTTCTTCACAGTGTCGTTTTCTCTCTGTCTGGGTTGCGGTGTAAAATTATTATACTCATTGATAAATTAATGATTACATGCACTACTGTACGAAAGTCGTGTGCATCTGCACAATAACCAAATCTACTCCAAATTTTTTTAATCATTAATATTTTGTTAATTTAAATCGTATCATATTATACATTTGATAAAGAAATATCTTTCTATATGGTAACAAACAAAAAAAAAATTTACAAACATGAAACAAAACAAAATAAATCATCATACTACATTCTTTTATTATTACTTAGATCCTTTGATTCTGCTGTACATCGCACTGATCTTATCACTTGGTACTTTTGATGGCCAATAAAGTCCAGTGAATCCCCATAAATGTTTTCTCAATTTATCTTTTTCTCCAACTTTTGCAACCTCAGTTTCAATAAAGTCACCAATCTTGAGCAATTCCGATTTTAATACTTTGGCCCATTCATGTTTTTCTAAACCTCTACTTCCTTTATGCAATTTATGTAATGACAGCACAACCGGTTGCATGACTGATTTACATCTAGATTCATCCATACTGGCATATTCCTTTTCACGCTTTTCTTCTTTCACTCTACCATGACCACCACCGCCCACAGCAGAAGATGGAGAAGCACTAGATGTATGTCTTTGTACAGACTGTGGTCTCTTACTTTTGCCAAATTTATCAGGAGTTTCGGATTTAATTGGTTTCTTAGGCCTACTACCATTGGTATGACCATGTGAAATATTCGATGGAGTTGGGGTTGGTTTTCTCACCCTCTTTCTAGTAGCACCAACAGGAGTGTTTGATCCATCGTCGTCTTTAAGCAAAGTAAATAAATAATCAACTCTTCTACCTAAATGAACAGATCCTGGCACTTTCTTAGAAGACTCCTTTCCTTCTGGTTTTGTTGCTATAGCAGATGCATCTGTAGTGGCACCATTGTTCCCAGTTGTTGTTGTTGCTGTTGTTGTTGAAGATGTCGCTGTGTTTGCAGGTTTATCTTTACTTGATGGAGGTGGTGCACCTTCTAAGAATAATTTATTTTGAAGTCCCAATAATGGATCATCACGAATTTGAACCCATGAACCATAACCAAATTTATAAACACCAACCAATAACATGGCATCATCTCTTGGGGTCCATGCACAACTCCATGATTGTACAGACTTTGGATGTTTAGGTAATTGGAAACTCATAAGATCGTCATTCGGTATCATCTTTTCTAAAAGTTTCATATCAATAGGTCTGTTTAACACAATTTCAGCATTGATATTTTTAACACCTTGATATTCAAATAAAACAGCCTTCTTTTCTTTCTTTTTGGCAAGCCATAATGCAGTTTGGTTAGGTTCACCTGGGTTTGGCGGTCTTGATTTCTGTTCTTCTGCTTTTCTTTCTAATTCAGCGAGAACTTGTGAACGTCTTGCTTCTTCTTCTTTTACCAATTGTTTTGAGGTGTTGATTATTTCATTATATGCATGTTTCACCAAAACGGGATTCTTATTAGTGATACTACCTTCTTCGACTAACTGTTCCCATTTACCACTTAAATCACCCCATTTCAAAATAGATCTGTAAATACCTCTAATTTCCTTTTCAGACAATTGATGATCTCCAGCATTTCTTCTTCTTGCAGGTCTTGCATCCTCAGCACTATCTTCAACATCACTTGGAACTGTAGAGCCATTCTCAAATTTACGCATGGCAGCTTTTCTTCTAGAAAACATGGCAATTTGTTCTTGCAAATACTGTTCGTCGGCTTTTCTCTTTTCTTCATCTTTCAACTTGGTCAACTCTTCTTGTGGAATAATATCATCCCATTCAACATCAGCTTTATAATCAGTAACCTCAAATTGTTTCAAGAATTCCTCAGAACCCAAGTTAGATTCACCCAAGTCAGGAGTTGTGACATGATCTTCAGCATGACTCAAAACATCATCCAAGTTCAAGTTCTCCAACTTTTGTTGGTTATTGTTTTCCTTAAACATGGTTCCCGCACCAAATTTCAAAATTTGACTCAATTCACTTGTAGATGGATCTGTTTTACCATTCTTCTTGGCATTTGGATCCGTTATACCTAAAGAAATAATAGCATATTCAAGAACCATCTTCTTTCTAGCTCTTTCTAAAATCTGTTCTTCAACTGTATCTTTACTGACAAATCGATAAACAGAAACATGGTTTTTCTGACCAATTCTATGAGCACGAGCCATGGCTTGCAAATCTGCTTGAGGATTCCAGTCTGAATCAAAAATAATAACAGTATCAGCAGTCATCAAGTTAATACCTAAACCACCAGCTCTAGTGGACAATAAGAATGCAAAATCCTTGGAATCCGGAGCATTAAAATGATCAATAGATATTTTTCTTTGTGAAGATGGAATTGTACCATCTAATCTTTGAAATTGGTAACCTTTGATAAACATGTAATCACCTAAAATATCCAACATTCTAACCATTTGTGAGAAAATCAACACTCTGTGACCTTCTTTCTTTAATCTAGTCAACAATTGTTCAAGCAATACCATCTTACCTGATGACATAATCATACCTCTAAGAGTATTCTCTCTTGAATATGAACCAGCCTTTTCCAAGACTCTTTCTTCAGCACCATCAAACAAATATGGGTGATTGGATGCTTTCTTCAATTCACTCATAACATTCAACAACGAAATTTGAGAACCTTTATTACCAGCATTTAATGCGGCATAATTCTTAGTGATGATGTTCTTGTAATATTCTGTTTGAATATCAGACAACTCAACTCTTAAAATACGTTCTGATTTTGATGGTAACGACTTTTCAACATCTTTCTTTAAACGTCTTAAAATAAATGGATTGATTTTCTTTTGTAAATCTTTAATATACTGTTCTTGCTCCTTGTCAATACTATCAAAATCAATTTCTTGATCAATATTAAACTTACCTGGCATCAAAAAGTTACACAATGCAGCCAATTCTTTAACATTATTCTGTAATGGAGTACCAGTGATCAATAATCTGTTGGAGACTTTAAAACTTTTCAACGCTTCATACAATGATGATTCAGCATTTTTCAATCTATGTGCTTCATCAACAGCTAAAAATTGCCACTTAAATGAACCAAGTTCTGTTTTATCTTTCAAGATATACTCATATGTTGTTAATAAAATATTAAACTTTGGTTTGTTATTTTGGTTGTAGAATTCATAGTCTCTGATGTTTTTTCTTGCCTCACCATTACCCAAATAGTAAATACAATTGACATCTGGAGCCCATTTTTCAAAAGTCTCTTGCCAAGCAGGGACAGTGGATAATGGAACCACCACCAAGTGTGGACCATTCTGTCTTCTAGCATAAATTAACCATGACAAAAAGGCAACAGTTTGAACGGTTTTACCTAATCCCATCTCATCTGCCAAAATACCATTCTCGTTTCTTGACCAAAGAAACGCCATCCAATTCAACCCTGTCAACTGGAAATCTCTTAATTCACCATTCTTTATGAAAACTGGTTGTTTGAATAATTTTTCAAATCTTGGTCTCTGTGATTGAGGGTAATTGGCTGAAAGACTTGGCAAAATCTTTGAGTTTAATCTCTGTTGGTATTTTTTAACTTGTTCAGGAGCAATTTTTGCAATTTCTTCTGCATCTTCCCAGGAACATTCATCATAGTAAAGTCGTTTCCATTTAACAAAATATTGTAATTTGGTGGTACCATCGTCAGATTCGATTCTTTCGCTGTCAACTATTCTTTCAACCTGTGTATATTCTTCCTGTTCGTCTCTTTTTCTTTCTCTTTCAATATCCATAGACTCTATGTCTTCCTTTGTAGTCAAAGGATCATTTCTAATTTCTTGATCATATATGATAAACTGTTTGATATAATTGTCTAATTTTCTAAATCCTTTGTAGTTTTTCAAGTCTTGGTATTTTTCCCAAGTGTTATGCAAATGTGAAGCGTCAGTCCATTTAACTTTGAAAAGATAATCCAATTTAGGATCATTCGTAAGCTCGGTATTATCCTCATTAATTTTATGGTCCATGACAATATCTATTCCACGCTCGTTTTCTGGTTCATTGGCTTGTTGATAATAGTAATAATCTCCTTCGTCGTCATCCTCGTCCATTTCCGGTTCACTTTCCATTAAATCCTCGTCATCGTCATCGTAATCAATGGCATAGTTGACTTGCTTACTATTTCTCGTAGAAAATCTAAGCTCAGCTGGTGGAGATGGGGTAGATTTAGCCTGTTTTTTTGACAACTTCTTCTTTTTAGAAGATGAAGAAGCTTTTGAAGTCCTCTTTTTCTTTTTCTTACTACTACCGAAATCATCATCATAATCAAAATCATCTTCCTCTTCATCAATGTTATCATCATCTTCGTCTGACATATCTTCATCATAATCATCATTAATCTTCTTCCTTTTTCGCGTTGGTCGAACTTCATCTTCTTCGGAATCTGATTCAACAATAACTGGACCTCTTCGTTCACGATGTGACCTTCTTAAACCGTAAAGTTCTGGATTTAATTCGGCTTCTTCTGGTAAGTCTGGTCTACCCATGGTATTAATTATGCAAATGGGATATACAAAGAAATAATAATAATAATAAAAATTAAAAATTAATGAAACACTTTGGTAGTTACAAATAGCCTTTCGTAAATATTCAACAATCGAATAATCTTACACTTCTAAGAAACCCCTTGAAAGTTCAAGCGTTATCAATAACCAATCGTATTAAAATATAAGCCTAATGCAATGAGATTTGTTTGACTTTGGTTGATGATCTGGTTAAATAATCAACTTGAATCTAAGGATTGATAAATTCAAAACAGTAACACCAACAAATAAATTGGAAAAAAAAAAAGTAACAAATATTTAACCTTAAAGGCAATAAAACTACTACTGGCAATTGTGGATTTCGTCAATTAAAATGGTGACAAATACTCTATTAGTCCTAACCAGATTCTTATAACTAGATATGGTAATGCCTCCAGTTATATTTATGTAGGTGTGAAGGGATAATTTAAAAGACGTTATAAATATCGGTTGAATTAAAAGAAAATTTTTTTTTGTTTGGGAGTGTGAACAAACAACGACAACTTCACCCTTTTTCTCTTTCAATTAGGAGAAAAAACTTCATGTTATGCATAGGTCGAAGAGGTTTATGATTGGTTTAAATTAATCATATTATTAGTTACAGATGTTTGAATTGAAAAAATCTACAAATTTTCAAGAAAACAACAACAAGATTAATAAAAAAAAAAAATAGTAAATAAATTCAGTGAACGTAAAATAAATCTATTTAGAAGCATTAGGAGAATGTTCGACGATATGCATAGAATAAAGTCCTACCTTATTCTAAACCATATGCCAGTACCAATAGCATGGAATTTTTGCAGCCATCGACATCAATAACAAAAGATCAACATTCAACAGAGTGCCTAGCAACAATCCAGATCAGTTATGGTTCCTAGATCCAATTGAAATACTAGTGTGGAAGTCGAAACTGGTTTATCTTTAATTGAATCGAACACATTTATTCATCTTGCATGATTTGCAGCCATCCTTAGTTATAGCCTGGGGCAACAAGGGTAGGGAATCTGAACAATGGGCGGGCTCTCCAAAAATAAATACACGCAGAGTGCAAACAACCAATCTTATTCCAGTCCAATAATGCTATGCAGCGAATGGAGGTTCTGACCATGAAACCATTACATTAATATTATGGAAAAATACGATCTTAACACAACCATGTTCGATATCAAATATGCAGCAATTTCAAACTAAACATCAACAATGACACGGTGTGATTAATTGTGTGTATCAGGCTAAGGTTGTCAAAGTATAATGAGTAAATCAGTACTCAGAGAGGCTCTAACTAAGCAGCAACGATCTGGATGATTGATTCATCATTATTTTCAAGTGATTTGGATCAGATAACCTTGACTAATAAAGTCATTAGAAAAAGTTTTCGTAATTTAACAACCCAAAAAAAAATCAAACAAAAAAAAAAAGGAAAAAGTGGTGAGAAGAAAAAAAAAATTTTTTTTTCTCTTTCTCTGAGAATTAAGCTGAACCTGGCGGTGGTGGTTTGATTTTTCTTACTTTTTTTTTGCTTGTTGTCTCCGCACACGCATTTCCACCAATTAGAATTATTTGTCTCCTCACACGACCTATAGGATTGATAACCTCTACACTTTCCAACCTAAAGGTTCATTTATTTGATATGGAGAAGTATAAAAAACTGTTATTTGTATGATCGCAGATGTTCACAACGCATGTAATGGATTATACTGACCCATTTAGTCAATATACCACTAATATCCGCGGTAGATGATGATTATGGCCAATAACTAGTGCTAGGACCACGATAATATCAGATCTACGTCATTTATACCATTTCTACGACTGATATACACAGTTAATCTTAGAAAAAGTTGGCCCTTAGAGCATGTTTGCTCATATCCAATCACATCCAATTGTTTAGTAATATTGTGGTCTCGTCTCTCACAAAAAATAAAGATGAAGACAATTTTATGCCAAAAGTACACGCTTTTTCTTCTTCTCATTGTGCACGCTTAAAAAAAAATTTTTTTTTTTCTATGAAACAGAGAAGCACAATACAAATAAAAAAAATTTTTCATTGCAATTAACCTTGAAAAACACACTACATTATACTCATCTCCTCCACAAATCTATACACACAACATCATAAATAATGAGTTCTAAAGGAAAAGGAAAGACCAAGAATGGTAGAGGTGATACCCATTCCAAGAATGAAAGAATTGCTATTGTTTCTGTCGATAGATGTAAACCAAAGAAATGTAAGCAAGAATGTAGAAAGAGTTGTCCTGTTGTGAAAACTGGTAAATTGTGTATTGAAGTTACTCCAGCTTCAAAGATTGCTTTTATTTCAGAAACTTTATGTATTGGTTGTGGTATCTGTGTCAAGAAATGTCCTTTCGATGCTATTACTATTATCAACTTGCCAACTAACTTGGAAGGTGAAACCACCCATAGATATTCTGCCAACTCCTTCAAATTGCATAGATTGCCTACTCCAAGACCAGGTCAAGTTTTAGGTTTGGTTGGTACCAATGGTATTGGTAAATCCACTGCCTTGAAGATTTTAGCTGGTAAACAAAAACCAAACTTGGGAAGATATGATGATCCACCAGATTGGGAAGAAATCTTGAAACATTTCAGAGGTTCTGAATTGCAAAACTATTTTACTAAAGTTTTAGAAGATGATATCAAAGCTATTATCAAACCACAATATGTTGATAACATTCCTCGTGCATTGGCCAAATCCAAGATTAAACAAGTTGGTGCCATTTTGGAATCCAAGAATGAAAGACCAGATAACTTTGATTACATTTTGAATGTTTTAGAATTGAAAAATGTTTTGAAACGTGAGGTTGAAAACTTGTCTGGTGGTGAATTGCAAAGATTTGCTTTGGGTATGACTTGTGTTCAAGATGCCAATGTTTATATGTTTGATGAACCATCTTCCTATTTGGATGTTAAACAAAGATTGAGAGCTGCCGAAATCATTAGATCCTTATTGACTGCTACCACTTATATTATCTGTGTCGAGCACGATTTATCTGTTTTGGATTATTTGTCTGATTTTGTATGTATTCTTTATGGTGCTCCTTCTGTTTATGGTGTGGTTACTTTGCCAGCTTCTGTTAGGGAAGGTATCAACATCTTCTTGGATGGTCACATTCCAACTGAAAACATGAGATTCAGAACTGAATCATTGCAATTTAGATTAGCTGATGCTGCTGATGAAATGATTTTGGACAGAACTAATGCTTTGTCTTACCCAAGTATGAAGAAGACCCAAGGTGATTTCAAATTGACTGTTGAAGCTGGTGATTTCACTGATTCTGAAATTTTGGTTATGATGGGTGAAAATGGTACTGGTAAAACCACCTTCTGTAAACTTTTGGCAGGTGCCATTCCTCCAGATAATGGTCAAGAAATTCCAAAATTAAACGTTTCTATGAAACCTCAAAAGATTGCTCCAAAATTCACAGGTACTGTTAGACAATTGTTCTTTAAGAAAATCAGAGCTGCTTTCTTACATCCACAATTCCAAACCGATGTTGTTAAACCATTGAAGATTGATGACATTGTTGATCAAGAAGTTCAAACTTTATCTGGTGGTGAATTGCAAAGAGTTGCTATTGTCTTGTCTTTGGGTATCCCTGCTGATATTTACTTGATTGATGAACCATCTGCTTACTTAGATTCTGAACAACGTATTATCTGTTCCAAGGTCATTAGAAGATTTATTTTGCACGCCAAGAAGACTGCCTTTATCGTCGAGCACGATTTCATTATGGCTACTTATTTGGCTGATAGAGTTATTGTTTTTGAAGGTCAACCATCTAAAGATGCTATTGCCAGAACTCCAGAATCATTATTGACTGGTTGTAACCGTTTCTTGAAGAACTTGAATGTTACCTTTAGAAGAGATCCAAACTCCTACAGACCAAGAATTAACAAGTTGGATTCTCAAATGGATAAAGAACAAAAACTTTCCGGTAACTACTTCTTCTTGGAAAACTCTGAATTATAAGATTCTTCACATTAGGCATTTTCATTTCAGCATTATCATTTAATTCAATTCATAATGAATTAAAATGGTTAGATTTCGGCACTGTGTCAAGACACTATTCCATTTACGATGTCCCATAAAATGAAATAACAAGAATAAAATAAAATAAAATAATAAAAAAAGGGGGAACATATGGATTAGTCTGTAGATACAGAAAAAACACAAAGGGTACAACAACAAAACAACAAAAAAGTATACTTGATCTTCGAAGTATAACTTTTCGGTGGTTTATTTTATAGACGTATAACTGTAATAGCCCCTTTTCTTTTATGTATATTAGTATTAATTTAATTGAATAATAATCAAAAATCACTTTTAAAATTAGTTTCACACTGATTTCCTTGTTTGCGTCGTGTATGCCTGGCCACCTTTTTTTTGATTTTGATTTTGACACGTTCAACCGAAAAGCCAACTCAGTCGAAAAATTTTCTGTAATACGTGAAAAAAAAAAGAGAAAATAACAATTGAAAACATACACTTAACCTAAGACAACACCGTCTGACAACTATTTAAATAATACAAGTCTTGCAAATATGTCTGCACCAGGAGCAACACAACAGCAACAACAAAATGGACAATTTCAAGTCCCTACTAGTACTCAAAGATCACCACTTGCTAGTAATATTGCCAACTTTTTGTTTCAGAATCCAATCTTGAAACAAAGAACTGGTTTATTAAACAACACCAGTGATATTGAATTTTTCAGATTCAAAAGATTCCAAAGAGCTTTATTGAGTGATGAATATAAAGAGAAACAAAAAAATCCAAAGAATGGTTTGATACCAATTAACAATATCCAAGATATTCAAAATGTCTTTGTTTTGTTGATTCAAAATCAATTAATTTTACCTGTTACTAAATTGCATTATGCAGAAATTAAACAAGTTAAAGGATGGAAACCAAATAAGGAAAAGCCTACATTGAAAAGAGCTGAGAAAGCTGCTATGGATCCAAATGCCTATTATGGATGGTTATACCAAAAGCCAAATCCGTTTATTTTGTTGTATAGTGTTTTAGCCATTGCTGGTATATTTGCAGTGATTTTATTCCCACTTTGGCCAAATTTTATGAAAAGAGGCGTTTGGTATCTTTCGATGGGTGCACTTGGGTTAATTGCCTTATTTTTCTTAACTGCTATTGTCAGATTGATTATCTATATTATTTCATTGGTTGCTTTTCCAAAACCATTTTGGTTGTTCCCTAATTTGTTCGAGGATTGTGGTGTCATTGAAAGTTTCCAACCAGTATATGGTTGGGAAGAACCAAAGAAGAAGAAAAGTAAGAAGAAATCCCCAAAGAAATCTGATGGTACTCCTATTACTGAAGAAAAAGTCGGCTCTAATGAAACTAAAACTACTGGAAGTGAAGTGTCTAATAATTCTACTGCCGGTAAGAGAAAGGTTACTTTAGAAGAAGTCGAAGAATAAAAGTAGTAGTCAATAACAAATGTATTCATAATACTTTATACAGTTGTAGTCTCTTTTTTTTTTTTTTTGTAATAGCAAAGTTAATAAACACAAGTGTATCTTGCCCGCAAAAGTTCACGACTCGAAATGACTGAAGGTGACGGGAAAAAAAAATATAGGTTTGGTAACAAGGTTCCACTCTATTAGTGATTCCTTTTCTTTTATGCATTATTTCCTTAGTGTTTGCCTTTGATAGATAAATCCTTTAGTGATATTCAACAATGATTACAATTAACGATCTATCATTTAATCCAGATTATTCATCAATTTCAGTATCTACCTCTGAAGGATTCAAGATTTTCAATTGTGAACCATTTGGAGAATTCTACTCGTCACAAGAAAGTCCGCTACGCAGATCTATATCAAACTCATTAGATGAAACCACCACAACTCCTAAAGGTACAATTAGGAATGATGATGTTTCCGACAATAACGCAACTGCGTTTTTGAAGATGTTATTCTCTACATCATTAACTATTGTTGTCCCACAGTCTCAAGATAATCTTGGAAATCGATCACTCAAGATTTATAATTTAAAGCAACATCTCAAAATATGTGACCTTGACTTCCCTTCTAATATAATTGACATTAAATTGAATAGAAAGAGACTATTGGTGATATTGGATAATGGACAGTTGTATATCTATGATTTGAGTTGTGTTCGATTATTAAAGATATTACAATTGCAATTAAATGATGATGAAACAGACTGTAAAGAATTTATTGGAGATCTTAGTAACGATGATAAGAGTTGGTTGATTCTTCCTATTTCATACACCACCAATCAAACGGACTTGCTTAATAATGAAAACAATAATCCAAGCCAACCATCAACTCCGAGATTGAAGCCAAGTGATTCAGTCGTGAACACGGAGTCATATGACAAGTATATTGAATTGACAAGAAAAAGTTCATCGTCAACTTTACATAAAAGCAGTACAAATATAGGGTTAGAGGACATTAAAAAGGATAGTGAAGGATGGGTTGTAATATATGATACGATTAATTTGCTTCCGGTGCTCATTTTCCAGGCGCACAATTCAGCAATTGGGAGAATATGTGTATCCCCAAAGGATAACAAAATTGCCACTGCATCAGTTAAAGGGACAATAATACGAGTTTTCCATTTAAAAGATGAAACTGATGGTAATCCGAAGATTTCAATGGTTACAAATTTAAGAAGAGGTCATAATCCAGCAAGAATCAATGCATTGAATTTCCATAACGATAACCATATCTTGGGCTGCGGGTCAGAATCTAACACTATACATTTATTCAAGTTATCGGGAGATGGATTAGATCAGCATGAAAATGATGAAAACGACGATGGCGTCGGCGGAGCAAATCAAACAAGTGATTATGATGACAGTGATGGCGAAACGAGTAGATCGTCCGAAGATCTTAATGAAAACCTAGCAAATTTATTAATCTCAAAGCCACCAGAACCAGCTGCCGTCGAAGTAGAGAAGAAGCAATCTAATTCATGGTTTAACAAAACTAAGAAACTTATCAATAATCAATACACCAATTCGATTATTAAGAAGTTGCCATATAAAGATTATTTCGAGAACTTAATCTGGGAACCACCGAGAAGGTCATTTGCTTATATAAAATTACCAGAATACATCCCTCATATTGACAAAGAATTAAGATCCAATAAAGTTGAGATTGGGTTTAATAATGACTTAGTATTTATTGCTTCTTATCATTCAGGTAATTTCTATCAGTACCAAATCCCGAAACATAGAGGGTCAATTCCTTCTATATCCGAAGATGAAAAAAGAGAAGAATGCTTATTAGTGAGTCAATTTAATCTTCTTTAGTTTTTGTATACCCTATTACATTCGTAATATAAAGTAATATCTTTCCCATTCTATGTGGGGAGTGCATCTCTAATACGTGAAGTATAATATTTTCTGTCCCGCGGTATTTTGTGGGGTTGGCGAGAGGTGTGGAGGAAAATCGCGGTGCAAGCGGTGTAAGTTGGTTCTAACTCCTATTTTTGTTACCATAGATTTAATTTCACAGGAGAGTTTTGAAATAAGCGCTAAATTATTTTTCTCTCTCTCCCTTTGTCTTTTCGTTCAATTTATTCAGGAGAGGAAACAAACCCAGACAAGGAAAAAAAAGTACCATTCTATCCCGTGGCAATTAAAGTGGTGAAAAACCCCACAGTATCTCAAATAATTATCTTTGCTGATCTAAGCAAATATCAATAAAATCCTATACATTCTTCACAGTCGAATATTTAGTCTTCTTCAATTTTCTTTTTTAGAGTTTCCTTTTTTTTTCTACTTTTTTTTTTCTTTTTAGATGATTCGTTTGACTGCTTCTTCCATAAGACCAATTAGTTTTACTACAAGAAGTTCCCTAGCACTACTATTGTCAAGAATGTCTTCCTCGGTATCTCAAAACCCAACTGCTTCTGGAGAAGAAGAACCAGTTGTATTGACATCTTCTAAAAACCATGCCAGAATTATCACTCTTAACAGACCTAATAAGTTGAATTCTTTAAACACCGAAATGATTGAACTTATGACACCACCTGTTTTGGAATATGCTAAATCAAATGAGAATAATGTTACAATTTTTAACTTCAACTCACCAAAAGCATTATGTGCTGGTGGTGATGTTGCCGAATGTGCAATTCAAATCAGAAAAGGTAACCCAGGCTATGGTGCTGATTTCTTTGATAAAGAATACAATCTCAATTATATCATTTCTACTTTGCCAAAACCATATATTTCCCTCATGGATGGTATTACTTTTGGAGGTGGTGTTGGATTATCTGTCCATGCTCCATTTAGAGTTGCAACTGAAAAGACCAAGTTGGCAATGCCAGAAATGGATATTGGATTCTTCCCTGATGTTGGTACTACTTTTTTCTTGCCAAGATTGGATGACAAAATTGGATATTATGTTGCTTTGACTGGTTCTGTATTGCCAGGTTTAGATGCTTATTTGGCAGGTTTTGCAACCCATTACATCAAATCTGAAAGAATTCCTCTGTTGATTAATAGATTGGCCGGTTTGCAACCACCTGAAATTGAAGGTGAAATTACTGTTATTTCTGGAAATAACCAATACTTTAACCAGGTCAATGATGTTTTGAATGAATTCAGTGAAAAGAATTTGCCACAAGATTACAAGTTCTTCCTTTCATCGGATGAAATTGCAATTGTTAATAAAGCGTTCTCACAAGATTCGATTGATGGAGTTTTCAAATATTTGGAAACCGAGGGTTCTCCATTTGCCAAAAAGACACTTGACACTTTATCTAAAAAACCAAAGAGTTCATTAGCTGTTGCATTTGCATTGTTGAATGCGGGTGCCAAGAACTCTATCAGAACTCAATTTGAATTAGAAATGGTGTCTGCTACTAATATCATGAGTATCCCAGCTGAAAACAATGATTTTGCCAAAGGTGTGATTCACAAATTAGTTGACAAAATAAAGAACCCATTTTTCCCAAAATGGAATGATCCAAGTACTGTTACTCCTGAGTTTGTTAAACAAACACTTAGTTTATCTAAAAACACTGAAAAATACTTGAAGAGACCATATCTTAAAACATGGTTTGGTGTTGATTTTGAACAATATCCTCATCTGTATGGTGTTCCAACTAATAGAGAAGTTGCTGAATATATTGCTGGCACCGATGGCTCCAATAGAACTTATTTGCCAACACCAAGTGAAGTCTTCAAACATTTCAAGACCAAGACCAATAACAAATTGGGTGTTGAGGTTAAAATTCAACAAATTTTGGATTTACACGGCGAAACTGCAAAGTACGATCATAAATATGTTACTTGGAAAGACGAACCAGCTAAATAGAGTATTCTTTTAACCATACAATTGTTTAATTCTGCCTTCTTTTTTCTTTTTCATTTTTTATACATATATTAATACACATGATAAAATCTATTGTACAAAACTTTCTATGTCCTTTTGATTATTTGAATTTTTCTGCAACCAAATCTTCACCCAATTCTTCATAATCAGCTTTTGTGATAAACCAATTGTCCAAAGCAATCTTGGCGCTATTTGATTTTTCATCGGTATCGTTCAACATACTTGCTAAGTTACAAGCACCTAACCAAGCACCAAATTGTCGATCCCAAATTTCGGCATTTTCAGTGTTATTTGGTCGAATTTGTTGAACTGAGTAAGCGAATGGATAATTTGGGAAATATTTTTGGGTTAATGCTTTTAAATCATTTATAATATGATCAGGTAATCCATTAGCAGCAGATGTACCACCAGTGATTAAAACATTAGATAACAAGGATTTAAAAATTTCAATAAATCTATGGAATCGACTTGTCGATGTAGGATCATTGTTGTTATTTGGAGGTAATAAAGTAGCTTCTAAATTTTTTAATGCTAAAAAGACTAAATTGGTTAATCCATGAGATCCTGGTTTATCTATACTTGGTTCAGGAATTTGAATATTTGGCAATTTTTGTAAAGTTGGATCAAATAAATTATCCAAATAGTTTTTTTGATCAGAAACATCAATATAAGTGTGGTTGTACAGTTGATAATTTCTGATTTGGTAGTTCAACGACAAGTTTTTGAACTCTTGTAAAATATTGTGACTCATGTAATATTGTTTGAATGATTCTGAAGAACCACTTGCAAATTGTGCTGGTAATAAGTTATCAATTGAAGTCTTGCTTTGTAAATAATTCAAAACATGCAAATTAACAAAATCACCAGCATATTTTGAATGATAAGAACATTTCAGCTGGATAACACCATCTAAAATTGGAGTGACACTAGTAACACTAGACCCTATATCAATAACCAAACCGGTAGCTTTACCACAACGATACAATTGAGCTAATGGGTTTTTCACTAAACTGAAAATTGGAACTTCCAAGTTTTCAAAAGCAATTTGACACGATTTAACTTTATTCTTTGTGGTATTCCATGGTTGTTCAGTGACAACTAAGGGGAATTCTTTAGAATTAATCAGATTATTGTTATCAATATTATCATAAACATATTGCCAATTGTGTACAATGTTTTCAAAATCATATATTAACCCATTATCTAATAATTTAATAACTTCTTGATCATTGTTACTTTCCATTTGTTCATCACCTATTATGATTTGTTGTGTATGTTCATTTTTAATATAATTGGAGTTAAACACCAATGAAGGTAAATCTTCCAGAGAAAACCCTGCTTTGGTTGTATACGACCCATTATCAATAACAATAGCTGGTGCAGTATAAGTCATGTTTAACTTTTCTTCGATTAATACGTGTATTGCCCTGTAGTTGTTTTTGTTTTCAGTATAATTGACAACTTCTGCTTGTTATTTTTTTTTATTGAGTTTTTTTTTTTTTTCTCGCTCTTTTCTCTTTTTTTTTCCATTGTTGTTGTTAGTCGTGCGAATGTGTAAATTTTAAGAAACTTTTTTTTTCTGTTGGTTTGGAAAGCCTAGATCGTTTTGTAGGTTTATTAATCAACTCTCTTATAAATATCTATTAGTCTCATATTTGCCTTCTTGTTTTCTACTTCTTTCATATAAAACTACAAGATTAACCAACATGTTGAGAAGATTGAATACTTTAAAGAAGTTCAACAATATCAGAGTTCGTAACTTCAACTCAGCTACTGCACCAACCCCAACTTATCAAACATCGATTTTACCAAATGGATTAACTGTTGCCAGTGAATCCATGCCTGGAACTAGAACAGCAACCGTTGGAGTTTGGATTAATGCTGGTTCTAGAGCTGATAACCCTAAAAGTAGTGGTACTGCCCATTTCTTGGAACATTTGGCTTTCAAAGGAACCAAAAGAAGAACACAGCCAAATTTAGAATTGGAAATTGAAAATATTGGAAGTCAAATCAATGCTTATACATCAAGAGAAAATACTGTCTATTATACTAAATGTCTTGCAACTGATTTAAAACAAAACGTTGATATTTTAAGTGATTTGTTAACTAATTCAAAATTGGATCAAAGAGCCATTGAAAATGAAAGACATGTTATCTTACAAGAGAGTGATGAAGTTGATAAAATGTATGATGAAGTTGTATTTGACCATTTACATGCTGTTGCATTCAAAAAACAAGATTTGGGTAGAACTATTTTAGGACCAAGAAAAATGATCAAAACTATAAATCGTGAAGATTTAGTTAATTATATCACTACAAACTATAAAGGTGATAGAATGGCATTAGTTGGTGTTGGATGTGTTAATCACGATGAATTGGTTGAACTAGGAAATAAATATTTTGGAAATATTATTAAATCAGATAAACCATTCAATCAAAATGGAGATGTAATGCCTGTGTTTTATGGAGATGAAATTAGAATTCAAGATGATTTAATGCCAACTACTCATGTTGCCTTGGCTGTTGAAGGTGTCAGTTGGTCCGCTCCTGATTTTTTTGTTGCATCAGTAGCAAATGGTATTGTTGGTACTTGGGATAGATCTATTGGAACAGGATCAAGTTCACCATCCCCATTAGCTGTTACTGCAGCAACTGGTGGTGAAGGTAAAACTCCAATTGCAAATTCATACATGGCTTATACTACATCTTATGCAGATACCGGGTTATTGGGTGTTTATTTCACAGCTGACAAAAATGCTGATTTGAAATTACTTGTTTCTGCAATTCAAAAAGAATGGGGTAGATTAAGTAAAGGTGATATTAGTGAAGAAGAAGTTGAAAGATCAAAATCACAATTGAAAGCTTCTTTACTTTTAGCTTTAGATGATTCAACTGCTATTGCCGAAGATATTGGTAGACAAGTGGTAAACACGGGTTTCCGTTTATCACCAGAAGATGTTTTTGAAAGAGTTGAATCGATTACCAAAGAGGATGTTGTCAATTGGGCAAATTATAGATTAAAAGATAGACCTATAGCCTTAGCAGCTGTTGGTAATGTGAAAACATTGCCTCTGCACAAGGAAATCTCAGAAGGAATGTTCTTTTAAGAAACGTCACACATCTCATGTTACTCATGTATATAAGTATTTATTAATATAAATATTATCTATGATAATTACTCTTTTATGTTTTTGATAATTATTTCTTTCAATTTTTTACATTACATGGATTTCTGTGTCAAAATGTCAACTGCGCTAGTACCTGTTTCCGCATTATCTTCGTCGTTTTGTTCAGCCTCTACAGTGCCATCTTTGATCAATATCGACTCACTTGGTATTCTCTTCATTTTTTCAGCAACTGGGAACAATTTACCAATATTATCAATCCATCTTTTTCTCTTCTCTAATAATGCTCTTAAACCACTATTAATAGCTTGTTGTTGAGGAGTATTTGCATCTGTTTTCCTTTTCTTACCTTTACCCTTGAGTCTTTTCATATAAGACAGATCAACTTGCTTATCTAGATCTTCAAGAATAGCACAATATTCTTGATATGCAATATGTTCTTCAACTAAAGGAATCAATTTCTTACGATTTGCTCTGTTCCTACTGGTAACTTCCTTCAATTGTTTTTGTAACTTTCTAATTTCGGCACATACTTCATCATCTTCCTTATTTTTAATCCATTCATCATTATCAATAATGCTAACAGTTGATTTCTTGGAGGCACGTCCACCGGTTTGTTTAGCCTTTGGTTTCCCTTCTTCTCCTGTAGGTAAATTCATAAAGATACCAATATACTTCAATTCTCGTTTTAATCTTTCTTCAACTGATTGAAAATCATTTGCTTCTGTTACTACTTTATAGTCCTCCTCACTATTTAGCTGTGTGGCAACTTCATCTTCTGAAATAATTGATGGTTTGTTCTCATCTTTGACCTCTGTTTTTAAAGTACTATCTTTGCTTAGTTCGTCTTCATCATCACTAATACCTCCCTCTCTCGTACTTAAAATTGCGGACAATAATCTATTAGAGAGGGGACCGCATGAAATATCCTCCGTGTATAGTCTGTCTTCTGTCAAATCATCAATTGATCCCTTGGCTAGATAGGAGTCAGATGGAGATTGTTGATACCCAGGTGTATTTAATTTTGAAGACAAAGTGGAATCCTCTTCAGTCCATACATCTGCGTAAAATCTTCCTAATTTTGGAATCACAAACGGGGTAAGATCTGGATCATAACCTTGTTTTTCAAAACCTGGAGGAATGACATTCCGTTCATTAAGAAATTTGAGATCTTCATTCAGATAATGTCTGAAATATGATTCAATATATGATTGGAAAGTGGTGAATTGAACTTGGTTGGTAGGTGGTTTATTCTTGGAAAAATCAATATCTGGAATTTCCCCTGGTAATAATTCTTGTAAATCTCTTTCTGGATAAGATGCGACCCCATATTTCTTTTTCAAATAATCCTTTCCTTGTGTTTCTAACCCATTGTTATCTTCCGAAAACAATCCTAATTCCGCTATAGCAGAAGCGGATAATGTTTGTGGTTCCACGTACTCTGATTTTGGATTCTTCAATCTTGTATCGTTATCTTGTGTAAAATTTCCGGACTGGACAGGAGGTATTGGATCATCCTTTGAATTTAATCTCTCTTTCTCCTCTTGTTCCCCTTCTCTTTTGACTTCTGATGTAGATTCCTCTGATTTGAGCTTGATTTCACTTGATTCTTGAAGCAGTTCTGATTTGTCCGAAGAAACATCACTGTTGAGCTTACGTTTTTTAGCGATATTTATCGGCACATCATCATCCTCATCTTCATATTCATCTTTTGCACTCTCCTCTTTGTTGAATTCTTTGTCAGTTTCTATTTTAGGTGCTTCCAGAGTATCTGCCTCCATTTCATCTGCTGTACGTTTCTTGTCATTGATTTTATCCTTTGTATCAGCAGCATTATCGTCCTTCTTTTGTTTTTCTTTCAATATTTCAATTCGTTTCAACACGTCATCATCTATACCTTCAACGTCGTTCAACTGTTTCCATAGATTTTTTAATAATTTATTAAGATTTGTCAACGTATTGATATTTGGTATAGCTCTAATTGCATCACCCTCTAGCAACCCAACAGAAGAGTCATAACTTAACTTTAATTCAGTAACAATATCATCTAGAGTGGTGGAAACTAATGGAACGTCAGACATTGTGTATATGATGTTGTTATTTTAATTGATTGTTTCCGTACGGATATGACGTATTGTATTGATAATAAAATGATTGAATTTCGTTCTCTCGATTTGTTTTTTTTTTTTTTTTATTTTTTTTTTTTTTCCGTTTACTTCTTTTTCCATTGACACAAGTTTGGTTCTCGTATACACGCACACTATGGGGGATCAAGAATGATAATTATCAAATTTACAATTAAGGTGTATTTCATTTTAATAGAATATTTACACTTGAATGATCTATTTACAATAAACTAAACTAACAAAAAATGAATCATGGAGTGATTTCTTTGAGGTATGTTGCATCTTTGAAAGCCTCAGTGTCTGAAACTAATTTCTTTACAATCTCATGTCTTTTGGTTGGAGCATCTTCTGGTCGTTTCCAATGGTCTGGGAATTGTGGTGTTGATTTGTTAGAGAGTCTCTTCATATGGGATTTAGATAAAGGAATATCACTGAAATCTTCTTTTGATAAATCTTTAGCTTCAGTAAGTAATTTTGAAAAAGTTTCAACTAACCAGTTGACATTTTGAGCTGCTTCAGGGTATCTTTCACCCTTTAATCTAAATGTGTTTGTCTTATAATTGAACTTATCAGCTGCCAAGATCTTAAACTTGTGTTCTTGTTTAGCATCCAATTGTAAATCTTTTAAAGCAACTGTCAAAGTGACTTTTCTGTTATTTGGATTTGAAGTATCATTGGAAAAATCGGAGTTATAAGTCAATTTAAGTGGTGCTTCAGTTCTTGGTCTTGGTGTATATGGTTGACGATATTTGGCTAACAAAGGAATTTCATAAGCAGCAGTTCTGGTTAAGTTTTCAATTCTTCTTCTTTGATGAGGAACTTCACCAGAATTAATAACAAACTGAGCACTCAATTTTTGAGGTTTACCTCTTTCTTGCATTGGAGTATTGTTCATTAATCTTTCCTTGAAGTTTTCAATTTCAAATGCATAGTCTAATGGTGGTTTATCTTTAGATAATGATGAAATTGTTGATAAAATGGCAGTTCTTTCATCATCGGTAGGATTATAGGCATCTCCCATATATTCCTTTCTAATTTGATGCAATTCAAAAACTTGGTCAGCTGGTAATCCCTTCCACGCATGAGGATTAAGAAAAAGTGGTGTGCTTGCTGGAGTTTTAGTTTTACCAGCTTTAGCAGAGTATCCACGAACAATGGAAATAACTCTTGAACAGTTGGTCTTCATATTTTTCGTTGAGTTTGTTGTGATACTACTGAACAATGCTAACTGGTTTTGTCAAAGCCAATGAAATATAAAAAAAAGCGAAAGAAAAAAAAATTTTCCTCAGAATCATTTTTCATGGTTATTGGTTTGCGCACGTATGTTCATTTGGTACAGATTAACTCAATCAATAGTAATACAGATATACACACACAGTAATAATACAGAACTAACAATAGCAATTACTTTAATTACTTTTCTTGTTTAATCGTAGACTCCGTTTTTAATTTCTTTCGGGTAGATGATTCAGGCTCTGGCTGTGTCCTTTTATCACGTTGGGAATTCTCCTGTATGGTTTCATTATTCTTTTCCTGCTTTAACTTTGCTTCTTCTTTTATTTTAATCTCGTTATTGCTATTCACATTTTCATTTTCTTCTTTCTTCCTTTGTGGTTTGAAGAACAGTCCAATTGAATGTTGTTTCTTTGTTTCGATATTTTCAATCATCGCAATACCATTGTTACTAGTATTTCCAACTTCTTTGGTGACTTTGTATGCCTCTATATATTATCGTATGCTTGATTAGCAGTTGAATTTAGAGCATCACCAATTAAGGAATTGTTCCAAGATTTTTCTGGATTCAACCATTCAAACCATTCCTGTGAACCTGGTTTTATCAACATTGGTTTTCTTGTATGTAACCAAGATAAATCAAATTCATCTCCTTTTGCTGCTGGAGCAGTGATAATTGTAAATGTAGACAAATATTGATCCTTCACATTTGTATTTTCTGTATAATGGTAGTTGTGAGAATAAAACCCTGCTAGAAAACACAAAGGGGATGTCTTAGAATGAACAAAGTAGGGAATTTTGTTCTTATCTTCCTTTAACCATTCAAAGTACCCTTTAATTGGGATCACACATCTGTACTTCTTGGCTGAATTCCAGACTGACTTGTTCTGGTCTAATGATTCTCGTCGACAATTGAAATACTTGGCTTCATTCTTACCAATTTCTTGAGAATATTTTGCACCCTCGGTTTCTTTACCTTCTCTAACAGGAGTTGGATCATTTGGTTTTAACCATGATGGGACTAAACCAAATTTCAGTGGCTCCACCACGTATTTATAATCAAAACCTTTAGGCGCGTCCTCGGCTATAACAATCAAAGCAGTATTGGTTGGTGCTATGTTGTAAGATGGAGTCCATTGAGTTACTCTAGTCATATCTAATTGCACTCTCATATCATCTTCAGATCCTCGAATGTCAAAATCATAAGTTCTTTCCTCGGGTTCTGATACCTCAGCGGTCTCATTTGAATTGTTAAGCAAAACTGTCTTGCTAAACTCATTAGGTAATTCGTCTAATGCCTAAACATTTTAAAAGTTAGTCAATGTTATTAATTGAAAGATATTCAAATTTACCCCCAATTGGAATACATACTACGCCTAGTGCAAATCGTCCACACATATCGTCAAGTTTCAAGTTGTGTGGGTTTTAGTAAAGAAGAGCAAAGATAATCATCAGAAAACACGGAGTGCGGAGAAAGAGGAAATAGGAATGGAACAAAAAAAAAGAATGAACCATTATAATGTCGTAAATGAGACTCGGTTCATCGTACACTAAATAAGTGTAAATAAATTGCTACTGGTACGTAGTTGAATAGGTTAATCATATAATCGATTGAGTATATGATGTCAATTAGAATTTTTGTTGTGTAGAAATAGATCAATCTGTCTAATCATATATAATAGATTAAGAGACTTACAATCACAATACGCTAACTCCTAAATGTTGACGTGAAAGACTTCTAATTCTTAGTCAATTAACCAGGGCTCTGATACATGCTGACTCCATGAACTTGTCTCTGTGATCCACAAGTTGACAAGTGAAAAACCTGGTGATTTTGTTGATAGATTTATCACTTTCTATTGGTATCTAGAATATGATCTATTTTTTGTTCGGTCTGAATTGTTTTCCCATGATACCAGGACAATAATCAGAACGAGACCCATATTTCTACGTACACATTTTCATTTTGCAATATAAGTAGACAAAGAAGGTATTCATTGATTTTGAACTAGCGCATCTGACGTCACTGATTGAACTTGTACCAATCTAATTTTATTTTGTAACCCCCTCCCCCCTCTGCGCGTACAATAGGCAGATGAGTATGCACCTTGTCTCATAATTTCATTCCAATGAGCATACATTGACACTAGGGTTGAGTCAATCAACTAACATCAATTTTAGTTCATTTGATAAAAATCCAAAAATAAAACACTAATCAACAGTATTGTGTCACGTGTGCCGCTTCTATTGTTTATGGTTCTAAACAATTGAGTGGCCAAGAAATTTGTTCCAGCTTTCACCAAATTGAGAATGATACGCAAAACAACCAATGACAAACGACGAAGGACAATAAACTAAGGAGTTGTAGAGAGACCAATAATGAGTAATGAGTAATACGAGAAATACAGCTCGTCGTCAATTCAACATTCTTCTCCTTCAACTACGAACATTTTCACAAAAGAAACAAAATTCATTCCTTTATATTCCCCCCACGCTACAACACATCCTGAGCGTCTCCACCAAATAATGATAGAAAAAAAATATATCCATATAAATTGGAATCGTTTTTCCTTCAATTGAAATTCTAAAATCAAACCATTTATTATTATCGTTCATTGATAAGAAATACAACAATTGGTCACTGGTAGATCTTACTTTGATATTTATTGGTTTCAATTTGTTCCTTGGTTTTACTTGACTATAATTACGTTTCTATTTTAATTGATTGAAGACGCGTGTATTCCATCAAAACTACATTATCATGCCTGTGCCAACAAGTACTTTAATTAATTCTGACTCTGAGTTATCAACTGATGACCGTATGGAGCAGCAAAGAAGAATCTGGGAGCAAAGACATGCAGAAGAACAAGAAAGACGCAGACGCGCCGAACAACAAAGAATTGGTTCCCCTTTTAAACATCCATGGTGGCAGCCCTTTGGAGTAATAGGACCGGCCCCTAGATGCTTGAACGAATATTTAACTATGGAAATTTCAAACTCTATAAGATCCAAACCTAATTGGGAATCTAAATACAAGAATGAGGAGATTTGTCAGAAATGGATCAAAGAAATTAAAGATCAATGTAAAGACAAAACTAATTCTATCGATCAAATCATTGAATTCGTCTTTAAGGAATTAGAGTGGTATGAAAGGGTCGAGAGGGAATTGGGAGCTTTCAAAGTTGGGTGTGATGATAAGATTTTATATTCAGATGCCGCTATTTCTGAATCCTTGAAGAACGACTTTAAATCTGGTGTGGATAAATTGGTGGCTTCATTTAATGGTAATTTTGATTACCACCCGGGTTCTGATCAAGCAGTTGTTGATTTAGTCCATCCATCTTTGTTTGTTGTTCAGTATGATAAAACACCTGTCATCAGAAATGGAGTGCTTGAGGTTGTCAAGTATCACGAAGAAATTCAAAATGTAAAACCCGATGTTGATTGTTATGGTATTTCAGAGAAATTTCAGTGGTTGCCTGCATTAATGGCAAAAAACTCCTCGGGAAAATTTGAATTCGAATCATATATTAATAACTTGCACCCAGTTGAGCACAAGGACTTGTATGATTCAATTGATGCTATTTTCAATGCTGCTATCCCTGGATTAAACTGTACGTTGACAAGATATGCATCGAAAGAACATATACGTATTCCAATTCCAATAGGTAATGATGCCTATACAGAAGAATATATTAGAGCACACGAAGAGTTAGACCTCGAATTAGAACGTGAAGCTGAAGAAACTGGAGTTGATTATGATTGGGAGAGAATGGAAGAGTTTGAGGAAACTAAAGCACAATTCTTACGTGAAATCATCCCTAAATGGGAAGGTGATCCTGAATTTGATAAGCCAATTAACCTTTCTAACTTTGATAATTTGAAGGTGATTGTCAAGTTGGCTGATATTGAACTTACCCCAGAACGCCCTTCTTATCCAGGTGGATCTTGGCACGTCGAAGGTGCCATCAATGAAGATATTGTTGCTACTGTTTTGTACTATTATGATATTGAAAACATTTCTGAATCTAAGCTTTCTTTTAGAACTGGGTTTGAAGACCCTCAATATGAACAAGGTGACAATGTTTACACTGAAGTTATTTTTGGTCTTCATGACGAAGATATAATGGTTAAAGATATTGGCAATATTGAAGCTAAAGAAGATAGAATTGTTATTTTCCCAAACATGTTCCAACATCATGTTGATCCATTTGAACTAACCGACAAAACCAAGCCTGGTCGTAGAAGAATATTGTGTTTCTTCATAGTGGATCCATATAATGATAAGGTTCTTAGTTCTAAACAGGTGCCACCACAGAATAATGAATGGTGGAACGATGCTACATTAGATTACTTATTTCCTAACAATTTGAAAGAACGAATCTTAGACTTGAAGAACGGTGAAACTTGGCCAATGACTTTTGAACATGCTGCTATCGTTAGAGAAGCCTTGATGGAAGAAAGATCAGCACGTGAGTCTCTTGATGATGGATACAACGAGTCTGCCTTTATGAGAACATTTTCGTTATGTGAGCACTAGGGATTTAAAGGTTGTCCATTCCGTATGTATGTAGACCCCTTTTATTCCATTCCAAAAGTTGGTATATATATATATTAAAAATGATGTAGAGAGTGCAATAAGTAAAATAATATATTTCTAAAATTCAAGAGTCTGTTGGATAAGTAGAAGAGTACAGCCATCAGTCTCTGATTGCTACTGTTGGTACCAGACATGAACATTTGCAAGGTTTACCGTAATAAAAAAATAAACCGCAAGAGATCCGCGGAATGTGAATTTCTTTTTATTATTTTTTTCTTTTTTGATTTAACAGCAAAACGTCTTCATTTGAAATCTATTGTTCATGATAGTGTTATCAGTAACGGCTATAGAGTACATGGTCTGGTTCTGTCGTTAACTCATTGGGGACCGTCTTCTCTCTTTGATACATTGATTTGATAAACTAAAAGAAATCGAGACGCGTCCGTTTAAACTTGACGACGGACTTTAATGGTGATTGTGACACAAATCTATGTTCCATCCTTTTGAGTTAACACCGAGATCTTTAAAAATTTTATGAAAAAGTCCAAGCTCGTTCCATGTTTAATTTCTTCTTCGTTCACTTTCACTTCTTCTTCTTCTTCTTCTTCTGGAATAAGCTTCATAGCCTGTTTTTTACACAATACCAAAGTGATGACTGTTTTAGATTGGGGTTACAGAGCAAACATTAAGGTTCACCAAGCTGGTGATGATCATTCTGCTAACTTAAAGTTGAAGGATAATAATGGAACCGTTAAATTTAGTCAATTCATCAAACAAGATTTGAAGTTTTTAGATCCTTCCAAGAAATTATACTTGAATCCTTACTTGTTTAATGGATCTTTGCAAACTTTGTACTATACTTCCATGGATAGTTCCAATAAGTTTATGATTTATTATGGTAGAGAATTATTTACCTACAAAGATAATGGTATTTGTTCATTGGATTGGGTTATTCCAAAACCAAAGAATCCAGAACAATTTAAGAGACTTCAAAAGGAAACAATGCCTGAAGGTTTCCCTAGATTACACCCACGTTGTAGATATTTTGACAAAGAAGAATTATCTCAATTACACGAAGAAAATTTGGAAAATACTAAACCAGTTGTCGCTATTCTTCATGGTTTAGCTGGTGGAAGTCATGAATCATTGATTCGTAATTTTGCTGAACAAATTAACAAAAACACCAAAGATTGGGATGTTGTGGTTATTAATTCCCGTGGTTGTGCCAGAACCAAAATCACCAATGGAAAATTATTCACTGCTGGTTCTACTGATGATATTAGAGAAGTTTTGCAAACTTTCAAACAAAGATGGCCAAAGAGACCCATCTATTTAGTTGGGTTCTCATTTGGTGCCGCTTTAACTTCAAACTTTTTAGCCGAAGAAGGGGAAAAGGAAAATCCAACTAACTTGGTTAAAGCTGCTTGTACCATCTGTTGTCCATGGGATTTTGTTGATGGTGCTCACCATTTGCAAGAATCTTGGACTGGGAAGTATTTATTGAGTCCTGCTTTAGCTAAATTCTTGACCAAGCTTGTCACAAATAACTATAAAGAATTGAACAAATATATTCCTGATATTATTAACGAAAATACTTTGAAAACAATTGAAAATTCAAAGTCTCTTTGGGAATTTGATGACAATGTCACTTGTAAAACCACCCCATATAATAGTGCCTTTGAATATTATAAAGAATTGTCCCCAGTTAATAAGATTGATCACATCAAAACCCCACTTTTGGCATTGAATTCAACTGATGATCCTGCTGTCGGTGTCAAGTTACCAATCCTGCAAATGAAATCCAATCCTTACTTCTGTTTGGTTGAAACTGATTTGGGTGGTCATTTAGGTTATATTCAACAAAATGGTGAATTCTGGTGTGTAGAATTGGCTGAACAATTTTTCCAAAAATTCGAAGAATTAATAGAGTAGATAGTGATGATACATATACAAAGACCTTAATGAGATCAAATGTTTGAACACGTTTTACTACGTTGATTAGTCTTCTAGAATGTGGCATGGCTTAATTAAACTTCCTAAATGTTCCTTCTTTCTCCTTATTTCTCCGGACGAAGTAATAAAAAAAAATGGGGTGAGAATATAGAATTTGTTAAGTTTTTCCGAGACCATACAAAAAAAAGAAACTTTCTGGTTGATTCCCAGAAGACGGGCAAGTTTAAATTATTCCGAAATTCACCCGAAAGAAAAGCAATAAAAATACCATTCGATTATCATCAATAAGCCAATTAGATTGATAGAGTATACCACATCTCGGTTAGTGATAAGTGATGTCATAGCGTTTACTGTGCGTTTTTTTCTTTTATTTTCTTTTGGTAGTTTAGTTTGCTCTGGAGCACAATGTGGACAATCAGCACCGAACAATTGACTTATTGTTTGTGTCTTGCATTGTTGTTCGATTTCACGAATGATTCAAAAAAAAAAAATTTAAACTGGTTTCTTCTTTCTTTCAATAATAGTTCTTTTATATATATATATATTTTTTTCTAGAATATACCTATCTATGACTACTAGTGTTAATTTAAAATGTTTAATCATCATCTAAATCTTGCTTTGTTTGATATCAAATTAAAATCTCAACATAAAAATTTAATTTTAATCAAAGGTAATGATAGTGAGGTAGAAGCCGTGCCATTTGAAGGAAGTGTCAAATTGTCCTTGAATGAAGATATACATGTTAAAAAAATATCATTATGTTTAATGGGGGAATTTTACTATGAGTATCTGGATAAGATTACCCATGAACTGTTTATTGACAGATTGTGTGTATTAAAAGTTGATTGGAATAATTTGTTAACCGATGACAATGGTATTGTTGTTTTTGGGAATTATGGTGATAATACCATCCCAGTAAATAAGGTAAAGAATTTAAGAAGTGAACTTGGATCTGGTATTCATACACCTGGAAATCTTTCTCCTGGATTAACTGGATGTCCATCTTCGGGATATAATTCTGGTACTGCTACTCCAACAAGACCACCTGCTTTAAGAGCCAAATCAACTCCTATTTTCTTGAAAGAAAAAGACTTTTCCCAACCTTCAAAAATTTTAAATATCCCGAAAAGTGGGATTGATGGGACTCCATTCAAGAATATTCCAAATTCATCTAACAATTCGTTTTTATTACCAAAGGGTAATTATAGTTTGCCTTTTAAGGTCTTTCTCCCCACAAATGTTCCAGAAACAGTTGAGGGATTACCATTAGGAACAATTTTGTACAAATTACAATGCAATATTGAAAGAGGAAGATTTGAAAAGTCGGCAAGTTTAAATAAGCATATCAGGATTGTCAGAACCTTGCATCCCCACAACTTGAACTTGTGTGATTCTATTGACGTTGACAATACTTGGGTTGGGAAAGTGCAATATAATTTGTGTATGGCAAGAAAAGGTGTTCCCATTGGATCCTCGATCCCAATTGATGTTACTCTCGTACCAATAGTCAAAGGTATGAGTTTAAAAGCCATCCATGGTTGTATTGTTGAGCATTACCATGCAGAAGTTGGTACTGAAAGGTCTCCGGAATACGAAAGATTAATTGGTAAGCAAGAATTACAAATACCTAATACTGATGAGTTACCGTATGAGAAATGGCAATTTAGAACCCATTATAAAGTACCAGAAGATTTAAAAAAGATTTGTCAATCGTGTGAGATTAGAAGTGGAATGATTGTTGTCAAACACAGATTAAGACTCGGTATTCAATTGAGAAACCCTGGTGGTCATGTAAGTGAATTAAGAGCAAATTTACCTGTTTTTGTTTATATCAGTGCAAATTCAGGTCATGTTATTGGCAGACATTATGATGTTGACAATCATCATGGAACATTTCAATTGGATTACCAAAAGAAGGATTTGTTGTTTAAAAAAGATAAAGTCGACCACCCAATACCTAGTCCTTCTTTAGTAGAAACTGACCCTGAACACCGTAACGGTGAAGAAGACGAAGAAGAAAGTGATTCTGAAGAAGCTGTCGCCGACGGCGATGGTGATGGTGATGCTAATTTGGACCGTAATTTAGCTGCTCCTCCGCTATATGAAAAGCATGTTTTTGATAAAATTTATGATATGAATTTACCACAAACCCCATTGGAACAATTTAGATCACAACAAGCAACCCCATTACATTCAAATAGAAATTCCACTGCCGATGTATCCGGTTATTTTGATATTCCAATCTCCCAAGCATTAGAAAATAATTTAAAGAAGCACAGAGCACAAACTCCGATTTTTGATATCGATTATATGTCACATATTCCATCTTATACAGAAGCTATAGATGATGATGATGGAAGCGATCAACAAGATGATTTTGCTCCAGAGTATTCTGATAGTGGTAGTGAAAGTGCCTCTGGAGCCACCACTCCTATTAACATTAAGTTATCAAAAAACCAAAGTACTGGTCACTTTAGGTTCCCATTGAAAGGTAATTCTGCTCCTCATTTGAAAACAGGCTCTACAAGCAAGTTAGATAAGATGTCTATCGACTCGGCATCGTCTTCTCCGAGTTTTAAATCCAGATTTTCTCTTCATGGCAGAAAAAAGGACAAATAGATTAATAGATAGATAGATTTTTTGATTATCGTTTTAGTAACAAATACATATTCACTTTGTACATATTTCACGTGACTGACGCGAGTTTTGGATGGTAAGTGAAAAGAAAAATATTTTTGAAATCAAAACAAAGGACCAATTCTAGCAACACGGGGAGACAACAATATCGCAATGTTCATGAAAGATGCCTTTGAGAAATATTATGACAATGTTAATAAAAATATTGAACGTATGAAAAGGGAGAAGAAACTAATAGTTTCCTGTCGCCCCATGCAAACTACTTCACAAACACGACAACCATTGAGTAACATCACGTCACAATTCAATAAACAACCAACATCCAAAATAAACAAACCAGTCACATCCACACGTAAACTACTATCTCAGTTTGAAATTAAACCAAAGAGAAAAATTAGTATTAAGAAATATGACTTTAAGTTGTTAGAGAACCGAGGTTTCAATAATAAGTACACGAGAATTGAGAATGAATTTACAAAGAATAATAAAGATCCTTTGGTGAATGCATTTGTAGCAAAACTTGAAACTTTTATAAATTGGTTTAAATTAAATAGATTCCAGTATAAAGTTCAGGAGAAGGATGGTCAAGATAGTAAGGCAAATGTAATTAATGAAAATATTATAGAGAATACGATTAGGAGTAACTATATTCGTCCAGAATATAGTAAAGTATCAACACAAGCAACTCATAAGATACTTCAAGTTAATGAGTTAAGTGATTTCATGTATGTTGTTAAAGTTTGTAGTAGAAATGGTGAAGAGAAAATTGTCATGTTAATGAGTGTTGGTGATAATAAAGTGAAAGTCGATGATAGAATTAATCTTAAAGCTTTGTCTTATAAGATGGACTATAAAGGCAAACCTCTTGAAGTGTATATACGTTGGCAGTTGGTAATCTAATAGGATAGAGAATACATATATATTTATTGTTCAGATAATGATTATAAATATTTTCTAATGATTTATTGCCTGTTATCTCTCTTGTTCAACTTTTTTTTTTCTACAAGATTTGGTAAAAAGATGAAAGTAAAAAAGGGTATTGGTGCTACTCACTACTTTATTGAAACAATATAGTTAATGAAATAATAGCAATATATTATATATAACATATCACTCATAGTCTTACATGAATAGGTGTTGTAAAAAAAAAGTAGCTCAAATAAGAAATATATACGTATCATGCATAAAAGCACCAAAAAAATAAATTGCTAGCAGCAGGGATCGAACCTGCGATCGCTGCATTGCGTATTAGATACAAGTGCAGTGCCTTACCACTTGGCCATACCAGCTTTGTTATGTTTTGTTCACAATATGGTACCATTACCATCATATTTAAGAGTTGTCATAATCTTCTAGTCTTTGTCTACATGTATTTATTATTAAATTTCCCAAGATTAAAGTCCACAGAGTTATTTAACAAAAATATAAGAGTTATTAAATTATAATTATGGAAGAATATTGAGCCAATGACGAGAACTTCATAGAATATAATGGATTTTCACTTTGTCAGCCGAATCTTTTCCTACAACTTTGAAGTACTTTCAACTGCTTCGTAAAAAACAAGCCAATTTTGTAAACTGAGAGCATGGAAAATTATACCCTTACAAAAATACACAATTTGTGACTATATTTGTGCAATTGTATTGGCCATATTCATTCGATTAATACTCTAATCTTATTCTGATTACAGACACCACTTTTAAAACAATTATGAAATTCTTTAAATAAGCTGAAATTTGGCAAATGTTAGTTGCTTCTGTAGCTAAGTGGTTAAGGCGTCGCACTTGTAATTAAACAGAAATGCGAAGATCACAGGTTCAAATCCTGTCCGAAGCAATTGTTTTTATTTTTCCAATTTTGTATTAAATTTTTAAGAATATGTTATGCCGTAACTTACTAGACTTTTATATCACTATATATACTTGTCATCTGTAAATATGTCAATTGATGTTACTATCATGATCATCATTTTTTTTATAGCTCTTAACATTCATTAAATTATCCAATACTTTCAATGAACGAAGAAAAACCACAATACTCTGCCTGGTGCCTGGAAAACGGAGCACAAATTCCTTCTGAAAAGATATATGAAATATTCTTCAATTTAGGTGCAAAATTTGGATTTCAAGATGATAATGTCAATAACATGTTTGACCATTTTATGACGTTGTTAGATTCACGTGCTAGTAGAATGACTTGTCCCAATGCATTATTATCACTTCATTTGGATTATATTGGTGGGAAAAATTCCAATTTCAGAACATGGTTTTTTGCAGTACAATGGAATTTTGAACATGACTGGACACCGAAGAAGAGAAAGAAATGGAGAGTTGTTCCTGACTACCAGCTTTGGTTATTGAGATACCAAAATTGTACAGAGAATGATTTAATATATCAAATAGCATTATATTTGTTGATCTGGGGAGAAGCTAACAATGTCAGGTTTATGCCTGAATGTCTCTGTTTTATTTATCAATGTGCTTTGGATTATAATGGACCCAATCTCCCAAAATTTCATTTCCTTGATAAGATTATAACGCCAATTTACAATTTCATTCGTGATCAACTATACTGCCAAGTGGATAGCAAATGGAGACGAAAAGAAATAGATCATGCTAGGACAATAGGATACGACGATGTAAATCAACACTTTTGGAGTACCGAAGGGCTATACAAGTTGGCATTTGAAGACGGGAATAGACTATATCAACTTCCAAGATCGGAACGGTACCAAAAAATTAGTTTAATAGATTGGAAAAAGTCATTAAATAAAACATACCGTGAACGACGTACTTGGATTCATGTGTTGACTAATTTCAATAGAGTATGGATTATCCATGTCTCAGTGTTTTGGTATTTTATGTCCTTCAATTCACCGTCATTATACACACCAAATTATACACCGGAAAAGGATCCACAATTGCATATTAGATTAACTATTGTCGCAATTGGAGGGGTTATATCTGCTTTAATATCGTTAGGAGCATCAATAGCAGAATTCTTTTTTGTTCAAGGTTCATTCAAAAATATTTTATTATTGATAATTCTAACCGTGTTGAATTCTGGATCAATTGTATATAACCTTGGATTCTTAAAATGGGATGAATATTCATATCGTGGATCAATAATTTCCAGCATTCTGTTGTGTGTTTCAATTGTTACATTCTGTTATTTGGCAATGGTTTCACCTGGCAGTTTTAAAAGTGATTTTGCTAGCAATTTTCCCAAACTTAAACTTAGAAGTAGAATATTTTCAATTTTATTATGGATTGGTGTCTTTGCTGCAAAGTATTCCGAGTCTTACTTTTTTTTGGTGTTGTCGTTGAAAGACCCCATCCAAATCCTATCGACCATTGTGTTGAATTGCAATGGCAGCCATATATTTTGTCCGTTTCAACCTAAGATAACATTGGTCTTGTTCTATTTAACCGATTTGATATTGTTTTTCTTGGATACATATCTATGGTATGTCATTTGTAATTGTTTGTTTTCAGTGGGATTATCATTTTCGCTTGGAGTTTCAATTTTCACTCCATGGAGAAACATATTCTCTCGTTTACCAGATAGAATATTAACCAAGATTTACTATGGGGATTCAACTGACTTGATCTTGGTGATTGCTCAAATATGGAACAGTATAATTATCTCCATGTACAGAGAACATGTCCTCTCTGTGGAGCAAGTTTCTAAATTGATCTATCAACGAGGCATTGATGAGAACACAATCCGACCACCAATATTCTTTGTCTACGAAGATGATAACAAATTATATGACTTTATTAAAATTGAAAAAGAATGGGAAAGAAGAATCACTTTTTTTGCCCAATCACTATCGAGTCAATTACCCGAACCATTTCCAGTAGTTGCTACTCCTACGTTTACCGTGTTGATCCCGCATTATTCAGAGAAGATATTGTTAAGTTTACAAGATTTAATCAAGGAGCAAAGTTTCTCCAAACTAACGTTGTTGGATTATCTTAAGCAACTCCATCCATCAGAATGGGATTCTTTTGTCCAGGACAGCAAAATGATTCAAACTATAAAAGAAATGGATGAAGAAAAATTTATTCGTGATAATATCGATGATTTGCCATATTATTGTATTGGGTTTAAGGACTCTGCACCAGAAAACGTGTTAAGAACTAGAATTTGGGCAGCCTTGAGATGCCAAACACTTTATCGTACAGTTTCTGGATTTATGAATTATGAAACTGCTTTAAAATTGCTTTACAGAACAGAAGTCATTGGATTTGAACAAGATGAATTTCAAGAAGAGGAGTTGGATGAATTTGTTAAACGAAAATTCAACCTTTTAGTAGCCATGCAAAATTTTCAAAACTTCAGTCCAGATGCCAAAGAAGATGCGGATTCATTGTTTAGAGCATTTCCAAATATGAATGTAGCAATTTTAGAGTCTGTAAATGACCAGGAGTATTTTTCTACATTGTTGGATGTTTCACATAGGGGCCAGAATGGCGAGTACGCAAAGAAATATAGAATCAAACTTTCTGGTAATCCGATTTTAGGTGATGGTAAATCGGATAATCAAAATAATGCATTAATATTCTATCGTGGTGAATACATTCAAGTTATTGATTCAAACCAAGACAACTATATCGAAGAGTGCTTAAAAATTAAATCCTTATTAAATGAATTTGAAGAAATGAACTTAGATGTGAGCTATGGATATATCTCAGAACAACCAGATAGTAGTCCGGTAGCAATTGTGGGTGCAAGAGAGTTTATTTTTTCACAAAATATCGGTATTCTTGGTGATATTGCTGCTGGAAAGGAGCAAACTTTTGGTACTCTTTTTGCGAGAACTATGGGCGAGATTGGGTCAAAATTACACTATGGTCACCCTGATTTCCTTAATGGAATTTTTATGACAACAAGAGGAGGTATCTCCAAAGCTCAACGAGGCTTGCATTTAAACGAAGACATTTATGCTGGAATTACTGCCACTTGCCGAGGAGGAAGAATTAAACATTCAGATTACTACCAGTGTGGTAAGGGCAGAGATCTTGGATTCCAATCCATTGTTAATTTTACAAAGAAAATTGGATCAGGAATGGGTGAACAATTACTATCTAGAGAATATTACTATTTGGGTACCAAATTACCCATTGATAAATTTTTATCATTTTATTATGCTCATGCTGGATTTCATATCAATAACTTGTCAATAATGTTATCTGTCAAAATGTTTATGTTTTTACTTTCTAACCTTGGAGCATTGAAATATGGTACAGTAGAATGTAATGAAGACGACCCAGTACCAGGATGCCATAACTTGGTTCCGGTATTAAATTGGATAGACAGATTTGTTCTTTCAGTATTTGTATGCTTCTTCATTTCCTTTTTACCATTGATAATTCAAGAGTTCATTGAAAAGGGCTTAATAAAAGCAATCTTGCGGATCATATTGCATGTCGTTTCATTGTCACCATTTTTTGAAGTTTTCGTTTGTCAAGTTTATTCCCGAGCATTAAGAGATAATTTTGTATTTGGAGAAGCAAAATATATTGCTACGGGGAGAGGTTTTGCCATTTCAAGAGTTTCTTTTGCAACATTGTATTCTCGTTATGCAAGTTTGTCAATCTACTATGGAGGAGAAATATTTTTGGTAATATTATTTGCATCAATTACTATTTGGAGAAAATCATTACTCTGGTTTGTTATTACTATCATATCCTTGTGCTTAGCCCCTTTCATATTCAACCCCCATCAATTTAACTTTATTGATTTCTTCGTAGATTATCGCGATTACATAAGATGGTTATCTAGAGGCAACTCATCAATTAAAGAACTGTCTTGGGCTCACTATACTAAGAATAGAAGGGCAAGATTAACTGGAGAGAAGTTTAACGGTGGATACGTGCTGGGAAGAAATTCAGCTACTTTCAACTTGTTGTTAGGTGAGGTGGGTTCTCCATTGATAAACTTGATAATTTACCTAATTCCTTATTTGTTTCTTCATTCAGAGTCAAGGTTAACAAGCTTCAGTGTGAATAACCCACTACTAAAATTAGCAGCATTGGTTTTGGCTCCTTATGCTGAGAATGCAGTGGTACTTTTCCTAGTTTGGTTGATGTCATTGACATTAGCTCCACTTGCAGGTATATGGTGCAAGAAAGCACCGGCATTTTTTGCAGGATTTGCACATTTTTCCTCATTGATTCTTCATGTTGCAAACATTGAGGTTTTATTGTTCTTAGAGAATTGGAATGTTGTAAAGCTTTTATCTGCCTTGTTGGTTATGTTCAATTGTCATCGTGTGATTAGCAATCTTACGTTAATAATGATAGTTTCAAGAGAACGGACTGAGAATGTTAATCAAGCTTGGTGGTCAGGGAAATGGTACAAGAGTGGATTAGGAGTTCATGTACTTTCTCAAAATTTGCGAGAATTCATTGTCAAGATTCTTGAATTAAACAAGTTTACATTTGATTTCATAATGGGCCACTTTTTGTTGTTTGCCATGTCACCAGTTTTATTCATTCCCTATGTCGATTCATTGCATACAAGCATGCTTTTCTGGTTAAAACCAAGTCGCCAATTCTCACGACCAATTATCAACAGATCACAACGAAGACGACGCAATTGGCAAATTGTTAAATATTTCACTCTATTTGTTGGTATTCTTTGTGTATTTGCTACATTATTTGTAGCTCCACCTTTGTTGAAAGACAAGTTAAAGTTTTTAAAGAAATGGATAGGTTCATAGTCAACAATACGCAATTAGTACGAGAATTTTAGTTGGCATTTCAATGTAGGCGAAAGTATCGCGGGGGATTCGAAAAATAACGATTCCACAATTTTCATTTTTTTTTTTTCTTCTTCACTGTAAATTCTTACAGTATTATCAACAGTACTACAACTTCACTAATGTTCATACGAAGGCTCCACAAGTTCAGTTACAATCCACAATATAAGCTCAAATGTGGACTTGAAATTCACACTCAGTTGAAAACAAAGTATAAGCTCTTCTCTTTATCACCCACAAGTTATAATGAACCAGCAAATACAAAATTAAGTTACTTTGATGTGGGACTTCCTGGAACCCAACCAAAATTAAATCCCGAGGCTTTATTATTAGCATTAAGAGCATCAGTTGCATTTAATTCAGAGATCCAACCATATTCATCATTTGATAGGAAACATTATTTTTATCCTGACCAACCCTTGGGATATCAAATCACACAGCATTATTATCCGTTAGCAAAAAATGGATACTTGGAACTAAACAAGTATGACAATATTAAAGATAAGCGTATAAGATTGGAACAAATACAACTAGAGCAAGATACTGGGAAAACAGTAAACTATGATGATAGAATCAATGTGGATTATAACAGAGCAAATACACCATTGATTGAAGTTGTCACCAAGCCAGATTTCGAGAATATAGAACAAGTTCAAGCTTTTGTTAGGAAATATCAACTTATAGTGAGTCATTTGGATATTTGTACCGGAGAATTAGAAACGGGTGCTATGAGAGTTGATGCCAATATTAGTGTCAATGGTAATCCAAGAGTCGAGATCAAGAATTTGGGAAGTTCAGGAGAAATTGTTGATGCATTGCAATTTGAATACATGAGACAGGTTAGATTACTACAAAATGGTCAAGGAATTAATCAAGAAACACGTGGTTGGACTGGTGAAGGAACCGAATCCTTGAGAAGTAAAGAAAATGCCGTTGATTACAGATATGTTCCTGATTCAGAATTACCTGCCATCAGACTCGATCAACAAATAACTAAACAATTACAGAAGTCACTTCCAGAATTACCAGATACTATACTTGAAAGACTTATAAATAAACCTTATAATTTAGATTTAGCACACGCAAAGAATTTATTGTATCAACCAGAAGTCTTAAAGTATTATGAAACTATTTTTGCAAGCATTTCATCAAACGCTAATAAATGGTTCTTCCAAGAACTTCTAGCTGCATTTGCGAAAAGAGGAGTTGAATTTGATGTGGATATAGTACCACCATCAATGTTGGTTGATATCGTGAAAAAGGTCGAGACCGAGGAAATCTCATTGGCAGCAGCAAGAATTATTTTGAAATACATTGTTGAGAACAAGTCTACAAACACACTTGTTGAACTAGTTGAAATTCTTGATTTGAAAAAACCAGAAGCAAATGATGAATTGCAATTGGCAGTGAAAGAAATCTGTCAACAAATCATCAAAAACAATCCAGAAGTGGTTACCAAAATTGCCAATGGCCACAAAAACGCATTACAAGTGCTTATTGGGCAGGCAATGAAAGCTACAAAGGGTAAAGTCCACGCAAAAGATTTCAAAGAACAATTTATAGAATTACTAAAGTAAATAAGAATAATAATCAAATAGAAGAGAATACACATGTAAATATTTAGTTCAAATGTTTAGTTGTGAGGTTTCTGTTGGACCTCATACTTGTATGAGAAATGTTCGCTAGGCGAATCAACAGTTTCAAGGATTTCTCTCAATTGAACTTCAACGTCACCACCTTTAGCTGGTGATTGTTGAGGATCAGTTTTAACATCATCAAATCCAATGGCTTTAGTTTCATCCGTCATGATTTCTTGAAGCACATCACCAAATTGATTCTCAATGTCACGCATTGTAGATGCATTGGTAAAAGTAGTAATGCTACTGAATTGTGATTTATTAGTGTTGACCTTGGTTTGGGGCTGCATGGATGAAACTAAAGCTTGTTCGTTAACTGATGGATTCAGATCATTATTGAACTTTTTCCCAAATTTAATACCGACTTTACTAAGGGTAGTTTTATAGGTGTTGATTGCATCAGATCCCAATCCAAAAAGGAAAAATGCGATAATTGAAAGAATAGCATTAATCAACCTATCATACATAAAGACATAACCATCATCTGAAAAGTAGATATCTCCCCAATTCTCGTTATGATAATCACTCCAGTGGAAATCATGCTGCAGAATTATTGCTTGTGTGATACAGAAGTAAAGAGACAATGGCAACATTGCAAATATAATCAAGAAAGCAAAAATCAATAAACGGGCAAATCTTTTCATATTCAAACCAGAATTGGTGACAACAAGAATATCTTTGACATCTTGTCTTTTCTTAAAGAATGCAAGAACAGTCATACAAGCAAATATGAATGCTACTCCACTCCAAATTACTGGCCACATAGAAAATAAACCAATACTAGCATATGTTGTAGAGTAAACTCCCTTGCATCCTTGGTATTTCATAACCGCATATCTTCTAATCAAAATAATATGTTGAACAGCCATAACAAATATTGGAGTAATTAAACAAATAGCCAAATCAACTGCTTTCTTTTTCCATGATTTTTGGTCTAAGAAAAGTGGACGACGGGCTTCTAAAATCAAGTATAAATTCATAGCCAAACAAGCAATAGCACAACATTTACCTACTGTTGCCCCTGCATCTAATTTAACAATGATATCACACCAACCAATGCCATCCCAGGAAGTTATAAAGTTGTCACCACTCCAGATCATAGTATTGATAAATCCACTTAAATTAACGTACATTAACCAAATGATTAATATAATAGCTGGAATGTTAGCACACTTAATATGCCATGCAAGAGGTGGAACTAAAGCGATAAAGGCAATAAACAAAAGGGCACCCATGCCAGCAGCTGCAGCAATCATAATTATTTAGTTTATAATAGAAAGAGAAAGATAATGATAGTTGAAATAGAAAGAATCAAATATTCGACTGTAATTATATGTTTCTATAATTTTTTTGGTTTTTTCTTTTTGGGGATGTTAAAACTACAATCAAAGAGTTATATATAAATAAAACTAACTCGGCTGTTACTAGTCAGCCCTTTAATCAATAATTAACCTTTCATTCACTCTGTTTTGTGTGCTAGTATTGATTCCTTTGATATCCAAACTGGGTTGTTTTTTTGCAACTATCTTCAAAGCTACCTTCCATTTTCGTACTATTAAGGCAAACTATAGTCTGGAAAAAAAATATAATAAATATAATAAGGTAGCAAACCAGACCCACAAACCGTGTTACCTTGGTTGATTTGCTGAGATATAGAGATCAAGAGGATCAGTTATGAGCTTTTTAACTTGCTAAATTGTAAAAAATAAAAAACTTACTTATGGTTTATACTTTATTAAATTATTTATTAAACAACACCGATACATGATATAAAATTATCTTCGTTAACTTAAGCAATGACTGACTTTAAAACTTCATTTGAAGATACTACCCCAACAAATCTTTGTTCTAAATGTTTCAACAATTCAATAATCTTGTTCTTCAAGTCATCGTTTGCAAATTGTTTCAAAGTATCAATGTTTTCTTCTCTACCCAAGGTAGATTCGTTAGCCAATTTAATTCTTTCGGCTTCAGCTTTGAATACACCAGCAAAGATTTCAACAATCTTTTGAGTTTCATTGATGATTAATTCATTATTAGAACCGTACAATTTAATAATAACTTCAAAGATTGGTTTATTTTCTTTAAGACCAGTTTTCAATGGTAAGTGGGACAACAAGGCTGGAAGAACATGTTCCAATGGAACAGCTTGTTCGTGTTTCAAGATCATTCTAGAAACACAACCACAAGCATTGGCGTATGATCTGTTGACAACTTCTTGAGCTTCTTCATCATCAACGTTACTAGCTTGTTTATCAGCTTTGTTCAATAAATGGAACAACAATTCCAAAATGTGTGGATAAGTGGCAGAAAGATCAACAGAACTGTATTCAACAATTAAACCGATACCATAAGCAGCATTACCCTTGACTTCAATAGATTTGTCATTAGCAAGTTTATCAGTGAAAACTTGCAAAAGTTCTTCAGAGTATGGATTAGTTTCTTTCATACCTTCAACCATTTCAGCAATAGCACCAATAGAACCAACCTTCAAAGGTTTGGATTTACTGTTGAATTTAGCCAAGATAACGTCTTTGAATGAGCTGAAGATTTCAACAAAGTCACCCTTTAATGCAATAGACAAGTTAATCAAAACTTCTAAAGTAGCTTCGTTCAACAAAACCTCAGTTTCAGAGGAATCTTCTTCTTCTTGTGGCATTTCTTCATCTTCGATTTGACATGTATGCTCTTTCTTCAATAATGACATTAAAGTGGCACACAAGTTACGCAAAGCATCACTGCTGTTGGCATTGTCGATAATGAAAATAGAACCAAAAGTGTAAAGGGAAGTGGAGATACCATCCAAAATACAAGCAACCATACTGGATTCAAATTCTTCTTCCAAAAGAGGAACACTGATTTCTCTAAGTTTTTGAATCAATTGCAAGATGTTTGCATCAACATATGATTGAGTTGGAACACCAATTGGAGCTTTGAATCCTTCACCTTGCACGGCAACAAACATAGCTTTGGTGATTTTGAATAAACAACTCATGGCAGCATCTCTCATACCGTAAGAGTTTTCAACTTGTTCAGCCAAAACAGAGAATGAAGATTCAACATATTTGAAGAATTCTTTACCAGTACCAACAGCCAATTCACCCAAGGCAACAGAAGCGATTTCCTTTTCAATGGTGATACCGGTGTTAACCCTAAGTGGGTCAGCATCTTCATCTTCAGCATCTTCATTAAATTCAGCGGTTTCTGGATCAAAGTTGAAAGTGATTTCTTCTTGTTGCAAACATTCAAGAATCTTGGGAACAATTTGTTCCAAGAAACCAGCAAATTCAGCACCATAGACCTTGGCCATGTTAGCAATGAATGCAAAACCGGATTCTCTAATTCTAGAGTGTTCAGAACTCAATGAATTGTAAGCAGCTTCAACCAATGGTTTGGCATAAGCAGAAAATGTTTCAGAACCAACAGCTCTGGCCATAGTAGAAATATTTTCAAAGGTAGTAGCTCTTAATTCAACATCATCTTCAGTCAAACCTTCAACAGAAGCAGAGTTGGCAATAAATGGTTCCAATTGTTGAACAGAACCTTGGAAGTATGGGGTGAAAGCTTTACCACTAGCGAAAGCAGCTGAACCAATAGCAGAAACAATAGCAGTTTTTAAAGAAACAGAGTTGGCTTGACCCAACATGTGGAATAATTTGTGCATCAAAGGTTCAATGTATTTACCCATAGCTTCGTGACTCATGAATTCAATCAAACCATCCAAAGCATAGGTGGCATATTTGTAAACCATAACAGAGGAAGCAGAGTCAACAATTTCAATGATCAATGGCAACAATTGTTCGTGATAATCAGTGACAATATCTTGAAGTTCAGAAGTCAATTGGGTCAAAGTTCTCAAAGCAGCGACCTTAACAATGAGTTCAGGATCTTTCAAACCATTGACAAGGGCTGGAATAATCTTTTGGATTTGGAGGGAAATGTAGTCTGGGGCACCAGCAGAACAAACACCGATGGCCAACAAACCAGCTCTTCTTTCAAATTGATTAGAAGAAACCAACATTTGAGGTAAAGCTTCAAACAATGGAGTGACAACTTGTGATGGTGGTAATTCCCCAGCCAAGACAGCCAATAATCTCAAAGCCAAAGAAGGTGGACTGTTTTCTTCATTTTCATTTTCTTCATCTTCGTTTTCCAATTCATCTTCAACATCGATTTCACCAGAAGCAACTTTCAATGCAACTAAAGTGATTTGTGGACCCAATTTGTTAGAAGAGATCTTGGATTTTCTGTAACTGATACAGGAAATCAAGAATTGTAAACCAAAAACTCTGTATTCTTCATCCAATTGATTGTTGGTAACCATTTCGGAGATAATTTGAACCATGGAAATTAAGTGATCACCAACCAATTTTGTATCAACAAGGACCAAACTATTGAAGACATTGAAAACCTTTTTAGCCAGGTCAATGTCATCACCACTAATGACTTCCTTGAAAACTTCAATCATGCTTGGAATAGTTGATCTGAAATTGTCTGCTAATTTCATGGCACCATCTTGATCTTCTTCAATAATTTGAGCAAGAACATCCAATGAAGTGATGGAATTGATTCTAACTTCTTTAGAAGAAGCATCACGTAATAAAGTACCGAATAATGCCAACAAATCAGCAATGTGTGGGATAATACCAACTGATTGGGATTCCAATAAGGTGAATAAAATAAAAGTGGCAACTTCTCTAGTTTGGACATCAGTGCTTTGAACAGCAGTAAACAAAGTTGGCAAAAGATCTTGCCATTCTTGGTTTTCTAAGTCAGTGTCTGCAATGGCAGCAATAAGGTATGCAGACAAATTTCTAAGACGTTTATTTTGTTCAGCAAAAGTGGCTTTCAATAAGGATTCTCTAATAGTTGGTTTCAAGGAAGCGTCAACATCCTTCCATTTATCTAAAGACAATTTTCTAGCTTCGACCAAGGCTAATTGTTTTAATTCATCTTGGGCAGTGGTTTGGTAGATTTGAAGTAAAGCTGGAAGGGTAGCTGGGTTTGGGTAAAATTCCTTAACCAACTTGTTAGAAGCTTGTTTAATAACAGCAGAGTCTGGGACTAAACTCTGTTTCAAAGTTTCCTCCAATGAAGATACGAATTGGGCATCCATTATTGAATAAATAATCAAGAAAGGAGGTTTTTTGTATTTGTAAAATCAAATATCCTAAAAATAAAGAATAAAAGAAAGGGAAATTGAAAAGTGGAAAAAAAAAAAAAAAATCAAAAAATGAGATGATGATGATTTACTCTATTTTATTTTTGTTTTATTTTCTGGAAAAAAAAAAAACAAAACATAAAAAAATTTTTCTGTTTGTTAGTTACATAGTTTGTTGCGTTGCTTTGTGATCTTCGCACGATGCCATACCAATGACAATCATTACTACGGTGAATCGGTTGGAGTGACGATGCAAGAAATGTCACGATTCGTCGTCTATTAATTCTATTAAATTTAATCACATTATATCGTTAATGTTCATTGGCATCTCTCTGATCTTGGTAGAATAGTGCCTTTCGAGTTCTTTTAGCGTAGACACATCGTCTTTAGTTATGAGATTGATAGCAGTCCCTTTTCTTCCAAATCTACCGGATCTTCCTATTCTGTGGATATAATTCTCCTTGTCTGTTGGCAAATCGTAATTGATAACCAAAGACACTTGTTGAACATCGATACCTCTAGCCCAAACATCAGTAGAAATCAACACTCTTGAGTTACCGGTTCTAAAATCGTTCATAATAGACTCTCGTTCATCTTGCTTCATATCTCCATGCATTGACACAACAGTAAAATTTTGTTTTCTCATTTGGTCGGTCAACCAATTAACTTTCAACTTTGTATTACAAAAAATCACAGCCTGAGTAATTGTAAGATTATCATACAAATCACACAAAGTGTCAAATTTCCAATCTTCCTGTTCACATTGCACATAGTACTGCTTAATACCCAGAAGGGATATTTCATCTTGCTTAACCAAAATTTTCACAGGATCAGTGGTAAATTTACTTGTCATTTCCAAAACCTCTCTTGATAAAGTAGCACTTACAACAACAACCTGAACGGCAGGTGGTAAGTGCTTGTAAATTTCATAAATTTGTTCTTTAAAACCTTTAGTAAACAATTCATCTGCTTCATCTAAAATCAAGACTTTGATATTTCTAGTTTGCAAATTTCTTCTTTTGATAACATCAAGAACTCTTCCCGGTGTTCCACTGACAATTTGTTGTCCCTGTTGCAATTTCTTTACATCGTCACCCACATTTTTACCTCCAATACATGCATGTGTATGAATATTCATATAATCTCCGAGATGTTTCACGACATTTTGAATCTGGGTTGCCAATTCTCTAGTTGGGGATAAAATCAATGCTTGACACTCCTTTGATTTTGTATCAATAACTTCAAGCATACCAATGGAAAAAGTAGCTGTTTTCCCAGTACCCGATTGAGCTTGTGCTATTGTATCTTTCCCACTTATAATTTGCATAATAGCTCTCGATTGAATTGCAGAAGGGGCTTCAAAACCATAAGCATAAATACCTTTTAAAAGTTCTGGTTTTAATTTCATACTTTCAAAAGTACGATGTACCTTAATTCCTTTGGTGGATTTATGACTAAATTCTAACTCGTTATCAAGTTCTCTATCAAATTCATCCATCGTGTTTCAATATTTAGTGTTGGAGATATATGTATATAGTAGTATCATTAAATCATTACTTTTGTAGAATTTTTTAATTTTTTTTTTCTTCTTAGTGTCTTGTCATCGGAGAGTATACCGCGAACCCACGATGAGCACCCTTTACTTTTTTATTTTCCCCCTTCTCATTTCAACTGAACTTGGAAGGCATTACTTTTAACAACCTACATCTTCATTCCATTCACCAACATGTCTCCAATTGAATCTACCACATCTACTAATAAATCCATTATTATATTACTTGGTGGTGGTCATGCATCAGGAAAGAAAACCACAGCATTATCATTACAAGAAGAACTTCTATCGAGTGTTCCTCAAGGGATTGTTGACGTCAAAGTAATTGACATGAACCATTATAAAGATGATGGTAAAACTTCAATTGATTCAAGTCAATTTTGCAGCTCCAAATCTGCTGCTATTACAGTTAGCAATGATTGTGAACAATATCCTCGTCTTAAACCTTCTCGTTTTAAATTTGACAAATTGAAAGCTGATCTTTTAGCTGATGTGGAATCAAAGATTGGTGAACCACAGAAAATTTTAATTGTTCATGGATTGTATGCTTTATATGACAAAGAAATTAGAAATATGTCACATATCAAAGTGTTTATAGATAGTGATCCAGATACAAGATTAATTCGTTGGATTAGAAGAGATGTTTTAAATGATCAAGTTGATTCTCTAGAAGGTGTCATTAATGCTTATTTACTTGGTGCTAGATCAGAAATGAGTGATTTCATCTTTCCAACTAAAGAATTTGCTGATGTTATTATGCCTCGTGGTGCAGAACCAAATGCAGTTAGATTAGTTATTGATGGTATTAAATTGTATGTGAATGATAAACACGTTCATAATGAAAAACTACACTTGCCAGAAAACTATTTACGTCCAAACGAAGTTAGTAATTTTAGAAAAGAAAGATTCGATGTTCAAAAGAACAAGTTTTACGAACTTAACTAATGCACGAATTATTTTATTATATTGCAATATATCTTTATCTATTTTACACGAATACACCGGTTTTATATACGTATATATATTCTGGTTCTGTAGACACTGGGCTTACAATACAAAATCACCGTTTCTGATAATTTCACTAATTGGATCATTTTCAACACTGTAATTATCACCCATATTTACCAATTGGTCAGCTGCAATCAACTCTCTTAATTTCTTATCATGAGCATACCACGTTTTAATCAAGTATACCATTTCATTTATTTTCAAATCACTAGTGAACCCTGGATATACTTCAAAAGTGTTATGTTCAATAAATGATTTAATAACATAATAGAGTCTTTCATAACTGACACCAGACTTTCTAAATAAATCAATAATAAAACCCTTTGGTGGTGTTTGAGTAGCTGGATTTTCATCAATAGCTTCATGGAGATGCTTACTGACAAGTTTGATTAATTCATCAACAGGGAATACCAAATCATTGGATGATAATTTTGATCCACATGGTACAAATTGTTCACTTAACAAGATATAAAATGGCTCGCTTTTGGCAGATTTCTCCACCATGAATTCATGGAAGATCTTTTCACAAAACAATTCCCATCTTTTCAATATGTCATCAGTATTCTTATAATCAGAGATCTTGAAAATCAACAATGAAAGATCGTAATAACCCAATGGATCAGTGTAATTATTAAATAAATCACTAATTGATAAAATTTTGAAGTTCAAAGCGTCTGTGGCAATTTGTTTGTTCTCTTTTGATATTCTGGAATCATTGTTTATTCTGGACAAAACATCCAATTGCAAGTTTGACACCTCAAATAACTCTTGAATAACAGATGAAAGTTGGATCATCTTTTGTCTTAAATTTGGTGGACAAACACAATTACAGAAACCATTTGCCCTTGAAAGATACTCAATTCTCTGGCTCAATTCGAGATTGAATTGAGAAATTGACAAGGCGTACAAGATCTTGGCAGCATCAAAATAGTTTTCCCTCTTTGCATGATATAACCAGAGCAAGTCACTTAATGCTAAATTGTTTTCTGATTTTTCTTCCAAATATGGTAAAATAAATGGTGTATTGATATCCAAAAGTCTTTCACTAACACCTTGCTGAATGAACCAATCATAAAAAGCATACTGGAAATCCTTGGCGCTGGAAGCAAAACAGGTATCATAAGCAGCATCTCTAAGCTCTAAAAATTCGTTGATCAACAATTGATTGTTTGTGTCAGTGATCTTGAGGGCTTTCAAGTCCATTTTAGTCAAGATGTTGAAGATTAAATCATACAAGTTCTTCTTTTTTGTTTCAAATTCAGCGACATCCTTCTTCAAAACAGCATTGTCAATTACTTGGTTTAAAGTGAGGGCTGGAACTTTAATGCTATTGCTCAACTTTTGTGCAATGTTAAGCAACATTCCCACAGCACCAGCATAAAACTCAAGATCCAACATGATATTAATACAATTCTCAATATTCTCCAATGTCAATGATTCATAAGCTTCTTCAAACAATAATACGGCATTCTTTAAGCATTTTGTTCTTAAATCAGTATCTCTTGTACCAATATTTTTAGCTTTGGTTAAATTCTCAATTGCTTTGAAAATGAATACATCATTTGCTGAACAAAAAGATCCACATCTAGTTTGTAAAGAAGAAGCAATCAAGTCAATGGAACCCCCTTTCAAAATATTCTTGTTGATAATTGAGGATAACAAATCTTTAATCAAATTCTTGACATCTCTATTAGGCAATAACAAATCTTTAAATCTGATAGTCAAAAGGTTTACTTGGTTTGTTAAGGACAAGAATTCAAAAATTTCTTTAAAGTTCGTATGATTGATTTGAATTTCTTCAATCAAAACCATCAAAAAGGAAAGTGCCTCCTTCATAGAATTCAATGACTTGATAATGGATGAAAATGCAATATGTTCAGCACGCAAGCAAACTTCACTTTCAAATTGGTTTGGATCAGAACTGTAATTTGGTGCATTCAACCCTTGGATGTTGCTACCATTCTCCATAAAGAAATCAATCAAAACAATTATTGACCCAATGAAAAATTCTACTTGCTTTTTATCAATATTCAATCCTTGGATAAGTAATTTGCTTTCTTTGATACTGGCAATTTCGACATCTCCACTTGGAGTCATGACAATATTCTTCAATGGACTGAACACCTTTTTTTGCCAAATATCACGAAGAAGTCTGGAAACTAACAAACAGGTACCATAGAATCTGTCACTTAGCACGACCTGATCAACAGTAGGATGAATAGGAGATGCAACATTAACCTGGTAATGAGGAATTAATGCCAGCAGAGACAGTTGAGTGGTATCATTAAATCTGGCACCATTACCACATGTGGAGAACAAGATTTGAGCCTTTCGCTTGTAAATATCATTGGTACTATATTGACCATATGAACAAGCCAAGTATAACAATGTTGAGCAAGTTTCTTCATAGCCATTTTCTTCAATAAAGTTTTCAATGACTTCATCTTTCAATGATTTTAAAATTTGATCAGGTGTTCTAAACTGGTAAATAGTAATACCAAAGTTGGTTAAGATAGCAAACTTCAATGGTTCCTTGGTGTATTGACTTGCAGCAATATTAGCATATCCATTTGGTGTATTTGTAGCATTCATTGAAGGTGTTAGTTGTACAATATCATGAATGTATGTGAATGGTGAGTCCTCATTGGAAACGTAGTTTACAAATTCAGCGTCTTCGACTAATTTATTGTTTTTCTTTAAATAACCATAATTAGCGGTGGCAATAAACAATTTATCCGATCTTTTGGTTTTCTTAACACAAAGGAAAACACCTGGGCTGATGATTTTAGCAAACTTTGAATTCTTAAGTAATAGTGACTTTTGTTGATTGGCAATAAGTTGAGACATATATTGTCTGTCTCTTGAGAAACTATCAAGTTCGGTATTGATCTTTGGTACTTCCCTAGTAGGTGGGAACTTGATATTCACAAGATTCAAGTTTAATGCATGTGAACTTGCAAATGAAGATGTGAGTAATGAACTGAAAGTTGAAGTGGTGCCCAATTTAAGTAAAATTCTGCAACCATTACTAGTCACAGCTATCAACTGAATGGAGCTTGACTCCTCTTGAGAAATTTTAGTAATATTTATAATCTTAAATCTTTCAAAAACTTTGAAATTGCTTGTATCCACAAACGCAGACGAGGCAGATTTAAAAATTTGGTTTGGAGTTAAAGTACTCCCTTCAGTAAGGTGTTCTTGTTTAGGCTGAAGTCTATAAACCCTGATGACGGATCTATTGGAAAGCGAATATAAAATGTTTCTTTCACCGTCAATTTCTAATTGAGTAATACATTCAGGAGTATTTGCTGTTGAATTGTCGGTACCAGAAGTGTTGCTGGAAAAACCAAATCCGGTAAGTTTATTTGGAAGAACACTTGATAATCCACCTTTTGTTAAACAGACTTTATCGCATCTATTCTTAATAAAACTAGATTTGTTTGAATAATCTAAACGCCAAATATTTATCCCGTCACTTTCTCCGCTAAAGTAAATATCATTAGTTTTTGGGTTTACCACAAAGTTGTTAACAACCAATCCTTGAGTAGAAACAGATAAATCAGGGTTGAAAATCTCCAAATTATTCATTGCATTGTCGTATTTGACAATATAGATATGAATATCAACAGTGGTAGAGACCAAAAGTAAATAATTGACTTCATCAGTAAATACACCCTTTTTTGGTTTGACTAATTTGACGGCTAAAATACTGTGTCTGATTTGATCGATAGTTAAAAACTGAGATGCTTGGTTAAATGAAGATTGAGGAAGTTTATAATTCCACAATATAAGTTTGTTGTCAATAGCAATCCATGTTCTGTCTATTTCAGGGAATAATCCTATCTTGGTGATGCAATCAGTTGAATTGTATTCTTCAAAAAATCTATCAGGCAAATCTAATTGTTGCACTTTTTCAAAACGGGAAAAATCTTTCAATCCATTTTCATAATCAAAATAGTAATTGTCCAATCCTGACTCATTCTTACTAACTGTTTCGGAATAAAAAATATCATGGGGTATAGTTGAATCAATCCTGCTCAAATCCGATATGAACTTAGATCCCAATTGTAATGGAGGTAAGTTGGCAAAATCAGGAACATTTATCTTATAGTTGGATTCTTTAACATCCAATCCAACTGGCTGAACAAATCTTCTCGACAATTGGCCCCTTGAAGAACTTGTTGATTTGTCTTGATGAAGTTGCAACGAATCAACAACAACATCTTCTTTTAATTTCAAAGTAGGTGAAATGTATTTGGAAGTAGTTGAACTTGGTTTGTTGTTCAACGCAAACCCAGGTACTTGTACAACCATCACTTATAAATCGAATTATTATATGGATGGTTTAATGATGGTTGATTTTTTTTTTTGTTTTTGTTAAATAAAAACAATGATTGTATTTGAATATGGTTGTTGTTGTTGTGATGATGGGATTTTCTTCAATTTTTTTTTTTTTTTCGTTCTTTCCTTCGACTGTTTACAGTAAAATGAAAAATGAGCAACGAAGTAAAACACAAGCAAAAGAGATGAAGCTATTCTCACGATACACACGACCTATCTCATTTGTCATTTTTAATTCTTTTTTGGCGGTACCAATACGGCATCAATGGTTCTCACGAAATCTCAACAATTTTGCCCCACAGTGAATATAGTATAAAATTGGTCTGACCTTTTCTTCTTAACCACAAACTCCCTCCTACTACAAACAAAATTAATCACGATTATGAAGGTCATTGTTGCTTTAAGTACACTTGCTTGTGTAGCCAATGCCTTTCCTTGGAATTTTCCTGAAATGACAGCCAATGCCATTACTTTCTTTGATTCTTCTTTTCTGAAAGGAAATGATGATAGTCAAAGTAGAGTAATTAAATTGGGACCTGATGAATACAAAATTGTTTCTGAAAATGAAAAATTAAACTTGAAGAGAAACAACATTAACTTCATTGATGTTACCAATCAAATTCCAATTGAAGTTGCCTTTGAACAAGGATTGGTTGAAAAAGCCGGTGCTCCTTCTTCTCTTTGGCGTAAATTGCAATTGATTGGTTCGAAGCAAATCACCACCTTAAAGAAAACTCCACCTGTTTACAATTATCCAAAATCACCAAATTTCAATAAAGAAATTACAAGCATCTATAAGAACATTGATATCGACTTGGTTAGAGAGAACTTGGAAAAATTTAGTTCATTTTATACCAGATATTACAAATCTGAATCTGGTGAACAAAGTGCCAATTGGTTACATTCAACTCTTACCAATATTACTGCTCCTGTCAAAGAAAATGTCACAATCACCAAAATTCATCATGATGGATGGGATCAATACTCCATTATTGTTTCAATCCCAGGTGAAGTCACTGATAAAGTCGTTGTTGGCGCACATCAAGATTCAATCAACTTGCTCTTGCCTAATTTGATGAGAGCACCAGGTGCTGATGATGATAGATCTGGTACTGTAACTACTTTAGAAGCTTTCCGTTTGATCATTGAAGCATACAATAAGGGTACATTTAAACCATACAATACTTTAGAGTTCCATTGGTATTCTGCAGAAGAAGGTGGTTTGTTAGGTTCAGTTGATGTATTCCTGAGATATTCTGCCAAGAATGAAGTTGTTGTTGCAATGTTACAACAAGATATGACTGGTTATACTCAAGGTTCAATTGACCAAGAGGTTGAACCTCATTTTGGGTTGATTACAGATTATACTAGTGTCCATTTGAATGATTTCTTGAAAATGATTATCAAGGCTTATAATTCAATCCCATATCATGAAAGTGTTTGTTCTTACGCTTGTCTGGATCATGCAAGTGCTTTGGAAAATGGTTACCCATCTGCTTTTATTATTGAAAGTGAAATGAAGTATACCAACAAGTATATTCACTCCGTACTTGATACTGTCGATAGATTAGATTTTGACCACATTAACGAACATATTAAGTTGACTATTGCTTATGCTTATGAATTGAGTTTAGCAACCAGTTTGCATTAAGTAGAGTAACATATATATATATATATGTGTGTGTCGTCTAGAAATATAAAGTAGTAGCGTATAACCACCTTTTGAGAATATACCTTCCTAGTGTAATGGCACATTGTAGTTTTCAGTTAAAATTATAGATTTGCTTATCTTTGGTAAACCGGTATGAGCTCCGTGATCATGATCTTTCTCCCTTTTTGCATATTTTTTTAGAGACGTAGCTGCTTTGACGGGATATATATTACCAGAATTAAAACGAAATCTACTATTAATAGTGATATTGTTTTGTTAAACTATCATAAAGTTGTTTGCAAGATGATACTACCATATATTTCAGTTTTATGCTTTGCATAGTTGATGCCAATTCTTATGTGAACTGGTTCTAGTGATAAAATATCTATTTCCAATGATCCTATCAGGTTGGTCAAGTTGTCATCCACTGAATATAAACTAGCTTCTGAAAGTTAGTTGCTTGAATTAAAGAGAATTGACATAAACTTTTTAGATATAACTGGAGATTCTAGTAGTTCAGAAACCACCATTTCGAATCACCAACCGGAAAAAGTCAATTGCTGTCTATAATTATCCAACAACTGCAAAATAGAGGAAGATAGTCACAAAGATCTTCAAACGAATTAATATTGATAAATTGATGGCAAAACTATCCAAAGTTTTGTCATTTTATACTAGATATTGTAAATCCAAGTTTGTTGTCGACAGTGCCAAATTGATTATACAATCAAGTAAAAGGTATTACTTCATCAGTTAAAGATAATATGATCGTGAATAAATTCAATCACAAAGGATGGAACCAATACTCCAATATTGCTAGAAATCCAGGTCAGGTTGATGACAAAGTAGTTGTTGGGACACACCGGGATTCTGTTAATTTAAACCTTCCAATGGATTTGCCTTCTCCCGGTGCATATGACGATACTTCTGGTTCAATTACTATATTGGAAGCTTACAACTTGATTTTTGATCAAATAAAAAGAGAAAACTTTACACCATATAATACTCTAGAATTCCATTGGTATTCTGCTGAAGAAATTGGACTTCTAGAATCCCATGAAATTTATAATCACTATGCTAATATTAATACATTGGTTACTGGAATGTTTCAACAGGATATGTCAGGATTTACGAGGGGTACAATTGATTCTAGTAGTGAAATCCATTTTGGTATGGCTACGGACTTTGTATCACCAGAATTGACTAAATTTGTCCAGTTGATTATCGATACCTATACTGATATTCCTTATAGAACTGATGAATTTGGATATATTACAAGTGATCATGGATCGGCAAATAAAAGTGGTTACCCTAGTGCTTTTATGATGGAAGCACTTCCCCAAAGTTTGAAAGCCAAAGATAACTAGGGTCATTCTGAAAGTGACACAATGGACTTGATTGATTTGAACCATGTCCAAGACCACACCAAGGTTTCCATCGGGTATGCATAAGAATTAAGCTTAGTTCAGAATCGGTATTAGGTATTTCTATTTATATAGACTATAATATACAAAATCTAGAATAAATTATTATTGACACAAATATGAATCAAAATACTCTATGGAGAAGCTTCTTCACCATCTTTCTTACCAAAACGAGCAACGTCAAAATTTTTTTGAATTAATTGAAGTTCACTACGAACCTTATGAGTTTCAGGATCTTCAACTTTTCTAACTGCTAAGTTGGCATCGACATGTAAAACATTACCAACTCTTAAAGACTTTTCCAATCTTTCAAGTTGGGTGAAAGCAGCAATACGGTACCAATTAGTGACTTGCTCTTGTGTTTCCTTATTGTAACGATTAACTGCAAGAGAATAAGTGACATATTTGGTACCATTTTCGGATTCTCTAAATTCAAAATTACCAACAGTACCAAGCAATTGAGTTCTGGCAAAGTCTCTTTTGACAACAGTTGATGAAAAGGAACGAGCAAATGATCTTAACATTTTGGGGTATCTTAATTGATTAATTGATTAAAAATTAAAAGTGGCAATAAAAGAAAGAAAGTAAACAACTGATATCTGTCACTATTGTTTTTTTTTTTTATGATTGTTTGTTTTTCTTGCATGATTTTCCCAGGTTTTTATTTCTCGTTTTCTTTTTTTTTTTCACTTTATTTGAAACGCGTGGCCGTGGTACAGGAATAAACAAAACAAAATAAAAGTGGAACCAAAAACTTATTTGAAACAATCAACCAGCCTTCTTAAATTCCATATTGGGGAAAACAAGGTCACACTGAGATCTAGATTTGAACTTTTTATTGGGTCGTGTGAGACTTGTAGTAGGTGAGTTTAAAAGAGAATGTTTGCGAGGATTGGATTTGGCAATGGGAGAATAAGAACAAAGTCTGGTAACTGGCACACTACTCGCGTCACGTGCCAATTGGATCAGATCAACTATACTTGAGTTTTCGATTCCTCTTGAATGAGGTAATATCAGATTGGACGTAAGAATACTCTGAAAACTATCATCTTGCAAGACTGAACTACTGCTGGTGCCTTGTGTGTTCCTATTGAAATGTATCGAAGATTCGGTTTGATTGTGATTATCAGATTTATTACCAAAAAAGGATGATTCAATCAATTCAATTTCAAGTTTGTTTGTTAATTCATGTGGTTTTAGCTGAGTAGTGGGATAATCAAATGAAGTTGAGTCAGTTATATCATTGACTTGATCATTCTCGTTCTCATGATTATCCAGTACATCATCATTGTTTTGGCTTTCAAAAAGATAATGTAGCCTCTTATTCCTGAGCTTTGTTACAAGTGAATTCTGTTCATGGTGGTCAATTCTATCTGGCGGCAACATCCAACTTATTGAATGAGGTATGAAATTACCATGGTAATGTACATCTTTCTCGGTTCTTTCATTAATCACGTTTAACTTTTCTAAATCAGATGTTGTGACCATTATCAATGCTATTGTGTCAATTTCTCGATTAATGAAATGATCACGGTGTGAATGATGTCAGTAAAGCAAGACTAAAACCAAACAAGAATTTTGATTTTGGCGCACTACCCTATAGATAAGATAAACAAAGTGTGGGTAAAATCAATCACTCATTTTTTATTTTTGTACATAAAATTTCCCTCCTTTCCTTATTTTTCTTTATTTTCCCTCATTTCCTTGTGTGTCTCTCTCTCTCTCTCTCTCTCTCTCTGTCTCTGTCTCACTGTTTTGCCCCTTAGTAATATTTTTTTCTTCTTTTTCTTCTCTCTCTCTCTCTCACTCCTTCTCACTGTCACTGCTTTATCTATCAATCCGATTACAACAACAACAAAAAAAATTAAACTACATTTACAACAATTGTTATCACCTTTATTTATTACAATTGCTATTAATTATCAATTTTATAACTTCCATCAATTAGATTTATTTTTATTATTATTATTATCATCATCATTGATTAGTTTCCTTCCCCTCCCATTTATAAAAACAGTATGTATTATCTTGATTCTATATCACTTTGACAGGTACCACCCAGATCAAGTGGCAATTCCGCGTTCCGACGGTTAGTTTAATCACTTCCCGCTCCCCGTGGTCTTCCAACTGAAAGCAGTTGCCATTGTCAAAGATTAGGTACTACAACATCAAAGAGTTTGCTACTAACATTACAAAGCAGTACAATCATGAGATCACAATTTAAAGACGAACACCCTTTTGGTATGTTTAATTCAGTGAGTTTAAATTTTCCCCCAGTATAGCAGCAATAATACTAACATGTTATAATTTTTCTAGAAAAGAGACAAGCAGAAGCAACTAGAATTGCTCAAAGATTTAAAGATAGAGTACCAGTTATTTGTGAAAAGGTTGAAAACTCAGATATCCCAGAAATTGATAAGCGTAAATATTTGGTTCCTGTGGATTTGACTGTTGGTCAATTTGTCTACGTTATTAGAAAGAGAATTAAGTTACCAAGTGAAAAGGCTATTTTCATATTTGTGAATGATATTTTGCCACCTACCGCTGCCTTGATTAGTACAATTTATGAGGAACATAAGGACGAAGATGGTTTCTTGTATGTCTTGTACTCTGGTGAAAATACATTTGGAGAACAAGTACCAATTGATCTTTCTACTGTTGATTTCAGTGATATTCCTAAGGATGTTTAATGTTAGATACGCTCCTGCTATTTCCCATCCCCCCATTTATGTCCATAATGGGTTTGACTATATGATTATCATGTAATTATCTTCATTAGGTGAAAGGTCATCAGCAATTCTTCTTATTATTCTTTATTCTTTCTATTTTTTGATCTTTATTTATCATATTCCAATGTTTTGAGAATGTTTGGTTTTTATATTTCCATTTCTTTATTATTATTACTATTATTAGTTTAGTTTATTCAATTTCATATTTTTTTGGCAATTATAAATGATTTGTAGTAGTTGTAGGTTTATGGTTTACTCTAGTATCTAAACTCGGAATATGTATATTATTTTTGTCTTACAACACAAAGTACAAACCTAGGACTTTTCACTTTTACCAACTTGTTCATGTTGTCTTTCAACACCATCTGATTCGGACTCTACACCTTCTAATATTTCAAGTTGATGTTCAACATCAACGGTCTTACATGGTCCATGATAATGTTTTCTCAGATACACCATATAGTAAATGTATGATAAGATAATCACAGCAGGAGTTATAACACAAGTATAATTCATGGTATTTTTATCAACATGTGGTGAAGCAGGAAAATTAACCATTATAATGGTGTATACACCAAAAAGAACAGAGATCCATTCGATAATTGGTGAAAACACTTTACCCAAGTAGAACTTTCCAGGGACGAAAAGCTTGCGGCCAAATACCAATCTGAGGAAAGTAGGAGTTGTCCATGCTAAGTAATTACCAGCGATATAAAGTGAAAACAAAGCATTTGCAGCAACAAGACCAATCAAAACAAGCAATCCCATAATTACAGCACCAACACCACCAAATATAACTGCATTGATAGGAGTATATAAAGTCTTGTTAACACGTTTGACCCAAAAACTAAATGGTAACCCATTATCTCTACTGAATGCCCAGATTTGACGAGAAATGGCAGTAAGGATAGATGAAGCCATAAGAAATTGACAAATCAGCATAAATGTCATAAAGAAAAGTGCCCATCTTTTACCCAATACATCAAATATAATTTGTGCAATCGGTTGACCATACTTGGATCCAAGAATGTGTCCTTCAATATCATCAGTTTGTATACAAAATAAAGTGACAATGATAATAATAGTACCCAATGAACCACACGCAGTAATTGAACCTAAAATACCAATTGGTATAACTCTACCAGCATTATGAACCTCTTCTGATTGATGAATAACACTGTCAAATGCACCAATGGTCCAAATAGCAGGAAGCCACCCAGCAGAAACTTGAGTCCATCCAATTGGCCACTCTGACAAATTATCAAACTCCCCGAAAACATAAGAAGCTGGTTTATATTTGCCTCTAGCACCGACAAGCATAGCAATAATGTAAACAATAATGATAAAAACATTGGCTACGACTGAGACTGTCTGAAGATGGGCACAGTTTTTACTGGATAAACAAGTCATTGCAACTTGACCAATAACTGCTGCAACAAAAACACCGTATATCTTTGGTTGAGTGATTTCGAAATCGCCATCTCTTGCAATCACAACAATGGAATAGACTTGAATTGCAAACCCATACACCACTGAACAAAACCCACCAATTAAAGCAATAGAGTTTGTATTTCCGATTAAGTATGAGATGACAGTTTTAAATCTTGGAGGGGAGTAATAATTTGTCCAATAGTATAATCCACCACTCGTGGACATAGAGGAACCAGAAATAGACATTGAAATACCCAAAGTAAGAATTAAAAGTGAGGAAATAACCCATCCCCATAAGAACCCAGCGGGACCAGCAATTATACCTTGTGAAAAAATAGAAGCAATACTTGGTAATAATCCCATAATGGAAAAGGCAACACCAAAACATTGAAACGTTGAAAAATGACGTTTCAACTCTTGTTTATAACCAAGCTGACCTAACAAATCGTCATCTGTGCCAGCAATATTTGGATCAATTCTACGTGATTCAACATTTTGTGTGTTGTTGTAAAATTCTTTATGTGACAAGACTTGTTCAACTAACTCCTCTTGAGAAAGTACAGTACGAAGGTTCAGCATTTCGATTGATGTATACCCTTTGTTGAACCACATATAAAAAGAGTTTTCTTCTTATAGATTAGTTGCTATAATTCAAGAGACTATGTTGTTTATATAGAGTTTTGTTGAACCTGTTGTGACAATCTCATATTTCGGCCAAATAATCTAAAGAATTTCTCTTTTTCATGTTCAATACATGATAACCGATATGCATATCAGAAAGCAGAACAAGAGAAAGATGGAATTAGAGAAAGTTAAACTGTTGCGGTTAGATTTGACAAATTAGGAAAGTTTAAGAACGGGTTTCCCTTTTCTTCCTGCAATTCCCCCACGCATAATACTAAAAGTATATATTTTTTCGAGTATAGATTTGATAGAAAATTGACAGAAAAATTGGATTAAATATCGTATCTCTCGTGGAGAATTTTTCTTCCTTGTGATTCTATATGAATAATGCTCGAAAAACAATAATTAGTTCTCTAGCCAGAAAAAGAATTTCAATGGTACCTGAATATAACAATGGACGATGTTTCTTCCCAACCATGAATCAAATAATGATACAAAGTGTTGAATTTAAGATAAGATCTTTGAAATGCCCAATAAGATTCCGTAACCGTATTTGCGGTAATACCTTGCCCATCAACATAAAAAGAGGTACATTCGTAGATAAGAGCATGGATTCCAACGGAGAATATACACCGCTTACGGGGAAATAAGTATAAGCCTTACATCAATAATTCGCTCTTGCGTCTCTATGAATATGAGCAACACCATGCACGGTGATAAACGTTTGGCTATTACAGATCAATTTATTAGACACAATTTTGTGTCACAAATAAACTAGTGCTACCATATGATTTAGGGCTACAGCCCTAGAAACGGTTTTATTTCTATTATATTTTTTCCAGCTGAATATACACGACCTTCATATTTTTTTTTTCTGCTCATCTTCAAGTTGTTCTCCAATAGCTGGTATATATTGAAGAGAAAAAAAAAAATTTCACCTTACATTTCGTACATTTATTTTTCCCTTCATCATCAACAAGTTCCCTAAAAATGGCTACGTATGTGAATCATCCTAATATCACAACCAAGTCTTGCATCCAAACGAACTGATGTTCTATTCTGGATTGCTTAGACGTTGATATAAAAAATCATTCATGAAAGGACTATTTTGTTTTAATCAGAAATCCTATTTCATCTAGTCATTTGACCAGATGAAAAGGTGGTGAACATTACCTGATTTCTTTACTAGTGATAGAAAAGACATGTAATGATAAATATACATTGTATATTCACCTAATATCTTGTGAGAGGTATTTTCTCGCAGTTAATGTGAGGTCTTGTCATTGTCAAATCACTTGGAAATTTTATTTTGACTTTGATTAAACTTATCTTACCAAGGGAAAATCAGATTGTCTTGCAGCCCCGAGTTTTTTTAATATCTTCGTTTATTAGCCAATGCCTGATACATCTGTTTTCTTCTGAGTAATTTGTGAATATGTTTTCTTTTAATTGATTGTGAAATAGAATGAACTTGGCTGTTCAGTTCTTTGTTCACGTATATTTTACCTTTCCGGTATATACAACAATCAATAATATTCACTTATTTTTGCATCAAAAGAGGAAAACGCTCGTTTGAGTGTTGAAGATGGAGGTTTTATATTAAACCCGTCTATGCTCAATAAATACTAACTACTTTTTTTTAGCACTTTGAAACCAGAAACTTTGCAAAAGAAAGAAAAAGCTCAACAAAAAACTGCTGAAGAAAGAGCTGCTGCCAAGAAGGTCAGAAGAGCTGTATGTAACACAATTTTTTTTTTTAAAAACTTCAACCTTTCCATTATCCACTTTACCATTATTTTATTGTATTTATTTTTGAAGATGAAGTCAAACCATTGATTATGGCTAGCATTTACTGCAATGTTGTCTTTCAGTTAACCATCTTTCGGGACTGAGAAAATATATTGTATTATTTAGTAAAGTGGGGGAAGGTAATAATTCAAATGAACAATTAAAGTAATACTAACTATTGATGATTTTTTAGGCTAACCAAGAAAAGAGAAAGGTTATCTTTGACAGAGCTGCTGCTTACCAAAAGGAATACACTGAAGCTGAAAGATCAGTTATCAAAGCTAAGAGAGATGCTAAAGCTTCCAACTCTTACTATGTTGATGCTCAAGAAAAATTAGTCTTTGTTGTCAGAATCAAGGGTATTAACAAGATCCCACCAAAGCCAAGAAAGGTTTTACAATTGTTGAGATTGACTCAAATTAACGCTGGTGTCTTTGTTAGATTGACTAAAGCTACCTCTGAATTGATCAAATTGGCTGAACCATACATTGCTTACGGTTACCCATCTTTGGCTACCATCAGACAATTGGTTTACAAGAGAGGTTTCGGTAAGGTCAACAAGCAAAGAATTGCTTTGTCTGACAATGCTATCATTGAAGCTAACTTGGGTAAATTCAACATCTTGTCTATTGAAGATTTGATTCACGAAATTTACACTGTTGGTCCAAACTTCAAACAAGTTAACAACTTCTTGTGGCCATTCAAATTGTCTAACCCAACTGGTGGTTTCAGAGCTAGAAAATTCCAACACTTTATCCAAGGTGGTGACACCGGTAACAGAGAAGAATTCATCAACGCTTTGGTTAAACAAATGAACTAAATGTGTTAATGCGCAATTCTAATAACTATTACCAACTTTTTTCTAATTTCTACTACTTTTTTTTGGGAAGGGGATGATAATTTATCATGAAAATATTCTTTTATGTATTTTCAACTTAATAAATCATTAATTTTTTAAAACTTTTCAATTTTTACTTCTTATTATCTATTTTTATGTAGTGTACTTCTTTTTATTTTAATGGGATTCATATTATTTCGTGTTATATTTCTTTTTTATTTTTTTTTATGTTTCGTTTTATTCTTACCAATCGATAAACCTATACACAAATTGTTCTAACCATGGCAGTCGACGCCAAAAATCAAAACTAAATTTGCTCCAAATCTTACTTCTTCCATAATTGTCGTAAATATATGCTTTTGGGGTTACTGAACATGTAGAAAATAATAGTGAAGATGAACGGTATACGAATTGTAGCATCAATCCAAACATCCAAGCAGACAACACCAAAGTGAACATATTTAGTACAAATATCCTGTTGGATTTATTGTCCTGTTTGTATTTTAAAAATAAAATCCATTGTTTAATTATTGGCAAACTGCATATGAATTCTTTAAGCATGTTGGTTGTAGGAGTTGTTGTTTCATTTGATTGTGACAATAATTTTTCCTTTAACGCTTCAACCAATTTGTCTTGCTCCACAAGACTTTGTTCAAGCTTCTTGATAGCAATATTGGTTTCTGTTTCTCTTTGTTCCAATTGTGTGATTCGTTTACGATATTCCTTCCCTACTTGATCCAAATCCTTAATGGTTAAATCACGATCCTTCAATTTTGAAAGTAATGTCCTGCTCGACTCATTATCTGGATTGTGGGACAATTTGAATTCTAATTCCTTAATATAATTCTTAAGTATAGTATTCTCCTTATGTAGACTTTTATTAACCTCCGTCTGATCATCAAATTGTGATAATAGTCGAGAATATTTAATGTCTTTAGAGTTTAGGTCTTGTGTTTTCTCCTTGATATATTCATCTTTCTTTTTTAACTCATCCCAAAACTTGTATTTATACTCTTTAGTAGCAGATGATGATGATGGTCTACTATCTGATGAGACAGGCAGTGGTAAATCACTACCATTATGAACTTCATCATATAATTTTAATCTCATTTCAATTTCAGAAGTTGTGATTTTAAATCGATTAAGCAATAATATTTGAATATTACCATATTGAACTGATCTGTTTAAAAACATTTTAAATTCTTGTTTCTGTAGTTTCTTCATCGGATCACTTTGAATAAATTGTTCAATTATTTTGTTTTCATTATCATTAAATATCGAATCAACTCGTAATATGGATTGCATTTCATGAATAATTGGTCGTATTTGGGATAAAAATATAAAGTTGGAGTTTCCCCTTACTCTTTTCCAACATATTGATATCAATTTATCAATAGTAGATTCACTATTTGCTATCATGTCGTTGGTAATTGTTATCATATAACCATTGGTTGTAAAAAGTAAATATTGTTCTTTTTTTTTTCTGGCAGGAAAAATGAAAACAACAACAGAGAAGAATCAACAGAGAAACTCGAAAAGAATCAAACACACGGCACGCGTGTTGCTGCAACTCCTTGGAAGTATGGATTAACCAATTCTATTATTACAAAAGGGTGCTATTAACATGTACATACTTGAGTATTATTTATTCCTCTTTAACGGAAATACTATGATCATCAGGTGAAGTTATACCATTAGCTTCCTGTATTGGTACTTCAACTTTAAGTTCAACTTTTGCATCGCAAGTATCAGATTCTTTTGGTTCTTCTTGTGAATTATGATGTCCATTTTCTTGCATCAATTCGGGTTTTGCCGGTTCAATATTATCAGAAATACCTTTTTCTATTTTCAAAATTGGATCTTTGTTTGTTTCGTTTCCATTTATGGCGGAGTTGTCACTTGAAACTACTTTTTCTGAACTTGGAACAACGTCAATTTTTTCGACAGGAGGTTCAGATTTAATCTCAGGTTTGATTTCATTCATTTCATCGTCGTGATTTTGAGATACAACGACAGCTTCATGTTCAACGCTTTGGGAACTTGGTACAACTTCTAAATCACTGACTCCTTCAATTTTCTGAACAGGTGCTTCCACACCTTCGTAAACTGGATGCATGATTAGTTCCAAACGTTTAGCTTCTTTTATTATCTCTTCAAATTCTTTAATCAAATCTAATACATGTAACCATAAATCTTCCAATAATACACCAGAAGCATACAATTTACGTAAAATGAACCTTAAAACGTCTAATTTCTTCTCAATATTACTTTCTCCTGTTGCAACATAAATCATTTCTTGTATTTTCTTATGGTAACCATCAAGTGCTGTAATCAAGTCTTTCATAATTGCCAATTCATTAACAGGATAAGTTGTCAACGTTTTGCCTTGACTGTATATTTCTTTCAAATCATGGAAAGTAATTTGTTTACCCACAATCCCATCCTTTGTAACTCGTTCTCCAATCAAATGACAAGTTGGACAGGTGTATTTCTCACCATCAGGGTTTGAAACTTCTTTGACACATTGCACATGATACCATTCTTTACATCTGTCACATTCCACCATAGTACCATATTCGTATTCTCGACAAATACAATAGTATTTAGATGTAACTTCATAATCCTCTGGAGCAAAAAGTGCCAAAAATGACGAAGAATCTTCATATTTATCGTCATCTGACAAACTAAACTCTGATTTGTAAAGTATCTGCAATAGTTTCTCCACAAGTTTGGTATTCATTGTAAGTTTTGGATTCAAATGGTCCAAGTCAACATCTTTATTCAAAGTAGTAACTAATTTGGAACTTGAAATTCTATTGCAAGTAGAATCGACCCAAGATTCAGTTGCCGACAATCTTTCCAATAGTGAATCTGTCTTAAACTTCAAACCACTCTCTAATATAGAGCTGTATAATTGTTTAACTTCATGGTAAGGCGCATCTTGCAATTCTTTAAATTGTCTAATAATTTTCAAGTTAGCGTGAAGCTTTGACAATTGTAGATAGTTATCCATAGAAAGAAATAACTGTTCAGTACTAAATCTCTTTGCAAGTTCTTCTAATCTATCCAAATCCAAATCATGAGCATATTCATATTTCAAGAATTTCTCTGTTTCAAAGTTGAAGGCATTACTTTCATTTAATATTTCTTCGACTATTTTAATTGTATCAATGTCAGACTTTGATAAAATTTTCAAACCTTCTTGGAAAAATTCTCTTAGATCATCAATAGTGAACACTTCCTTCTTATCACCATATGGATCAACACCCTTTTCAATTAACGCAAACGTTCGAAGCCATTTTAATCTATTACTGATTCTAATTATGAAATCTAAAGATGGAATTTCCAAACCAAAACTTTCACCCAAACTAATCAAGTCATTAAATTCTTGCAATGACCTGTTTTTCTTAGACAACAATAACCTGCTTGCTTTATCAAAATTGTCAATTTCATTCTTGAATTCAACGATTTGTTCAATCTCAGGACACATAAAGTTCAATCTAGGAACTCGTGATACAAGTTCTAATAAATCATTGTAGGAATATGATTTCTCGCGAGAAGATTCATTGCCGTTTCTAATTCTTTGCTGGTGTTTGATAGCTAACAAATTTTGGCATTCATCGACAAATTGATTGGCAGTATCAATAAAAGACCGCAAATTTTCAATATAATCTTTAAACAAACAAAATTTAGTTTGATCAACTCCATCATTTTTTACTGCAGATGACGATATTGAGGAGTATATCTTCTCACCTTCATTCAACAATGTCTTGTACGTCCTTAGCAAGATGTCGGAATTTTCTTTCATAAGGTCTTCATAATTCTTCATCCAATGCTCGAATTCCACCGAATAGCTATTCAAGATTCTGGAAAAACTCTTTAACTTCTCATCGGAGTGATATAACTGAAGCTCAATTTGATGCTGCTTTAAAGTTCCATTTTCGGTGTCTTTTTTATTATATTCCAAATAATCTTGCAATGATAACATAATTGATTGCTTCGTTTTAGAATCAGTTACTAAAATTCTACTTGGGTAAACATTGACCAATGTATCATCAGAAACACTATTTGAATCTTCATCAATAATGACTTCCTTGATCTTTAGTTTCCTAACTTCGTTTCTCAATGCAATCTCCTCTTGGTATAATTGATCATACATTGTATGTGCCTTGGCAAAAATTTCAGAATTGAACAACAAATTAGATCCACTATCATATATTACGGCAAGATTAACCAATAACTTAAATGTCAGGAAACCAGGAATGATATTTTGTTTAGCTAACCATTTTTCTCCTTCAATAGAATAGTTCAACCATGAATTAGTAGCCAAATTAACTTCTTCACATAAATTGAATCCAAATGAAATAGTGGAAGAGTATGATTTTGGAAATTTGATGATATATTCACCAGGATGTTGTATCGTTGTGGTGTATTTAATGCCATACTCATCAAGTAATTCTGGACTAATCATAAATTCTTGATTATATTTAAAACCGTCCTTGTTGTCAACAAATTTGGCCAATTTTTCATTTGAATAAGGCAATCGTATATCACCACCTGTGTTTATCAAATTATCTAGTGTTTTAAGCACAATATCATATTCAACATCATCATCCAGTTTCTTCAAATATGTCAACACTTTTTCAATATCCACTTGTTTTTTATTATTGATATTTGACCTGTCTCGGTTGAGGTTATTCACTTCGGTGATCAATTTTTCAAATTTTTCAAATTCCAGTTCGGGGATGAAATACCACTTTTTAGTAGCTCCAAAAAATTGATAATTAACCAAATTAGTGAAGTGATCTTCACAAGTCCAATTTTCAGTAGTGAATGTCATACCAATGTTTAATCTTGATTCGTTAATATCAAGGTCATTGAGGTCGTCCTCATTCAATGCTCCTAAAACAGTATTTGGCAAAATCGGCAAATTATGCAAATTCCAAGGATGCAATGCTGATCGCGTTAACTTTTTAATAAACTTACTTTCATTATAACGCTTCAGCTCAGCATTCATGTGAGGGAAAAAATAACTAGGCTTATTGGTGCCGGTACTATTTGAAGCAATTGCAAACAGTTTGGAATGGGATAAATTTAAATGTTCACTATTCAAGCAATTTCTGAAATTGATCAAGTCATCTCCCATTCTGACAAACCCAGATCCATTAACATAATTTGGAATATCTTTACCCATTTCTAGTTCTAAGCCACCTTGTAGAAGTGCTCCAGTATCTTTGTTGTTTATGTATTTCCAATATAATTTTTCAATCCCATCCACCGAAATGAATGTACCATCTCCTGAATCGTGCTCAAAGCATTCAGGATTAGCCAGAAGCAAGAATTCTTGAAATTTAATATCTTTTTCCATGAATTGTCTCAATGTGTAAACAGATGCAATTTTAGGTGGTGCCTTTAATCTTGACTCATCTTGTGTGTTATCCATGTAGCAGAGCGCAGTATCTAGCTCTGTTTGTGGTAAAATCAGGACATCTACTTTGTCATTTTGTCTTCTTCTCTTTTTGTCATCAACCTTAACAGTAAATACATTTGGCTGCTTAACATCAATAGCATATGGTGTATTAAGAAGGCAACCTTTAGACATCTTTGACTTAACTGACCTTCTAAAGTCCTTGGCTGAACCAATAATCAATGGTGGAGTATTAGAATTTTCAAGTTTTATTTTTTTATTTGGCGTTGACCCATCTTCTTGCAAGGTTCTCTTGCCATTTGAGTGCTCCAGTTCAACTACTGATGGTTCAGTCAGTTCACCAGAAGAATTATTCTGGTTTTTCTTGGCAATGAGATATTGCTCATAAGGATAAAGTATTTTCTGGTAGGATGATTTCAATGAACTACTTAAACTTGTCATGATTTTACCCTTGTAACCCAACTCTCTACCTATTTGTGCCCAAAGTTTTCTATTGATAACTTCCATGAATCCGCCACGGATTGTCACCGATTGAAATAGTTTATACAAGTCTAACGGACGTTTATCAATCATTGGAAGTTTGTTGATTTGAGATGACGTGGATGTGGTTGTAGAAGAGTTTGAAGATCCCGTTGAGCCACTACCATTTGACTTTTTACCTTCGTGTTCTTCGTATTTTGCAAACTCATCACTTTGATGGAACTCAATCAAGTCATGGTGAAACTTTAATCTCATATAAATTTCATCTTCTGGGGGATTGTTTAATAGTTTATTTGTTTGGAACCAAAATAAATCAGAATTGATTTGAATTGTGGATTGGAATAGTTCTGTGTCTGAAGCCGGAAGCTTTACTTTAACTGCACCATATTTCTTACCAAGTACCAGAAGTCCATCAATAAACGATATTGGATCGGCAATTTGGCTTTCATTCAACAAGTAACAGGGAATTTCATTAGAATTACTTTCAGAAGTTTCTGGAGCAACAGTGATCTTGTTTGGCAAATGCCCATAATCCAATGGTATACTAGCTTTAAGTTTCTGTTGAGGTACACTAAATGGGTTGTAGTTGAAATTTGTCAGTTGACTGTTGAAAAGTACCCGCCTATTCTGCCTAATTAACTCAAACGTTTTCAAGTCTGGCAATGATGAATTATCAAAAAATCTAGACGTTTTAGGGAATTTTGCTCTTGGGTTGTTGGTAACTGTAACTGGTTGAGTATAAATGTTGAGGATGGCATTACGACCCATCTCTTCATTCGGTATTGTCATTATTTCGTACGCTTTCTAACCAAAATTACTAAATTGAAATGTCGACAAATATATAAAAGATTTTTCAATTTCTACTCTTTTAAGTTGATTGTGTAGATAATTTTCTTTTTTTTTTTTTATTCAAAATTTTTTTTTTCTTTATTTCTTAATCCTTTTTTTTTGGTTTGTAATTTATTGTGACCTCTTGATATTTGTTAAGAAAAAACTGACAAAATAATTAAAGCTTCTGTATAATAGTGAACAAAAACCAATCTGTCAGAGTTAGCGTAGTGTGTGTTGATCCCAAAAAAAAAAGACTAAAAAAGGAAACAGTCGTGTACTCTACCAATATCTCGTGACATCTTGTAGTTTCAAACGATTAAGCTCTGGTAAATTCATTGGCTTACCATGAAGAACATCTATAATATATATCTGATAGAGCTATTTCATGGAGGTACATTTGGAAATAACAATAAGCACTTAAAAATTAAGAGGAATTGTATAAATTTGGTCAGTTGTATCAGTATAAGCTACACAAAAATTTGTTACATTTTTTTGGTCAAGACTAGGGGAACATGTAATTATAAATTAAAAAAACGAATCTTAAATCAAATTAATACTACATATAGTCACTAAAACATAACAGCAGCAACAGCAGCAAAACCTGCCAAAGCACCTGCAACTTGTTTAGAACCAGCACCTTCATAAGTGGTGACATTTTGTGGAGCAATAGTTTTTCGTTCCGCATAGGAAGTTGGAATAACACATGGTTCAGTAACTGTGATAGTTGCTGGTTCGTCAACTACAATAGCTGATTCGGTACAGAAAGTTTCTTCTTCACAGACAGTGATAGTAATAGTAGTTGGGTATGGGCAGTAAGTGGTATAACCAGTAACAGTGACACGAGTGGTAACAACAGTTGCTTCATCATCAGCTACCGGAGCTTGAGATGCACTAAGAATATCAGTGGCAGAAGCAGCAGCGACTAAGGCAGAAATGGTGGCGATTTTGGAGAATTGCATTATTCTGTTGTTGTTGTTTTTTTTTGTTTGGAAATTTAACGAATGTATAAGGGTAAGTTAATATTGAGATACTGTTTATATCTTAATGAATCACAACTAGAATAACAGATTAAAAATTAGTGATTGAGTAAAATCATTGTTATTTATACATTTGCTTTACATCTGGATATTTATATAAAAGAAATAAAATAAAATTAACAAGAAAAGACACGAAAAGGTAGCAAGTCGCCATATTTAGTAAAAGAATTACTATTATTGGAAAACTTTGATTGATAATGGTGATATTTTTATTTTCAAATTTACTTATAGTCGTTATTATATTTTAAAGTTTAAAATACCATCAGATTATATTTTTCAGAAATTTCCATACGTAAAAATAATAATAGTAAAAGTCATCTCCTAAGCTCACAAGATTATTATAACAACTTGAATAAGATTAGCAGGTGGTCCAAATTAGGAAAGACGAGATAATAAAATAAATGTGATTTCATCTCTTTCAATGACATATCCGAGAACTGTTGTGATATTAAGTAAGAGGTTACAAAACCACTACTTAATCTCCATATTACTCTTTTAGTTTTTTGCAATACTACTTTATACACAACAGATATAAGAAAAATAAAAATAAACAACTACAACTCAATCTTCGGTTATCAATGAAAACCTTTGGTCATCTAATAACATATTAATAAGGCTTTCATATTGTTTACACAAGAACCTTCGGCAATTTTATTGAACCCTTATGACCATGAATTAAACTTTAACAATTTAGAATCAGGAAGTTTATTAAGGAAGGCAAAATTATTGAGAGTGAGAAGTCATTATCAAATAATAATGGAGGTCTAGAATTCTGTGGATCAGAAAGAACCGTGATCTTTGCTTGTTATATCAAAATTTTTTGATATCCGAAATAGGCAAATATAATAAACCAGTGATCTATGGATTGCAGATGCAAGATACATGATTGCACATCTGGGGTTGAAAGAGGAAATAATAATTTGCAATTAATTAGAAATTTGGTGTTGGGAGCGATGAATTGGTTTTTCATTAATCCTCTGTGTCGATTCCCTGTTCATATTATGATCGCAGAGAAACTACAACATCTATCAGAATTCATTCCTTGAATATCTTTGCAAAAATACAATTTCTTAGTGGTACTTTATCAGTAAGTCATTCATCTCAAATTGGTATTTTTTTGCAAGAAATCGAACCACTCGTGTGACATCCCCCGTCAAAATAAGAGGAAGTACACAAAATCAGCAATCCCCCACTAATTGCATCTCCAAAGAAATAAACATACAATTGAATTAAGCTCTTGAAAATATGAAAGCATAATGTATACTGCCCGTGTATTTGGTCTGTACAGCCATTTTCTACTTTTGTATATGTATTATCTAAGGAAAAACGAAATTATTAATAAGAAACATAAACAAACAAATAAACAAAAACGCCTTTATTGCAAACGAGGCACTTTCGTGTGCATCTATTTATTTTCTTTTGCTTTTTCTTTTTAAGGGAGATAGATAGATAGATAGACGATTACTCTTGTTTAATACCAAATGAGTAATCTCCTTGAAGCCAAGTATTAACCATACTAAGTGCATTCTCTGGTTGATCATAAGGAACCATATGACCGGCATCATAGACTCTCAAGAAAGTGAAATGCTTGTGGTTTTTAACTTCACCAGCTACTACTTTTCCATCTGGTTTCCATGGTTGCAAATCCTTCTTACTAAAAACATCCCCATCAGAATATTCTAATTTATTTGCCCATGCTAAATTACCCAACCAATTACAAATGTAGTCCTTATCACCAGCATAAAGCAAAACAGGAACATTGTGATCTAATAATTCAGCAACATATTGTTGGAATGGTTTCATTTCATCACCATCTAAAATAAAGTTTCTAAAGACAGTATCATCACATGAGGTGAAAATATCAATGTTTGAAGCGCCAACTGCTTGTTTGACATAATCCAAATTCAAGTAATCATCCATGTAATCCATTTCAACATAGCAATTACCTCCTTGGTCGGCACAGTCCTTTCTAATATCGTAAGGATTCAAACCAGTTTGAGCATATGGTTGAAACAAGTGAGAATCACAATAGTATTGAGCCGGAACACAAGTCAAAGCAGTTTGGATATCATAACATAACTGGGTCAATTTAGCACATTTTGGATAGTCCTTTTCCATTTGATCACATTGTTCTGGAGTTAAAACAGCCTTATAGCCACCTTCTCCACATCCCATAGGTTTATATGAACCAGATTGAATCAATGGGTCGGTGATACCATTTCCAATTAAAACTGAAGCCAATTCAAATGATCTATCAGCATTATTGATGATTTCCGAAGCAAATGCAGGAATATAATGACCAGCATAAGATTCACCAGCAATATGGAACTTGTTTTGAATAAATTGAGGGAATTTTTGGAAAAAGAGCTCCAAGAATACAAAAACATCCTTAGCAGCAGTAGCAGTGTTTCTAACTTGTTCTCCACCAGTGTATGAATAACCAACACCAACTGGTTGATCCAAGAAAATAACAGATGCATTGGAGTTCCAAGAGTATGGGTTATAAACTGGTTGTAAAGTCAGGTTAATGGATGATGGACCCAATTCAAAGAATAAACCAGTCGAAGAAGAACATCCTGGACCACCATTGAGCCATAAAATAATTGGATCATTCTTTGGATCATTTCTACTTTCAAAGAACCAATAGAAGAAATGCTTGTTGAGACTATCAATGTCCAAATACCCGGTATATTGCTTGACAGTGTCAAGGCCTAAAATTTCCGGAAATGTTTCCTTGATTCTTAAAGAATAATCAGCAAATTTCTCATTCGATAATATTTCAAAATCAGAAGTTGAAGCAGCAGAAATATCATTGAATGTGTTCTTTTTTGGTTTTTCATCTTTAGTTTGATACTGGCGGATTAAAGCTGCAATTTGAGCAGGAGTCAATTCAGATTGCATATCTGCCCATGCAGTAACCAAATCTAAAGGAGAAGTACCCAATTGCTTAAAAAAGGTTTCAAATTGAAATTCAGCAGCATTGTCATCTGAAGTGAATACAACTTGGTCCTTGAATTGGTTTCCAAGATAAGCTGCCTGAGCAGTAGCACCGAGGGCAACAACTGTGTTAAATAAAGTAAAAGCTTTCATTACCAAATTACTCTAGTCTCTTTTCTTTGTTAGGTTGGGAGACAATATCTGGTGTAAGTAGAAAATTGAAGTGAAGTATACGTCTCTCTGATTAGAATAAAATGTGAACAAAGTCTATCAATAATACTAAAAATAAAAAAAAAAGAAAAAGAGTGTTGTGTGTATTCAAGATATAATTTGGGGAAAATTGTTGATTATGATGAGAACGGAATTTGCATGCGCACAACCGATAGGAGCGATAGCGGATTATTACACTCTCTCTTCAATTGTCTTCTTTTTTTTTTCTTTTTCTTTCTCTAATATACACAGAAAATTAGTGCCGTGCAACTATAGGGGTGAATCTTAAGATGTTTTCCGTTAGACTTCCATTTTTTGTAATCAATTGGTATAACTACGGAAAATATCACTTAAATTATTAAAATGAATATTTACAGGAGACAATATATTCTTGGATGTTGCTGCAGATTCCAAAATCAGTCACGTGATGCATCGATTAGTGCACGACCAACATGAATACAACAGAGAGAGCGAGAAGAAGTAAAAAAAATTGAAGAACGAGAAAGATGAACGAAAAAAAAAATCATAAACTTGTAAACATACACCAAAGCACTGTTGAGAAGGTTTATTCTTTTTTTCGTGAACCGTAAATATTTAACAACCTAATACGTAATAACTGGAATATAAAGTCAAGGCAATAATCAAAATTAGAATTTTTTTTTTCCTATAAACATGCCTTCATTAGTTCCAATTACAACCAGTTCAAGAGTTACAGTATCATTAAATGGTAATACCCCAAACAATGTTCCAGGAAATTATTATGGTAATCAATATAATGGTTATGGATTTGGTGCCAATCAAGCTCCAGGAAGTGGTCATCAAGGTATAGATGATTTGAGAAGAATAGTCATGTCTTTAAGATCGGGACTTGATTCTGAAGTTACTTGGGCATTGAGTCTGTTGACTCGTTACACAATCCAACCATCATTATCCCTTGAAGGGGATCCATTTTTGGGTCACGAATTAATGAAATATTTAATAAAACCATACCAACTACTCAATGAAAAGAAGTATGACTTAATCGACCAAAACGTTATGACCTTTAGTTTAGATGCATTGTTGACATTGAGAAATTTAGCACAAGATCTTAACAACCAACAATGGTTATCCCAGATTCCATCATTTAAGAAGAGCTTGACTGAACTGTTGAAGTTTTTAACAAATTGGTTTTATCATCCTCATGGAAAAGAAGTTAGCTCGTTAATGAAATATGATAATCAATTTTCTGAAGCCTTGAGTTATTTGGTTGATTTGTTGGAACCTTTAACATGTTATTACATAGACAACAGTCGACATGATCCTTTGTTTCACCTATTATTGAATACTTTGATTGTCACTCCTGATAAAAACTTATTTGTTGGAATTTTGAAATGTCTTTCACATTTGTTGATTGTATGGGATAGAAATTCTCAGAAGAACGAAGATGGAGGTGATATTGATGACAGCCACCATGATGATGATTTGGAACATGATGAGGATGACGTTAATTCTACAAACAACTGTATTGACAGTATAACTGATTCACAGCTTGAAACAATTACCAATACCCTTCTTGTTGGGGATAATGAAATAAACAATGCCGTGTTGGAGTTCCTCAAGATGTATTTGTTTTCCGAAGCATTACATGAGAAATACCCAAATTCTGTCAAGGATTCTCAAAGACATAGATTGAGAAAGTTGTTGCAATTAAATTCATCAAGGGCATCATTTAATACGTTGATGAAACAGTTACCATTGTTATTGGTTGGTAATTTACCGTTAAATGAACCTATCGAAAGCAAGCAACCACCATCATTAAATCTAACCAAGAGATCTAAATATTCAGGTGTACCTATTTCACCACCAGAATTGACTGAAGAGTTGTTCAGAATTATTGTACTGTTCCCTGAACCAATGAGAGCATCTACCTGGTTGCATTGTTGCTACGAACCAACAGCTACTGAACAAGGTGAAGTAACACAAATATCAATATGGAAAGCCTATGAAAGTCAGTTTCAAGAAGTTTGGAAACCTAATGCTGATGGGGTTTTTGAACAAAAGTATAAACCACTCTTAACTGCTGTTGATTTTATTAAGAATGTTACCAAAGCTTTCCCATATGCAGAAGCTAAAGTTGTTAGTTTACCAACCGAAGGTGACGTAGCCCCTAAAAAGAAATTTATTATAAAAGGCATTCAACCAAGACAGTTTCCTGTCAGTATTGACATTGGGAACTATGATGCTTTAAAGCCAATGACAGATGTTACAGTTGATGCAGGAGATGAAAGCTTACCAATTGGTCATATTGATAGTAAGAAATTTCAACAAATTTTGGCTACTGCAGTGGATACTATTTTGTTTACTGATACTAGCAACAAAATTAGTAAGGGAAGTTTGAATCTGATCAATGCATCTAGTCATGATTTATTAGAATATATAATACAGGAGATATTAGATGGTTCATCACTTGATTCTAAAGAAAATGCTATTTTCCGTCTTTATAATAGTTATTGGTTACCTGATTTGGTGTATGCTAACCCTTCTTTAATTGAACAAGAAATAATAGATGCCAGTTGGTTAAAGTATTTACTTTAGAGTATATAGAGTTGTAATGAATAGTTTTAAAATATTGTATAATTTATCTGAATCAAGTTTTGTACAAATACACGGGATTTGATTCGCATTGTCAATTTTTATGGGCTGTTGCGTTGCTCGCCTAATGTATAGAAAACGTATCGCCAAAATCCATTACAAACCACGATCAACTGGAGAAAAAATTACAAGAGAGAAAGGAAAAGAAAAAAAAAAAGTAGAAGAAAATAAAAGCAAATACAAAAAAATTAACTCTTCTTTCATTGTTCAAATCTATTCAATATTAAACTAATAATGGCTAACAATCAACTTCCATTCCATGTACGTGCTACTGATGCTGTTCACAGATTAACTGTTTTGGGTTTAGTGGGAATTTGTGTCGTTGGTGGTGGTTCCATCATTTTCAACATTTGGGCCAACTCAGATTACGCTCCTTGGAACAAAGAGAAATTAAAATTCAAAGAAGAACAATACCGTGAGAGCAAACAAGATAACGAATAAAGAGATGAATAGAGATAAATATTGGTTTCAAAAAAATGAACTACCACTGTAAATAGTAATTAAGGATTATATATTATAAAAAACTAAGAATATATTGCGAGTCTATATTTGTATAATTACATTCACTACTTGGATTTGGATCGTTTTGTGTTGGGAATATCTTCTAGTAGCTTTCTCTTTCGAACGAATTCATCTATAACATTCATATCTTCCAGTTTTTTCTTTTTGGTCTTTTTCAAAGGCAATTTTGCATGACTAAGACCTTGTTCTTGTAAATGAGCCATGGTCTTCTCATTCAACTCAGTAACTTCTTTTTTATTCAATGGGTCTAGGATTACCACATCATCATCCTTAAACAGTTGGTTACAATTTGGGCATTTCCCTTCATGTTTAAACTCTTTTAACACTTTGTTGGACAATAAACACCCACATGTTCGAAAATATGAATACCCTTTCTCTATCTCTTTGGTGACGGGACATTGTATATATGGAACTTTATCAAGAATAGTCCAAGAAATATGCACTGGTAATATATCTTTCAACAGATTGATATGACTGAACTCAGGTTTAATACTTCCCTTGTCCTTTTTTGTTGATAGAATGTACTTTAATATATGTTCTTTTATATATAATTTGCCTTTGCAATCACCTACTATTGGATCATTGTTATATAAAGGTAGCGTCGAATAGTGACACATTTTAATTATGTTTTCTTCTTTATCTTCGGCACGTTGAACATTATGCTGGGATTTTATAGTATGATTTAACAAAATATCCAGTCTAGTGGCAATTGTGCCCCCATCAGCTCCCATGGTTTATTGGTGTTGAAGGTTGTTTGCATGAAGAACAAGAAAGAAAAAAAAAAAAACAGTCCAAAAGAATTGTTAGTGAAAAAAAAAAAAAAGAAAAATCAAAATCTACTGGATCTTGATTCAACACTTGATCATCATCAACGACATGGCATCATCTTCACAAACAACTCCTATCGACTTAAATTCATTGGCACCTCAGCAATTGGTAGATTTCCGTAAATCTATTGATCAAGAAATTACTCATTTTACTCAATCTTTACAAGCATTATCTACAGCACAATCAAAATTGAAGGAATGTATCACTAGTATAAATAATTTGGAAAAATCTAAAGAAGATAGCTTATTAGTTCCATTGACTAGTTCCTTGTATATTCCAGGTCAAGTTGTTTCTAAAAATGATTATTTAGTGGATATTGGTACTGGTTACTACGTTGAAAAAAATGCAGATAATGCCAAAGTTGTTTATGATAATAAAATCAAAAAATTAGATGAAGATGCAAAGAAATTAAAAAGCATTTTGGTACAAAAGAATGAGTTGTTGAACACAGTAAACTTAATTTTAAGAAAGAAAGTTATAGAGATGGAAAAACAACAGGCAACTGCTGCTAAAGCTACATGAGATAAATAGATAGTATACGCTTGAATTCATGAAAATACACAATATATCATTGGTTATAATCTTTATTTGTAATAAATGGTTCCAGAAAGGTTTGTTTGAGGTTTCTTAATTTTGTTGCACCTAATCCATGAATATTTGCTAAACCAAAACCATCACCGTTATCTTCTCTACAACTTTCAAGGACAACTTGTTTGATGGATTTGCAATTACCTAATAAATTTGCAACATCTGACTTATTAACCAGTTTAATTCCAGTCAATGCTTCACTAACACATGTATTATAGTCAGTAGCTTTGTTTCCTTCAATAGATTTCTTTGCTTTTGTAGGTGCATCGTCAATACTTTTTGCCGTAGCGATATAATTCCCAGCCTCTTCCTGAGACCAAGCTAGAACCAATGTTAATCTCACTTTGTTACAAAAAGACAGTATTCTACGTAGCGTGTCCTGTGGATTTGTAATATCAACATGTACTAACAACACTCTCAATGCCTTGTCATTGCTATTTGTATCATTGATGATGGATCCCTTGTTGAATTTCCTCCATTTATGTTCAAGATACTCTGGGTGTAAATTGTGGTATTTGAGTGACAAGAACAAGATCTGGAATGTAGGACTGATATAATAATCCGATAATACATTAGAATCATATCGCCAGGGAACCTTGCTTAATCTTGATTTCGTAAGTATCGGGTTATTCTTTTGGTGAGGATTAATAAGTATTTGGCTAGGACCATGGGTTTTGGAACGCGGAGTGGAGGAACGCTGTGATTCCAATGGAGTGACTGGCTTTGCAGTTGCTTTATTTAAAGATGATCTTTGATAAGGACTGGCTCGATTGACTATATCCTTTGTAGGTACAACCGGCACCTGCTGTTGTTCGGACACGCGTGCTGTAGTGGAAGGAGGTTTTTCCAAATTGGTTTCCTGATTAGATATCACGTCGGTAGTGCTACTCGAAACACCACTTGCTGCCTCTCTCATTCTATTTATCCCGGCAAGTATACTTGCAAAAGATGATGGATCTACTTCATTGAGTGTCTCGGTATTATCAGACATTGCTGTGTAATATGTAGTAGAGATATCAACAAAAGATGTGATAGATGTAAGTGCGTACTTTTTTATTTTTTTTTTTTCTTTTTTTGCATTTGATCCCCTTTCACCAGAGCATGAACTGGACCAAGAGTGCTGAAATAATTATCAATTAGTTTCACCAAAGTTCAGTTACAAACAAAACTGCAAGAGAATTTGCTCAGTTTATCCAAACATTCAACCACGTTCTACAGAATCTTTTAAGCATCCAACAGACATAAACGTCAACAAAAAAATAACATAACATAAATTAATAAATAAATATACATCAGAACTAAAAATAAACTTATACACAGAACCATCTAGACTTTCTCAGCTGCTTTGTCTTCTTGTTTATCTAAATATGCACTCTTGGTGGCTTCTCTCTTCTCAAGACTACCTTCCAATGGACCGTCAATCATATCCTGTGTCACACCATCACTGATCAACGTCTTCCAGGTCTTTCTGTTTTCAAACCCATTCTGCGCATACTGGTAGCTGATGATAGCATCCTCAATACCTTGTTCCGAGCTGGCAACAAATGGCCCATAGTGAACCAGCTGCTGGTCCAACTTCTTACCACCAACCAAAATGAATTCAACTAACGACTCCTTGCTGTCTTCACTGGCTGTGTTCTCACCGGTGATGTAATCTCCCTTCTCTTCAAAAAACACATTCTGGTACTGGTCTACCTTGGTGTCTCCGTTCAATACAAAATCGTTCCCGTTCAACACATACAAGAAGTAGTTGAATCCCGGTTGCAACTCTTGTTTGAACTTACCACCAGCTTTCACCTTGTAGTAGTAGTAGTTGATAGGTGTGTACGCCAATTCCTTGATGGACTCAATTCCGTGTGATCTTCCTGAAATAACCTTGATGGTCACCTTACCGTCATCTGTTACCACCTGTGGGATCTCCCATTCTCTCAAGTCTCTGTATCTAGGAGCACAGTTCTTCAACGCATCCGGCAAGTCCACCCACAATTGCAACCCAACAGTTGGCGACCCATCTGCGTTAGGCACTGGCATCTCAGAATGCACAATACCTTTACCGGCAGTCATGAATTGCAAATCACCAGCATACAAAATACCCTTGGATCCAGTGAAGTCTTCATGGGCAATGGCCCCGTGTAACACCAACGTGATGGTTTCTTGTCCTCTGTGTGGGTGTTCTGGGAACCCGTTGGTGCCGGAACTGGAAAAATGATCAAACATCAAGAACGGGTTGAACTCTCTCTGGTTCATGATACCAATGGATCTTCTGACTCTGGCACCAACACCTTCGGCTTGCTGTCTAGCAGTGACGATTTTAGCAATTGATCTAGCTGACATTGTTTTTGTTTTTGTAGTTGTAGTAGTGGTAGTTGTTGTTGTTGTTATAGCAATAGTTTTGAGATTAGCAATCAAAATTATCAAAAGAAAAGTGAGTAATGATTAGAATAATTTTTTGTTGGAGAAAATCAGGGGAAGCAGGAAACTCTATCTATATTTATACCTCTTCGTGAATGTGCCACACACAGCTGCAGAGAATGCACTGGAATTGTCTAGAAGTCTTGTTTTGTTTTTGTTTTCCATTATTTCCAGTTGTTTTTCATGATCTCCATACGGATTTGTCAGCCGTTCGGATGTTGATTATTAAATTGATTTGTCAAGATGGTGACCGGAATTGCCAATAATTCGGATTTTCTTTCTTTTTAGTGTTGGAAATTTGTTCTTGACATTAGTTTGTATGTATGTGCACCGGAAGTCACAGGAAAAATTAAAAACGTTTCTTTCCACATCCGGAAATGCAATAAAGAGAAAGACATTGTGATGCCAGAAAAAAAAAAGAGAGCGCGAACGATATGACGTAAAGGTTATTCATTGCGCTATAATTGGCTGGTGAATGTTGTTACTAGAGAGTAAGATCACTCATAGTAGGGGAATGTGTGGAAGGTTCGTTGTTAATTAATATTACTTTAATAGAAATGCTATGAATGTATATGCTTACTTTCTCTTTGACAGCATTTGTTAATTCTTTTCATTCAATTGGATAACACAGAAATGAATACTAATGATATCAATTAACAAATTCGATTTTCAAGCCTTTCAATACTGTATTAGAATTTAAATCAACATCTGGTTTGGATATCTGTGGCATGCGTCTTTCTACTTGTCAATTGTATAATTCTTGGAAAATTAACCGTGAATTCAAATATACATCACGTGCCCTAGATCACGACTAAATGCGGCGTACAATAAAGTAACTCCCTATGCTAAAGTATATAGCATCAAAAGAATTATAAATAAAAAATTCACAAAATATTACATTTTAAAGAAATAAGAATCCTTGATATTTGTAATATTTGGTGTTATTTAAATCATTTTTAAAATATTAGTGAAATATTTAAACTAAATTTGTCAAAATGTTGAAGTAAAATTCATCAATATAAATTCATTTCAATTTAATTTGCTCAGAATTGTTGAATAACACTACTAGTTATACACATTCACTATTATTCAATCCATGATTCCAAAAACAGAAAAGTCATAATATTTATCTAAATCTATTTGTTAATCGTATATACTAATATTTATTCTTTGATTCCAAATATACCTTCTTTGCCTCAGCTCTTTTCTCAAGGTTTCCATTCAATGCCCCATCAACCATCGATTTTGAAACACCATAACTGATCAATGAGTTCCAGCTCTTTCTCTTTTCAAATCCATTCATAGCCAATTCATAATCCATGAGTGCATCGCTAATTCCTTGCTTATTGGTTGCAACAAATGGACCATACTGATACGGTTTTTGTTTTAATCTTTTCCCACCAATCAACACAAACTCGACTTCGGTTTCAGGAAAATCCATAACAGCTGCATTTCTTCCACTAAACTGATCACCTTTTTCATCAAAAAATGCTGTTTTGAACTGACCAACTTTGGATTCCTCATTAATCAACAATTTATCACCGCGCAATACATAAATAAAATAATTAAAACCTGGATCTAGTTCCTGCTCAAATTTCCCACCAGCTCTAACAGTATAATGGTAATAATGAACTGGAGTAAAAGCTAATTTTTTCAGTGACAGTACACCTTGTGAAGATCCAGAAATCACTCTTACTTGAACTTTACCATTATCAGTTTCAACTTCAGGAACTTCCCATTCTCTCAAATCTCTATAATTAGGCGGGGCAGATTTCATATGAGTTGGTAAATCAACCCACAATTGTAATCCCAGAGTTTTAGTACCGTCTTCATTGGGAATTGGCATCTCGGCATGAACTATTCCTTTACCAGCAGTCATGAATTGTAAATCTCCAGGATATAATATCCCTTTTGAACCAGTGAAATCTTCATGGGCAACACCACCATTTAAAACTAATGTAATTGTTTCTTGTCCACGATGAGGATGAGCAGGGAATCCACCATTTTTCTGAATAGTAAAATGATCAAATAATAAGAATGGGTTGAATTGACGATTAACACCAATTGATTTCTTTATCTCCACTGAAGACCCTGGCTTTGGTGGATCCGGTGTAACAACTTTAGAAACTTTTCTTATTGCCATTGTCTATGGATGAATAAAAGTAACATTTTAGTAAATACTTTTTTTTTATCTTGATCTTCATAGGGGTGTACAATTTGCCATCACATATATACCTTTTATGAATTAGGGGGGTATAGAATGAAATCATGTTCTGTTTTTGTCATACTTTTTTATTTCTAACATTTCAGCAATAGTGAATTTTTTGTTTTTCTTTTCGTTTTTCCGATTGTGATACAAAGTTTATTTTCATCATGGATCTATGAGTAATGCTTATTAAACGTCGCTAAGAGTTGCAAGCATGGGAATCGGTTATAAAATATAACAAGGAGATGGTTTCTTCAAAGGTTTGACACCAGAGTGTTAGTTTTATCCTGTTTAACCTTGTATTGAAATCAGTATACAAAAACTGAATCATCAACTCACTTCTTTTTGTTGACAAATTAATGATATGAAGGTTTTGAAGCTTTCATAATAATTACTAAATGATGGTAAGTATACAATAATGGGTAAAAGGGATAGAAAGCAGAATCAAAGGTACATAGGTTTTACTAAACAATTAGTAGCTGTAAGGTTTGGTTCTCAAAAGTTACTCTAATTTCTTGTTTACTTACGACCGGTCGTAAGAATTCCATCAACAAGAAGATTGAAAACAAAAAAAAAATTAGCTACTCATGATACTTCAAACTGTTATCACATATCCAGCCTTACATATTGGTTCATGAATGACTAATAGGCAAACAGAAGGAGATGTTGGCCCGCTATCTGTTTATCTCTTGTGGGGGATCCAATTTTATTTCTCTCCGCAATTTTGATTTCCGCCGGTATAGGAGCCGGTACAGGAGAGTATAATCGAATGGCTTTAGAGACTATCTGAAGGGTATATAATTACGACTACACGGCAGACCATTAGCAAATTTTACAATATTTATTTCATTCAATCAGGAGAGAGAAAAACCCGACTAGAATGGCCACTTATTCAGATAAATCATTTAATTCTCAGCATTACGATGACTCGAGACCAAATTATCCAAATCAATTCTATCTGGAGTTGATGAAATACCATCACCAAAAGGGTGATACAAAATTAGCAGTTGATATTGGTTGTGGTACAGGTTTTGTAACTTTCAAATTAACCGAATATTTTGATAAAGTAATTGGAACTGATCCATCATCAACCATGATTAATCAATGTAAGGAAAGTTATGGACCAGAATTTTGCAACAATTCAGACAAGAAAATTGAATTTTTGCTTGGTAGTGGTGAAAACCAACCTAAAGAGATCAAGCCAGATTCGGTTGATTTAATCACTGGTGCTGAATGCTGTCATTGGGTTAATCACGAACGTTTCTTTAAAGAATCTGCAAGAGTTTTAAAACCAAATGGTACTTTAGCATATTGGTTTTACAAAGATCCGGTATTCATTGGTTATCCAAAAGCAAACGAGATTTATACAAACTACACATACAATTCATCCTTTGATGTTAATCCAAATGACGAGTTTGAAAGATATATGGGTCCATATTATCAACAACCGGGACATGACTATTTAAGAACTTTAATGAAAGAGATAGAAGTTCCTACTACTGAATATTACAATATTATTAGAAAGGAATATATCTCTGATAGGGATGGAGCTCCAGCTGATTCAGAGGACGGTTTTGAGACCAAAACCCCACTTTTTATTAAGAAGACAATTGATATGAAATGGTTCCTTAATTATGTAAAATCATGGTCAGCTTATCATGCATGGCAAAAAGAACACGGCCATAAGTATAATATTGCTGAGAGATTTGTTGAAGAGTTAAAGAAAGAATTAAATTGGACCGATGACACAAAAATTGAAGTCATCTGGGACACCGTTTATACTTTCGCTAGAAAGAAGTAAACATTGTCAAAAAAAGGGGTTTTGAGGGTTTCAATACTTTACAATAACAAGAGAATATTCTGGAAACAAAACAATTAAAAAGGTCATTACTTCAAACCATTGTTTACTTCATCCAGTTGTATATTTTGACTTTTACTAAGGTTTGTAATCCAATCTCTGGGTTGCGATTTCACCATTAAACACGATTTCCGAAAATTTGTCTTTGTAGGCTTTTTTTTTTCTCTTCGCATCTTCTGTTTGTGGATTACGTAATCAGACAATTTAAATCTTACATAAAATGCATTTCCGGTGCTCATTTCTCCATCGGAATTAGTAATGGCTTTGTAAGATTTTTCATTCAATATAACCATACATAACTCGCTGATTATAAATATTAATAAATTTCATCATATTTCTATAATGAATTGATTTTTTTTCCCTTTCTTTCTTCATTATCAGTCATTCATAACTACTACTCATCAATTGATCATTCACGTTTAAGGTACCCGGTTCCTTCATCTTGAGTTTTATTTAAAAAGTATAAATAGATGGTTAGATACCCTTTGAATTATCAAATGTTAATTTTTGTTTTATTCAACTTTTATTATCCATTAAAAGTTTTATCTATAAATTTTTACAACAACAACAACAACAACAAAGAAATCACAGATATGTCAATCAGAACCGTTGCTAAGATCGTCACTGCTAACGAACAAGCCGAAGGTGTTGGTGCCAGAGTCAGAAGATCAATTGGTATCATGTCCCAAAGAAACTTTGATCCATTCTTGATGTTTGATCATTTCTCTAGTTCTGGTAAGAATGGTTTCCCAGAGCATCCACACAGAGGTCAAGAAACTATTACTTTGGTTTTAAATGGTGCCATCGCCCATGAAGATTTCACTGGTTCTAAAGGTATTTTATACGCTGGTGATTTGCAATTCATGACTGCTGGTAAGGGTGTTGTGCACTCTGAAATGCCAGTTCCAAATCCAGATGGTTCTCCAACTGTTGGTTTACAATTATGGGTTGATTTGCCAAACAACATGAAAGGTATTAAACCAAGATACAGAGATTTGAGAGAATGGGAGATCCCAGAAGTTGTCACCGACAATGGTAAAGTTACTATTAAAGTCATTTCTGGTAGATCTCATGGTGTTGAATCTGTCAAAGAATTAGCATACACTCCTGTCAATTACTATTACTACAAAGTCAAAGCTGGTGGTAAATTTAAACAAGAATTACAAACCGGTTTCAACTATTGGTTATATGTCTTGAAAGGTAAGAACCTTGTATTGAATGGTGATACTAAAGTTGGTCAATATCAAAACGCTTTCTTCAACGAAGAAGGTGATTATATTACTGGTGAAAACGGTGCTACCAAAGACTCTAACGAAACTGAAGTTGAATTTATCTTAGTTGGTGGTAAGAAATTAAACCAAGAAGTTGTTCAATATGGTCCATTCGTTGCTAGTTCTAGAGAAAACATTCAAAAGGCTTTCCAAGATTACCAATACGCCAGAAATGGTTTTGAAAACATTAAAACATGGAGAACATTGATCAGTGGTGGTGTTACTAAAGAAATGATTGAAGGTCCATTAAATGGTAACCTCGAGAAGAGAGCTGCTAAGAAGCAAGCATATTTGGAAAAACAAGAAAGTAAGAAAATCGCTGCTGCCGCTGCCGCTGCACCAGCAGAGCCTGAACTTATAAAGGATGAATTATAGATTCCTTTATTGATCTCATTTTTCTTACGCTCATTCATTTGTTCATTGATTCATTGGATTTGGTAAATTTATTTTTATTCTTCTTTTATGTTATGTTAGGGTATTTTATAAAAATATATATATTATTAATTTTTTAGTTAGATTTATATAGTTAATGTTTATGTTATTCACTTAGAGTTAATGTCTTCAAGAAACGGAACAAATGAGACGCGTAGTAAAAGTAATACGCCATTCTGATAAAAATAGGCGTGTCGTGAATCGCCATAAAAAACAAAAGACATAAAAAAAAAATTACATGAAAATTTGATTCTCTACAAGCATCTTCTCCTCTTTCCAAAAAACCCAACAGTATGACCATGGCAGCATCTCAAAATGAGGCAGAATATTTAGCAACTGAGATACTTACCAACTCAAAACCAGTGACCTATCACAAGTTTTCCCGTCAATTAAACATACCAATTTCAAGGGCCAAAACTACACTACTCGAATATTATGAAAAGAATAAAGAGTCATTGACAGCAACTTTTATCATTACAGGGAGTACACAAACAGGGAAACTAATCAAGCTTTCAAATGAAGAGGATTTGGATTCAGATATAAAGAAATTCGATACTGTTAATTGTATACATATTTACTGTGTGTTTAAGAAACTGTCTCAATTCACATCAACAGAAATAGCAAGAGAAGAGTTGAAGTTCCCTAGCACTTTTGACAATGTTTCTGACTATGAAAAGAATGGTATGATTAAAGGTCCAAAATTAGAAGCCATCATTCAAGAAAGTTCTACAACATTCGCAGTTTCAAAATCCTCATCTCCATTGGCACTGAAGAAATCAGCACCAAAAACAGAACCAAAGAAAGAATCATCAATAAGTTCTGATCTCACATCATCATACGTTTCACGGAAACAGAATAACAATCAAAACAAACTTCCATTAAAGGGAATGACATCTGGTTATGTTTCACGTAAAAAGGAGTCTACTTTACCAGCCAAGAGAGCACAGACAGAACCACTGAAACCATCAATGGTATATAAATCTAGAAAATTAGAAGCCAAGTCTCCAAAAGAAAGAATAATTGTTTCGAATGATGATGATGGTATAGATAATGAAGATGACGAGCCAGTGAAAGCTTCCAAAGCTACAAATACTTCTGATCTTCAAAGAATGTTTGATGATGATGACTTTACTTTTAGTGATGATAACGAGGAGACTCCAAAGGAACAAACTGAAGAATTAAAGTCTGAAATAGGGGGTGATTCAATAGTGGAAGTAGATCCTCCGAAGGAGGTAAATCTGGTGAAAGAGCAAACTGAAGAACCAAATCTTTTTGTACCAGAGGAAGTTGAAGAAAATGAAACACAAGAGCCAGCTGCAAATGTCCAGGAAGAAGAGGCACAATTATTTGTTCAAGAAGAGGATGACGATGGTTATATTGTTACGAGAAAGGCGAAACCAGTAACCAAACCACCTAAGGCCAATAAACCTGTTCATAATACAGCTCCTTCTAAAATTAATAAACCAGTTACCGGTGCTAAGAAGGATGGAAAAAAGAGACAGGCTTCATTAATGGATTTCTTTGGTAAAAAGAAGTAAATACTCATTGCATGTAAAAGATTTCGGAAATGTAAAAAAAAATTGAAGTGATACAATTTTCTCAACTTCCGTAAGGAAAAAGTACATGTGTCTTTGCAACACAACTGTCTCTATAATTTTTAATACGATTTTTCTTTTTTTTTTATGTTGCTCACAGTGGTAACTAAATTTGCTACGAAACAAACTTTCATAATTTCAATAAAGTAAACCAATGTCACTTAGAGGTATAGCCAAGATAGTAAACTCTCGACTGAAAGTCGAAGGAACGGGGGCAAAAGTTCATAGATCATTAGGCATATATCAACAACGAAAGTTCAATCCATTTTTATTATTTGATCATTTTTCAAGCTCTGGAAATTCAGGGTTCCCAGCCCATCCCCACAAAGGTCATGAAACCATCACATATGTTTTGCAAGGAGCAATTGCCCATGAAGATTTTACTGGAGCTAAGGGAATATTATACCAAGGAGACTTACAGTTTATGACTGCTGGTAAAGGGATTATGCATTCTGAAATGCCCATAACCACCAAAGATGGACTCCCGACTACTGCTTTGCAATTATGGGTTGATTTACCTAAAGATAAACGTGATATGAAACCACGTTATAGAGATTTGAGGGAATGGGAAGTTCCTAATGTAACTGCTGATAAAGGAAAAGTATCCGTGAATGTTATATCTGGGAAAAGTTATGGTGTCGAATCGATAAAAGAATTAGCATACATACCAATTGACTATTTTCATTTTAAAGTAAAATCAGGTGGTCAGTTTAAACAAGATTTGAAGCCAGATTTTAATTATTTCTTGTATGTAATCAGGGGAAATACACTTGAGTTAAACGGTGATACTAAAATTGAACAATTCCAGAATGCTTATTTTGAAGAATCCGGTGATTACATAACTGGAAGAAACAATAGTGAAACCAATGAAGAAGTCGAGTTTGCATTAATTGGGGGAAAGAGGCTTGATCAAGAGGCATATGTGTTTGGTACATTCGTTGCTGATTCTGATGAAAATGTCAAACAAGGATTATTGGATTACAAAAACACAACCAACGGGTTTGAACGAGTGAAGACCTGGAAATCAGTAATCAGTGGAGGGATTACACAAGAAATTATTGATGGTCCTCTACAAGGAAGTTTGCAAGCTCGTGACGCCCAGAAGAAACAATACTTGAAATCTTTGGAAAAAGAAACTATACCTGTATAAATTGATAATTTATTAATATTACTATCCGTATTTATTAAATATATCCGTCAAAACCTTGTTTTACCATCAGTTGTCAATCATAGATCACCACCTCTTCTCTAAACGTGCACTTTTTGATTGTGCTTTTCTTTATTATTATATTTGTCCATCAACGAATGCCACAGTAATTTCGGAAGATCAAAAAGGTATTGACTAATTATACTATTCATATTTGTAATAGGCCAAATTCATGACTAGGTGCTGCTAACCATAAGCATAATAGGTGCACGAATCACGGAAATGGTTGCAAAAAGAAAGCGGCAATTTCCGCCACAATTTTTCTATTTAATGAACCACTGAGCCACAGTAATGAATCTATTCAATACTTTATTTGTATGGTATCTATTAGATATGTGCAATATCGAAAAAAAGTATTACTTGTCCGTATTCTTTAAGGAAATAGAATTATAAATATTTGTGTTGTTTCCCGTACTGTCAAAAAAATGATGATGCCTTGTGTATATTCAATTCCACAAAAATGTCACTTAGACCAATTGCAAAATTAGTTACATCAACACGTCTGGTTGAAGGTTCAGGAGCAGTAGTTTACCGCTCATTAGGTATTTTCAAACTGAGATATTGGGATCCTATTTTATTTTTTGATCATTTCACTGTCCATGGTAACAAGGGTTTCCAAGCACATCCACATATTGGACACGAAACCATCACCTATGTATTACAAGGAGCCGTAGCTCATGAGGATTTCACTGGTGCGAAAGGAATTTTGTATCCAGGTGATTTACAATTCATGACTGCTGGAAAGGGAATCGTTCACTCAGAAATGCCAGTTACTGGAAAAGATGGATCTCCAAGCAGTGGATTACAGCTTTGGATTGATTTGCCTGAAGATGCTAGAAATATTGAGCCCGGCTATAGAGATATGCCTGAGTGGGAAAGTCCAATTGTTAATTCTGATGATGGAAAGGTTTCTGTAAGAGTTATTTCTGGTAAAAGCTATGGTGTTGAGAATATTAAAAAATTGGCATATATTCCTGTTGAATTTTATCACTATACTGTGAAACCAGGTGGAAAATTCAAGCAAGAATTAAGATCAGATTTTAATTATTTGTTGTATGTCATTCGTGGTAATACTCTTGAATTGAATGGTACTGATAAAGTGGTACAACACCAAAATGCTCTCTTACAACAGGAAGGTGGTGATTTCATTGCAGGTGAAAATTTGAGCCATGAAGAAAAAGTGGAATTTGCACTTATTGGTGGTAAAATATTAGATCAAGAAACCCATAATCTTGAAACTATGGTCTCTGGTACTCAAAGAGGTGTTACAAATGGTATTGTTGATTATGTTTTAAAACGTAACGCATTTGAAAAACTTAACTCCTGGGAATCGTTAATTAGTGACGGGGTAACTGATGAAATGATTCAAGGTCCATTGAATGGTAGATTGGAAGTTCGTGAAGCTAGAAGAAAGGCTTATTTTGAAAACTTGAAGAAAGAAACTACCCCTGTTGAAATTAATAAAGACATATACTTAGAAGAAGTTAAGAAAGAATCTGTAGCTGCTTGATTTGTATGAATATATACGGTAAATTAATGATACTTTATTCTCTTTGATCAGATAAAGAATCCAAATAGTGCCTGGCTCTAAAAATGTGATTTCTCTAGAATATAACAATCAATGACAGCATATAGAACTATAAGTTGATGGTCCCAATATGAGTAAGTTTTCCACACACTCACCTACTATGAGTGATCTTACTCTCTAGTAACAACATTCACCAGCCAATTATAGCGCAATGAATAACCTTTACGTCATATCGTTCGCGCTCTCTTTTTTTTTTCTGGCATCACAATGTCTTTCTCTTTATTGCATTTCCGGATGTGGAAAGAAACGTTTTTAATTTTTCCTGTGACTTCCGGTGCACATACATACAAACTAATGTCAAGAACAAATTTCCAACACTAAAAAGAAAGAAAATCCGAATTATTGGCAATTCCGGTCACCATCTTGACAAATCAATTTAATAATCAACATCCGAACGGCTGACAAATCCGTATGGAGATCATGAAAAACAACTGGAAATAATGGAAAACAAAAACAAAACAAGACTTCTAGACAATTCCAGTGCATTCTCTGCAGCTGTGTGTGGCACATTCACGAAGAGGTATAAATATAGATAGAGTTTCCTGCTTCCCCTGATTTTCTCCAACAAAAAATTATTCTAATCATTACTCACTTTTCTTTTGATAATTTTGATTGCTAATCTCAAAACTATTGCTATAACAACAACAACAACTACCACTACTACAACTACAAAAACAAAAACAATGTCAGCTAGATCAATTGCTAAAATCGTCACTGCTAGACAGCAAGCCGAAGGTGTTGGTGCCAGAGTCAGAAGATCCATTGGTATCATGAACCAGAGAGAGTTCAACCCGTTCTTGATGTTTGATCATTTTTCCAGTTCCGGCACCAACGGGTTCCCAGAACACCCACACAGAGGACAAGAAACCATCACGTTGGTGTTACACGGGGCCATTGCCCATGAAGACTTCACTGGATCCAAGGGTATTTTGTATGCTGGTGATTTGCAATTCATGACTGCCGGTAAAGGTATTGTGCATTCTGAGATGCCAGTGCCTAACGCTGATGGGTCGCCAACTGTTGGGTTGCAATTGTGGGTGGACTTGCCGGATGCGTTGAAGAACTGTGCTCCTAGATACAGAGACTTGAGAGAATGGGAGATCCCACAGGTGGTAACAGATGACGGTAAGGTGACCATCAAGGTTATTTCAGGAAGATCACACGGAATTGAGTCCATCAAGGAATTGGCGTACACACCTATCAACTACTACTACTACAAGGTGAAAGCTGGTGGTAAGTTCAAACAAGAGTTGCAACCGGGATTCAACTACTTCTTGTATGTGTTGAACGGGAACGATTTTGTATTGAACGGAGACACCAAGGTAGACCAGTACCAGAATGTGTTTTTTGAAGAGAAGGGAGATTACATCACCGGTGAGAACACAGCCAGTGAAGACAGCAAGGAGTCGTTAGTTGAATTCATTTTGGTTGGTGGTAAGAAGTTGGACCAGCAGCTGGTTCACTATGGGCCATTTGTTGCCAGCTCGGAACAAGGTATTGAGGATGCTATCATCAGCTACCAGTATGCGCAGAATGGGTTTGAAAACAGAAAGACCTGGAAGACGTTGATCAGTGATGGTGTGACACAGGATATGATTGACGGTCCATTGGAAGGTAGTCTTGAGAAGAGAGAAGCCACCAAGAGTGCATATTTAGATAAACAAGAAGACAAAGCAGCTGAGAAAGTCTAGATGGTTCTGTGTATAAGTTTATTTTTAGTTCTGATGTATATTTATTTATTAATTTATGTTATGTTATTTTTTTGTTGACGGTTATGTCTGTTGGATGCTTAAAAGATTCTGTAGAACGTGGTTGAATGTTTGGATATTGAGCGAATGTTAAGAAATAGAATTCCCGTTTTTGACTAGATACGTACACATCAACTTGTAGACAATGAGCATCAGAGGGCATTTTGTAGTATATTTATTTCAACTCTAACTAGTGTGTGTAGCATTTTTTTATGTTTATTATTGATTTTGTTTTTGAGGAGAAAAACGTTTCACGCTGAGGTATTTAACGGCAAACTCCACAACTATTAAAGTAAACCATGAAACAGATTCACCTTCTGATCGTTAATTTTATAAATAGATATTATGTCCAGAATTAGAAATTATAGTAAAAAACATGTTGACTCTCATTTTTGGTTTATGATCGCCGCGATGTAACCTAAAACAATGTTTATCTTAAAATGAACTCAATGTAGTTTATAATACAACTTTTTCAATTCCTCTCATCTGGTTTAAACGACAAAAATTGATATATTTTTAATGGCGGAGAAGTTCAAATATTAAAGTTTATAATTTGATTATCTCTAAATAGAATAAAATGTTGTCACATTCCATGTGGTAGACACGGCTCTACTATGTTAGATGCCATTTAGTATATTAATTCTAACTATAGAGTGCTAATATCATTTAAATCTATAAAGCCTCAGACATGACATGAAGGCTTTTTATTTCAAAGTCAAAGACTTGAATAAAACCATTTCCTCATGACACGATACTTATTTCTTAAAATAACTAATGATGAACCATTTTGGGAATAAGTTCAATATTTGTGTCTTTAGTGGTTTTCGATACTATGATCATCACCCGCATCTACGACAGATTTTTTTTTTTTTTTCATTTTGCAACTCACTTCCGAAAAGGGAAATAATTTCTCATCAAATATAACTTGATCAAGTAATGTAAAAAAAAAAAACGAAAATATTGCCTAGTATATTTTTAAAAATACTCCAATAGCATTCGAGAGTATACAATAGGTAACTACCTAAGGTTTAGTTGTTATACGATTCAATATATAAAAGATGATGGTTAGTACGAGATTTGAAGTGGGCTTTTTTTTGGATCTCTTTTTCTTGTTTTCTTTTAATTTCTTCTGTAATCAATCAACTATCTTCTAATCCTTTCCTTTATAATCATTAAATTGAATAAATAATCCATTCGTTATGAAAGTCTCAACTTCAACTACTTTAGCTATCTTAGCTACCTCCACAGCTGCATCAGCTGTTCCTGGTAGAGTTCTTGACTTGCCAGAAAGACAATACTCCGTAAAGGGCTTATCCAAAAGAGATGACAAAAGTTTAACCGAATTGGCACAATATATCAACAATTATAAGGCAAAGAGAGAAGCCATTGATGAAGAACTTATGAAGAGAGATTATGCTATTGTTACAGATGTTTTAACTGCCATTAATCAAACTCAATTGGCACCTAAAGTTTTAGATTATTTTGTTTCTAATCCAATTTTCCAAACAATTATTGTTCAAGTATTTGTTGCTGTCATGAAAAGTGGGGTTATTTCCTTGGAAGCAGTTTTAGAAGCCTTGACTAGATCAAATTTGGCAGTCAATGTTATTAATGATTTAATTAGTGATTGTTCATTATATGTTCAATTATTTGATGCTGCCAAGGGAGTTATTTCTAACCTTGCTGATAAAGTTAAGGAATTAATTTCTGATGGTGTCTCTTCATTGATTGGTAGAGATGAAGAAGAAGATCCATTGGCCGCTTATGTTATTGACTTGGAAAAGAAAGTTGACTTGGATACTGTTGTTGATAATTTATTAGATTCTTTATACAAATCTGGTTTGGCTACATCTGTTGTCAAAGATATTTTGACTAACTCTGATTACATTCCATTTGCTGTTCAATTGATTGTTTCAATGTTGGCTAATCACTTAGTTGACGTGAGTAATATTCTTAGTGCTTTGAAGGATTCTGGTTTAGCCGTTCAATTATTCCAAAGACTTTTGAACTTTCTGACTTTACAAACTGTTGCTTCTACTGCATTTGCTGCATTTGCTGGTAAATGTCAAGATTACCAAGGTCCAACTAGTAGCTCTTCTGGTACTACAACAGCTTCAACTGGTGGTCTCCTTACTGGAAGTTCTGGCTCTAGTTCTGGATCTGTTTCAAGTGGCAGTGATTCTACAAGTGGAACTGGAAACACCGGTGCTTCTGTTGCTGGTCCTTGTAAAAGAAGAGTCAGAAGAAGAAGAAGAAGAAATTACTAAGAGCCGGACTCCATATGCCATTTCACTCCTTTATTATATTGATATTCTTTTAATGATTTACTGAATAGCAATACCCAAAAAGAAACCACATTCTACTATATTGTAAACTATTGCAGGTAGTTTTACTATTGTGTGTTTTCCTTACAAACAAACAAAGAATACCATAATCCAACAGGCTAATTTTCATCAAAATAAAAACAAAAATGGAATATCCATGCTACTATAAATTCTTCTTTTCTTCTAGCAATCACGTTATACAATTATCTTCTTTTTTAGTTTTATTTTTTCTTCTTTTTTATAGTATATTTTCTTTTTATATAATTATGTATATCTTTTATTCGACAGTTTAAGTTTCTTTCAACACCTTTATATTCGTATGTAACTGACGGCAATGTGCATATTATATTTTCATAAATAAAAGGTTAATGATCAAGAGAAAAGATAACGAAAATCTCGTGTGTTGATTGAATTGGGTGACACTGTGCATAATAACTTTGGATGGCCCCTATAATTACTAGTAGTATAACTGAGCAATGTAAAATAAAATACTAACCAGTACTTTGCAACTGTTTAAATGTAAAACAAGATCTACAGTCTCTGGTTACAGGTCTAGATTATCGGCATATGTATTATCAAAGTGTTGTTGTATTGTATTGATTGATTAAATAAATGTAAATGCAATGGTCAAATAATACTTCACGTTGATAATTGGATCAGTAGGTAAAGTTTAACATCTTGCCTAATTCGGTTAATGTAACATTGTCCAGGGTTTTAAATTTGTTTTGTTTTCGTCTTAATTTGGGATTTTTCTTACTTTTCTCTCTCTCTCTTTGATTACAAGTCGTGCCCCAACCAAGAAAAGCCAAACTGAACAATAAAATATATTTTGGGACACAAGAAAAACACCACCTGCATATAATGCATAGAAATTCTAGCCTTCTGTTATTGTGTTGTAAAAAAAAAAAAATTATTTGTTAGAGGATCAAATTCGCGGCGCAAACAAGCGTGTAGATTTTCATTAAACACGAAAGACACGACGTGGAATGAATTGAAAATCAATATGAGAAGTTTTTACACCGAAGGATAAATGATAGAAATTAAAACCCGGGATAAGATAAAGTGTGGATGAATTCATTTTTATTAAAATTAGACGAAGGATAAATATACACTTTGTTGAATAGTGGGGGGGGGAGGACAACGAGAAACACACAGAGAGAGAACATCAAAGTAGAGCAAGTAGGCAAAAGACGACGAGGTTGATGAGCCATCGCATTAAATGTGAAAATAGCTAAACTGCACCACACAAAAATGACGACGCACAATTCAGTGATTTGGCGACGATTCACTTGACAGCCTCCCTCCAAAAGATAAAAATTATAATAGTAAAAAGGAGAATTGTAAACAGAATTCCAAGTTTTTACAAAATCACACACTGAGAGAGCAAGAGAAATAGAGACAAAGACAAGGACAGGCAGAAAGAAATAAAGAAAGAGAGTGAGATTTTTTTTTTTGATTCAGTAAAATTAAATTAAATTAAATTTAAAATTCAGAACGGCAGCCAAAAGAAAAGAAAAGAAAAGAAAAAATAAAACAAAAACCCATTTCATTTCAATCCATTTCATTTCAATTCAATTCATTTAGAAAAAAAAATTTGTAGATCTCATTTGGGAAACCTTTTTCTTTATAATTCATTTCATTAATATCTAAAAGAAAAGGAGTTCAACTGTTGTTCGAACCAAGTGTATATCCAAATTCACACTCCTTAACACATTCATATACACACACACCAACTATTATTCATTCGTTAATATTTCAAATTTTTTTTTTTTTCGTCTTTAGCGTGTTTACATCATTTTCATAATTTTTTTTGGTCGTCGTTTTGCATTATTTCTACATCATATCATATCATCATTCATAAAACTCCTTTGGAGCATTAAAGAAGAACATTGTTAAAATTCTTTCACTAGTTTACTACACTCAATAACAAAGAAAAACCATCCACAGCAATGAGTAAACCTTACGGAGGAGTAGATGCAGAAGAGGAAGATCCGAAACACAGCTCAGTAAACGTCCAAACGCACCGACAGGACACGAGACAACAACAGCAACAACCATCATCATCATCATCCCGCCAAACCTTTGATGAAGGATCTTCACAACTTAAATCTTCAGGTTCTGAATCAACAGATTTCACTTCCCCATCAAAATCACTAAAAAGTTTCTTTTTCAAAAACAGACTATCGTCTTATTCAATTGATAGTATTACCGAACATCCAGAACTAGAGGGTTCTTCATCTCAACAACAACTACATGCAGAAGATATCCCTCCTTTGTCTTCCTCCGTTCCAGATCGTAGTAAGAAAGCCTCAATTGGCAGCATAGAACTCACACCGACCAAATCCCCAAGATTACTGAATTTTAGTTTACGACCAATGTTTATGAGATCCAGATCTTCAGGAGTATCAGATACAACGACAGGAAGTACTTCAAACCTACCACCAACATTAACCTCACAACACCAACAAGCATACGAGACACCAATAGTATTGGGACAACAGCGTCGAACTACAATTGAGGATTTTGCAGATACTGAGTCTGAAGCATCCGACACTAGCGGAGAACACAAAACTGTAAATCATAATCAAAAAGATAAAGTTGAAGATGATGAAGAAGCAGAACGTGCTGACTCCATAAATTCTCTTCTACAAGAATATAACTACCGACAGTCTGGAACAGGAACACATGAAAGAGAAAGTAAACAATTTGTGTTTAAAGAAGAATTTGATGATAGCTCAATTAAAACAAAGTCAAGACCTACCAGTAGGATCTTTTCAGCAGAAGAGAATGAAGAATTGAAGGCAGAAATTATGAGACATGGATCCGTCAGAAGTTCAGGGTCTGCTACTTTAAAAACAGCAAAGGGAGGGATTAATAGAAGTGCTGCACAACAACAATACATTGATACCCATTTGGCACAACAACATCTTGGTGACACTAGAAAACATATTGAAGTCATTGATCCTAACATTCCTAATGAACCTTCAAGTGCAACCACAGTGGAAAGAGTAGAAGACGAAGAACGAGAAGCTAGCACTCCGGGAAGTGGAATTCAAGAAGTAGTTAGTGATGATTCACCTACTGTTTTGAATAGATTATCAAGAGCATCCAATGATAGTAGTAGTGGTGCCAGTGGAGCTGGCGTTACTCCAGGACAATATAACGAGAATCGAAGTAGTACTGCCAGTAGTGCCAATTCACTTAGGTTTAGAATTTATAACGACAAGATTGAACCAATAAAGCAACAACCTTTGACATCATCAAAACATATCAGTACATCAACTACTTTTGCTGAAGCAGCAGCAGTCGCAGCCGTTGCTAGTGGAACAGCTAGTGCTGGATCAAACCCAGCAAATAGATCTTCTTTAAGAGCATCGATTGCATTTAGTGATGAAAGTGATTTTGAGGCCAAATATCCTGAACCAACCATTACACCATCCCAAACACCACGTGTAACAAGAGATAGTGATAGTTCACCATCGAGTGGGAAGACAAATTCGGTTAGTAACAATAATAGTAGTATTTCATATGAAGTTCCTGCTGCAATAGCTGGTCTGTTGCCAAGATCATCATCAGGTAGTAGTATTCAATCCAGTAGGAGACCTACACTGTCGCAACAACTGACACCTACCAAGCAGTTACAATCAAGGTTACAAGAGCAGCAACATTTTGCTGATGATAGTGATAAGACTAGAACTACAACAACTGGTGGTGATCTAACTTCTACAGGTATGTTTAATGAGACTATGATCAAAGAAATGCGCCATAGAAGTTTAGCACATTCTTCAATGTCATCAGGCGAATTATTACAAAATTTGGAGCAATCTTATGATTATTCTAAAAGTCAAGATAATAGTGGTAACAGTGAGGATCGGTCATCTGCACAACAAAACACATCACAACTGCATGAACAACAACAAGAAGAGAAACATAAACAACAACAGGATACTGAATCCAAAAGAAGTTCACAATCTCAAGGTTCTCCTGTAGTGTATCAATTCAATATTAGAGATCTGCGAGTTCCACCCCCAATCCAGTCTCCACCGCTGGTTAAGCCAAGTCCGTATGCACAATTAGTGTCCCCAGATTCATTAGAGGACGATGATATAATTAGAGCGTCTGCCCCACGTTCTATTGAGATTCCAATTAGCGATAAAGAAAGCTCTGATGCAAGAGATCTTACCCTTGTTGGGGAAAACATGACTGCGGGTTTGGATTCAACCAGTGACTTACCTGTTATGTTGTTTAAAGTTCAAGATAGAAATAGTCAGAATCAAAACCAGAGCCATGCTCAATATATTGACGATGAGAATTCTGACGGATCACTGGGAACTGGTGTAAACACGAGTGGTTCCACCAATGCAAGTTCTGGTGGCTCAGCCGTCCTTGGGACTGGTTCTGCAGCTGCTGTAGCTACTGTTGCTGGTACTTCTGCTGCTGTTAAACAAGAAACTAGATCTAGTGGAAGTTCAGATAATTCAATTAGAAATATTGTAAACAAGCATTTTAAAAACATTGGAGATTCCGTCAATTTGAAAAATAGACCAACTTTGGTTGCCATTGGTAACAATAATAATAGAAGTCCAACCAATAGTCAAACCAATGGTAATAATCAATTAAACACCTTTGATGAGAAGGAGCTTATTCAATTGCCTACACCAACTGGAGATATTGAGAGTCAAGATAGTGAGTTGGTAGAATATCCATGGTTAAACTGGTGGTTTTTAATGATTCTTGGAATACTTATTCCGCCATTATTCTTTTTAGTTCCTGCTGGAGTATTAGATGGAAGCTTCACAGGATTAAGATATGCCGATAAAAAATATAGAAAATTCAACAAGAAACAGAAAATCATTAGTTTTGTATTAGGGTTAATTTGGATTTTAATTGTATTAGGAATGATTGGTGTCGGGCTTGGAGTAGGGCTCACACGAGAACCATAATATTAATTATTAATAAATTAATTAGAATGTATTAATAGAAATAGTAATTATATTTAGCGATAATAATAGTAATAATAATACCCTTAGTTATTTATATTATGTTCTTTTTTTATCATTCTGTAGAGAACATCAAACGACTAAAAGATATATCTCGTCGTTTTCAAGAATATAAGTATACAAAAGGGTGCGTTTTGAATTGCAAAATAAAAATAAAAATCACTCAAAACAGGAAGTAATGGGAAATTAAATTAAACTTAACGGAAAAACCGTGATGTTGGTGAAAAATCTCAATTTATTCGTAATAGCCGGATTTGTGTGTGTGTGTGTGTGTGTGTGTGAGGTGATTGTTAGTAAAAGAAAATGCCTCATGATTTTGAATATAGAAAAAATATCAAACCAAAACCAAAGCCAAAACCAAAGGTTACAAAGAACAACATGAGACGTTGATGATAGAAAAGTTCATATTAAATTGACCAAAACGAGAGTAAATGACCTTATTCCTACTTTACCGAGATTACACTAACTGATACCCTCATTTACATATGTAGACTTTCTCTATGGGCGGTTCATTTTAATTTTAATCTTTTTGAATTGATTTTGTTTTTCGGATCCGAGGGTGAATGGGAATTAGGAGGGATTGCACATATTTAAGTTTCCTTAAGAATATTTGTGCAGCAAATATCACGTTGGATGCCTACTTTTTTTTTGGTAATAAAGTAGTAATTGCTAAATGATGGGTGTGAGTGAATGAGTGAGAGAGTGAGTGAGAAATAGGAGCCAATAGAGTCACAGTTGATTACTTATTAGTTGATACATAATTGTAAGCAAACATTGATTTAATCCCATGACTTATCTGAACTACTCTTTAACAAGGTTTTATCTTTCTTTTGTAAATAATAAGCTTTGAATCAGGGAACGATAATAAAAGTTTACACACAGCCGACAAACTTTCAGCACTTGATTCAACATAGTAAAACAAGAATAAAAGAAAAGAAAAGAGCAACTTATTCTACACTAGCACAGAGACACCCACAAACATACAGGCACACACACACACGCACACACGCAAGATATATACACTTTTTATATTGGTTGTTTGAGCGGGTGATTGAATCAACGAAAAAAAAAAAGGGAACAAAAAAGTTCTCTCTCTCTGTTCCTCTCCAGTTCCCTTTTTGTAATTCCATGCTTTAAAGATTACTCTTATTTTTTTTTTTTTTTTTTACAACAATCTTTTTCCTTTTGAAATCTATTGTCCAGTTGGATTTATCAACATATTTTCATTACACATACTTCTTGTTGGTTTTCTTTATCATCATCAACATCTATTTATCATTTAACCAATTAATTTTGGGTTCCATGCATTTCGAGAACTTATCATTAGTACAGCCTTCAAAGTATATATATTAAAATTTCTCCCCCTTTTTTTTTTCTTTTGGTTGTCTATCCTGATTTAGTCTTATTTCTTAATCTTTTAGTTTTATTTTTTAAGGAACTTTTTTTTTTTGGTTTTATTGATTGATTCATTACTAATTCATCAACTTGAATACACCCCCGTTGGAATCATTGTTAGTTATATAGTTTATCATGGGTAATGTTCCTACAAAAGAAGCAAGAAGTAGATCTTCTTCCTCAGTTTCTGATTATTTGAATTCATCGTCCAATACACCAACAACATCGTCATCTACAACGTCAAAACGAAGAAATACTACTTCGGCTCTATACGGAGTCGTTTCATCACATCATCGATCTGGGTCAAGTGATTTAAGAAAATTAAAGAAACAAGAAGAAAAAGACCGTGCTCAACAACTTCATTACATGCAACTCATTGTTAAATTTGATGAAAATGTTGATGGAGGATATTTGGCCCCTTATGGTACTTACAAGTCAAATCTTGATTATGATTGTGACATTGTTCGTAAATTAATAATTAATCGCCAATTGTCTCCATTTTTCACTCCGTTGCAAGATTTTGATGAAAGTTGGACTGATGATGAATTGTGTATATTGTTGAATCAATCTCCGTTACACGCATTAGAACCTGGATTTGATAATGAAGAAGAACTTGATGATATTGACAATCATAAAATCCACAAATCGTCCAACTATTATAAACGTCAAGAGGAAAAAGCCAAATTAAAGACATTAATTGCTAAAGTTAAGGATTTACAAAAGGAAGAAGAGCAAAGATTTCTTGAAGAGAAACAAAGTCATACAAATAAGGACTGTCCAAGTAGAGATTTGTTATTAAGATTATACCGTGATGCTAGTGAATGTCCTATCTGTTTCTTGTATTACCCTAGACATTTAAATGTTTCTCGATGTTGTTTGCAACCAATTTGTTCTGAATGTTTTGTACAAATTAAACGATTGGATCCACATCCTCCTCATGATGACAACTCAAATTCGGATGCCAATGAACTACCTCACACATTAATTTCTGAGCCAGCCAATTGTCCATATTGTGCTTCCCCAGATTTTGGGGTTACATATGATCCACCTAAAGATATACATACAGGCATTAATGGCACCAAACCAGGAGATTACAAGACCAGTGCAGCTATCATGGAAGTTTGTACAGATGATGAATCAGAAGAAGCAACGGTTGGCACACCCAAACAGCAAATTATTGGTTCTCCAACTCCACCTCCAGTTATGTCATCTCCACGTAAGAAGACTATGAAAAGACGAGGTTCATTGGCTGCAAATGCAGCCGGGGTTATTACAATTGATAAGATACGACCAGACTGGGAAGCCAAATTGAATTCGGCACGAAGCAAATTAGCTAGAAAGGCGGCTACTGCTAGTGCAATTCATGCATCTAATTTGTTACTTGATGAAGAGGGAGGTGCTAGTAGCCGTGGTGGTGGTGCTAGTGGAAATGGTAGAAGAAGAAACGATTCGAATTCATCAAGGGCAAGATCGAGCACCACTGGATCAAATAGCAATGGTTATGCTGCAGTTGAGCAAAGAATGATTGAAGAAGCCATGAGATTATCACTTATTGATGAAGAAGAACGAAAGAAAAAAGCATCTAAAGAAACAAAGAAATGATGATGAAATGACTTAAAGAGAAATACATAAAAATAAATAATAATTAAAGAGGAATTTTTTTTAAAGGAGAAATCTTCCATATCCGCACTAATAGTTGTAAAATTTTTTTTATAAAGGAATGTACGTATGTAAATTTGAATTTGATTTCAAAGTTTAAGGGTTTGCAATAAATTGATAAGACACAAGCACTAAAATAATGAAATTGTGTCTTGTAAAAGCCACCATGTTATGATTGTATTTCAATACCTTCGGTATTCACCGAAATTATCAGCACCTAGTATTTACTCTCTTCAACGAAGTGATATGACGTTAATCATAATCAGTAGCAATAATCACATATACGACCAATCACACGTGTACAGCGTATGTAATGTTTGTGTGTGTGTGTGTGTGTGTGTGTGTGTGTGTGTGTGTGTGTTTGACACACGTGATGGTAGTAAAGAAGTACCAAGAGATGTGTCTGTGAATATAATTAAGGGTTTTATGAAACAAGAAAAAAGTATAATTAAATTGAATTACACATAGACTTTTTTTTTATCAGGTCAAGTCCAGTAATCCACTATCACCCAGTAGTTGCAAATATATATAAAAAGTATTTGATTTTTAATTTCGTTTAAATTTTTGAAACATTCTTGATCTTCATAAGATGTCAAATTAAATTGATCTAGATTTGATTTAGGTTTAAATTATTGATTATGATTTATGAAGATTTCTTAATTGAGTGAAATTTATTGTTTCAATTAATAACGCACGACATTTTTCATTTGCTTGTTTTCAAAAATAATAATTATAAATTATGTGTATTACGAATCTTTGTGTACACAAAAAAGAACAAAAAAAAAAAGATATACAAAAGTTAAAAAAGAAGAATCAGGGTCTTTGTTTTATATATACATATTCGATACAATGATGTATTGAAATATTTGTGTTTGGTTGTTAGGAACAACTAAGGTAATAAGAACACAATAAAACATAATAAAGAGATATCATGGGGTCCAACGATGATATTGATGAGTTTGATATAGATGATGATGATAATGGTCATATTCACTTCATACACTATTGATTGAATTTTATGACATTGGATTTTTTTATATATATATTTCTTTTATCATGTAATATTATGGCTTTCGGGATGAGAGTAATGCAATTATCTTCCGAAATAATTGAATTCTTAAGGCGGGAAAACAAAAAGTAAAAATTATCATGTTTGTTTTAGTTTATAGTTCTTCAATTGTTTGATATTCATCGTCTAATATATGATCTACCAATGGTGTATGATAATATCCAATTTAACCTCTTTGAGCTAATTGTAAGTCTGGAACATGATATTTTGATGATTCGAAAATCAATTTATGACATTAAATTCAAAAAAGACTCAAGTTGTTTCACGTCTTTCGTGAATAATGAAAAAAAAAAAGAAAACAAAGTACGGTTACATAGCTTTGTTTTATGTTGATATGCAATAGAAAGAATTGAAATGAACCTAGAACTGTTGAACGAAGAAGAGTCAATGAATGTAATGTTCTGAATGAGGCGGGTTACTGAATATGTTCCTATTGGTGGAGAAAGTGAGCTCCTGAAAATCAATTTCCCCCTATTAGGGGGAAAGAGGACAGGAAAAACAAAGAAGAGTAGATCGTGCCTGAAATCTGAAATCTGAAAACAGGCAAATCGAAAACAAAAATAAATAATAAAAAAAAATAAGACGCGACATTTGACAACAACAACAACAACAACAATAGGGAGAGAGAAAGAGAGAGACAAAGAAAAAAGAAATTTTTCGTTTAATATTTTTTAGTTCTAGTTAGGTCCCTGTGTCGAAAATTGGGTTTTGTTCAATGAATGTTTGTACTATACCTGTAATTTAATTCAACCATATAATTAACACAAACCAATGTTTGATTTAAGAATGTACATATTATCCATTCTTTCTTTCTTGAATGATAGTCAAACCTATGAGCAACTCTCCTTGGCTATTCTTCGTGGTTCTTAATTCTTCTACCGTTTATACACCAACAGTGTATCACCAGGAACAACGGGGATAATCTTGAATAAATGTCGTTTGTTGTTAACTGTTCACCAACCCCCTTTTTTTATTTCTTTGTAGTACGTAACAATCTTCGCTTATTTGGTCAACGTAACTGTACTGTTCAATTGATGTGCTTGAATAAGAAAAAGAAAAAGAAACAAAGAAAAAAAAAAGAATCTGACACACATGAACACACATACACACAACCGCGCTGATTTTAACTACAGATCTAGAATTCTTTATTTACTACGTCATTGAATGAAACGGTTCAGTTGACGATATTGTTGATCCTATTGTACAATTGGTAGATGATGAGTTTGAAGACATCAAACTTTATAATAGAATGAATTACAACCAGATAAGCCAAAAAAAAAAAAATATACACCGAGTCACTCTGTTTTAGTTCATGTTAGTGAAACCAAGAATGCAAAGATTAAATTTTTTCCTAGCTGTGATTCTGGTTCTGTGCCGTAATTAAGAAATAAAACAACCAACAAAAAATTTTTTTGCGACATTAAATTACACACACACACACACACAGAGACAATTGGTTGTAAGAAATCAAAATATAAATAATTCATAATCTAACCAAACAATTTTGGGTTTTTTTTTTTTTTTTGCTTTATTCTTAATAGTAATATTATTTTTGGTTTGGCAACCCATTTACAACCAATCCTTCTTTTAATTTATAGAGTGAACGCTAGGTGATTACTTTCGTTCTGTTGATAACATGTCTGTGACTACCACAATTGCTGCTACAACAGTAAACCATTTTCAAATTACACATAGGTATTCTAGTGCTGCTGAATTACCAATTAAACGTGTATACAATCCTGACAAACATAAATTCGTACAAAAAATTAAACTACCTAATGATATAGCCACTCCTTTACAATCAGATAGAATTGATCTAAAAGTGAAGATTTGTGGTGTGAATTATCTACTGGATTTTAATACTACTAACAATACTGTTATTCCTGGTAAAAGAATCATTGGCAAAATATCCGGCTTTCCAAATTTAATGTTTTTGGTATTTCCATTTACTACTTGTAAGCTAGAAGGAATTCACCCTCATAATAATACATGTAAATGCAATTTAACATATGGTGAATCAATTGATGGCGGGTTGCAAGATAATATAAATGTTTGTACAAGATCACTAATACCCATTCCTTTAAATGTTAGTCTTCATGATACATGTTTTATATTTGATATATTGACGGTATTTTATAAATTCGTGAATTATTTAAAACCTGGAAGAACTATTATTTTATTGAATGATTTACAAAAGGAATTAAATGACATTTTGATTGTTTTAAAGCATTTTCATATTCAATCAAATAAAGTTGCAATCATCGATAAATCTATGGTTGATACAAAATATAACAATAAATTCGATGTGGTTTATTGTTTTAATCATGATTTATTGCAACAAGCTCAAGATTATTGTGTATCTACGGAATCAAAAACCACAAAACCAAATAGTACCATATTGACAAATTTCAAGACCAATGTGACTACAACAGATAAACACTACAAAACTATGGATTTGACATATTCTGATAAACGTTTAGCAATGGATGTTCTACTGATATTGTCCAAACTAAATAAACAAAGAGATGAAAAGGAATATAACAATGTTAGTAGTGGTAATACTTCTCAACATGATAACATTTCATTGGTACATTCTACAACATCAACTAATTCAGGAAGTAGTACCAAACATCACCATTATTCATGGATTTGGTATGATCAAGATGTTGATTTACACAATTATCATAACTTACATGAATATGAAGATGAAGATGAAGATCTTGATCTTAATGAATGTGAAAATCATCAAAATCGTATAATATACCAAATGAATCAATTACTAAATCAAAAAACATTAAAAAGAGTATGTTATTTCAATAGAAAACCTAAAAAATCATTAAACGCTTGTATTATTTAATAAGTCTATAAAGTTCTTTATATATATGAATAAATGAATAAATATTTATTTATTTTAGGCATTACCTAATTCTTTAAAACTATCAGTTAAAATTGATCTTAATTTATATAAATTCAATACTCTTAATTTTTCATCCTTTAAATGAGCATTATCGCTTGATTGACCACATGGGATTTGTGCTGCTTGGGCATTAAAACATTTCTCCAAAAATCTAATTGAAGGGATAGTACCACCTTCTCTGATAAATAAAGGTTCTTGACCCCAATGTTTGACGATATTATTATATAATATTGAATATACTTTATTTTGATAATCACCCAACCATGGTTCAGCTTCATGGAAAATTTCAATCAGTAAATGATTATCAGATTTTAAATCTTTGAAATTTTTAATTAATGAATCAATAAGTGATTTTTTAATAATTTCTAAATCTTGATTTGGTACTATTCTCATGGATATAGTTGCATTAACTAATTGTGGAATAACGGTATTATTATTTGGACCAGAAACTTGAATCTTATGAATGGTTAAAGAAGGTTCTTTCCATTTAACAATTAATGTTTTTGCATCGATTCCTAAATAATCAGCAATTTTATCATAAAGTTTTTCACTATCTTTATCTAAAGGTAATACATTATCATAAAATCCAGGTAATTGAATTTTTTTACTCACAGGATCCATTAATTTACTTAAAATATGCATCATATCCATTGTTGGTTCACCAGAAACTCCACCATCAACACCTGAATGACGATCAGGTTTATCCGATTTAATAGTAATTGAAGCATTTATAACTCCTCTTAATCCATAATTTAAACATGGTGTAATATCATCTAACCAATATGAATTACTCAACATAATCCAATCAATTTCTCCAATTAATGATTTATTTTCACTAATAACTTGTTGAAATCCAACTGATCCACATTCTTCTTCACCTTCAATAACAAATACAACATCACAATTTAATTCTTGTTTTTCATATAATTCTGCAACAGAATAAATTGCTGCTAATGTTGGACCTTTATTATCCGAAACTCCTCTTGCATAAAGATTACCTTCTTTTGGTGTTAATACAAATGGATCAGTACTCCAATCAATAGCTTCATTTTTAGTAGCATCAACAACATCATAATGAGCATACCACAATATTCTAGTTTTCTTGGTAGTATCTTTAACATTTGCATTGGCTTTAAATTCACTAACAACTATTGGGTTACCATTTTCAACAGGTAATAATTTAGTTTGATAAGCTCCAAATTTATTTAATAATTTAGATAAAAATTGTGCACAATGACGACTTTCTTCTAAATATAATTGTGGATTCTTGCTGATTGTTTTATAAGAAACATATTTCTTCAACATACATAATAAATCATCATTGGTTAATTTTTTAGATATTGAATTTGATAAAGAAGAAGAATTTGCCGGTGATGTGATTTGTTCTTTAAAATTATTTGGTTCAGAAATATCCCAAAGTGATAATGATTTAGTACCACCAGCAAGTAAGAAAGTTTTTGAATCAATTGAAAATGTTTTAACAGCATTAATAATTCCATCTTCTTCAGGTACACTCATCATTATACCATCGGAAAGATTTGAAGAATTTGTCATGGTTGATAATTTAACTAAACCTGATGATGAACATGCTTTAAAAATTGAATTATTATAAACATCTAAACTTAAAACTTCATCATAATTACCTCCAAATTGAAAAGATCTAATCATTTGTAAAGTTACTAAATCCCAAACATTAATTGAACAATCACCTAATCCAACATAAAGTAAAGAATCTTGAACTTTCATGGATAATACTGATTCATCATTTTCCAAACTAGCATATTTTTTCAAAGTATTGTTACCAAATGTCCAAATATTAACTAAACCATCACCACCTCCAGATAACAAGAAATCTTTATCATTTGAATTATTAATATTTATATTATGAACAATTTCCAAACAATAAATATATCCATTATGAGCAAATCTAACAATATCTTCATTTTTACATTCAAATAATTTAACTTTAGTTTTTTTAGTTGAACTTTTTCTTAATAAATCATGTTGAGTTTGTAAAGTATTTTGAGATCCACCAGGACCTTTTGAATCAAAAAATTTATCATATCTAAAATGAGGTAATTTTTCAATATTATGATGATGTTTTTCAATCAATTTTTCATCTAAAGATATATGACACCATAAAATTGAAGCATTTTGAGCTCCAATATAAATAGTTGAACTTGATTCACACCAATGAATTGAAAATATATCTCCAATATCAATTAATGAATAAATAACACGAGTACATTGCAATTCTTGAGTTTTTAAATCATAAATTTTAATTAATGAATCTGAACCTGCAACAAATAAAAAATCATTCTTTTCATTTAATGACATTGCTAATATTGAAATTGGTTGTTCAGTACTTCCACATTGAATAATTTTAGTTAAACTATAAGTATCCATATCATAAATTAATACTTTACCATCTTGAGTACCACAATAAAGTAATTTATTGATTGGAGAAGCAACACAACATAATATTGAATGAGTATGAGTCCATTTATGAATTAATTGAGGAATATGAGATTCTTCAACATATGGTGAATTGGTTCCACAATTGTTATTGTTAGTTCCATTTCCAATTCCATCATTTGATGAAAAATCCAATGAACAAGGAGTTGAAGAACGTGTGAATTCAGAAGATTGAGTCATTTCTGGTGAAAAATTTGGAAAATGTGGTATAATCAGTGATGAAGATTGTGATGGTTGTTGTTGATTATGTTGTTCGTTATGAAGTGTAGAAGAACTTTGATGAAATTGTTGATTATTATTATTATTATTATGGTTGTTGTGTCTATGGTTATGAATTGATAATTCAGCCATACTTAAATGAGGAGAATTAAGACGAATTGGGGTATGACCTCTTGGAGTTGATATAAGATTCTCAGTTGAAGGGACACTGTTTATAGGTAAAGGTTTTCTATCATGAGATACATATTCACCTTCATGAATATTACTATGTGGTGGAATCATTATTGATAATGCAATGGAAGATAAATGAATATGAAAAATGTGAAAAATTATATGAGTGTTTTAAAAACAATGCGAAATTGATGATATGAATTATCTATGTAGTGAGATACAGTTTTGTTATCAATAACTGTGGCAGATATAGTTGTGGCTATTCAAAAGATACTCGAAGTAAGAATAAAAAAAAAAGCAGAAACAAGAAGTGGAAACAATGGGTTATATAAGTTTTGTTTTCTTCGCTTCAGTTTATAAACATGTCAAGAAAGTATAAATGTGGTGAGGAGAGGTTCAATTGGTGTATTTTTCTTTTTTTTTTCATAGCGATTGTTACCAAATTGTTAACATCACGATTTTTGTCACAAGGTCACGTGGAATGGCTCAAACTGAAAAAGGTAGTGCATACACCACATTTGTGATCATTGCACACACCATGATTCTGAATCACGTGAATTGAATCATGTGATACTTTTTTTTCTTTTTTTTTTTTTTTTCTTGGGAAGGGATCAGTTGGAACAGGTGATGCCTAGAAATTGTTGTAAGTGGGTTCAACCTGCCAAGAAGATCTTAAAAAAAGAAGATGTAGAAACATCCATTAGCAGCCATTGATGAACATATTTTGCAATCGTATTCTTGGTGAGACAACAAAGAAGAATATCTAGTCTTATACTGGGTTTCGTTATCTAAAATGAGAGAATTCATCTGGTTTTTGTAATCTATGAGTTAAGTCAAGCAAACAAAATTGGTTTTATAGAGTACAAAAATACAAAGGTGAAATTTCTGTTAATGATTGTATATGAGACGATCTCTCTTCATTCAAAAATTGAAAGTAGTTGCGCAAGTGAGACAATTAATGCACTGTTAGTTGGAGGCAGTGGAATAAGTTCAAGTGATTGGATAGATTAATTACATAAAAAAAGAAAGAAAAAAAAAGGAGTAGATCTTTGTGTTTCTTTATTATTTTTTTTTTTTAGTGTTTGAATTTTAACTTGAAATTGGGATAATAGTCACACGATGTATTTCTGTATGTGGGAATTACTCGGATTCCGAATTGTTCTGGTAAGTTACAATGACGGGTTTTAAGAAGAATTCAAATGTTTTGTGATTACTATAGAGAAATTGTATATCCATACAATGAACTATTGTTACTATGAATAATTGATCATGAAAAGAAGAGAATGGGAAACTCTAATCTTTGAAAAGACAAGCACTCTCCTCTCGCTGAATACAGAACTTTAACAGGTCAACCATTGGTTAGACTCTTAGAAACGAGCTGATTAAATAAACGTTTGATAGCTCTTATGAATACGATTTGAAGACAGGTGTAGTTAATTACTTTTATTTTTCCTTTTTTTTATCTTCAAATTCTGCAATGATTAAAATTTTCTGCAATTGTTCGCTGACTGTACTCCTTGTTATTTTAAGGAATTCAAACAAATATCGGGAGAAAGCCTGGTATACATTCCACAAAAGTACGATCCACCCATACATTTTACAAAAAGCATGTAATGCATGCAAACAATGCTTAAACTGCAAGTCTATTATTGCCGTATAGAATTACCCACTAAGAAAGAAACAAAAGAAAAAATTTTCACTCTGGCATCGGGGGAAGGAGAGGAGAGGAGAGAAGAGAAGGACATACTGAACTGTTTCGTGGTACTGCTGGTAACAGGGGCGTTTTTGTGATCACCGTTATCTTGTTCAGTATAAATACCTGAGTAATTGACCCACGTGGGGTCCCTGATTACTGCTAATTAATTAATTCATTTGCTGAGCTTTCCTTCTCTCCTCTTATTATTACTTATTATCTCCTTGCCGTTGTCGTTGTTGATGATGATGGTGGTGGTGGTGATGTTTTGTGACTGTTATGAGTGACAAGAAAGTTTTCGCCCATAGTTAAGCAACTTTTATTTCTTTTTTTTTTTTTTTATTTTTCTTGGAGAGATATTTCAATGCCCCCCTAACAATTTTATTTTGGCATCCATTTCTAATTCATAAAGAGTTAACTGTCACACGATATTTAACCCTCTTGGGATAACTCTGAAATTGATTTTTTTTTTTTTTAATATATTTATTCTTTCTTTCTTTCTTCTTGGTTTAGATTCATATTCAGATTCACAGCCGTTCTTTTATTTATCTATTTATTTATTTATTTATTTATTTATTTTCTTACCTTGAAGTTAAATGAAATTCTCCCATTCGTTAAAGTTTAATGCTGTTCCTGAATGGCAGGACAGTTATTTGAACTATCCTACTTTGAAGAAAACCGTTTACAAGTTGCAACAAGATCAACTCGTTAATAATGGTACCGATGATCAAGGCTACACTGTTAATGCAAACCAAACTACCGTCAGTGAATTGGTTGATAACTTTAAACTTAAAAATCCAATTAGTATTCCACAAGAAGGTTCTTCTTCAGACCATTCTGAAAGCAACAAAGATGGTAATGCCCTTAAACATAGATTAGCTAAGAATATATTCAACAAATTTAAAAAAAATAAGAATAATAGTGACAGTGATATTGAAATACAGGAATTTAGTCATAATGATGATTTAGAAAAGAAACCAGTTACTGTTACAAGTGTTGATGATTATTCTGATAAAAATTCAGAAATTAAATCATTTACTGGTGATGTTGATAACTCTTCAACTGGTTCTTCCTCTAACACTAACAGTCCTGATAAAGTTATTCATAGAATTTTGGAAAAAGATAATGATGATGAATTTAGTGATCCTAAATCCTTGAGTTTTGATCCTTTGAAGGTATTTGGTAAGCAATTGTTGTCTGAATTGGAAAAAATCAATGATTTTTATAATGTTAAAGAAAAAGAAATATTCAAAAATTATGACAATTTACTAAAAGATTTGCACAATAAAAACGTTGATATTGATGATGTTTTCAGATTCACTCAAGCTTATTATTCTGACCCAGATGCTATTTACACCGATTCTCATCATCAATACCACATTACATCTACATTATCAAGAACAGTTACTAATGGTAGTGTCTTTGATACCATCAATCATATTGATAATGATTATGATCAACAATTGCAAAAACAAAGAAGTCGTTCTGCTTCTCAATCCTATCACGATTTAGAAAAACAAGAAGGTCCAGAAGTATACGTCAATGAAGAAGATTCTGAAGATGATGATGAAGAAGAAATTGGTGCTAGTCAAGATTCTGTTTTACTTCATCATAGTGATTTTAATGTTAAACAACAATTGAAAGTTACTTTGAAAAGAAGAGCCATTACTTTATTCATTAGTCTTTCTGAATTGAAGTCATTTATTGAATTGAACAGAATTGGTTTTACAAAAATTTGTAAGAAATTTGATAAAACTTGTGGTTATTCAATGAAGGAAGATTTCATTAATAATTTCTTGCCAACCTATTCCAGAGTTTTCCAATCTAAAACAACTGAAGAATTGGATCACAAGATTAATGAAATTGTCAAGATTTATGCATTTTTAATCAACAGATTAACTTCTAGTACTACTGTTCAAGATTTGGAAAATGTTAAAACAGATTTGAAATCACATTTAAGAGATCATATTGTCTTTGAAAGAAATACTGTTTGGAAAGATATGTTGTCTATGGAAAAGAAATCATACAACTTGGATTTGGACAATTCTGCTGTTCAAAATAATAAAATGGGTGATGAAGCTCATATTAAAAACTCCATGATGTATATTGAAATGAGAAGTATGAAATTCCCAAAGAATATTTCCATCTTTGGTTATGATCATTTGTCTCTTCCAGAATTTTTCTTTACTACCCAAATGTTGAAAGTTACCATTACTGTCATTGTATTTATTATTTTACTTGCAGTTAAAACATTTAATGATCCAGTTCAAGGTCGTTGTTTAGCTGTTCTTGTTGCTTCTGCTATGCTTTGGGCATCTGAAGCTTTACCATTATATACTACTGCTTTATTGGTTCCACTTTTAGTTGTTACTTGTAAAGTTTGTAAAGTAGATGGTACCGATGAACCAATGGCTGCTGCTGCTGCTTCCCTGTATATCTTGAGTACAATGTGGAATTCAACAATTATGATTTTGATTGGTGGTTTCACTTTAGCTGCTGCATTATCCAAATATAATATTGCAAAGATTATTTCATCTTTTATTTTGGCTTGGGCTGGTACTAAACCACGTAATGTTCTTTTAGCCATTATGTGTGTTTCATTATTTTTATCCATGTGGATTTCTAATGTTGCAGCTCCTGTTTTATGTTTTTCCCTTATTCAACCAGTTTTAAGAAGTATTCCAACGGACTCTCCAGTTGCTCAAATGTTAGTTTTGGGTATTGCTTTAGCATCTGATGTTGCTGGTATGGCTTCTCCAATTTCTTCTCCACAAAACGTTATTGCCATTGAATCTATGGATCCAAATCCAGGTTGGGGTAATTGGTTTGCTGTTGCATTACCAGTTTCTATTATTTCTGTCATTTTGATTTGGGTTGAATTGATTACTACTTTTAAGATTAAAAATGTTAAATTGCAAAAATTCAAGCCAATTAAAGATAGATGGACCGTTAAACAAATTTACGTGTTTGTTGTTACCTTGGCTACTATTCTTTTATGGTGTGTTATGTCTAAAATCAGTGGAACTTTTGGTGAATCTGGTATTATTACTATTATCCCAATTGTTTTATTCTATGGTACTGGTTTACTTAAAGTTGATGATTTAAACAATTATCCATGGTCTATTGTTCTTTTAGCTATGGGTGGTATCGCTTTAGGTAAAGCTGTTACTTCTTCAGGTTTATTGAAAACTATTGCCTTGGCTTTACAAAAGAAAATCATGGATTATGATGCCTTTGTTGTTTTGGTCATTTTCGGTGCTTTGATTTTAGTTGTTGCTACTTTTGTTTCCCATACTGTTTCTGCTCTTATTATTGTTCCATTAGTTAAAGAAGTTGGTGAATCTTTACCTACTCCACATCCACGTATGCTTATTATGGGTGTTGCTTTAATTGCGCTGGGTGCTATGGGTTTGCCAACTTCTGGGTTCCCTAATGTTACTGCAATTGGTATGCGAGATGAGGTGGGTAAACCTTATGTCACAGTTAATTCATTTATTACTAGAGGTGTCCCAGCAAGTATAATTGTTTATCTCTGTGTCATCACTCTTGGTTACGGTATCATGTCTTCATTAAAATTCTAGGATTATTTATATCTTTGTATATTTGTAATTGTATATTAGTTAATTTTGTATATTAGAAATTGTCATAAACGATTGACATCATTATCACCATCATCGGCATCATCAGCGTCACCATGGGCAATAAAAAGTAGAATAAGTGGATGAAATCATATAAAATAAAATAAAAATATTAACGTGGTATTATCTGTAGAACAAAGGAGAGAGAAAAAAAAAATCTATATTACATTGTATTCTGTAACAGTCAGGACTAATTCTTGACTCCATACATATTGTCTTGTAATCTTTGGTAAGCACCATCATCATCCATTCTCTTAAACAAGGTAGCCAAACCTGGAGAGTAAGTTGGGTCAGTCAAAATATATTGTAAACCATCACTTAAATAACCCTTCTTTTTAGCATATTGGAAATATGGATCAAGGGCAATATTATCAAGCATACCAGAATTGTATAATCTACCAACAACTGTTTTAGCCAAAGTTCCCAAATTTGGATTTTGAAGAGCTTCCATAACTAATGGAACAACAATACCAGAATTATTCAAAGCAATAATTATATCACTTACAGATCCTTGAATTAAAGATGAAGAAGCAACGGTATTAATAATGTTACCGACAAATGAATTAAATGAACCAGCATATTGATCATCATCGCTGTCATCTCTGGTATTAAGAACATTATCAAGATAATCATTCAAAGAAACAAAAAAGTCACCATCCAAGTTCTCATCATTTTCTTCAGAAGAATCCTCTCTTTCAAAAATTATATTATCTTCTTGTTTGACTTCAACTCCTTTAATTTTGCTTTGAGCGGTGGTATTGGTATTTGCTTTGCTAGTAGAATTAACAATTAAATCAGCCAAATATGGAACAGTTAATGCATGTCCATCGCCTAAACCCATCAATAACCAACCAATCCAAACATTGTTAGGATCACCTAAAATTCCACCAACAAAATCAGCCAACATGGCATTATTAGTATTATTCAATAATAATCCAGTAGCAGTTGATTGAATTAATCCAGAAGCCAAAACAGCATCCAATATTTCGGTCACATTCAAATCAATAGTTATACCTTCAAATGATGTATTACCACCTTCAACAGCACCAAGTAAACCCACGGTGATATTGGCTAAATTATCCATTCTAGTTTGAGATGAGGTTATATCACTAATGACATCTGTTATAAGACCAGAAGCTCCAACAGCTTGGAAAAGTCCAGTAAATTGTTCAATTTGAGCTTCATCTCTCTTTTCTAAATCTGTTGATAACCCTCTTATACTTTCCAATAAGTAATTATATTTGGTGTAATCAGTATTTGATGATGAGGCTGAAACAATCGCAGGTAAACAAAATGACACTAATGGGACTATGTTTGATAATGCAAGGAACTTCATATCTCTTTGTTCTTTCTTTCTTTTGTTAAATGATATATAGTTTACAAAATACTTCTAAAACGTATTGACTTGTATAAATATAAACAGTGGATAGTTGAAAAAAAAAATGAAAATGAAAAGTAGAAAGTTTGATGATTGGAAATAAATAATTTTTTAAAAAAATAACAACAGACGAAGGGATCACCAAAGAATGATATATAAATATAAATGAATTTTTTATTGAAAAAAAAAAAAAAACTACCAAGTAAAATAAAACAAAAACAGAAATATTTAATAACTTTGTGTTGGTAGTATTTGAAAGAATTTTGTTTAAAAAAAAAAAAAATTTGGTTAAATTCTCTAACTTTTATATGAGTTTTACGATGATACTATTATACAGGGGGAATTAAATATTCCACTCGATGTGGAGGTGTTGAGATTAAATATTAAAATTTCCTAATTATGAATGTATATTCATCTTGGTGGAAATTGTCCCTGTGATGATAAACAATCACAACAGGGACAAGAAGAAGAAGACGTAAAGGGAGTAAGAGCAAAGTGTAATACCGAAGAAGAAAACTAATCGTTTTTTTCCTAAATAGGAAACTTTGTTCCAAAATGTCGCTATTTCCGTTTGTCACTTTTTTTTTCCCAGTGGAAATTTTTTTTTTTATCTATTGTCCTGCCGTGGCTGTTGGATTCACCCATGATCATACAACGGGTTCTTTATGACAGTGATTAAATCGATAGTGTTGTTACGAGTAGTATTCTTGTTTCATTCACATAAGCTCATCTCGTGTCTATTAGTAGCAACAACTGAGTCACAGTGATTTACTCAACAATTTCATTTTCGTACAGCACAACAATTTACAAAACCAGTTCTGTGTCGCAAATGTCGTGTGTCGTGTGTCGTCGTGCAGTGTAAATCACTAAGAAAATTTTTTCTACCAAAACGAAAAATAAAAATCACCAAATTAGGAAACCAAAAGCTTTTTTGACAGAATGGATCTCAGCACTACCAATTAAACAATAGAATTAAGGAGAATCATGTACATTTTGTATTACACTATTTGAAGGATGTCTCTAACAAAAATAAAAAGCTCATCAAACCTTATATCATCGGAGGTAAAGAAAAAGAATAATGAATTGGAGAAATTACTTTATGTGGTTACAAAGGTACTAAGTTTAGTTTTAGCAAAATGATGCACGATTAAACTGCACTTCATTATATTTAGTGATTGATATTAATATAACCCACAGGTATCCAACAGGTTTTTTTTTTTTGTTCTATTTTTTTTATTTTCAATTTTAGTTTTGGTTTGGTTCTATTATTTGATTGGTTTATTCTTATACTTTCTTCTACTATACTCATCATCAACTTGAAGAACAAAAACCAAAGGATATCTACAGATTTTTTTTTATAAATATATCTATATATTTCGTTTATTTTTGGGTTCTTCTTTTATTTTCATTTAACGTGTTGATTTTTCATTGATTTCTACGACGAATATCATTATAGGAAGATAATTTCATAGTTTCTTTTATCCCTAGCCACAACAGATATACAAAAAAAATGAAGTTAATTGTGGCATTCCTATGCTTATTCATGGCATTAGTCAACTGTTTACCAGCAGTTTCCCCAGTTGAAGGAAGTGATTTTGATTTTGATTCCAATTTAGAATCCCAGATTAATACTTTCGTGGAATCAAATTTTGATGGCAAGGCATTAGAATTATATCATGAAGTAGTCAATGCTTACAAAAGTTATTCAGAAAGCCAAGAAGACAAGAAATTGATTAAACGTGATTCAGCTCTTGAAGCTCAACTTGAAGCAGCCATCTTAATGGTTAACAATTCAGGAATTATTTGGGATATCTTGGATGCCGTTGCGGATAATCCAACTAGAATTCAATCATTGAGCAATTTAACAACTACTTTCTTGAAGAATCAAAATATTAGCATTAGTGTTTCTAGTTTACTTCTGTCATCTAGTTCTTTGTCCAGTAAAGTTAATCTCACAGGTCTTATTACTGCTGTTGAACAATCTGGTTTGGTAACTTCCATTTTGGATGGTATCTTGCTTGATACCAACTTTAGACCTCACTTGGTTGAATTGATTTACAGTGTTGTCTGGTCTCAAAGAGATATTTTATTGTATTTGTTTGCCATGCTTCAAAAAAGAGATGGTATGATCGTCGAAGATGACTTGTATGAATTACTCGGTAAACGTGCTGATGACAATAGTGGATCTTTACTTGCATTTGCTAATAATGCTATTGGAACTATTCTTTCTTCTCCATTGGTTGCTAGTGTTACTGCTGACTTCTTGAATGCTTTGAATGACACCGGTGTTGCTGTTTACACTATTCAAAGATTCCTTTCTACTGAATCATATCTCAACATGACTGGATATTTGATTAAAAATATTTTATCCTCTTCAAGTGTTCAAATTAGTACTGGTGGTTTAAATCTCACTAGTTTGGTTGGTATTGCTTTGAGTAATCCAAAACAAGTTGCTTCATTAGTTGGATCATTATTAGATGGTGACACTTCTCAATTCCTGGGATATCTTGGTAAATATGCCAGTGCTGTCGGATCAATTATCAAGGATTTAGAAAAAACTGGACTTTTTGCTCAATTAAATAGTTATATTTTTGGTGATGAAATAACCACTACTACTGCTGCTGCTGCTTCAACTTCAGGTTCAAATAATGATAGAAAAGATATACTTACTACAAGTGGATCTGGTAACTCGACAGCAAGTGCAACTACAAGAGAATCAAGTACTGCTACTAATGCTGCTGCTTCTGTTTCCAATTTCTTTACTAGTTCTGATTCCAACACTTCAGTTCTTAAAGCATTGGTTGCCATTATTGGTGGAGCCTTGTTCACGCTTTAGATATTACAGTAAAATTACATTAAAGAATATCCCTTTTTCATATATGTTTAAGTAATACTTTTATATTTTTAATTAAATCGTTGCCTTTTTGTTTATTTCAAACTAACTTTTTGTAGTATATTTTGAATATTGTTTGAATATGACATTTCATTCTAAAAATCAGTTTGACGTAAATAAATTTTAGCATGTATAAATGGGTTATTGTTTAAACGGCAAGAGACATAAATCATCGATTCTAAAAGACCGTTCATGACTTGCCTTTGTTATTTCAAATGCATTGTGGGACATGACTAAAAATTGAACATACAATGTACAACATAATCACCGAAATTATAAACATTTCAAGATATATCAATTTATCGTCAAAACAATAAATTCTATATTGGTCCTATGTAGAATCTCTTATCAAACTTCACTAGGATATTGGAACTACTTCTCCATCTTCATCTCCACCTTCTCCATCTTCATCTCCACCTTCTCCATCTTCATCTCCACCTTCTCCATCTTCTCCATCTTCATCTCCACCTTCTCCACCTTCACCACTTTCACCATCTTCACCACTTTCACCACTTTCACCTGTTTCTACTGCATTATCTGCGCTAGAGGTAGGTGTTTCAACGCTAATAGTTCCTTCTGATGAACTTGTCTCACTTGAAACAGCAGGTGATTCGGCAGCACTAGATTCGGCAGCACTCGATTCAGCAGCGGAAGAAACAACAGCACTGGATTCAGCAGCAGAGGATTCAGCAGCGCTAGATTCAGAAGCAGAAGATACAGCAGCAGACGATTCAGCAGCAGAGGATTCAGCGGCAGAGGATTCGGCAGCGCTAGATTCAGCAGCAGAAGATACAGCAGCAGACGATTCAGCTACAGAAGATACAGCAGCGCTAGATTCAGCAGCAGAAGATACAGCAGCAGAGGATTCAGCAGCAGAGGATTCAGCAGCACTGGATTCAGCAGCAGAAGATACAGCAGCAGAGGATTCAGCAGCACTGGATTCAGCAGCGCTGGATTCAGCAGCGCTGGATTCGGCAGCACTGGATTCAGCAGCACTGGATTCAGCGGCAGAAGATTCAGCAGCACTGGATTCAGCAGAAGAAGATACAGCAGCAGAAGATACAGCAGCAGAGGATTCAGCAGCGCTAGATACAGCAGCAGATGATTCGGCAGCACTGGATTCGGCAGCGCTAGATTCAGCAGCAGATGATTCGGCAGCGCTAGATTCACCGGCAGATGATTCGCTAGCACTAGATTCAGCGGCAGAAGATTCAGCAGCAGAGGATTCGGCGGCCCTGGATTCGGCAGCAGAGGATTCAGCTACAGAAGATACAGCAGCGCTAGATTCAGCAGCACTGGATTCGGCAGCAGAAGATACAGCAGCACTGGATTCGGCAGCAGAGGATTCGGAAACAGTAGATCCAGCGGCACTGGATTCGACAGCAGATGATTCGCTAGCACTAGATTCAGCGGCAGAAGATTCGGCAGCAGAGGATTCGGCGGCCCTGGATTCGGCAGCAGAGGATTCAGCTACAGAAGATACAGCAGCGCTAGATTCAGCAGCACTGGATTCGGCAGCAGAAGATACAGCAGCGCTAGATTCAGCGGCAGATGATTCAGCAGCGGAAGATACAGCAGCAGAGGATTCAGCGGCAGATGATTCAGCAGCGGAAGATACAGCAGCGCTAGATTCAGCGGCAGATGATTCAGCAGCGGAAAGATACAGCAGCAGAGGATTCAGCAGGCAGATGATTCAGCAGCGGAAGATACAGCAGCAGAGGATTCAGCAGCAGTAGATCCAGCAGCAGATGATTCAGGCCCAGAAGATTCTGCTGCAATTGATTCAGCCGCAAGCCATTCATCAGCAGGATGAATCTGCAGAAGAAGATTCAGCAGAAGATGATTCAGCAGTACTCGATTGGGCAACAGAGGATTCAGCAGTGGAAGATACAGCAGCAGATGATTCGACAGCGCTAGATTCGGCGGCAGATGATTCGGCAGCAGATGATTCGGCAGCAGAGGATTCGGCAGCACTAGATTCAGCGGCGGAAGAAAGAGGAGCACTAGATTCAGCGGCGGAAGATACAGCAGCACTGGATTCGGCAGCAGAGGATTCGGAAACAGTAGATCCAGCGGCACTGGATTCGACAGCAGATGATTCGCTAGCACTAGATTCAGCGGCAGAAGATGCGGCAGCAGAGGATTCGGCAGCGCTAGATTCACCGGC